ATATGGTAAGATGGAATTCCACTTTCATGTTAAATCTGCTTTAAAATTACAAACAGCATTTGAGAGACTTGAAGATACTCTTGGAAATAATTTATTGAGTTTGTCCTCGTAACACGTTTTTGTAGGAACCAAGATATAAAATTAAATTTGTTGAGTTTTTGAAACTGAAAAGGCTTTGGCTTCCAATGTGAAAGAAACACTAACCGGGTTGTTTGAACATTATTGCTTTTATTGCAAGGTAGCTCAAGAACTGAACACTTCCGAGTTTCAGCTGCTGATCATACTAAGGATTTTGGGCCTTCCGATGTGAGATTCATGATATATCCATGGATTTTGCTGAATAAAAATGAACAAGGAATATCTATTTAAAAGCAAAAATGACAACAAAACCTATTTAACTGACACGACACGAGAGGGGTTATCTGTAAATTGGAATGTTGCAATTAGCGGAAGTCCTCTCTTCCAAATCTCCAATACTTTTCATGATAGCAAGGGATGTTCTTGTTGTCACAAATCACAATGTCCACTGTGGCTTCTGATCAAGTTTGCTTTTAGCACAAGACTTTTGTAGGATGCAGAAGGGGCGGAGGCACCCATTTGTGCCTAACACTGTTTTCTTTGTATATCATTGACAAGTGATATATATAGAGAGAGACAAGGTGGCCGATGAAGTTGGTCTTGATAATATCTTAACACTTTTAGTTCATTCTTGAGAAAAACCAATATGTTGGAAATAACACAGATAGCTTTGTAGATCTGGAAATCAGATCATCCTCAATTACTCGTTAAACAAATTGTATCTTTATCTACATTTATGCAATTATATATATGTCTTATTTGATGCACCACTAATTGTAATCCTGATTTTTTTTGCTTTTATAGGCTGAAACAAAGTGGTGCTTGGCTACTATAGTTTGATGAACAGCTCATTGAAGGTAGGTTTGGGAAGAGGGAATGTGATAGATATTCTTTAAATGAGTGGTTGTACCTATCGACTATGATATTTGTTGACGTTTTAACACTACATTAGATTTTTTAGTGTTAGAAACATAGTTCATGCTGTTAGGCTGTGTTCGTTGCTGATGACAGGTTTTAAAATTCCTCATGGCTAGGATTTCTAATTTCTGTTGTTAGATTTTATGTTTCGTAGCTCAGTTTCTCGTTAGAAATACTATAAAGAAGATGGATTATCTTATGAAAATATTTGGCTTTATAGCACATTATGTTTTTTGCCATGTAAAGTCGTACGAGAGAGAGGTCCAACGTAGTGTGAAGGCTACAATCGATATGCGTAAAAGCAATGCAGACGCATGAAATTCGATTGTGGTAGCTAATCAACTCAAACTTTAGAACTATAAAGATTTGAATAATATATGAAATATACTTGTCTATGTGGCTTATCTATTTTTTCATTTATTTTATATTTTTTACTTGCAAAATCGAGTTCAATCTGATTTATTACTCGGGAAATGATTTTTGGACAATTTTGGACTCTTAGTGTATTTTTGCAGCGCACATATAAAAGAAATTCTATATAATGCCAACTTTTAGTTGTGTAAATAATGGAACTGTTATTACTTTAGCTTGTTTTTCTTGTCGTGTGCTTTAGCTTTAAACTAGTTTATTGTACTTGAATGTTTTACCGTGTGTGCGCATATACTTGTCAACCCTTGGATCTCAAGCTCACTTAGTTTTGAAATTTGATAATTCAATAATAACCTTTGTAATGTTTTCATTAGTTTTTCGGCTTACAACCACTGTTATATGGATACCACATTGATAATATTACAAGTTTTTTAGAGGCAAATGTATTATAATAAAATATGCTTTTATTACAAAAATATTTAAATTATGTTATCTTTCTATTTAAAAAAATTATATCCTCTCTATTTGTTGAAAATGACCTATACTTTACAACGGGAATAAATCTTTTAGTAGTTTAGAAGTAATGGATAAAGAATGAACTTTTCATCAATATCAATTTTCCTTTGTCTAGGTTTCCCAAGATCAGTAAACCTTGTCATTTTTAAGATTCCAAAAAATAAAAGTAAAATTTTCTATTATTGACTTTAAAACTTAGTTCAGAGTGTATCGTATCTTCTAAATTCTCAAAATCATAATAGACGTTTAAAATTTGTCATCGATATTGATGTTGAGTGATAAAAAAAAAGGGATAAACTAGTTATAAAAACACACGTTCATATTAAAATGAACATATAAATCTCTTGGTAGAAATAGGGTAAACATTTAAAATAAAAAATATTGCAATTTAAGCATCTCTAAGAGTGTACTATACAGATTGAAACATAGAGTAAGCTAAAGTAATAAAAGATTAGAGAGAGTAATTAGAAGGGGAAACAAAAGTGAAAGGGCGTCGACAAAAGTAGCTGTATAAATACAGTTCCCAAAATGGCACGCAAATATGGAGCTGTTAGCTAAAACGACCCTACAGACAACGAGGTTCTCTTTTTATTCTGATCTCATCCTTTACACTGTATCTCTCTCTCCACATGGATTGTCCACTGTTCTTACTTACATAAACAGCAATTCTTGGGCATACAATATTGCACTTCATTCCACTTTAATGTTAACACGTTTAAGATTGTGTGACCATGATAAGGATTTTATTAGGTTGAGTGTAGATATCTACTACTAGTAAGTTTTTTTTTAAAATAATATATTCATTGTATTAAAATCATAAAAGTATAATAAATATTTACTTTTTAACAAAATTTTACTATTATTAATTGCTTAAATTCAATGTTAGTTAATATTAATTAACATTTTTCTCATGATAATTAGGAATGCAATTAACCATCTCTATAAGCAATAGATGAATTATTGTTTTTACTTTGGAAGAATTAAGCAGCAGAAACTCGTACATTAACAAATGCTAGGGAAAAGCTGTTCATCTTAATTTTTTTGCATTTGGCAGTAGTGTTAGGTGTGTTGTTCAGAAATGTGAGTGCCACTAAAAATGCAAGCACTATATTATGAAAGGTAGTCTTACCTATCAAGTAAGATTGATGTATCTCTATATGTCTGCATACAAATAATGAAAATAATTCAGTATCAAATTAACTAACACATCATTTTATTGAAATACAAACGTTCATCTAATGTCGCCTTCTAATGGGAATAGAAGCAAAAAGAATAATATTGAACGTGTTCTTTTTCGTGCTGCCTCGTGCTTGTCGTAAAGTAATCCTATACAACTTGTAAAAAAGAAAGAGAGACCTTAAGAAAAAAAGGCAATATACCCAGATCCGATGAAAATTCAACTGCCATTTTCAAGTTATAACCATTGATAGAAAGTGAAAAAATGGAAATGATTGCAATTTTGAGTTTGATTGGTATCCACTACTGATTTAAATGACGTTTATATTAATGTCCCATGTATTGATTTATAGTTATTTAGATGACATTTGTATACTCTTTTGGTACAAAATATTAAGAAAGTTATCCCATCAACGTTGTGCTATGCAAACCAGTTAAGTTCTCTTTTTGCCTATTACATTCTCACCAATTCATCAAGTAGAATTATTTCCTATTGAAGATATTTTTGAAAAAGAAAATATCCCACCAAAATTGGTAATGCATACATCCCATTTTTAAACGTTTTTCTTTTAAATTTATGTTTTAAAATTTATGAACAAATTAAAAGACCTATGCAATGATGGGATATTTCTAGTGTATATATTATTTAGAACATCGCTTCCTTTTAAATCTAAATGAAAAAGCTTTCCCATTTCCACAAACTGAATTCAGATGCCCAATTTTTTTTAACAAATAAGGGGGTCAATTCTGGAAAGGGAAAAAGAATTATTAAGGTCACTCCACACGCTCAAAATACAGTCTTATTGTGTCCTTCTGTCAAAAGTGCAGTATGACAGTTGCAGTTGCAGGCTGGGCGCAGAATATGGGCATTTGGTATAAAGCCTCGGAATGGCATTGAACACATTAGATAGGTCAAAATATGTGACAAAAATGCATAAAAACATAGCAAAAGCAGATCCCGGCTTGCAGAGGTGGAAAGATAAATGCAACTTTAATGTGTTTGCAAACGTGAAAATTTTCTAAACGTAAATTTAACATAAAAATTACTGCTAGTAACTTTAAAACGTAAATCTACGATCATTCAAACATGACTTCAATTACAACAGAAGGTATTAAAAAAATGTTGATGCATACGTACGATAAAATTTGATCGGAAAAGCATACAACAAAAATACCCCGTCGTTTCTTACTCTGCGTCCCTTAGTTTTGTTATTTATCTCATTATGCAGAAAGTTTTCTTGAATAAAAGACAATTAAAAAGACATTTCACCACTTAAACAAATAGGAAGAACCGTACATGTAGCGGCAGCTTGTAGGATCCATCAACATCGTTTGGGATTCTGATTCACAAGGTTGTATGTGATCAGAATCATTTGCAGATGCATCGTTACTGAGGAAGAAACGTAGAAGTAAAATTTTGCTACTGGGTTAAATTTCAAAGAAAATTATCCTTCTTGTCTTCGTTTCCCCACTTTTAATTCAAGATATTTGGGAAAATTATCCTTCTTGCACTCTGAACATATCCCGAACATAAAATCTAATCACATATTCACAAGAGTGTTCAGAACTGAACTATCAACGATTCAGTGCTCAATAATTCGACTTAAATAAGAATAATTTTAAAGACATACCCAAAGTAATCGCAACTATAATTTTCATTCAAATGAATGTTAGGGGGTAAAAAAATTGATTAATTGATTCCACATGTGAGCGAAGAGGCACTTTAACAAGATTTGACACAAGGTCGGTATTAAAACTGTCCACTGGTCCAAACAGGTTCTCAAATCACAATTCTCCTAAGGCAAAATATATGAGAATACAAGTACGGGCATGATGGTTTTTGTTTTCAAATTGTCTTAATTTTAAAAAATGCATACAAAATTAGAATATTAATATTTTTTTTTTTTTTGAAAAGAACAGTTTTAATATTTATTGTATAAGCTAGAAAGAATAACTTTCGAAAAAACTATACAAAAGGGTATTTCACATACATTTTAAAAATTTATCCAATCGCACGTCAAGGAGAGCATCAGAGCATGGTATTTACAAAAAGCTATGCATGCACGCAAGTGGAAACCCGTTCACGATGGATTTTTTTTTTTCCTTGAGACTGCTTGATCGAAATTCTTCTTCCTTCATAATGGCAATTATTTATCTGGTCGTAGAGCGAGATGATCGGCTACTTGGATTTGTGCGATAGCCTCTAAATAGGGCCCCCAGATTCAGAATGCATCCAGGAGCCCGAACCTGGGTATCATTCAAGAAAGTATCACACGCCATTGAATATAAATAATCACAAGGAATCGACGTAAAATATATATCACATAAAAACATTGGCACCTTTTCAAGCATGTGGGCATTCAACTACTGAGACAGATATATAGTTGCTTAAATACAGTAATAGTTTTTTCCTCTTTTTTATAATGAAAAAGAAAAGCAGGTGTTTTTCTATAGTCACTTCACCACAGATAATAATATCCAGTGATACAGGAGAAGACCTTTAAGCTGAAATTCTAAATTCGGGTAATTTTTAGAATTGAATATTATTGCTCAGTTAAAATGTTAAAATCCAATTGTAAGGAATGAAACTTTGAATCCTTCTTGGAAGTATGGAATTCTAATGTGGAGTTTATAAGTCCTTGACATCTCGAATACGACAGCTCACTTTTGTGATATGATTCTTTAAAGATTCTTATCAATTGGCATTAAAGCACTACACCATGTCTCCCAGATGCAACTACGAGGTGCAGGTGGTGACACTGACATTTCACGTTTGCTCGGAACTAATCAAAGGAGCTAGTACACAGGTAGCCTGTGTGGGTGCTGAAGTTGCATAGTGCGGTGGAATAATAGAATTTACAAAGCTTTGAGCTCTTGAACTACTAAGGCTAACTTTTTTTATGTAGTTTTCTCAAGGTTCTTATTAGAAAATTAACTATGCTACCACAACTAGGTCAAAAAATTGACAAAATAATTTTTTGCATGAAAGAGTAGGATACCTTCCAGTGCCTCTTTCGAGCAAGATGGCTGCTGATGTCTTCCAATCTCCCAATTATTTGCCTAAATGTTGGTCTTCTGTATGGTTTTTCATCCCAACATTCCTCAATTAACCTACGGACGAATCAAATTTCATGAATGTAAAAAACTTATTCTTTTAATCTCCTACATGCGGTAGGTTTTGAAACTAAACATTCAAATCTGTTGCCAAATATATTTAAAACACTCACTGTTTTAGTCCATAAGCATAAAGCTTTGGTGAAGCTCTAAATGGTGGACGCTCATTTTCAACATAGGCTTTTGGAACTTCATTTTCTGGCTTTGCATAAAATGGTGGACAACCTTCAATCATCTGGAGTAACAGAAAACCATACAAGTTGCAGTCAATAATTTGCAGGGCATCTCTACAAATATTAACCTACTGTCGGTTGTCTATACATTCTAGATTCAGAATTGCCCATCCTCCATAAATAAAATAATCATATTATGAACTTTATCTGCAAAAAGTTAAAGAAAGTGCACACTTTGTCTTTACATAAAAAAAAGTACAAGAACAATTCAAATATTGTTGCAACTGCAAACCCTTGTGACATGGCATCTTACAAAAATGATCATGAATATCGAAAATAATATACCCATACATAATATTTATATTCTATAGGTCAATCTGCGAAGAGCTCAATTTCTTATCCATTTGATCAACCTAAAAATATGTAATAGAATATTATATAAATCATATATCATTTAATAAAAAGATCGTTAGGATAATCTGGTGTATAAAAGAGGGCAGAGCTTATGAGTCATGAGTGCTTGAGCTGTCCCTAGACTCATCCTATATATATTCTTGATAAGTCAAAAAGGTCTTATGTGTAAAAGAAACCATCAAACATTTGAATTAAATATGCTGTAACAATACTGAAGGAATTTGAATGCTGAAAGCAATATATGATACACAGCAACAAATAATACAACTCTCAATGCATTCCTTTTCCTGGACTAGCAAATATTTTACTGATGTAAATAATACAAACGAATGTGTCTATGGGACATATTTTGCAACTTGGCCATTTGATATCATATAGAGATGACACAAGATTATGAGTTACTTAACTGTCACATGATTACTAAAAATTTGCATTACTTATTGTTCAAGATTCCATAAATATAATTGCTTTTAATTGCTTATAATAAACAACATAAAGTAAATTTACATAGCTAAACAGGGACGCTTCATGCTTCAGAAATCAAATACAACTAACAGCCTTCTGAAAGGTTTATGTGCTGAGATAAACAAGAATTACCAGGGATGGAGAGTATTGAATTAGCAATAGCAAGTACTATTTGGTCAAATACCACAAAATCTTCATCAAGCACCAATTAATCCAACTGATTTTATATTTATTAATTAATAATTAATTTGCAAAATTAGGATTTAAAAATCTTATTTCAAGACCAGAGAGGGAAAATCAGCATGCATGTGAAGGTGAGCAATAATGATTTTACCTCCTGTAATATCAGAGCAAATGAAAACACATCAACTTTTGTGTCATATTCCTCATTTCTATAGACCTCTGGAGCAACATAGCGCCCTGTACACATTTGAATTACTTCATTAATAAGAACTACAAAAATCAGAATCAATCACAATAGAATCAAAATGAAATCAATTATATGTTATTTATAGGTTATTTGACAAATTCAAATAATTAAAAGTGAAGCACCAGCTGCAAACTGAAGTAGTCACCATTTAAACGGCATTTTTTTTCTTTTGTAGAATATACAGCATGTTGTACGTTACTACCCTCATGAAACAATGTGGTTTGCAACATCACTTTTATGCAGAATGATATGATCAACAATGAATATTAAAAGGCTCCACAAAAGAATAAAACATACATGATGTATCCTGGCATGTCACGGGTTTGTCTTCCTTGACTGTTTTAGCAACTTTGAGCAACTTGCTAACCCCAAAGTCTGCAACTTTCAGATGCCCAGAATCATCCCGTAGTATATTTCTGTTGTCTTACTCATGTACAATGAAGAAACTTTAAACAGTTTCAATCATTCAAGAATGCATGAACAATGCATGCTTCTACTGAAAAACCCATGACACTTCATACACATGCTGGAAGAATATTAAAATCAACTAGACGGGGTATGAGAACAGAAAACATACGAAGGCTCAAGATCTCGATGTATAATGGCCTCTGGTTTATGTTCATGCAAATAGTTCATTCCCCTGCACAATATACATCAAAATATTGCCTTTATTATAAACACCCAATACAATTTTTTTAAAATAAGAAAAAAATTATATTTAATATTCAACTCTATAAAACTAAAATAATTAGGGAGCTTTTTCCTTGCAAAACAACAGAAATCTAGTGAAGCATTCATATTATGAAAGCTCTAGACTGACCTAGCAATATCAAGTGCAAACTTCACAGCTGTTACCGGTTTTAATGCCCCTTTGCGCTCCAAATAGGCACAAAGATCCCCCTAAAAAGTGATAATCCATTCCAACTTGTTAGAAATTACTTTTGTGAAAGAGACGGCGTCTAGCTAACCACCACATCACACACACATACACACAAGCAGAGGAGACATCCCCCAATTATTGGAACAGAAAATGCCAATTGTCATGTACAAATGAAAAGATAAGCTGGGTTTGAAGATCTGAGGTATTTCAAGAAAATAAATGATAACTGGTGGGAAAATAATGGATATGCATATAAACAGAAACTGTACACATTCCTTGAGTGTATCCTTATTTATCAATATATCCAGTATCCATATGGACATGTATTTATTTACAGTCACCAATACATATGCACTTCCCTATTTCTTCCCCACTCCACTAATATGAAGCAAAATGCAGAATAAACAGAAATCAAACTCCTATATCAACACTTATCGATGCTAGGTAAAAACAAGTATCTCTTTATCAATACTTAAATCCCTCATAATAGATATTTATAACTTCTAGAAAGAACAGAAACTCATTTTTCTGACCCACACAAATAACTGTAGCATGTCAACAATTATTATAAGTCCTAGTATAACTTTTCATCAAATTAAGTTCTTAATCATACATGAACTCCTACCTAAAGCTGGATTGAGAAATCCTATTGAAACTACAATAGTCACTTTCTTTCTAAAGAAAGTTCTATAGACTATATCCAAAATGACAAATTTCAGGCCATGTACCACGGTATGCTCACTATTGTCTATGATAGCCAACTAATTAAACCCCATAATTTGTATGTAAACACCATGAGCAAGTCTAAGGTTGTGTTTGGATAGGACATTTCAAAATTATTACAATTTATGTATTTGGGTAGTAAGAAAAAATAATTTTAAAATAATACCACATAATTTTAACTAGATAATTTTTATGTTAAATAGAAATAATTTTAAATGACTTATTTTAATAGATAATTTAAACAATCTCTTTATTATGCTTAACTTTTTGTATTTATCATTCATAACTACTGTCATACTTAATTCTCACTTTAAGCATCCCTCATTATGCTTTCATATTTTCTAGAATTTTAAATTTCCCCATCCAAACACAACCTAAATGATTATCAAACTCTTCCTAAACCAGTGCAGGATCAAGACTGACCTGGGGTAGATACTCTGTGACAATCATCATTGGGGAGCTTTGTGTCACAGCACCTAAAAACTGGACTACATTTGGATGCCTTATTTTCTGAAGTAATGTAAGCTCGTCATGAAATGCCTTCCTGAGAGACAATCAACAAAAAGACAAAAAGAAATCCACTATGAAGATAAAAATTGCAAACTGAATAATCCAATTGACATGAATAAAACAACAGATTGCATCATTAGACCAACCCACACTTTATCAGCATCAGTGAAAACTTCCTCCCCAAATGTTTTGACTGCAACTTGAGTTCCACGCCATAATGCAATCCGGAAAGTTCCCTAAAATATTCAAATATAAAATATGCAGTCGGAAATGAACAAGGGTGACAGTGACTTAAGAGGAGTAAGCAAATGTGGAAAGTAAGAAAATAAGGCTGTATTCACCGTTAGTTTGAATTAGAATATGTAATCAATTTAACTTACTCTTAAACCAACAGTAAATACACCCTTACTTTTCCACATTTTCTAACTACAGAGGATCTCCCAAATCCTCGGAGAATACTGCCGTCAAGACAAGAGGAGAAGTCAAGGAACAAAAGTTGCACAACATTACAGACTATGCAGAGAAAGGAAAACTCGGAAGTTTACCTTTGTTATGCAAACGCTATTAGTAAAATCAAGTTCAGAAGGATCAATCTCGTATTCTGGAACTTCACGAGCACTCTGGACATGCATAGGAGCCATCTACAGCAAAACAACAGATAGAGAATAAATGCTTGCAAATTGCAACGCAGTGTCGTAAACCAATCATCCTAAAAGCTTATGCTGGCAAGTGAAATCACAAAAACAATTTAACATCTAAGAACCAAAAGAAGACACAAACCGGGGGTTTTGCACCGTGTTTCTCCAAAAGCTTCACAACGTCATGATTTTTGTAGTACATTGCATCAGCAAGAGGCTGTCAAACAATCAGAAATTAGCATCAGTATCAGTATTAGTATTAGTCTATTAGATCAGAGTGAAGAGAGAAAACAGAGAGTTGAAATTACAGTGCTGCCCCAGCGGTCTTGAGGATAGACGCCGGCACCTCGTCGGAGCAACAAATCGACTACGTCAGTGCGTCCCTGACAGGCGGCGACGTGAAGAGCGGTGCGGCCATCAATGTCTCTGAAATTGACGTCACTGCCAGCGTCCAACAACTCGTTAATCCCATCCAAATCTCCTTCGTTGGCCAAATACATCAACCGAACGGCGGGGTCGAGCGCCTCAGACGGCTCGGCGGCGGCGGCGTTGTCGCGTTCAGGCGCCAGAGAGGATTGACGGCCGAGTGAGAAGCGAGGGTGAAGTTTGTTGGTATCCATATGCGAGGGTTTTGAAGAGATAAGGAAAATGGAAAACGGAAAATGGTGGAAGAATGTTGGCGTTATATTCAACGCGGGATAAGAATAAAAATGAAAGAAGGAAAAGCGTCAAAAAGGAAAGGGAATGAAATACTTTTTTGATTTTATTTGCAGAGAGGATCGGATTCTTTGTATTTGTCTGTCAGAGAGTGACTGCTTCAGAGCTTTACGTCATGCCTTTCTACACACTCAACTCGCCAATCGCTGTTGCACCCTCTTCTTTCTTCATACACTGTTATTGCAACTTAATTAACCTCCATACATTGTTCGTTATTATATTTAATATGTTCGGCCTTCGAGTCATCCAATTTTTTTTACACCATACGCATAATAATATTTTTCATTATTGATTTTAAATGATATTTTGTCTGGAGATTTTTTAATGCGTTCCATAACATGTCATAAGAATCTGATAAATAATAAATTTTATTAAAATTATGATATTAAATATTATTAATGCACTAAATTTTATAATATAATATTATTTTCAATAAAAAAACCATACACACGTGTGTAAGTTTTTTTTATGTCATTAGATATGTATTTTAACCTTTTTTTTTCAGATATCACGAGGCGTCTCTCAGTATATGAAATTTAAGATTAATTTTAGTCCACAATTCATGATTGTTACTAACTCAAAAAATAAAAAATAAAATTGCAAGATTCAAACACATTGTTTTTTTATTAACTAAATAACCTCATAATATCAGCATAATAAAGTCTTACACTATTGTATTAAACCGTTGGATTAAAATCACTCTTAATATTTTAACAAATAGATTTTAAAAAATTAAATATAAATTAAATATCTTTTTTAAAATTATTCTTGAAATAAAATTCTTCCAGTTAATTTTCTGAATATAATATTTCTAAAAAATATTATATTATAAGCATGCAAAAAATGTTAGGAGCTATTTAAAATAGCTTATGAATAACTTATTAAAAAAGTTACAACTTTCATAAGTTATTTTTAAATTTATTTAAATAAATATTTTAATGTAAGTTATTAAAATAATTTATTTTTTACTTATTCTAATAAATTTTATCATTAAATTTAAAATATAAATAATAATTTAAAAATAATTATTGAAAAATATTTAAATAAATAATTAGTGTTTTCAGATTAAGTTCTTATTAGTCTTATTCTGCTTATTCGTGTATTTAATTTTTACAATATGCTTTTTTTGTGTTTTATTTTTTTATTTCTTTCTCTTTATTTATTTATTATTATTTTATTTTTTTTTGTAAGACTTATGTGGTCCCTTAGAAATATTAAATGAACCCACTCTTCAGCCTGGTCCAAATCCATTACAGACGATTGGAGCCCAACGGATCCGATCCAACAAGACGATACTGGTTGAACCGGGTTACCCGATTCCCACAATCGGGTCAAAATAGGAGCTCCGACAGGTTCACAGTCACGGGTCTTTCTCCTCGCTGAACGAATGAGCAGAGGATTCTGAGCACTTTCCCGCGGAACCATTGCCATGGCTTCCAATCATCTTCGAAACCTAAATCGTATCACTGTTCACCGCATTCTTCGCCCTCTCTTCAACGCTAGATGCTTCTCCGATGCTTCATTGCCTGAACCACAGCCTAAACAGCCTTCGCCTCCCTCGTCCAAAAAGGACCATGAGCTCGCCAAGTTCGCTGCCATTGCTGATACCTGGTGACTCTTCGATTTCATGTCTGTCCACTCTGATTGCCAGTTTTACTCTCTTTTTTTATAATAATCGCATTGGAACGTTAAGGATTGAAAGCTTGAGAACTTTGGTGTTATTAGAAACAACAAAAAATTGCGGAAAATTTTCAAGGGTTTATTCTATTCATTTTCTATTGAATTTGCTACCGTGTGCATAAGCTTGCAACGCGTGTCTTATTTTGAGTTTATGAATAACATCTACTTGATTTTTGCTCGATGTTAATAGGTGGGATTCTGAAGGCCCGTTTAAACCATTGCATGTGATGAATCCCACAAGACTTGCCTTCATTAGGTCTGCGCTGTGTCGACATTTTAAGTAAGCCACCTCTTTTATTTAGCTCTTTTTACCTCCATTTTGTTTCTGTGGGGTGTTTATCTTGCAGTTACTTTGCTAGAATGTGCTGTGATTTGTACTGCATTTTTTTTTTCGCATGGTATTTAGTGGTTTAAGACTATAATCTGGCTGTACTGGGTCAGATTCCAAGCCAATACTGTAATCTATTGCTTTTATGCATTAATCTTATAGCATTGTCATTTAAGTAGCAGCTGTAACTTGTTAAAGCAATATTGGGTAGAAAATTGATTTAATGCCTCCAAAAATAGATTGGTAAGAGTAAACCCCTTGAATCAAATGACAATGAGTCTAGTGAACTATTTGTTAGTGAAAAAAAAGTTAACTGAATTATTTTTTGACACGAACCAAATGAAGGTTGATAATAGGATTACTTTTTTATTTTGTCTCTTTGAGGGTACTATTTGGATAATAATTAGATTTCCCTTGTCTCAGGAAGGACCCTTATAGTGCTAAACCCCTTGAAGGACTTAAAATTGTTGATGTAGGTTGTGGAGGTGGAATTCTTTCTGAGGTATATCTTCTCTCTTTTTTCTTCTTATGTTTGAAAAAATATATTCCTTTTTATCTTCTGGCCTATGATAAACATTTTATTTTATTTTATTTTATTTGGGGAGGGGGGGGGGGGGATTGGAGAGGACTGCATTTGTTGACTAGAAGTTGGGAAATCTATATTTTGTGACTGTATTACTATATTGTGATCCTCGTGGGAATCTGTAGCATTATGATATGTTTGTAGGCAATCATATTTGTTAGCTGGAATTGTCAAAATCTAAATTCTTTGTTTGATGCATGTTCCCCTCCCTCTTACTTGTAGAGTATTAAGATTGTTATTTGTTTTTAATTGCAGATTGCAAATTTGTGCTCTTTTTATTGTCATTTAATAAGTATGCTTCTCTCTTGTTCTTCAGCCATTAGCTCGACTGGGAGCTACTGTGACGGGTGTTGATGCTGTCGAGAAAAATATCAAGATTGCTCAACTTCATGCTGTATGCTGATTCTTTAATTTGACTATTTATATGTTGCAATAGTTGTTTCCAATTTAAATTTATCAGTATTGTTCTCCCAACTGATTAGATTACTGTTTATTGGTGGAAGCAGATGCTAACTTAGTAAATTACATCTTCGCTAATAGATGGACAACTTATTCTTTCCTGTCAACAGGGTTTGGATCCAGCAACTTCAACTATTGAGTTTTGTTGCACAACAGCTGGTACATATGAAAATCTTGAAGCATTCTTGTATACTTCTGTTTTACATACATGACATGCATGCTTTAAGTTTGTTTCCATTTGGAAATTATTGCTGAAGTGCCCTACTTTTTCCTACTAAATTCTCTTACATTTTGGTGGTATACTATCTTGATAAGAAGTCCAAGTCTGGCTGGCATAATGTCCTTTTATCTAATTCGGAGTAGCATTTCCAAGTATTGTAGACCTTTACTATAGTTTAGAACTTAAAATTTCAAAAGTTGAGGTTATGATGCATTAGCGTGAAAAAGTTCAATGTTTTCACTTCCCATTGTCTTTTGCGATTGGGGTTCTTAACTTGTTATTCTTGTAGCTTGCAGTAACCCTTTGTGTTAGTTATTTAGAATCTGTCTTTGGCTGTAGAAAAGTTAAAAATAGAATGTCAACTTTTGGAAACTTTACCCCTTTTTTGCTTTGATCTTATTTCTTCCCAATATATTTATTTAAAATTAAAAAATTACCCTCCCCTCCCTTCCCCTCTAGAATCCTCCTTCCCAAACAACCCTTAATGTTTTGTATTAAACAAGGTGTCATACTTTTGCATGTTGTACCCTCAAGTGGGAGAATAAGTCAATTAAAAGAGTTGTTACATACAGTTATTACTTTATTTTCTCTGTAGTTGGAAGAATTATGGTTTTCACTGGTGTTGTCAACTCAATTTCTTTGCTTGCCAATTAGTTAAAGTGCTTCTAAAAAAATAAATGCTCTTGTACATCTAAGATGGCTTTGGTAATTTTTGTAAGAATGGCTTGTGAACACCTTGTTTGTTTAGGGTTGTCGTTTTGTTTTTGGACATTATGCACTGTATTTTACAACTAACAATTTTAAAATTGATTGATCAGAGAAGCTAGTTGAAGAAGGAAGAAAATTTGATGCAGTTATGGCCTTGGAGGTACTTTATCTTTCACCCCTGTGGTCGTGTGATTGCAAATTGGAGTGTATAAATATGGGTTCATATATAAATATATGGCACGTCTATTATATGTAGCGTAAAATCTTTGATGGTAATAGTAAAGAAAATGCATCATGGGCTCTGAAGTGATTATGTTGTGTTGGTCCTGCTTAAATGCATCAAGTGCATATGCTCCCAGATATAAATTGCAGGTTCACCAGCGCGTCATTTATATTTGATAATCATTGTCAATCATATGTTAGTAACTAATGAGATTCGGAGCGCACGTTCTGCTTAATGCTGGATAACAACTGCGTAAAGCTGCTGGATGAACGTAGATCTAGGTTTATAGAATAACTCAAATAGAGGTTTTCTTTTTCTTTGTAAAAATTTAATTTAGAACTTATTTGTAGTGATTGATCAAAGACCTTTTCCTGGTATATCTAATATTTGTCAAAATGAATTTGTTTCTATTTCTGTTTGGGAATTGCATCCACATTGTTCATATACTTGAAATTTTAACCAGGTGATTGAGCATGTGGCAGACCCTGCAGAGTTCTGCAAATCTCTTGCAGCACTAACGGTTCCAGATGGAGCTACTGTCATATCAACAATCAATCGTTCTATGAGAGCCTATGCAACTGCGATTGTTGCTGCAGAATACATTCTGCGCTGGGTATTGTTTTCAAGTTCATTGGAGAAACTTTTATCCTACATCAAATTAACCGGTTCACATTGTAGTTAACTCCTTACGCGTGATCAAATTAGCACGCACGTTATCTCTAAAGACTTATATTACGGTTGCAATTGACATAATCAGTCAGTAACGTGTTGATAAAATATTGATAGAAAGCGTACAGGGAAGGTATTACAATTGATTTGTACTCTACAATTTGCATTTCAACACTGAAGCATTCTATTTAAAATTTTGCAGCTTCCGAGAGGTACACATCAGTGGTCCACTTTTCTTACCCCAGAGGAACTAGTTCTCATCCTACAACGTGCCGGAATCAATGTAAGCCTCCTCGATTTGATTTGTTACACATTCATCACTTGCGGTTATCTTAATGACATTTTCGGTTGCATCGCACAGGTGGAGGAGATGGCAGGATTTGTGTATAACCCGGTGACAGGACGATGGTCTTTATCAGACGATATCAGCGTCAATTTCATCGCCTTCGGTACCAAATCGAAAAACACCGAATAGGATAGATATTTAAAATACTTGCTATTTTTATGATTGTAAAATTTGTTTTGAATGCTGAATAATAAACATTGAAATTGAGATCGAAATAGAAAGGTTGAATACGGAATCAGGTGTCGGAGGAGGAGAGTAGTTTCCTGAGGGTAATAGAGGTGCGTCTGGTTTGAGTCAATGGTTGTCCCTGCCATAACTGAAACCCCGGTTTTCGATTAATCTCGTGCTTCCAACGATATCTAGCTTCCCCTGACATGAGAACCAAGGAGCCTGGGGTGAGCAAAACGGGAACCGAAACGGAACGGTGTTGGCTTTCGGAATGGGGAGTGAAATGCATGACGCAGGAAGATTCCAAGGAGACGATGGCGATGCCGTCGTCGAAGCGCAAGAGGTCAACGTGGGCGCATATGCCTTCGCCGGGCTGGTACACGTTGGCGATCATTTGATCAAAGAGCGGTTCTCTCTGCAGTAGGTGTAGGGGAAAGGGTTGGGCTTGGGTAGCGAGAACGGAACGGTGAATGGAATGGGCCAAACGGATGGCCCAAGGGGGAAGATGTTGAAGGCCGAAGCGCATGGCCTGGTTGATGGAGGGTTGGGAGAACCAGTTTTCTGCTTGGATGGCTGAGAGCAAGCGTGTTTGTTGGCGAGGAGAGAGGAAGCGCGTGCACAGCCATAGCCCCTTCACTTCCTCGATTGACTCCCACTTACACTCTTCCCAATCGGATCCCTCTTCGCTGTCGGAGGATGATGCTCCGAACACTTGTTCCAACACTGCCTTCTCTTCCTCATCAACCATCTTCCACTTCACTCTTTCTCCTCAAACTCCCCTTCTCTCTCTTCCGATTCGCTCCCTGTTTTTGGGCCTATGCCCTCGCAACAAGATCTCATAATTTATCCTTGGATGGGTTGACCCAACCCAATTGCTCTATTTCTTGGGCTTCTGGTTAAAAGGCTCAGATCTTGATCCAATTTAATCTTTTTTCTGGACAAAAAATGTTATAATTTATGGAAAATATAATGTTATGTGAAATGTAATGGATTAAATATTATCACTTAATTCGTTTCCTTCACGGTATTTGGAAAGAGAAATTTGTATTTATTCTTGTTATAAGAAGAGTGCAGCATTCTAAGAGACCAAAATATGACATTTAACGACATATAACTAGACATGCTATGAAATTCATTATGTACTAGTGTTATTAAACTTTCATGTACCCAAAGACAAAGGAAGATTCAAGTTGCGTGGGGTTGTGAAATTGACGACTGCCACATTCATACTACAATGAAGGATAACCATGCTCGTTGTTCATTGGGCTAAAACTGCAGTTCTCTTGTCTATGAAAGAATCGAAGGATAAATGTCATGTCTTTATCCCATGCGTCATCCCTAGGATTAGGAACGGGATCGCACGGAGAAAAAAAAACAGGTTATGCACCTTCAAAGTCTTCAGACTATTAAAAGAGCGTGTGTGTTTGCATCATTAATTTAATTTAAAATATTTGTGATGTTAACCATTTTAAGTATGTGTCAAGTTTAAATTATTTAAAATAAATAATTATATAAATATTCATCTTTTTGGTCATTAATATAAATATTCTTTTATTCATTGTAAAATAGTTTAGCTGCCCAAAAAATGGGTCCTCTTGTTCTTTTCCAACATCTATATCTATCACCTATTTTATCTGAAAAAAGAAACTGTATTTTCGTCCTAGAACACCATCTACAAGCTTTAGGTTTTGATCATCGTTTATCTCTTGACAATCGCCTGTGGATTCTAGTGGTAGGTTCATCGCGGTCGTTCATTTTATGTTGGTTGAGATGTTGAAATGTTGGCAATTCGTATCCCTCGTTCCCTAACTCAAGAAAACATTATTCGGCCCTGTCTTCACTCTTCGCACGGAACTGTTAACTTCTGCCAATTTCTGCTTGCCGCGTCCCTTGATCCTTCAACAATTACCGTAGCATATCTAACTTCGTACTATATATTTAATATATGACAATATAGCATAACATGGGTCAGCAAAATTATTTTTTTCTTAATGCAAAACAAGATTTTATAACCTCCAAATAATTGTTCTCCAACAATTGAAATATTTTAAAAGAAAATTTGATAGAAAATATTTATTCATATATTATAAATATTCTTAAGAAGAAATAAAATTTTATACACGCTCTTCCTTCACGTAATTACATGTTTCTAAAGCAAAGGAAAAAGTAAAATAATATTATAATTTCTAAGCGAAAGATACGGGTGAATAATATATAAGTTCAAGTTATTGATTTATCTATATTCACTATCATTTTATTTTAAGTAGATTTACTCACAAACAAAGAGGCAGAGGTACACGCATCAAAATGTTTGTCTTTATTCATCCGTTTATTTAAACTTGAATGAATGAAATTTGCGAGTGAATAATATATTTTTTCTTATCAATTCATCCAAATCCAAATCGAGGATCCATCTCTCTGAATTCCAAATTTTTGTTGAAAAAAAGAAAATGTCAACCGAATCAGAATCAGCGACGGTGCTTGCTCGTGGCCGTTTGGCTATGCTCACCGCTCACTTAATTCCCTCTGGCAACACGGAACACGTTGATCACGTGCTGCACCCTCACCGTCTCTCTGCTCAGTTGCCGCCGGCGAACCTCAACGGCACCTTGACCGTCGTCGATGAGAGGACCGGCAAGAAGTACCAAATTCAGGTCTCCAAAGAAGGCACTGTCAAAGCTACCGATCTCAAAAAGGTATTTCCTCTTCATTCGTCAATGAAATTTTCAGTTTTGATATTCGTTTTCCATTGAATTTCGAGTTTTGCTTAATGGGTCTCCGCCAATTCTTCTCCTTTAAGCTTTGTTGAATCGTTTAAAATTTCTCAAAGCTAATTAGTCATAGTTACCTGCTGAAATCATTGGTGGGATGGTTTGTAATTATGTTATGATTGTGCGCTTATTTATTAATTTTTGGTAATATTTTGATCGTGGGGTTCTCTGATTTTTTATTTGCAGATATCGACTGGGAAGAGTGACAAGGGACTCAAGCTTTATGATCCTGGCTATTTAAACACGGCTCCTGTTCGATCAACAATTAGTTATATTGATGGTGATGAGGGGATTCTTAGATATAGAGGCTACCCAATTGAGGAGTTGGCAGAGAAAAGCACTTTTATGGAAGTGTCCTATCTTATATGTGAGTACTGTCTTTTACTGCAATTGTATGTCATTATGCCAGTGAAGACACATGCATCTCGGGCTTAGTTCTGCATGCATAGCATGCTTTTTTCCGAATTTTATTTACTCCGTCTTTCTCTGTTTTCAAGTGTATGGAAGTTTGCCTTCTGAAAGTCAGTTAACAGAATGGAAGTTTGCTGTATCTCAGCATTCGGCTGTTCCACAAGGAGTTTTGGTGAGCTTTTATGCTATATCTAAAATAACTTTTACTATGATTTTACTGTCCCAAAATCTCATCTATTGGGTGATAACTATTTGGTTTCAGTCAGTGACAGTTTAGATTTGTAAACTACTACCGCCAATTGCATTACTGCTTGAAATATAGTATGCTTGCAGTATTTTATATTGTTAAAGAAATCTAGTAGCTCTTTAATACTAGTGTTTATATCAGAGAAATTTGGTGGAATACTTTTTTAATATAGTTTTCTGTAAACATTTTTATTTCTGAAGTATATGCTATTTTTTCTTTTTCGTTTGGAGAGAGATTTTGTTGTTTGTTTCTTTAAATGAAGTGTGAGATTATTTATCTAACTTTAGTGGTATCATCTGACATTTGTTTTGTAGGATATCATACAATCAATGCCACATGATGCACACCCAATGGGTGTGCTGGTCAATGCCTTAAGTGCTCTTTCTGTTTTTCATCCTGATGCAAATCCTGCTCTTAGAGTAAGTAACAACAACTGCTGTCTAGTTACCTTTCAAACTGTTTCTTCATCAATGCAAGCTTATGGTAATAAAATAACAACCCACCTTGTATATCTTTATCTTGTGGGACAGTATATTAACTTCATCTTTTGAATTTCTGTAGTTTGTAAAAAGTTGTGTTACTTCTCTAATTTGAAATCTATCAGGATAATTTACAGCAAGGAGTTTTGATTCAAACATTATGTGGTTTCCTGTAGATTTTAGATTTCTATCAAAGTGAATTTCTACGCTTTTTAATTTCATATTGGGAAAACCTTGTAACATTAATCTAGAAATTAATTTTAATTCTGCATGTAACTTGAAGGCCCTGAATTAGTAGGAATTGTCAGAGGTAATTGCACTGCATTGAGTGTATCATGAAAGAGAACTTAAAATTATCTTCTTTTTTTTTTCCATAGTTTGAAGCACTGTTTACCCCAGCTTTGAAATTATTAATTAACAAAAATGATAAGAAATGATCTGTTGTTAAGTCAGTCACTACAGTACTTTCGATTGGGTAATGCTTACTGTTAGTGATGTAATAGAGCCAATCTCGGGTGTACTCCTAATAGCTGTAAACCTTTGAAAGAGTTGGTCTTTGACATGGTGTTGGGGCTTCCTGACCAAGCGCACACACAAGTGTTAGGGCTTCCTTGTGGATATTACTTTTTCCTGTGGATTAATATAATGTACATGTGAGTGGTACTCTTTCTCTTATTAGGCTTTGACATGTTATATTGTTAATACTGTGTTATATTAATATAATGCAGGGTCTTGGTATTTACGACTCAAAGGAAGTGAGAGACAAACAAATAACACGGGTTATTGGAAAGGTGTGCTTATTTGGTTCTCTTCTATCACGATCCTGTCTTCAATACATGCAAGTTATTTAAGTGCTTCTTGCACTGGTTTTACAGCTTTTATCTTGTGGTATTTTGTGCAGTATCCACACAACTCTATGCTTATTTGCAATATTCCCTGCTTCTTTTTCATCTTTTTCTTTGCTGCAGATAACAACAATTGCAGCTGCAGTTTATCTTAGAATGGCAGGAAGGCCACCTGTGCTTCCATCCAACCACCTTTCTTACACAGAGAACTTCCTATATATGTTGGATTCTTTGTATGTCTATGTACTTCTAAGTCTGATTGATCATTTGGCAAGCCAAAATTGGCTTTAGTTATTTATTCCTCATAGCTGTATGACGTTTTAATTTTTATGCTCATACATAAGAATTCATTTTTTTCCAAAAGAACTATAATTCAATCTTAGTTGATATAATGGTAACCACATACTAGCTGTTTTTTTAGAGTTCAAATACAAATAAAATCTCCATTTTGCATACTTTCAGAGGCAATCGGTTGTATAAACCCAATCCTCACCTAACCCGTGCGCTAGACATAATCTTCATCCTTCATGCAGAACATGAAATGAATTGCTCTACATCTGCTGTTCGACATCTTGCATCAAGGTAGACACCCTACTGGAATACTGGTTAAGCAATGTAAAACAGTCAGTCTGATATTGCTCAACTATTATCTTATTTCAGTGGTGTTGACGTATACACTGCAATTGCTGGGGCTGTCGGAGCTCTATATGGACCTCTTCACGGTGGTGCAAATGAGGTAATTATAAGTAGTTAATGAAGCTGTCATTATGTATTACTTAATGAAGTGAGTAAACTAAAGCGCAATACAGTTATTTAATATGGGAACATGCTAAACTGACCTTCAAGTCTGCAGGCTGTCCTCAAAATGCTGAGTGAAATTGGAACTGTTGAGAACATTCCAGATTTCATTGAAGGTGTCAAAGCCAGGTGGCTAATATTTCATTTTGTTACTAGCTATTTCTTATATTTTGTTTTCCTAGTCTGTTTTTCTTAATGCTTATACCCTGAAAGGAAGCATGATACCTCGATATTATTGCCTGCTCTTTTGGGGGTCTAGTCAGCAAGCCTGGAAAATGATAGTTTTAGCTGATGTTCCTATCCTGTGTTTTTCCTCCAGGAAAAGAAAACTCTCTGGTTTTGGACACCGAGTTTACAAAAACTACGATCCCAGAGCAAAGGTCTTGAGAAAACTAGCAGAGGAAGTGTTTTCCATTGTTGGCCGGGATCCTCTTATTGAGGTATTTATTCATTATGTAGTCCCTGTCTGTGTGCTTATTTATTCATTAAGCTTGGTATGCTGGTCATGAAGGCCTATGATTAGGGTTGTGAATACAATGACAAACTATTTTGGAAAATTTCTTCCTATATTTTTTTAAAATTTATTTTTGTATTTTAAATGTTTGATTACAGGAAAGTATATGTAATTTAATTCAGATTTTGATTGGTGTATTTAGGTTAAACTTTAAAAATTATAAATTCTTTATGTGATTATTTTATTGTTCAGGTTGCAGTTGCCTTGGAGAAGGTTGCACTGTCTGATGAATATTTCATCAAGAGGAAGCTATATCCAAATGTTGACTTCTACTCTGGATTAATTTATAGGTAATATAATAACACCCATTTGTTCTAACTAGGGAGGGTAGAATTTGTTGCTCGCCATAGTTTATCATACAAGGCTTGAGCTAATAGTTTTATGCAATCAGAGCCATGGGGTTTCCACCTGAGTATTTCACAGTTTTATTTGCTATCCCTCGAATGGCCGGGTACTTGGCACATTGGAGAGAGTCCTTGGATGATCCCGATACGAAGATTATGAGACCACAACAGGTTACTTCCTTTCTATATGTCATTTATCTGATCTTGATTTTCTTGCATATTAAAAAAATATCATCATTGTAGTGGGCTATATTGTGTTAATGGCTGTCCATGTTGTGTTCCATTTGGTTAACTTCAAAATGAATTTCTAGTTGTATCATGACCGCATTTACATATTTCTTATAGCATTGGTTCTACTTGCATTATGCATCCGAACGATAAGGAAAACCTCTCTAGTAGATGCATCTATAAATATTTCTAGTTTTTTATGCCTTTCTCCTTGCATTTCTCTTCCCTGATTTTGTCAAATCTTTTGTATGTATCAGGTTTATGTTGGAGAATGGCTGCGGCATTACACACCAATCAATGAAAGGACTGTCTCAAGCGATGCTGACAAGCTCGGTCAGCTGGCCATATCAAATGCCTCAAAGCGCCGGCTTGCTGGAACTGGGATATAGCTCAATTTGGATTTAAAAGGTAATATATAATTGTCAGGAATGTACACGGAGGAAATAATCCTTTTTTCCTGACATTTTAATATCTTATTAAACAAGCTTAACTTTATGATAATCAGGATTATGCAATGGGAGGGAGCATGTCTCTGAATAAATAATGCAACTGGGGTCCTATCCATCACCTGCTGAAAGAACGAGATGCTGGTGGAATTTGTTGTTCCATTCAAGTCACGTGCCAGTACTTATACTTTTGAATTTTTTGTTAAAATTATTAAGGGATAAACAACGGACAAGCATAGTTTCGATAACTCATTGGTAGTAATATGTATGATCGTATTAGCCAATGAATTTCGGTTGCTCGTTTGTGTTAAAAGCAGTAGGCTGAGTTTTGGGTATACCAGTACGAATTCTGTCATCCCCCAAATCAATAAAAAAAGGATGCATGAGATAAATGAAATCCGTTGACATATTTCTTTTATTAAGCCTTTTTCTTCCAACGAAGCCGAATGTGCAAGTGTAACACGAATAATATATTTTTAAACCTTTTATTCTGAACATTTTAACAAAATGTCAATGTAGATTATAGATAGTTCAAAATCATGGCACACCAAATTAAAAATCTTTTTATAGTTATTACCTTTAATTTCTTTTTTGTTTTAAATACATCAGGAGTTTTGGATTAAGTACATGATGTTAGGAAACTATCTTCACGTGTCTGATGTATCTGGATTATTGGTTACAAGATGGTAGCTCTTTTCTTTTTCAACATGTGAACTAGAGGAATTCGTATATATACTAGGTATTGACATACTGTGTGTTCCGCTTGGATTCTGCCAGAAGTGATTTCTTATACTCTTATATTTGGAACTGGAACTAACAGCTGAATATCCCGGATCAGAAAGTAGATCCTGAATGTCAGTCCAACCTTCAAGCATGCTCACAACTTGGGACATTGTTGGTCTAAGTGTCGGAGATGCGTTGGTACATAAGAGAGCCACGTTTAGGACTATCATGGCCTCCTCAGTTGAATATTCTGAACCCAAATCTGGATCAACCAGCTCCAGAAGACTTCCTCTCTCTTGCAAAACATAGGCCTGAAAGAAAATCAAATCAAATTTCAGACCAGAGTTTACTCTTAAATTCTTGATCAAAAGATGACTGGTATCATAAATTTCAATTTGTGGACTTTAAATACAAACCAGCATAAAAATCTGGAGTGGAAAGCATCAATTTGCCTATCTAACAGACCCTATAGAATATTTGGTCTTAATTCTGATAAAGGATTACATATATATGAACTAGTAATATCCATAATCTATACGTCTTGGTTAACTTGGGATTTGTTTGTATGAGTCATTATAACAGGCATTAATTGTAGTAGTAATGGATGTATCAATTTAATGAGTCTATATACTCTATTTTACGATAAGGAGTAAGTTAAATTATAATTACCCAATCAAGAAGGTAAACAAAATCTTCGTTAGGCCTGTAATTTGTATTGCTCTTTCCGCTGACAGTTTCTAATGCAACCACCCCGAAGCTGTAGACATCTGCTTTGTCAGTTAGATACCCACGCATTGCATACTCAGGGGCCATATAACCACTACAGAATGACATCAAACAAATAGATGGAAATTACCGTTATTGAAATAAAATGGAAGCAGGATAACATGCACGGAAAATAGAAACATTCAAATGTATATGACAGATATTAACTATTTTATGGCTTCCACCTACTGCTTAAATGAGAAGTTCCTTGCTACGTGTGTTCGAATTTAATTATGATTTCAGCATAAGATTGAGGTAGACACGTGTCTTCTTCGTACTTCAGGTCCAAAAGAATTTGCATGAAGGGTTTTGTATACAGGCTGGTCCATGACAATATACACTTTATTCTTTTTCAGTGAATTATGGACTTTTTTCTTTCATTTTTCATGACAAACAAGATTGAAGCTTCCTCCAAACTATTATGAAGATTTCAATGCCATGTTGTGAGAGAAAAAGAATAGAAATAATAGCAAACTGCCAACTTACATTGTTCCTGCAATTCGAGTGCTAATATGGGTTTTGTCCTCTTCAATAAGTTTTGCCAAGCCAAAATCTGAGACTTTAGCATTAAAGTCCTTATCGAGCAACACATTACTTGCCTTTATATCCCTATGTATGATCTTTATTCTGGACTCTTCATGTAGATAAGCCAAGGCTTGAGCTATACCAAGGCAAATTTTCTTCCTGGTTTGCCAGTCTAGTTTCATTCTGCAGTTTGGATCCTTCCCTGTATGTGATTGGGATAAGGACAATCAACTAGTTGGTCATATCAAATGGCAAAAGTATGGCTAAGGTTATTCATCATGAAGCTTACCAAAAAGAATGCGGGATAGACAATTATTTTCCATATACTCATATATCAGTATTAGTTGGTTCCCCTCCACACAACATCCATAAAGCTTAACAAGATTAGGATGTTGAAGTCCGGATATCATTCCTATCTCATTCACAAACTCACGATTTCCTTGTTTAGATTTTGAAGAGAGTTGCTTTACTGCAATTACTGTACCATCTGATAGTAGGCCCTGCATCATGAAAAAGGTATATTTTTGTCTTGCATTACAATTACATAGACACACATATCAAACTACGGATAGGTCTAACAAATCTTTACTCTTTCATTGACCCACCAATGTTATATGCTCGTTAACGAGTACAAAATACATTAGAAAAAAAAAAAAAAAACTGATAAAATTGTAGGCATTAAATTTGAATCTAATGGTGATATAGAGACCATGAAGTATATCCTGTATTTCAAATCAAATAATGTATAAATTAACCATATGGGGGAATAGGTAACCAGCAATATAAACATAAGGAAGATCAAAATACCTTGTAAACAGAACCAAAACCACCTTCACCAATTTTATTTGCTGCATCAAAGTTTTTGGTTGCTGCTTTGATTTGTCTTAACGTAAATAATCCTGTCTGCAGATCTATACCCCTAAGCTCTAGAAAAAAGAGTGAAAATTTGGATTCAACATGAAAGCATAAGAATATATAGTGTTCAAGTATGCTCTCCTATGTTCTCTTAAAGCCTTAACTTCAATGAAAATATCGATAGCAAATCTTATATACAAGTAAAATATTGAACTTCAGTTTTATGACATTTGGATAAATTTTGTAGAAATATTTAATGCAAATTGTTGGACAAGCTTGCACAAATACCGCTTGAATATAAAAATAAGTATGCTATGTTGGAAACAGATGGAAATATCTTTTCTAAATTGAGAAAATAGGAAGAACTTTGTGGCATATTCCATACCTTTATATACTGGGTCTTTGCCTCCTAACCATCCCTTCCTCCTCATGATAACCAGCACCAGAAGAAGAACAACTACAGCACCAGCAACTATGCTAGCTGCCAGTATGACATAAGTTCTGTTGCCATCCTCTGCTGATGGAGGTTTAAAATCTGTGCAAGGGAAAAGTATTAGTTTATAGCTTTTGTAGAAATTAAGAACAAAACAAGAGAGTAGAGGTAGATCGTCATATTATAGTTTCAACTCCAGTCTCCCTCAAATTTAGGCTTATAAAGTGAGATAAAACACTAACACTAAGTTGCAGGATATAACTTACTAGGGTCTACCGAAATAGCAGATATTAGAGGTCCATAGACTCCTCTTGTGGGTATGCCAGTGGTTCCTTTTCCAGCCCAGTAGAAGTGAATCTTCAGAGTATGTTGAGTAACAGTAGCATTAAATGTCTTCACAAGTGGCTTCTCAGTACCACCAGCTTCTCTTTGGATATCAAAGTCTTTCAGCACTAATTTCCCCTTAATTTAAGCACATAATAATATATTCCATCTACATCAATGCACAACTCAGTGCGAATCAAGTTATATAGCATCATAATAAAATCATGCAAGTAATAGTTACCTGGATGTAGACATCAAATACACGCCTCCCAAGACTGTTAAATGACCTATCATTGATGAAAGTAATCTCTGCAAAGTGAAGCTTAACAGTGTATTTTCCATTCATTAGGCAGAGGCCATAGTATGTGAGAGCAAGGGGAGAAACACGAGCTGTTGTGTATAGTTGTGAGTTGAGTACAGAGACATTAAGTCTAGAAGTATTGGCCACAATATAGGGATCAGAGTCAATATCATTGTCCATGAAGTTTCCAGTGCTACTAAGAGCCCAATCCTGGGCAGTGTATAACATTGAAGCTCCTTTTCGTTCTTTGTCAGCTTCATAAATATGACCACTAATATTTGCTTCCTTACCACCGCAATTGATGTGGAGGGAGTACTGATCTATTGAAAAACCAATGCCAAACGGGATTGATTTAGAAAGAATACTTGATGCAGAATCTTTCAAATAGTAATGGAATAATGATAAAGATAGAAAGCATCAAATAAAGGTAAAATTCACAAAGAAATAACACAGCACAATTTGTGTTTAAATTTTTAAGCATAGTTTGGTTACACGAATTTATTCAATAAGATGTCATTAGAATTATGCAATGGTTCTAATAAACAAGAATACTGAATTACCTTCCAGTTTTAAGTTTCTTAGAATAAGTCAACTTGTTAGGATGAAATTGATCTTAATATCTAGGGAAAAACAGATACATTCTTGTTTCTTTCCTAACGGAGATTTATCCTTCTGGAAACAGGATTTTGAATCACCATTTAAAAGCAGCCTGTCAGATAAAAGCAACTTAAAACTTAATTTAAAGAACTGTCACACACTTACATTGGCTAACTGAAGCAGGGCATGGAAAGGTCCTTTTTAGGCATGAATGAATCTTACTTCTGCAACAAAGAGTGAAATTTAATGTTATATGATAGGGCAAGTTCCAACGACCTTATTTTACAGAAATTCCTCAGAAAGCAAAAGGAAAAAAAAAGGACTGCATATTCAAAGCACAACAACTTACTGTGTATCCGCAGATGAAGAGTAGCTCTCAACAAGGTTTCTGGAAAAATAACAAAAAATGGTTGCAGTGATAACCGATAACTACCATTCATTCTAGAAAACTATAACAAAAGTCTTTAATAAAACTTACATGTTCCCTCGTTGACATTCAGTTGGACTTGAGCTATCCCAGGAGAAGTTATTGTCAGAGACATCACTGTGCACCAAAATATAAAATAAAAGCTGTTTATCACTTTATCTCATGTTACTGCAAGAGTCATTATTTAATTTCAGTTTAGGGTTTATCATATGTTGACTTTATGCAGACGCCAATAGATTAAGTTCCTAGAATATAAGCCACCCAGCTATACATTAAAGATTGAAAATTGAAACGTAAGCCATTCAAGGACTTTAACGTACATAGCTTTGTTATTTTCAAGGACCCAGCCAGGTATAGTCCCTGATAACTTGTTCCCAGTAAGATACCTGCATTATTTAACAAAAATTTTGTTTCATCAAAATTAAAAATAAGATGTTCCAAGAACACGCTTCATTCAATCCAACCACCTACATGAAGTCCACTTTGTCAAGTTGCGCAAAAGATTCAGGTATTTTTCCACTCAAACCATTGTAACTCAAATCTCTGCAGCAACGAAGATAAATAAGTGAACTTGTTTTATAATTATATAAGGAAAGGGTTAATTTAAATATAAAAAAAAACATTTTATCTTCAAATTTAAGATTCGTAGAAAGATAAGCACATCCGAAGTAAAGATGCCTATATAAACAGTGAATTAATTCTGGGATCGTTTTTACAAGGCACATTATAATTTATGATAAAGATAGTGTCAATATTATAATTAAAGATGGCCAAAACAACATTGAATTAATTCTGGAATCATTTATATTAATGAGATCTTCTCATGTGGAAGATGATCCTCAAAAGTAATTCATCAGTTGTCAAAACAGTTTACAGTAAGTCACTTGTTGAACTACTTACAAAATTTTCAGTTTCTCCATGCTGCCAATATAATCCGGGATCTCTCCTTTAATCATGCATTTTCTCAATACCCTGCATTATGATGCCCAAATGAAATATAGGCCATTTTAAAAAATCCTAAAGACAGAGAAAGAAAAAGCATTCAAGTCATGGAACTTACAGTGTCTTCATGGATTTCATATTGCTTAGTGGTGGGAAAGCAGAGCTTTTACTACCTTCTAGGTCAGTTATCCTCCTAATTTAAAAGAATAGACAAAACAATCATTTGACACAATTTTATTCTATGATCAGACAATAAATAAAATAAGTATTGCAAGCATACAAATCACTTAATCTTGTCAAGGCAGAAATGCTAGAAGGTATGGGCCCCTCAAGAGAGCAACCGTGAATGTGCCTGTAACCCCAGAAGAAGAAAAAAATGGCACGATAAAATCATTATATAAACAAATACAATAAGAAAGAACTAGGTATGGGACTTACAGCTTTTCAATCAATGTCCATTTACTAATGAAATCAGGTATCCTACCCGAGAAATTATTGTCGCTTATCCTCCTAAAATTTGTTTCCTTAAGGTTAGTACACAAAGAAAACTCAAAATTTAAATTAAACAATAGTAAAATAACTTAAGCAATACATTGAGCAAGAAAATGTATAATTTCGTTGCCCATTATAGGAATTGATTCAGAAACCTGCAGTGATTGCATTTACCAGATCATTACCCAATATTAAAAAGGATCCAAATGGTTCATCTTTATGGTTTATTCATCTTTTACTATCAGATGGTAACCATGTGCTAGAAGATGTTTAAATTATTTTATTCGCTAATTTATTTATGGTGGATTGTACATAAATTAAATTGACAAGAAAGCAAAGACTTACAAATCAGTCAAGTTGGTCAACTTGGAAAGTGCGGATGACAATGCTCCTGTGAATGCATTGGATGACAGAATGCTAAACAAACATGATTTGTTCATGTTAAACACTACAGAATAATATGTAAGTTGGGAAAACACAAACAAATGTTGTGATTCCAATAAGCATACAAAGAAGGTAAAGAAAATTACAGTTTTTCTAAATTGATCAACTTCCCAATCTCCATCGGAATGAAGCCTGAAAATTGATTTCCTTCAATACTCCTGTAACATTCATACAAATAGGTAATTAAAACAAAGCAGAAAATATTGTTCTCTATCTTCTTTTTTTCATTTTTCTTTAAAGAAACATTGATTTATAATTATGCTTAGTCATTGTGTCAACATACAATTTATTTGAAAATAAAGAAATGATTTCAACATACAAGTTTCTGAGGGTTGTAATATTGGTGAGAGCTTTGGGGAATGGCCCTGATAATCTGTTTCCCATGAAAGAGCTGCATATTCAATTAACAAAAATATTAAGTGTCACTGTCAAGTTCGTTACTTTAAAAATATGAAATTGATGAGACAATGCAGAGAAGCCAAAGGGTGCAAAGCAGAAAGTTCTTACAGCTCAACCAATTTCATGGTAGCCCATTGTTGAGGTATAGAACCAGTGATGATGTTACGACTAAGGTCCCTGTTTGAAAGTTCATGGGAACATCAAGTAGAGCAAAGAGCCAAATAATCATTGCTTCAAAATTGAGGTTTGATTATCTTACAATATTTTGAGATAACGAAGCTTGGAAAACTCTGGTGAGAGTGTACCAGAGAGATTCTGGGCCTTCAAGGATCTGTTCATTTAGAATATGAATTTAAAAGCAGAAAATTAGAATTTACATGGTAGTTCACATGATTATTCCAAGATATCCAACCAATAAACAAATATATAGTACATGAAAAATGAGACAATATCTTGTGAAACCAATGTTATGCTCTATTGTATAAAAAACTTAGGAAGTTCTCATAAACAAATTTAAATTGAAAAGGCTAATCAAAGCAGATTTCGTAGTTAATTCAATTGCTCTCTTTTGTTGAAATCAAAATGCGGTCTTTTCATCTAAAAACAAATTGCCTATGTACCCGAAAAAAATACAAATTTTAGTTTTTTGGTCTTTAATCAAGGTTCTAAAAAAATATAGTGAGATTAACCCTACTGAGGTGATGATTTAAGTCATTCGTGAATGACAAATCCAATATTTTATAGGTAAAGTTTCTTCTGGATTACGAAATTTTTTTAGCATATGTTCCATTCTTTAAATTATGCCACTTGACGTGTATGATTTTTTTTTCCAATTTAAATATTTAAAAGTAAAAAATTTATAGTTAAAGATGATAACTACCAAAGAGACTAGTAGTATTATAAGAGTATCAAAAAATTGCTCTTGGACCACATTTTAAGTCGAATCAATTACTATCAAGTTAGTGTTTGTTTGTTCAATATATGACAGAGATTGCACAGCAATATATATATATATATATATATATATATATATATATATATAAAAGACAACAGTTTGATGAAAAAAAAAAAAACAAATAGTTTAAAGCAAAACGGTATATGTAGATCCCAACAGAAGAAATTTCAAAATTAATATAAAACGGTGATTAAAAACAGAGTTAGACAAAACGCAAGCGTTTCAAAGTCAGAGATTTGCAATTTTGCATCGGGTAAAGTGTATTGAAAAGAACCTTTTGCACAAAATTTCCAACTCATTCCCATTTCGACCAATGCTGTGCTTTGACGAGCCACACGCGTGTATGATTAAGATTCGCTATAGTAAATTACTTAGGGGAAGAATGTTATCAATGAAATGACGTAACAAAATCATATTCCTTTTATTTTCAAGTACGTATAGTTTTGAGGTGTTTATTTTTATGTAAATAAGTGAGAATTAAAAAATAACATTATATATGATATTACTTTTTTACGTTAAAATAATGAAATTTATTTAAAATTTGTAAAAATCGGTGAAAATACTCTAGGTATTAATAAATAGAATAGAAAAACGTTCATTGGCCTCTCTTTCTTTTTCTTTCATTTGCCCTTTTATTCATTTCATTCTTAAAAGTCTATAATTGCACGTGAAGCTTTGAGGGTGTAACTTCAGGTGTGTAGTAAAAAAATATTTTATCCAAAGTACCCGTGAAAAGATTAATTAATCTAAAGCTGAAGAAAATCCTCTTCATCTTCCTAAATGCATGTGATTCCATGTGAGTATAGCCATCCTATGAGTTCTTGAAAAACATGAAGAATCTATTGGGATTGAACATAAAATTTGATGGAGAGAGAGAGTAGTACATGCTTACAACACGGCAAGAAGTATTGTGATTAAAGGAACAATCACAAATCACAGAACTCTCAAAGCCTTTCCTATTATCTGACACATTCCAATTCCCTTTTCCACTGCATGGTTCCACCCCAAAATCCCAATCTTTCTTCCCTATCTTCCTCCCTATCTCCTTCAATGCCATCACTGCACACAACCAAATCAATTTTACCAATCACAAAAACAAATTAACACTCAAAATGAACCAATAGTAGCAAGTAGCAACAGCACAACAGAAGCACAGAGAAAGCTATGAAGAAACTAAACAACTCCATAGATCCAAAACAAGTGAATAAATAAATAAATTGTAGTTCCAATTTCCAATAAACTTGGGATTGTGAAAGTAGTAAATATGTTGAACTAATCTTATGAATCTGATCCAGTAGTTGAAGTGAACCAAGTGGAGGAAAGGAGATTGCTTTTAGTTACCCTCTTGAGTGCTGAGCTTGGGTGTGGCAGCTGAAGCCAATTGCAAGTGTGAGAGAAAAGGTAATGAAGTGGAAGCAAGGAGAAGTAAAACGAGGACCAACTTGGGTTCCATGATTCATGAAAGTGCTTTGAGTTTTTGGGAGTGTAGAACTGTGGTTGCCAAAGCAGAAGAGGGAAGAGAAATGAAAGATAGGCAGAGAGTGAATTTATGAGAAGTGAGGATAGATAATGTTGCGAGGAACTGTTGGACAAGACAAAATCATATCAAATCAAAGACTACTGTGCTATGCTATGAGCCTTCTTATATTCATTGTAAAGTTAAGTGCAAAGTTGCAACTTGCAAGGACATGAATGGGGCTTGCAAATTTGGAATCCTAGCTCGTGGGAAATGTGAATCAATTAGCCCTAAATTTTTATTTTAGATTCAAACATTAATCGTAGATTTGGGATTGGATCGTGCTGTGCCGTATACATCGCTTGCCTTTCCCCTCGTTAATAATAATAACAATTAAACCAGTAATAAATATTCATATATATTACTTTATTTCTCTCTCACTCGTGCATACATATATAGTAAGTTTTTATTTTAAATTATAAATTTTAAATTCACTAATATTATTAAATGTTACTATTTCAATAAAAATTTATTATATTTAATTTTTTATTATGTGCTATTTTTCAGAGATTAATATATATCATTTAATTATATATAATCTTTTTTTTGGACTGGTTTGAAATGCATAATTGTCAAACAATGTTACAATGGTTGGTTGATAAATTATTGGTTGAACAATGTTCAATATAATTACAAAAAATGAGATTGGTTTTGAAAATATTAATACAATAATATTTGTGATATGATCACTAATGAGATTAACTCTCTTATAAAAAACCATACACGAAACTCAAACTTAAAAATCATAATTCTTAAAAAAAAAGTCAAATAGGTATCACTTAAACTAATTAAAAAGGGAATATTTTAGTTGAAAGAAAAAAAGTAAATAACATTTTCCATGACAATTACAGTGTGTTAATGGTAAGAGGTAATGAATGATCATTACATGGACCAAGTTTTGACTTTTCTATGGGTCAACGAAGTTGTGAAGCTTTAAATGCATTTGCAACCGTCTTGAAGGGTGGGAGTTGATGGAGTGGGCATAATGCCACACTCTGCAATGTTACATTTAATGGAACTTTAAAAGTAAAAGGATTTTGACCCCAAAAAATAAAAGTATGAGGATCAATTGTTATTTTAATCATGTTTTGAAAAATATCCTCCAACTCTTCCAAGGGATTTTAGCCTCTTTTCTTTTTTTTTACTTTCTTTCTTTTAAAATAAAATTGAATAAAATATGAAAAATATGTAAAAATCCTTTCCTTTTGTTTTTGTTCTTTTTACTTTTCCTTTAACTAAACCACTTTGTTGAAATTGTTCTTACGACTACGCTGTATAAGTTAGCATTTATTGTAAATATAATAAATAGGAAATAACGTTTTCACAAATCTTTGAAATGTAAATCCAATGCAATTAATAGGTAAACAAAATAACATGGACTCTAACATCATTGGCGTAGGGAATTTTACACATTGTTCAAACTTGAATACAAGAAAATTGAAGTTATGATCTTATGTGAAGTATTCAAAGTCTTCAACCAATGGCGTAAACTTAATGGATTAGTTCTTCATCCTTTTGTTCATATTCTACTGATTCAAATGCTATGCTAATTGTTCGATTATAAACCAAATTTCTTTTGCTGAGGTTGATATGCATTTTTAACTTCCCCAGCATCACTAATTTCATGTTTAATCTCAACCCCTACTTTTAAACTAAGATTAAAGCACAGTTAACTTAAAGACAATGAAGTGTAATTATATACAAAGCATCGTTTTTATATCTAAATAATGAAGCTATTTTTTTTTTGTTTAATACAGTATCTATAAACTTGAGAGGTTATTCTATATTTTATAATTTATCTCATGTTTTAAATATTAAATATGTATTTAGTATAATTTTAACCGATAATTACAACTGGTGTTGAAGATATGTGCCGACAATACTTAATTATATTAATTAGTTTGTTTATTGAATCGAGTTTCGTATTTGACCAAAGCCCCAACTATTTATTAAAAGGAAAATAGAATCCAAATAATTATTATAAATTGTTTATCGAAGTTAAAACCAAACAAAATAAAATATAGAAAATGTTGTGTTGGGCTTGGATAAGTTTGTTTTGTGCGGTTTTGATTATATTTTAAGAGTTTTCTAATCTTCCTCACGAGTAGTTTGATTATAAATTAATACAAATATATATATATATATATATATTATTCATTTGTTTTAAATATTTTTATATTCAGAATAATTTAAAGCTATAATAATCATAATTTTTTTCAAAGTTCAAAAGCAAAATAATGAATAAAGAGGGGAAATAGGTTAGTTTACAATATATCAAGACCTATGACCTGACTCAAACTTTTTCATTAAATTAATTAAGTAAATGTTTTTTCAAATATTTAATTAAAAATTAAAGCTATATTTTTTCAAATACTTTTTAAACAAAATAAATTTATTTATTTAAGTGAATATAAATAATATACTTTTATTATTGATGTTATATTAAATTTTATCGCAGTGTTTTAAAATTATATATTTATTGACTTACTTGACTAATGAAGCCCACTAACTTAGATAAAGAATTATATATATTAACCTATTTTAAAAAAAGATTATTGGCTTATTTAAAAGTCATCATACAAAATAGTCTTTAAAATTAAAATTTACTTTTAAAGAGATTAAATTTAATCTTTAAAAGTTGTTTATGTTAAGAGAGTAAATTATGTTAACTTTTTAATTTAATTGATAATAAGTCAAACTAATCCATATAAAGGTTTGATCAATTTTATGACCAAAAGCAAGTGTGAAATGGAAGAGTATTTTTTATTTTTTATTTTTGGAAAAACATGTATACAATTAATAATAAATTTTATCTCTAATAAATCAATGTTTTTATGTTTCAAATTGTCTTTATCATTTTTCAAATTACAATATATTTTTAAGAAAAATGCTTGTTAAAACAACTGTGCCCCTGATTTTCATCAAAGATTTTCTTTTCATTTGTTTAGTTAACATTCATCTAACATTCTATAAACAAGTACCATCGTAACAAATTATTTCTTGCTATAAAATATTGCTGTTATTTTAATAAATTATTTTATTTTGAATCAAGCCTTTCTTTATAAATAAATTAGTCTTAACTATTTTTATATTGAATATGAATCGTTGTTATCTTTTTATCTGGTGATTATTTTTCTTAATTTATAAATAAAGAACAACAAAGTGTTTTTTTTCATGAAAATCTAGTCTTTACAATTTTTATATTGAATATTAATAATTTTTTATTTTTTTATATGATTATTTTTTAAACAAAATAATATTGAATATATTTTTAAAAATGTCTTGTTATTTTTTTCTAAATAAAATACTTAAATTCTTATTTATTTTTTTACTCAAAATGATAATAAATTAAATTAGTTTAAATTGTTTTAAACTTAAAAAATGTTAGAAACACAATCCTTTTTATTAGTTAAAACTTATTAAGATTAAAAAAAAAGTAATAATATCAAAACAAAAATGAGATCTATATACATTTTACAATAAAGAATTTATCACTAGTATTTTTTAAAGCCTATATATATATATATATATATATATATATATATATATATATATATATAATTTTCTTCAAAATTTAATATCACACCTCAAATTATGCGTGCTATTCTGCGTGATTGCTTGACAGCTTTGGAGTGTTAGGAATGATCGCATATTCAAGTATTCTCGTTCTGCCCCAGAACATCATTCGTGAATCAATAGACTATGCAAGGTTGAGTCATCCTCTCAATATTTCTTCTAAAAGGATCTTAAACAAATCCTCCAATTCTGAGACCCTTATTTCTTGGAGTCTCTTCACTACTGACCTCTTAAAGTTCAATATTGATGGTTCAGTCTCTGGTTCTCCTCTTGAAGCCACTTGTGGAGAGAGTTATCTGTGATGATCAAGGTAGATTTGTGTATGGGTTTGTTTGCAAGATTGGTACTTGCTCTGCAATTAAAGCAGAACTTTGGAGCTTACTTGAAGGCCTCAAATTTATCAAGACTTGCAATTTCCAATGTATTGTGATTGAGATGAATTCCAAGGTAACGATGCATCTCGCCAAATTCGGTTGTGACACCTCCCATAATTGTTTTCCTCTTGCTAGAGACATTCGTGACCTTGCCAAGATGTCCAATATAGTTGTCATTTTTCATATCTTTAAAGAAGCAAATCAGAGTGCAAATCATCTTACTAGTATTGCTCATGATTATAATTTAAGATTTCATCCCATTGTATCTTCTCCTTCTGCTCTTGTTTCATTTCTTAGAGAGAAAGCCTATGGCCTTACTTTTTCTCGTCTTGTTGACTAATTTTTTTGGGCCCTAGTGTCTCGATAAGTAGCCAAAAAAAAAAATTAATACCACACCTCAAAGAAGTCTTTAAATCTTATCAAAATATATTTTACTAATTTTTACTTTAAAATATGTAAATTTATTTAGACAAACAATAAAAACAAAAAAGTTTAAGTAGAATAAAATTAATAAAAATATCAAATTATACAACTTTAAAAGTAAATAAAAATAATTAACTACAAAACTAAGAGAATTAAAATAATACATATAATATACTAAATTAAAAGGGCTAAAAAAATCAGTTAAACCAATTATATATTACTTTATTGCTAGCAAGTAATACCTAGGGGTTGACCATGGTCTTGAAGCTTCAAGTTTCGGATTTTTTTATCTACCCTGGAAAAGGACTTGAAGATGACGTTCATTTTATGTTAATTTCAGTACACAGTGGATACATTCCCATCTCTCAACTATAGAAACAACATTTTTCAAACCCTTTAAACTATTATTATATATTCCACTGCTTTCCAAACCCACTTGATCCCATGGTAAATACAACTTCAAGACCCAATTAGCGACTAACTTTTCCATGATCTAATTAAGTTTTCTTAATAATTGTAGTAAGAAAGGTGGTCCTTCTTATACCATTATATTTCTAATTATACTTCTCATACCATTATAGTTCTAATTCTATTTCTCATTAATCAATAGTTTGGAGTTGTCCATGAACACTTACAACAATTTTGAGCACTCGGTATGTCTCCCATTCCCTTTTTTTTCACTATCTATAATCCCACCTCTGATTCTTGAGAACGTAATAATGACTTGCATTGCAAATGAGAACGATAACGATTGAGGCGTCGAAATGAGAAAATTAACACTTTTGTGTTGTCTTGTTTTGGTAGAAAAGGAAAAGGAGAGATAAGCGTGTGGGGACAATTTCAAAGATACTTGGTGGCTCGTGGTGCAGAAAATAGAACGCGCTTTGTAAGGAGGGAATAAAATAAGAACAAAAATTGAATGTAACATTACATTACATTGGTAGTGCTGTTTTATTATTATTATTATTAAAGTTAGAGTAATGCAAAAGATCAGCATATTACTTACTATTAAAGATTTATACAGTGAAACTTAAACTCTATTTAAGAATAATGCAAACAGTCAATGTACTTGAGTTTTATCCAGATATATTTCATTCACAAAAGATCAGTAAAAGTATGAAAGATACTTCTTTTCTAAAATTATTTTAATTTTTGTATTTATATAACTATATAAAATATTAAAAATTATTTACATAAATTAAGAGAAGTTTGTGTAAAATAAAAAAATATATATTTAATGAAATTTAATTAAACTAGCACTAGAACAAAGAGTGTAATTTACTACCTTGAATTAAAATATGAAGAGGGTAGTGAAATATTGAATGGTGAGGGAGTGAGAGTGGTCCTTTCTGTCTATTCTAGACGTTGGATGCATTGAAGGATTGAACATGCAGAGCAGAGAATGCATGCATTATCCATAATTGCTTAAGCATGAGGTTGACTACCACCATACTGCTACGACAGCTAGCTATGCTTACCGTAGCAGCATCCCATTTTGGACTCTTGTAGCTCCATGCTTACTTTTGACTCTCTGCCTTGTCAAATTATTAATTAAACACTTTTTGTCTTTTGTTATGTACGCGCTATTTGGATAATTATTCTCCAGTCAATTACTATTCGTACAAGTCGTAATGATACTTTAACATTATCTTGTGTATGTACAACATATTTGTTGTTTCTGTTCTAAAAGGCTAATATAATAACACGTATTAATTAATTACTAACTGGAAGATTTACTTTCACAGTTGGGGCACACATTAGGCCATAAAGTAAGATTTAGTAAATTTTGAAATTTTTTTTTCATAAGAAATGTTATACACACATGTAGCATAGTATGCCAACTCGATGAATTTATAGTCAATTTGGCTTGATCCAGCTTATTTCGATATGTTAACTATAGCTTGAGTGATATTATTTTAATTTAGGCTAACATATAGGTTTTGAATTGTGGATGGAGAAGACCCAAGTTTTTAAGCAGAACAACTATTATAAGATTAGTAGTATTATGGAAGATATAAATAGACAGGATTGAAAAGTTATTGTTTATTTGTAGACGAAGCTGTGACCTGTGAGAGAATGGTTTACAATGTGTTATGGACCTATAAGGTTGAGGCCCAATAACCTTTTGAACTTTCTACAGGATTTGGACTCAAATCCAGATTTTTTAGAAGAAATGTTTACAAACCTTAACAAGAAAAGGACTGAAAATAATAATTAAATAAAAAAAGAAAACAAAGGATGACAACATAATTAAAAGAGAATTGAGAAGTTACCTTAGTTTAAACAATAACAAATGCATGTATGTGTATACTAGAAAGTCTCCCTGCATATCATATTAATTTGTTTCAATCTAATGTGTAAGTAGTGACACGAATTCTCTATCATAGCAGCGATTAAGATAAGGAAAAAAAATTACGGTAGTTAAATTATATTAAATTTATTTTTTATGCCAATTCAATGTATTATCTTTCAAAAGTGGAAATGCATGTAGACAATCTCGGTTAAAAATATACATAGTTGTATATGAGAGCAATTGTTCATTACATTATGTATATATATAGGGCTTGACATAGCTCATGCAAAAGAAGCAAGAGGTTTCCATGCAGAACTTCACCCATTTCCTCTCCATCTATGATCACCAAATGCACGTGGTATACATATGTAAATGTGCTACAAATCAATATGCTTGGTTATACTCAGACTTTAGGAAGTATAATTTGTAGAAATCCATCCCTGAAAATGGAGAAAAAATAACAAATTATCAGGTTCAAATGTATAAAGATACAGCACATATATTTCTTTTTTGGGTATACCAAGGCTATTCCTAGTTTATAGCTAAAACTAATCCATTATAGGCATAGAGATGACCAAAGTGAGTTTCACCTCTCCTAACAAAGTCTTTTTCATACACACAGATAAGAATTGAATCAACATGCTTAAGGAGCACAACTATCTACAATATATGCTGAACTTTGTTGGTCACAGAAAATATCTTTGAACTTGTACAAACCCAATAACATCACATCCTAATTCATACTAAACCAATCCTTGAAGTTATTCCAGCCACTATTAGCACACGTGTCAAATAAAATGACATGGAATCCTGAAGCTTAATTGGGTCACATACAAAGAGAACAAGTTATGGTTTTTCAGCAGGCCAATCAAAAACTATACTTATTTTAAGTTATATTGGGAAAGCTTTTTTTTTATGGGAGTGAAATAGAGGGCAAAGGCTTGTTTGGATTGGATGTTTAAGTCATAGCATGTTTAGCTCCACATTTGAGAATCCCAACGGTGGGTTTGATGTCTCAAGCGTTGTTTTGCTCAACTTTTGGCATGCTATTGCTTCTGAAAGTAAGTTTCATTAGAAGCTAAGATATAGCTTTTGTCTTGAATTTCACTTCACTTCACATGTTGGAAGTCACCTTTAATAGTTTAGGAGCTTCATTAGAAGCTATGAGAATATCGCTTTTGACTAGAAGAGATTATTATTATTTTTTAAGAATGGTTTGTGAATTGAGTTTAAAAATGAGGCTATAAACAGGAAGATAACTTACAAAAATTCAGCTGATATTGTGTCCTTGTTCACACCAGCTGGAAGCGGCCAGACAACTTCATATGGTCCATATAGTATCTCCCTCCTATGATATGAAGAAAATGAAGCATTTGGACAACCTGAAACTGTCAAAGAGCTAGTGGAGCGTATACCTTTGACACACAACCTGTCACTGTTCACATATTGGCTCTTTTATCAGAAAGAAAAGAGGTCCTATAAACCAAGAATATCAACATTTTCACTTCCAGAATTTACTCAGTATATATACATAAAATGACGATAAACCTTGTATCAATAGACTGTACCCTTCACCGTACACAAATGAATGAACAATTCAAACACAATAGTGACTTAGACAAAAGTAGTGTACGACAATATTTTATTTAGCCTTATCCTTTACTTCACCCATCCCTTTGCTATTGATTAGGCAGAACTCAATGCTTAAACTGATAAGAATATTACAATTAATATAAGGATGTGTATAACAAATGCCTCTTACTTTTGATCATCAACCTCCACTCTTATGTCACTTATACTAACACCGGGAACTTCCACTGTGATAACAAATTTGCCTTCTGATTCTGCAACATCCATCCTTGGAGACCACTCAATTCCTGCCAAAAAAAAAAAGGTTACATAAATAATATACTTCAGTTTGTTTGCTAATCAGTATTAATTAACTTCTAATGACTTCAGAGTTCCAAGCCTAATCACCAATTTCTGAATAGCATATTTTTTTCTCAGAATGTAACTGGTCTCCTCTTCCAATCTTTTTGCTTGGCCTGGCAAATCTAGGAGTCTCCAGTGTACTAAAATCACAACCCTGCACCTGAGCCATGGGTTGGACCACTGAATTTGTGACAGCTGATTCAGTCCTTGAAGATCTAGCAAAACACGGTGCTCTTGTTTTAGACGGACTTTCAGATGTAGCACTATGAGTTTTAGGATCAATAAAGGAAGTTGAGCCACCCTGAAAAATTATTGTATTGAATAAGCCAGTGAGATGAGAATCATTTACAAAAAAGGTATATAGAAGAACATTTTGAACTATTTCAAAAATAATATTGCTAGTACCTCTTCAATTGACATCTGCCTCATAAAATAACCAAGAGAAGCTGATGCTTGGCGCGCAAAAAACACCTTATTATCACATCTCCGCAGCACAGAGTTCAGACTACCACTGCAGTTCTGATAGGGGTAGCAAAATTGATCAACAAAATAAATAGAATAGTACAGACAGAGTTTGTTATTAGACACTGTAAAACAAAAGCTATAAAACAAAATTAGTGCTTTACTAAACTCGTATACATAGAAGGTGAAGCAAGTGTAGCATATGTAAATTGTGTATCAATTTCCTCACGGGACTGATTTGTTCCTTGTCCTTTTGGTTTAAGGCAAACACACAAGCTATGTGGTTAAATATTTTAGTTGAAATGATAAATTCAAAAAGAGACAGATGAAGGAAACCCTCAGATTTTAAAATTTTGAAGTTGCTAGTAGCCTACGAAAATGCATCAATTTGAATTCAGTGTGGAGTTATTATTGCCTAACATTAAATGATAAAAGAAAAGGTCAACTTAAACAAATAAATTTCCAATCCTGAACCTAAAGATCAATAAACACTTGACAGTAATTAATGGTAAAATCAATACAAGGTAATGTTTCTCATAAATGCAAATATGCAATGCCTATGAGTCAAATTGCAGAGAACCAGAGACTGACTCGGTGATATTTAACAATTTATTCAAAGCTAGTCGCACAGTGACATCAATTATTAGAAGAAAGGTACATATTTCCTAGTACTCGAAACCAATGAACAATTAACTTTCATCCTTTGGACCTTTAGCCACTTAAAAACCATGGAAAAGTTTGTCCACTTCACAACGTTCAAATGATAAGCAGTTAGATTCTCCCATGATTACAAAAAAGACTCCCATTATATGCCCTTTCTTTATAAACCAAAGTAAGGGACACAAGTTCAATAGTATCCTTCCCCACCTAGCAATGTATAGCTCCACAACGATTCCTATGTGTAGTGGAAGTCCATAATTGAACTCAAACAGTTTCCTTTATTTTCCATCAGTATCTTGGGAAACAAACAAAAGCAACAAGAGTAAAAAGTGTTAATGATAAAAAAAAGAAGGAGGATAATATGTTACCATAGGCAGAACATGGGTAGTTGAAATCTCATCACTGGGGGCAAAGTGGGCTGCAATCATGTGAATTCTGCGTCTAACCAAATCACTCTCCATTTCCACTAATGCTTCAGCTAAACGGATAATGAAGGATGTGGCAAAGGAGTTTGAGAGGATCATGAATATATTCAGAGGAAGTCATTGTTAAATGTAAGATATTTTTTACAAAAGAACATAAGTGGGCCCCACTGAATCCAAATATCTTTGGAAAGATGATGTTAGATACCACCTGGACTCCATGAGGAACACAAATATCATCTTGAGATTATACTACTGTCTTCTTTTAAGTAGCAAGTCACTTGTCAGCAAGTTGGTTCTCCTCTGATTGGGGATTTATTATTATTTAACTTTTATTTTAAAATTTAATGAAGTATATAACAATGGATATATAATTATAGTTCTATCTCACAAAAAATATATAACTATATTTAATATATATGATTTATTCATCATAATACAATATAAAATAAATAAATAAATCTGTAATTGAAAAGATTTATTTTTTATCACGTATCAAGTTAAAAATTAAAAATTGTATCACTTTATATGGCATATTTTTCACCTCTTTTGTTTATTTATTAATAATTACGTAATTAAATATAATTACATATTTTATCATAATTTTCTAAAATAAATAATAAATAAAATTAGTCGATTACAATTTTTTTACTTTAAAATAAAATCCGAGTATATGCTCTCTTCATTTTATCATAATTTATTAATTTGTTTTAAATTCACATATTCAAAAGACTTTTTTACGACAGTTTTTCCATCAAGTTTTTTTTTTCTCTTTATTTCAAACAAATAATGTTCAATAACGAACCAATTGCAAAAATTAAGTACACATAAAATAGATAGGTGCTAGTGGGCTAGAGAAGTGGCGGAGTTAAAACTTCGAAGCAATCTTTTTTATCCCCATAGAGCATTGTAACAAGAGGTCTGGATCCGTTTAAGTTGATTTTTTATACAGATATTTGAGACCGTAAAGAAAATGATATGCTTGTTTTTATTGAACGTGTAATGCATAATCAGTTCCAGGTTTAGGCATTCTTTGTAGTTTAAATAATATGCAAATTTCATTTTCTTTATTCATATTAACTACTATAAATAGCAGATAATTTCGTGTTCAACAACAATCACTAATCAGCATCATGCAAATACCATGGCCTGCTATTAATTTGAATTCTGAACAGTTAGTTATTCTTTGAGTTGGAAACTCCCAAATGAATGCCAAAGCACAGATTAACTGAGAAAACAAATACGTGAAGATTTCAAAGGCATCGAGGCTATCACTTTTCACCCTGATACAAACGACAATATTTTCGGGAAGATGCATAACCCAAGACACAAAGGCCGTCAATTTCTATAAACCTAATGAATTATAGTGATAGATACCAAAAAGAAATTCATAACCAATATTTTCGTTTCAAGGGTCAAACCAATAAGAAACTGCTTTCGAATTTAAATAATCATCTCTCTAACCATCGTAAAAAATTACGAAGGGTAAGATTGGGAACTCGACTCTATTGACAGGTAAAAACATGATAGTTTAGCCCTCAAAGTCACCATCTTTTTCTGCAGTTTTTTCACCCAATTATAGTCAGAATTTGAAATTATCAAGAATTCTATCCAATATAAGATAATGGCCATGATCTGCGCTACAAAGATGAAACCTTGAGAAACATTCATAAGGTTAAGCACTCCAATTCATGCAACTTAACAAAATAACATCAAACAAGTTACCTCATTAGGTACATGAATTACACTACGATATTGAATTTAGTTAAAAACTAAATTTTGAAGAATATTATTAATTGAAAAGTCTCTTTTAATAATTTGACGGAACGACTGCTTTATTATTTTCATCAAACTCACTGGGCTACTCTACAAATATCCTCATATTCCATCGCTTTAAGAATCCTACCATCATAAGGACCTTTCTCTATCTGCACCTTAGCAGAAAAATGGTCTGTATCCACCCCTAACAGCCTAGCCATTGATCCTCGATATGCCCCATTGACTATTTTTACACGGCCCCCAACTTGTGGAATCACAGTTTCAAGCTCTGCTTGATCAACTCTGAGCACATGTTTGCTTTCAAGCATTTCTATTTCCCCAACATACTTGTCAATCACCTTCTGCACGACACCCTTTTGCTTGTAATACCCCTTCTCTGCCAAAGCTTTGCTCATAACTTTAACAACAATTCCCTCATGCAACCAATAATCCTTCCTGTTAATTTTTTCCTTTTTCTTCTCTTCTTCCCTCATCATTTCATCCAAAATTGATTTTCCGCCACCACTTTCTTTCCTCTTCAAATTGTTTCGAGGATTCCTTTCCTCATTTTTTCCTTCATCAATCTCATCAAACATCACCTTTGATGCCTCCTCACGTTTTTCCTTGGTCACAGGTCTAGCTGATGACCCAAGAGAAAATCCTACCTTAACTCCATTTTCCATGTTTAGTTCTCTTGAAAAGTCAACCTGTGAAGGCTGATCAGACTCAGAAGGAGGTAGCTGCATCAATTGCTCAGCCTTTTCAATCTGTTTCCTGATCTCCTTCTCTTGTTTTTCTTCATCTGCCATGTCAGCCTTGATTCTCTTGTTCTTCATCCTCTCCTTAAACAGGGTTTCTGAATCTCTATCAATGTATGTAATGAACCATCCTTTAGGTGTTTCTTCAACCTTACACTTTCCAGTACGACCCAAGTACTTAACAAATTCAGTAAGCGTAGCCCACTGAGTGGAATTCATATGAATGTGGTGTCTATCGTTTATGTACTCGTTATAAACTACAGTGGCAGCCACCCGGCTGAATCGGTGGCTGCGCTTCATGTGCTCAAGAAAAGCTCTCTCAAACTCTTCAGAATAGCCCTCAACTATCCGGTATGGGTTTTGTCCAAAAATTTGCATTTGACGTTGGTGCCCTTCACTCATGCAGTGGCATTTAAACCCATTCTCATCCCGGCATTGCTTCTGGCACATCTGGCAATACCACCGAAGCTTCTGCAGTCCTTTTGCTTTGATTCGGTTGGCAATTGCTTTAGGTGTGAGGAACTCATTTTTCCCCATTGAGATTCTGGATGAAACGTGTCAGACAAAAAAAAAAGCTATTAGTAATCCCACTCACTGCTTCCTTCCTCCTAACAGCTGAAAGTACATTGAAAAGGAAAAGATGAAGAACAAAAAGCATTGGAACAACAGCTAAAATTCTTAAAACATTACAACAAGAAGAAATAGAATTTAGGAGCATGCATCCACACTAAAAATAATCAATCAAACAGCATGTGATTATGACAAACAAGCTATGATCAATGAATACATTTACTTGCACTAGACTACTAATTAGAACTTTATTAAGGTTCACTACTACAAGCAGAACAAAATTATTTCCCTCTTTTTGCTATTTTCAAATGGTTCAGAAAGTTAATTCACTACAACGTGAAGACAAGCGACAAACATAAAGAACCAAACAACTTTCATGTAAGATATTAAAGCAATTAAGAAATAAATGCAAAGGCTATTAACTGAGCTTGCTTTGCAAGTTTGTGCGTCAAACTTTCAAGCATGCCTTACAGGAAGACCATCAAAGATAGCTAATGAATAAGTATGAAATGACAACAAAACAAACTTAAGGAAAAGAAAATTTCTAAAACTAATAACAATTGGTTCCCAAATAAATGAGTTTCAAGCACTCAATACACTAAAAACAAAGCTTACATAAATCCAGAACAGAACATCCATAACTGAGAAAGAAAATGGTAAAACACTAAAAATTATAAGAAGTGTGAGCTCAATACATGTTCCCTGGAAACATAAACCAACATAAAAAATATGCAACTCTGTTCATAACATCTAAACCATCTATGGCCACAAACGGACACCAACCACCTTACCCTAATTCTGAGGGGACAGACTCAAACGCAGTGAAGCATACAATGCCATCTAAACCTACCTAAGCGAAAACGCAACCTAGCCAACAAAAAAAATCAAAGATGAAGAGGTGAAAGATAGCCAGATCCACACATGAGTTCGAAGGAGAGGGGAAGACTAGAAATCGCAGAAAACTTGAATACGTTACCAGCGCAAACGGAGATGAAGGTTCGTGGAACAGGGAATTGTGCACGAAAATGGATGCGAAGAACCACACGATTCCGCGTAGAAGAAGCAGTGACTGCAATGATGCTTGTTGATTCCAATTGCTGCGAACAATGATTGCGAATTGGGAGTACGGTTCTTCTACAGCTCCTTCGTTATTGCCAATTAGGATTAGGGTTGATAGAGTAAGAAATTTGGAAAATAATTGTCAGGTGAAAGAATAACTTTTTTTTTTGTCAAAGGTGAATGAATGGCTGAAACCATGTAAGCCCAACTATTTTTGGGCTTTGCTGGGGATGAAAACCAGCCCAATTACAACTGTAGGCCCGTGCTCACTATTCTTCACATATGGGTTGGACCACCTTAGGAGGACTCTATCTCATTATTTACAAGTTGAAAAACTTATCTTTTCTAAAATAAAATTTTATATTAACTATTAATTAGATCAAAATTTGACTATTGAAGTTTTAATAAAAGGAATTTTTTTATACAATAAAGTTTGAAGACGATTAAACGCTTTTTTTTTTCAATTGGCTCTTTCAAATAAGTTATCACTTTAAAATATTTAAATTGAACGTTTGTGTTTATTCTTTGTATCTAAAATACGGAATTAAATGTCTGAAAAGTGCACGGTAAGGGTAAAATGTGGGTTATTACACTTAATAAAAACAAATTAACAATTGTGATGATAATAAAGTTAACAAAATTCAAGCTGCCTTATTAATAAAATGTGTGTTCCTTACATATGTAATTTAACTTACCTGTTCCTACATAAGGTGAGATTTTTTCTCTTACACTTAATACTTTAACAATAACTCATAAGTAGTAAGAATCTAACATAGTTATTAACTACTGTGGTATGTTTTTGAAGATTTACAACGAAAAGCAAAACCGTAAACAAACATGTGATTAATAATTATATGAGAAATGGAATAATTTAATTTGAACAATAGCATACTGACCTTGAATGCGAATGATGCAATTTTCTTGAATGCGATTTCACATTGAATTTGAAATTTGATACTAGGTAGCTTATTGTGTTACAAGATTCTTTTCACAGCCATTTTAACATGCTATTTACAATATGAATTTAACATCGTGAGTCTCGTGGCGTAATGACTCAGTGCATGAACATGGTAGATAATTTTATCAACGATCAAATCTCATGTAGATTAGATCATTGGTCTCATAATATTTGTATTTTATGATATAATAATAAAAGTAATTCTGACTTTGTCATGAGCTCATTACTTTACTTCTTCACAGATGACACAACAAGTTCAAGAAAGATTACATATGAAGGCTTGTGATTCATCGAGGTCCAGGAAAAGGCCTTCCTTCCTAAAAAGAAAGTGTGGCAAGAAGTCAAGGGTGGCCAAGTTTGCATAGCTTTGAAGATAAGATTGAAAAGCACCTTAAAAGAGGAAAAAGGTATTGTGGTTGATGAAACACTACTTTTGGAAAATTAGTTATGAACAACTACCTCTTCTCCCTTCTACTATTGTTGATGATAGTACTGTGAAGAACACTTTGTCTAATTGAAGGCAGATAAAGATGGAATGACATACAAAAAAGAGGTGCAACTCCAACAACATGATCAGGAGATTAAAAAAGAAGAGAAAAGAGGAACAACTAAAACTCGAGCAGATAAAAAAACATTGTTGGTTTTGAGGACAGCATCGAGGCTATGAGAGATTTTCAAGAAATCATTGGGTGTTGGTCACAATGCTTTGATGAATGATGAAGATGATCGTGCAGAGAAAAATGAGGGATAATAATTCTTTATTTTTGGATTTATTGTTTGTGAGGATAGAATCTATAATTCGACAATTTGTTATACATGGCAAAAGTACGTATATCAAATTGTATATATTTTTGGATTTAAGTAGGTGAATATTTTTAAATTGTAGTAGTATCCTACATACTTTTTACTGTATTATTGTATATTTCATTAATACATTTTTCAACAGTTCAAATTCTGCACAATATTAAGTGAAATTTCCTTTTACAAATGCTAACGCAACTGAAAAGTGAACAATTGTGCTCCGTGGACATGAAGGGAGAAAGTTGGTGATTTATTCTTTAGAGCAGACTTCAAATGACAGTAGATGGTGAAAGCCTTTACACCAAAAACTGAACTATTAACGTTCTAACGAAACCAATCAACAATTGCGGACAAAAAAATTGACGAGGAAACGGAGAAAAAAAAAAAGAAACGAAACATAATTAAATTTAACTTGTAGAAAGCAATCAACTGAAAAAAATTTATAAATAAGTAATCCACCCAGCATTCCTGATTAATCTTCCAACTCCATGTATCATTTGTCTTCACGAAAACAACAAAACTATACTAAGAAAAACAATGCACAGATAACAATCGACAAATAAAAAAAATGCACAAGAAAAATTGCCCAAGTAATAATTATGTTATATAACCCGAAAGATATAAAGGTTCCTGTCCTACATTCAAATCAGTACGCTGTCTTTGCAATCTGGCATCTTTTTAATCTGACAATCTACACAGCCGAATTATGTGTTTAATGCTCAGGTTTCAGTAGAATAATTTCCTCCAAAACATAAGGGTGTTATAACATCACATTCTCATCAAGACGAAAAAAAAAAACTAACAAGAGAATGATTCAAGGTTGTACAAGCAACAATCACTTCCTAAGTACAAGCTGGATACTGAATGGTCTACAAGAAGTTCAGGGTCCAGATCTTCATTACCAGCAAGAAGAAGCCTGCCACAATAATTAGATGTTTTCAGTTTAACATTGATTGAAAATGAGGGACATTAGCTAACCACATAAGTAGCACAAGATAAAACTAAATCTACTACATTATGAAGCAAGTCAAACATATACAAGATGTTGAATAAAATGATTCCATGCCATCGGTACTGCAGTACCACATCTAAGCAGAGTTCTACTAGTCTCAATCAAGTGCAATCAGTCGTTCATGGTGAGAAAATAGATTTTCTTCATGAAATTTTTTTTGAAGTCATAATTATTTTCCAAGAATATTAGCTGGGAATTGGGATGCTGAAGTTCAGGATTCGGCAGTGGACCAGTTGACACATGAAACTAAGATTTGGAAGAGATATCCAAGAAGAAAATAGGATTCTGCATTAGGTATTGGTTCATTAGATAATAAATTTCCATTCAGTCATTTGAATAAAATGTCATTCCGTGTATTCATCCCAGAAAAAGAAGAAAGCAATTTGTATACAGTCAACACAGTATACAAATTACGACAGCCCTCCATTTTGAAGGCAAAGAAAACAACATAGAATTAAGCATATACAAACCGTTTTTCCGGGCACACATTAGAAAAACCAATATACAAATATCTTCTGCTAATCAAGTTAGATTAAAACACTAAATATATCTACAAAGCAAATTCAAAAATTGTTCATGACAAATCAAACATGGTCTTTTTACTCAGTAACTCGTTGCAGACGGTAATATCAGTAATCATTCCAAAACATCTAGAAACTCAACTATAATGTATTAACATTAAATTTTACTTCCACTTCCTAACGTAAGGCTGAGTTCGTAATACCTCCCATTACCCGTATGAATACAGACTATAATATATATTTGATTGTAAAATGCACACCCGCAACTTATCCTCATTTCATGAACCATTTTAATTTCCTTCTAGATATCCCTAATTTCCATCTAGATACACATAAAACCTAAAAATTCTCACCATACACTAGCAGAAAAAAAATGATCAAAACAGAAATACACTTACCAATCCTTTCTCCCATTACTGTTGCTGATTTGGAGGGTTTGGGGGAGGGGGCATGCCAGGTCGGGGAGGACCAAAAACAGGAACACCACCGCCAGGTGGTGGCGGCATGCCCGGACGAGGTGGCGGAGGAGCAGGCATTCCAGGACGCGGTGGAGCCGGAGGTCCTCTCACCATCTGTCCAGGCGGTGGTGGCCCCATAGGTCTCTGTCCAAACTGAGGCGGAGGAACACCAAATGGTTGCGGCGGAGCACCGCCTGGTCTCGGCGGAGCATATTGCCCGGGCGGCATCGGCTGTGGCGGACCTCTCCCCATAGGAGGGGGAGCCTGCCCAGGATAACCAGGCATCTGTCCAGGCGGCCGCATCACCGGCGCGGTGGCCGGATAAGACACTGGCGGCGCAGAGAGCTGCGGCGGACGCGAGATCTGCGGCTGCATCATGCCGGGAGCGGGACCGCCGACGCCGCGGACGGGACCGGCGAGACCAGGCTGAGCCTGAACGACGGGAGCGGGTGGAATGCCTCTGCCTGCAGCGCGTCCAATGCCGGGTCCGGCAAGAGCGGCAGCGTTGACAGCCTTGGAGCGAGACTCTTCGGGAGGAGGGGGACCCTCAACGGTCATGGAAATGACCTCTTCGCCACGGAGAAGAACGAGGCCAAGAGTGCGGCGGTCTTCGCGGTCGCCGTCGGGGGTCTTCTTGCCCTTAGCAGGAGGAAGCTTGCGGAACTCTTCGCAATCGCCGAGAACGAGGTTCATGTGACGGTCGAAGGCCATGAATTTTCCGACGAGTTGACGACCGTCTTGAATGGTGACACGCATGCGGTAATTGATGTATTGAAGCATTTTCGAACTCTTCGACATCGACATTTTGAAATCTCAATTTTCTTTTCCTCTGCCCTAACACCTGCGAAGAGCAGCTTGTTCTGCTCCCTTTTGTGAGTGTGAGTGTCTAGGGTTTTTGATTTATTCAGAATTTTTGGGACTTTGGAAGACTAATATTCGGGTCACCGGAACCGTCAAGTTTAACTCACCCACCCACCCAATTTCCTTTAGGAAATGGGCCCAAGCCCAAATTATATTTTTACATAAACTACTCTTTTTGTTTTCCTACTAAAATCCTTTAACTGATAACTATCGACAAAAAATAAATAAAAACTGATAACTAAAGATTTATTTATTTTAAGGTATAAAGTACTTTTGAATCTTTCTATTTACACTAACATGTATTGGAGAATTGTTATTAAATATATAAAATTGTTTAATTCTTTTGTTTATTTCATTACAAAAGTGAATATGCACAATGTGGGAATTTTCAACCTTAAGACACAGGAGTAAGATTTTTTTTTAACGCAAAATTCACAAAATTTCTGGTACAATTGGCAAAAAATATGTACCGTAATCCACTTGTTAAATCGGTTCGTAGTGGTAGATGGAAGTTCATTTGTAACATAATTCTCAATAATAAAATAAGTCCAAGACTAGCTACCAATGAATTTTACTTTTTAATATATTTTTTATATCATTATTCAATTATTATATTTTTTTTCATACCTATTATATTAAAATATAAGTACATAAATAAGTTCATATTACTTAGTTATTTAACGACAAATTTATCTAGACTTATTTGATTATTGAGGGTTATATTATAAATAAATTATTATGTGCCAATTTTAAAAGTTTATCAATCTATTAATTAACGGCACAATCTATTTGTTAAAATTGCGTATTAGAAAAAAATATATACAGCAGTTTGAAAAAAACTAACTTCCTTTGTTGAAGTGCCATGTAGAGATAAAAAGATCTTCTGGCAATCTAAAACCCTTGAAAATTTATTTACTTTGTAAGAGATTTATTTTGTTGATTGTTATTTTATTATAGTCATGAAATGTTTATTTACATAATTAATTTTATGCTATTTAATTACTTAATGGTAAATTTATGCTTCTTTTATTAGTGGTTTTTGGTTTATTTTATAATCGAGGTTTATATTATAAACAAATTACTGTGTCAATTTTAACAATTTATTAATCTTGAATTTATTTTAAAAGTGGTTAATTAACGGCATGATTTAAGTGTTAGAAATTTCATTTAGATATAGGTAATATATATATATATATATATATATTAATAATTAAATTTAGCCGCCGGAAATCTATCAAACGGTTCTTTCTTTATATTATCAATAGAGTGGATGTAAAGAAATATTTAACTTTTTGTTATATTTTTATAAATTATTTCAATTTCTTGTTTCAAATTGTTTTAACGTAACTTTGTCATCCTAGCAAACATGCAAAATGATATGTTACTATGAAATTTAACTTTTAAAATATTATTTTACTATAGCCATGAAATATATTATGAACGTAATTAAGTTCGTATTATTAAATATTTAACGATAATTTTATCTTTTAATTATCGATAATCTATGACTTATTTATTATTGAGAGCTATACTGTAAATAAATCACTATGTGCAAATATTAAAAATTGATCAATCTTAAATTTAAGTTAGTCCGTTAGTTATGATCCGTTAATTAAACTCCATCGTTAAAATCGCGTAGATTTGGAAAATTTAAATTAGTTCGTAAAAGTGGCATTTAAATAACACAGCCATGTATCAAATGGTTCTGTCTTCGTAGAATCAGCACACAGCAGACATAAATAAACATCTAAAATCGAGAGCTGCGATACATCAATGGCGGTGGATTCTCGTCAGCAAAGCGAAGGGCGTTGCAATGGAAAGTCAAGAGCAAATAAAGTTGGCATGGCTTTGAATAACGTGAGGTTGGAGAGTAATGAAAAGTGGAGTGTCGATGAATCACCTCTTTTAGAAACTAGTTTGAATCCTCGTGTTTCTCCCACTGCTGTTGATGAAAATTCAATGAAGAACGTAATATATAACTGGAAACAGATAAAGATAGAAAAACAGAAACAACTGCGTCAACTTTCGGAGATAAAAAAGAAGAGAGAAGAAGCACGATTCCAACTAGATCAGATCAAGAACACTGCTGGTTTTGAGGAGAACAAGGAGGCTACCAGAGATTTCCTAAACATCATTTGGTGTTGTGAGTCTTAGCGTAAATATACGTTGGCACAGTGCTTTGGTCTTAGATAGTGAAAAATGATAGATTACGATTCAATTATGATTTGTGATTATTGTTTTTTAAGAAAGTTTCTATCATTCTTTCTTTCTTGTATGAAGTAAAAGTTTTTTAAAATTGTTTATATTTGTATTTTCAAGTAGTTAAATACTTAAAAGTGATTTCACAAACCACGAATGCATTTACTTTCACGATTACATTAAAAAAAAAAATTTTATTGACGATGAATTAAAAAAATAAACTCTTAAAAATAGTGTATATTAATTATTGCAGATTTTAAACATTAATATCTTTGACGATGTAGATAAAATGACAAAGGTAAATAGTTAAAATATTTAAATTTTAGAAAAGTTTGTCAAAAGTTTTTTGCTTTAATAAGTTTATTTAATATTTTTTAATTAACCATATTTTATTTAAAATAAATTTTAAGATAATTATTTTGATATGAAGAAAGCGTAAATGATAATTTAAAATTATTTATAAGGTGACAAAATTTTAATCTTTCAATTTTTTAATTTATTGTAATTGAATATCATGTTGCTCTTGTATATAGAATTTAAAATTTTATTTATATAATTGATTAAATCAAAAAGTAATCATTGTCAATTTTTTAAATTTTAAATTTTAAATTATATAGTCAGTTACAAAGTTAAGTAATTGATTACCAAAGATTATAATACCTAAAAAAATGCATTTTGAAGAGATGTATTTTTTTAAAATTAATCTATAACAGTTCATATGAATTGTTCAATATAGTTAACATTCTCAGACACTTTTATATATAAAAAAAATATATTGCAGAAATAAATTGAACAATCATTCTTATTCATCATATTTAAATTTTGGTCAAATTTTCTTATTATTGAAAAATTTTATAAGACTTTAAGTTAACATTTGATTTCTTATATTATCATCAAAGTTGTAAAAAGGGTGAAAATCTCTTGTAAAAACAATAGTACAATATTTCAAGACTATTGATAGACTCAAACACAAAGGGTGAAAAATCTCAAGGTGTAAGAGAATTCTTTGATTGTAAAAATTTAAAGAAATAGTAAAATTTTCAAGTAGTTTGCTTGAGAAATCTAGATATAGGATATAGGAAGTGATTAAACTAATATAAATCAAGTTTGCAATCTCTTTTTCTTTATCTCTTTAATTTATTATAAATTTATTTTATTGATATTTTGTCATATATATTAATAGACTTTCATATTTCTTGCATTCTCACTCATTTAAGTTAAATTCTTGAGTTCATTAAAGCCGCTTGAATAATAAAATAATTATCAATAATCTAATCAATTGTTATTACTATCCAATAATTATATAATAATAGTAATTTTTCTTATTTATATATTACCTTAATTATTATAAAAATAACAAAATAAAGAAAATTATTAAGAAACATTATATTTGTAAAACTATATTTGAATAACTGTACCATGCATCAGTACTATCTATTTCTTTATCGGCTCTAATTTTCACGTAGCATTTTTTTGTTTACCATTTTATGCAGCCTAACGAGGGAAGTTTCTTCTTAACAATATGTGCGTTATAGCTAAAAAAATTAATAATCAAATGCCATAAAGTAATATAACATTCATATGCTAATCAAATAAGACATGTTAAGCATACATAAACTTGCACCTCCTTAAGCGGTATAAAAATGACGTAGAAATATTGATTTGGTAGAATCATTTCCTTGAAATAATGACTTGGCTGCTCTCTCTCTCTCTCTCCCCCTAAATTTTCCTTCTTTTTTAAATACATAATTACTATTAATTTAACATTTAACAGTTAATATATTAATGATGTGACACTTAATCGAAGTGCCATAGATATTATCATCCATCTTATATTGCAAAAGTAGTAGTAAATTAATTACGTCTGGCTTTATTTTTGAAAACCTTATCCATAAAAAAGAAAAAATTGAGCCTCAATAGCCATTTAAATATCATCCACAACTACAACAGCCATTGCAAACCACAAGTTGTCCAAACAAGTGAAAGACAAAAGAACAATGTGGAGTCTTTAGCAGTGTAACTCTAATTTTCCATGTTGCTTCCTTCTCTTCTAAATTGTTGAGTCTTTTGGAAACAGTTTATACACTTGTCAGAGTCTCTCCAACTGCAAGGAAGATGGAAGCTGAAGCTCGAATATGGAAAGTAGTGGAACACCTTTTCATTCGATATCAATCTTTCAACAGCATCTATTTCACCATGAAACTGGTTCGGCTCTCTCATCTACCTCTCTAACGTTTTTTATTTTCCTACTTATACCCTCAGGACAATTTCTAATCAAAATGCATGTCATGTCAAATCTACAAGTGTTATAAGCAACTTATAAGCTCTGGGTAATAAATTATTTTCAACTTGTTTCATTAAGATTCATAATATTTTAAACTTATTTTAACAAGTTTTATCTTTAAATTCACAACATAAATCATCATTTTAAAAGATAATAAATCCTTATATTCAGTCATCTGAACGTATCATATATTCCCATTTGACATATTAAAAAAATATATTTTGAAAACATAAAATGCTTTCAATTCTTTCTTTTCTTATTTAACAAATAGAATGATTTGTAAAAGAACATAGAATTGTCAGATGTCCGCTGTGAGTCATGAGCAATCTTAAGGTCAATAAAAATAATTCTCCAAAAAATTGACTGCAATCCAATTATTATCGGATTGGGTGGAGAGAGAATGACACGTGCATAAATTAAGTAGATATTGTCATGTGAATCATAGAGAGAATCAAACTCGGATTATTATTAAAGAACTTCTTATTATAATATGTCATGTCTCCAAAAGTTATCCTCAGACTAAATAACTGCATAATATTTATGACTCAAACTTAATGATAATTCAGAAATAGAGAACAAAAAAAAATAGTAATATCTATAATGATAATGATCCTCAGCAGTATCATTATTATTATTAATTATTATATACAAATTGTCAAACGGCCGGATCATCCAGTCTTTATACGAAAATCCAGCTATCTCATTTCAAAATCAACTTCCTTAATTCTTAACTCCTCGACCCTACTGTTTTGCCTGTAAAAAAGGAGCAGAGTGAGAAATTACAGCAAGTATACCTTGCCAATCAATATTGTTATTTCAAACAGAAAACCAAACAATCGAAATTGTCAGTAATATACTCTGTTTCTTACTTTCTTATCATCAATCTTTTTCTTAATTTTTCAAGGCCACACACAGCAATCGTATTTAAAACTTTAACCCTTAGTGTTGAATTTAAACATCCAAAATTAGTAAATTGTTATTGAAAAATAAAATATTTATTGCATTAGAGATACAAAAGTGGAATAACATTTTATTTTTAAACAAAAAACTTATTGTTAGTTGACCTAAACTCAGCCTTATTGAAATTAATAAAATTGTATTTAAAAGATATCAAAACAGATGTGCGACTATCAAATCTAATTAAAAATAGCACCACCAGATGAGAAGGATAGGCATACCAAGGTACATTGACACTCAACTCTAACCTATGACTATAAGCCTCAAATTTTACCTTCTTTTATGCTAACAAAATCAAATTGTTCCACCAAACCTCAAAAGACAATTTGCACACTAGACAAAACAATTATGCTTTCGTCAAACAAAGTAGGTTCTTCCACCTCGAAGTTGGTCCACCTAATCATCGAGTATCTAACACTAAAATCTATGTCATACCTATGGTTAGCCACAAAACCATCCTAATACATCTTCCAAGCCTCCAACCAACAATAGGTACGACTATAAGTAGGATTATGCCTCATTCATTTTTTTTTAATCAATGCATGATATGAATAAAGGGCATAATAGTCGAAATAACTACAAAAAAATCTAATCTAGAAAATACCTGTGAATACAAGAAGGTTCCAAGGATGGCAATAGCAGCTCCAAGAGCATTAATTGGCTGAACTGGTGTGTGGAAGATAATGATCGAAGAAACTATAACAGATATACGTTTCATGGTGTTTCCAATGCTAAATGTCAAGGGAGAGATCTCATCCAGAGACATGTACGACACTTGATTGTATAGATGATAAAATATGCTCTGAGCTGCCACCCACCTGTTGTGCACAGTTTGCAGGCTTACTTTTAATCACAAGATGAAGTGCAGAAGCTTTCAGAAACAAAAGAAAAAGGAAAATAACAATTATCTCAACATCAAAACAACAAAACATAGATCTATTTTCTGTTTCAGAATTCATTCACACAAATCATGAAACAAGACATGATCATTGATTTGAGACATAAATTTATCCATCAGCCTAGCAACTGTTGATGTTAACAATTGGCATAAATTCCAGATGGAAAAAATGTGTTAATATATTCCTCTACATATAATTTGAGGAGCTAGTTCATATTATCTCATTTTTAGATAAAAAATGAAAAAATTGAGACTTGGCTAATGTATAAATACACCAATCCATCTAGATAAACTTCTAGTGTCGGACCTCCCAAATTACTCACAAGATGTTAACATAACTGTCACTTCAATACAAGAATCCTAAATCCATCAAGAAGGTCCCAAACATCTCTAGAAATCATCTCACTTGGTTGAAACATAAGACTTTCAAAAATAGATGGGTATGGGAGTATTCCCCCATACCCCTCTATTATTTTTATTACCAGTATCAAGGCAAATTGTCAAAAATATTTATTGCTTGTTGGTTATATTTTAAGTTAAAAGACTTTCAATCTATTTACTATCAAATCAACAACCATTAAATATTTAACAACTCATATTGGTAAGTACCCATAAAGGTACCATAGCAATTCCATAAAAAAAACTTCAATAATTACAAACAATTTATTGGCTATCTTTGACATGATGATCACCAAAACAGAAGTTGTCTTGGGCAGAACAATAAGTTTCCTTGTCCAACCCTGTTTACCTTACCCTTCGCCACCTTGATATTTAAATGTATTTCAGAAACAAATGAACTAATAATTTACGCAACATCAAATGAACTGGAATTTCTGAAAAGGACAACAAGAGATGTAGACAATAGTTGTAAGAACAAACATTGCGACAACTTCAAGACATCGCATTTAAGAAGATGCGCTATGAATAACATCAGATTGAGCAGACATGTTGTAATTACCATATAAATTGGGGTCCAATTTGAGAGAGAGCTGTTTGCCATCCAGCTGCCCACATCTGTGGTCCCTCCACAGCAATCGCAAATGGTGTGAGAATTAACAAGGACAACATAGATAAACAAGCGTAGTAATTCATTCCACTAACAGCCTTTCCCTTCATGCCCTTTTTTGAAAAGATATTACGGAATACAAATGCCAAATTTGATATCATAGCCCCCATAAAACCTGAAAAACATATAATAAAGCAGTTATGAAATCAAAATCAAGAGGGTACGGTGCAAAGGACTCCTTTGCAGGAAAGACGAAAAGTACATTTCATCACAACCTCTGCTTTTGAAATAAGCACCCAAGTATGTACTCTATAATAGCATATCATCCTTTCCATCAATGGTTCAACACAAGCATGAATGCACAATAAATAAAAAAATTAACAATATAGCCACACGGGTAGGGGGGTTGTAACAATGCCTGAAGCCCTTAACCAATAACTTGACATCAAATTATCTTCTCTCGGATCAAATTTAAAGTTCAAGTCAGTTTATCATCCTATTTCCAACTTTTAAACTAATTACAATGCTCAACAGAAAAATACAGAAAGGAACATAATGCTTTTGACAAAACGTGTTTCATTAGAAAGCAACTTCTTTACCAGTCATATTGAAATTGAGCTCAGTCACAGCAGCAAGAGCACAGCCACCAATGATCGGAATCAAAGACAGATAGACAGGCACTGGGAAGGTCTCACCCAGAAGAAATCTGGAAACCAGTACACTGAAAGCAGGCTCACCACTCTTGATGATATGGGTGAATGATACTGCAACTTTTGACATGCTAACGGTTGCCGCTACATGTCCAATTGTATGTGCAACAGCAACCTGAAGTAAAAACAAACACTAAGGTCCCTATCCATTTCTAGATATTAATAAATAAATAAAGGGAAAAGCCTAAGATCTCAATTGAATCTAATGAAGGTGAATTTACACTTCCAAAACTTAAATTTCCTTCATTGAAAAGAAAAAACAATATCTCTTATAAAACTCCACCCAATTCATCAACATGATTTAACTTTTCTCTCTCTATCTCTTTTTCATGAAATCATGAAACTTCTCTGAAGTCAAACTACTCAGATATCCAGAGAAAGAACCAAAATTGTTTATAAAAATTTAATTTTTTTATGAGAACATATATAAACCATGACAAACAAAAAATCCGCTTTCACTTTCTCCCATCAATTTTTCTCTCAGGAAACAAACAAAAAGCCAGTCACTTACAGGGAACAAAGTCTTCCAGAACTCAAGATCAGTCTTAGGAGCCTCAGCAATCCGGGTGGCCCATGAGATCAACATCATAAGAGACCCACATGCAAGAGAAAGAGTTGAAGTAAGCCAAGGGTAGGGGTATGCATTCAGCACCTTCTTGTTATAAATATTGAACACCACATTCAGCGCCCACCAGGTTGCAAAGTATATCCCAATTTTCACCTTCTTAGCAGCCTCTGATGGAGCATCAGCTCCTTCAACCTCTGATCTATCAGCCTCATACGCTCCACACGTTACCAAATCACTACGCTCACGCTTCACTGACCCAACAAAATTCCCAAAACCAATGCAAGAAAGGAGCAGTGGATTTTGCACTGACACCAGGGATCTCTGAGGTTTTTCCCTTGGGAGGGAAGGTAGAACAAGGGAACATGACTTAACTGGAGGTAAAGTTAAACCCTTGTTCCGGAGAACAACATCAGAACCTCTGATAGATATACCAGGTTGCTTCAAAGCGCAAATCATGATGTTATGATCGATGATGGGTCAAAAAAATAACAATAAAAATGTAAACTTTTCTACCAGAGGCTTTATGGGTTGCTAAACACTTCAAGGGAAAACCTAAAAAAAGAAGAGAAAATAGAGATCCCGTGTGTATCTGTTGTGTGTGTCAGTGTCAGGGCCGTGAAATAAACTCTCACGGACTGAACACACTATTTTATGTGATATATATATAAGAATGTCTCTGTGATCTGGCTTTTATGATGTGATGCCCTCTGAGATCATTAAAGGTTTATGGCTGTTTATGCAAATCCAAATTACTGCGCCAAAAAACAGAAACGTTGTTTAGTTTGGAAAAAATCAAATAATGGAAAAAAATATGGTAAACTTTTTATTGATCGATACCTTGGAATCTGTTTCAGGAAAGGGGTGACAGGTGAAGCAGTGGATGGAGAATCGTTGCGGATTTTTCTGTGTCTCTCAACTCAAGTTGGTTGGAGAGGTGGCAGAACGGTGTGATGATGCCAAAGGTAAAAGGGAATACTAACCTTGTTGGTCTCTTGCAGAAGGGTCAAAAGTTCAACATCTTTTAGGAAGAGTTACAAGAGCCTCCCTTTTATAGCATTTTTTTAATATTTTTTAATATTTTTATTAATTGTAAGATTGAGATATATAGAAATAAAATATTTATTATATAAAAGAATAATATATTTGTTTTTTTAATAAGAAATTATTATATTTTTCAGTTTCAAGTCAATTTATGTAGTGCAGTTAATTTTTTTTTTATTAAAAGAGCGTTAGAATATATTTTGTAATATTTTTACTTGTTAATTAAATTTTATAAATATTAATAAAATATAAATAATAATAAAAATATTGTATTTAATTTTTAAGATTAAATTTATACACTTAAAACTAATATATTTTTATTAGTATACATATATATCAAAATTCTAAAATTATATATAATAAATATATATTTTTTTATAAATTTTACTATTTTATATCAAACTCACATAAAATTTTATTAGAGAGTATGTGGTTAATATATATATATATATATATATATATATATATATATAAATTTATTAAAAATATATAAATATGAGTCAGGTTTTTATATTTATTGTTATTTTTAACATTAATAAATTTGTTTTTATTTATACCACAAAAACAATTATTTACGTCCAACCAATATATCAAATCTTTGTTTTATAATCGTTGTAACTTTTTAATCTTAACTTGATAACAAAAATAACATGTAAGAGTATGATAAGTTGTAATTCTACTATCTTATTTATTATATTTCAATTTATTTTTATTATAATTATTGTTTTACTTCTTAACTTATTTGGGTTTTTATTTTATTTTATTGTAAAAAAGGTAATAATTAAATTTTGTTAAAAAATATTAAATCATAAAAAAATTTGTTGAAATAAATAAAGAATGAATGAATTCAGAATCTAAATTTTGAATATAAATTTGAATTTGAAAAATAAATCACATTTTTTAATAGATAAATCATATCTCTTATATAAATAAATCTTTTTTATTTTTATTTTCAATCATATCTTTTTCATATTCTACATTTTGTCTGGTATGAAGGGTTTAAATTTTCTCCATCTCCTTTTTTTCTTTCTCCATCACAAAATTTTATAGACTATCATTTTTTTTTCTTTTAGTTGTTATGATGTTTTATATAAAGTTATTTTCATTTTTATCTTTGTGATGGGTACTGAAATATCCTTTGGTATGGGTCTAGATCCATGTGATATTAAAGTTATATTTTAATTATAAATGTCTTTATGTTGTTATTCATATTTTTATTTATTTTATTATTTTTTATTATCATTAAGATATTATATAGATAAAAGAAGATCTTTATTATTATATGATTATTAAATAGTAATAAAAATTAAATTATTTATAATTATTTTAACACAACTAAATAAAATTAAATTGAAGAACATATAACTTTAGTTTAGTTTATGATTTTTTTTACTTTTTATTTTTGTTAACTTTCTTTGATTAATTTTTTCTTTAAATATATTTATTAATTGCATTATTTACAATAGCTAAATAATTTCAAGTATGATTTACGTATACAAAAATTTAAAATGTTCACTTTTAATTAATAAATATATTTGTTTGTTGATTAAATTTTTTTTAAAATATTTAAAATTTATAACAAATTTTTAGCGTTGTTGTAAAGAATTATATTTTTATAATTTCTACAAAATTGTAAATAGAGTGATTAAATATTTTAATAATAAAAATAACCAAAATACTTATTTATTTAATTTATTTTATTTTATTTTATTTGAATTTTCACTTGTTCTTCCTTTACTACATTTTTAAAAAGTTGGTACAGGTGCATTTTCTCGGATAGTTATTCAACTAAACACTTTTTCTTAACCGGAGTATTATTTTATCAAATTTATTAGTCTTTTAAAAAAGAGTGTCATTTATTTATTTATTTAGTCTCTATTAATTACCTTTTTCATTAATATTTGAATAATTATTTTTTTTACAAATATTAGAGAGCTTGAAATATTTTTTTAAGTATTTTTAATATGGCTATATGTAATGTAAAATATTTTTACATATTTTTTAATGTAAATTGTCTTTTATCTTAGAATTTTTATTTTTAAAATTACTTTCTTTTAAATAATAAGTATATGAAATTTATGATCTACACGATAGATTATAAATTTACTTGAGTTTTCCTTTTTTAGGAATTGGGTATTTTTTTTTTTTAAGATATACATGGTGATACATGACGAGTATATATTTTTTAACATGATAAATATTTATGATAATAAATAAATTAATAATGTCTTAAATTTATGTGAATATATTAACTTATATTTTTTATTTTGAATATTATCAAATTTAAATAGGTTTATAAAAAAATAATTATAATTTTCTTGTCCAAACATCTCTTTCTCGAACAATTTCTTATGGACGAAGGAATTTACATGAAAAATTAATTTTTAACTTATAGGGATAATTATTAAATTAAAAAGGATGAACATTTGTTAATAAAATATTTTATAATGGAAAATATTACATAAAAATGTATTTCAATTTAAAATATTTAAAAATATTTATATCACCTAAAAATAAAAATTTTCAATAAAAGTGGGTTAAGATTTAAATTACAATAATATTAACATCCAAAATGTTTTGTGTAGATATAAGGAGAACATGTTTTGATTTTTGAAAGTATTTTAAGATGCATATACATAAAGAAACATCCAAAATATAATAACAAGGTACATTTTATTTGGTCACATTATTAGCTTCATGCCATGTATCATTGCATGGCATCTTAGAGAACTAGATCCTATGTAGTAGTTGTCAAGATGTTGTCTGCTATGAGCTAGGAGGGAGTAATGCAAATCATGACAACTAAAATCAAAGATCCATGAAATTTTCTCTTTCCACTGTAAACATGTTCATATAAAAACCAGCACTTGGGTATTTAATATAAAGCAATTGACTCAAGGTAGTCCCACCAATGCTTCTTCACCAGTGATTCAATGATATTCAGCTCAGCCTAAATCTTTCAAAAAGCTATGTGTATTTAGGTCCTACACAAAAGCTGTACATAAAAGTTTTAAGAAAAAGGAATTGCACAATGTAAATAAGAAGAATATGTAAAGACACAAGAAAATCAGTAAGAAAATATCATTCAGATACCCTGCACTTATAGAGTGAGGTTCAATTAGTTGTCCATCATCATCCTGTAGCACATAGATAGATCATAGCATCATGTAAAACTCCAACTTCCCCATTAGTTAATGTTGCCATATAGATGTGGTCCAGCAACAGAATCCAAAATATAATGAGCTGTCTCTACATTAGTCTCCCTATCCCTTTCTGATGTTGATATTTTAAAACCGGTTTTGAGAAAAATTGAAGTGGATTGGTTTGAAACACAATTCATATAAATGGTTTTAAAATGGATTTGGAGTTCATTCACAGCCCTACTAGCATCCTTCAGGGTAACAGTTCCAGAATGTATTGCTTCACCTATATTACGTAATTATCTTTTTATATAGACCAATATGTGTATCGCATACATGTTTGCAAATGTAAGTCTGAAGCATTCAACATATTTGGACTTGGACAAACTTGTCACATCACAAACCAAGTTTAATGAAGATTAAAAAAAACACTTTGGAGGACCAAGTAGAAGACTAACATTTGAGAAGGCCACATTTCCAAGCTGCAACAGAACAAGTTTTCTGCATAAGTCTCACCTCAGCCACTTAACAAAGCAGCAGAGCATTTTACTGGGACTTTCAAGTGTCTTCAACGGGTCTATAGCAACTGCATAACAATTGAGTGTGCATTTGGTGTTTGTGATTTTGTTTAATTTAATTTAGTATTTAAAATCTCATTTAAGTTGAACAGAAAAAGGAATATACAGTTCAGTTTAATGTAGTTTGATTTGGGTGAATTATTAAAATTGAATTAAATTAAACTGGTTTTTTGTGGTTTAATTTTTTATTTTTTTTCTTTGTATATTTTGTTGATCAGTGTTTAAAAAGGTAAAGAATAAAAAACTAAAAGTAAAACAATTTATTATGAAAAGGTGCATTAATGATATTTGATAAAGAAACTGGTTTAATTTTTTTGTTGAGCTAATCTTCTTAAGGGCTTTTCTTTTTTCTCCAAAATTGTGCTGAGTTTCATATCTAATAATTCTATCAAGATCTCAATTAGTTGTTGGGGCGAAAGAATTAGCACGATATTTACCTTTTTAATTTTTATTTTATTACTTTTATCATTCAATTTATTTTCAAAATTTTCAATATATCTGAAAAGATACTTGTTTTATTTTTTTCCTCTATTTTCAATAAATTATGAAAATACAATATCTAAACTGTTTTGAGACTATATTCATAATATGAAATTTATAAAAATAAAAATCTGCTGTCTGAAAAGAAAAATTAATAGCTATATAGCTTATTTTTATTATATTGATTCTAATGAATTATCAAATTTTGTAATGCTGTATATACAGTCTTGTGGCAGGGATCAAGGCTTGGATCAGATGCGCCCTCCTCTCTCCATAAATATGTGTTCATTTGCACTTTTTAAGCATGATAATTTAATTTTAAAAACTATTTATTAAAATAATGTTTTTTAAAAATTAATTACTAAAATGAGTAAATTTACCTGTGTTTGAAGAATATTGAGTAAAAAGAACACTAATTACACACCATAATTTTACAATCTAATATGTGATTCACGTTGAAAGGGTTACACGACAAGGAGGGTCACATGCTCTTCCTTATTTTGTATTTGTTGTATATATTAAAAATTAACATATAATATATTCTTCTAAATGTTACTTTTTAGCGTTAAATTTTAAATTTAAATCCTAATCTCTCGTCTGTTTTGATTAGATTTTAAAATTAAAATTTTATTTTTTAATATTGATTTAAGTTTAACTTTTTATTAATTTTTGAATTAAAATTTTATAATTTCAATTTTAATTTCTCTCCCATTTTAATTAAATTTAAAATTTAAAAATCATTTTTTTAAACTTAACCTTGTTAAAATGAGAGGAAAAAATTAATTTTGAATTCAAATTTCAATCAATATAAGAGAAAAATTAAAATGCAATCTTCAATTTCAATTTTGATTAAAGCAAAAGAAAATTTTAAATTTTAAAATCAAATTTAAATCAATGAAAAACAAAAATTTTATTTTTAATTTTAATTTTAAAATTTAGTAAAAAAAAGAAATAAAAATAAAATTTTAAATTTAAATTTCAAAAGATAACATCTAGACCATGCCCTATGTGAAAATGTATGAAGCAAAATAAAGAAGAATAATACTAATGGAAGTTGGTCAAAGTGACAAGTTTTTCGACATTGCTAAAATAATGCTTCAAGTTTGAATTATTATATATGCAAAATATTTTTAATTTTTAGTGATAGACTCATCCATCACATCCAAGTTACATACATATATATAATTTAATCAATATTTTGTAAACATCGTTAAATTTATGCATTTTAAAATTGTATTATTAAGGTTAAAAAGCTATTCATTTGAGTAAATAATTTAATTAAACATTTATTTAATAAATATCATTATTTAACAGTTTATGATAAATTTATTCATAAAATTAATTAAAATAAAATAAAAAATTACTCTAATAAATTATATTAAAAAATTAACAACCATAGACTGTTTTCATAATTTTTTTCATGAACTCATTCAAACACTCACTCCCTAACTATGGTTAGTGTCTTTTTGGTTTTAACATGACCCTCTTCCATATATACAAATTACTAAACAAAATATAGTACAGTGGACTTCAAAAAGAAACAAAGATTATTGTGATATATATATATATATATATAAGCAAACATATTTCCTTGATCTCATCATAAGTGGAAATACCAGCCACAGAAAAACTGAGTTACAACATCTCAGATTCTCGGCCTCTAAATATGTGTGTCAAAATGGCCTATTGACAACATGTGAATTAGGTGCCTCGGTGATGAATGGGTGATAGATTGCAGTCAATAAGGAATGGTTGACTTGTTTTCTTGCTTTTTCTTTTCTTTTTCTTCTCTTTTGTCCTGCTATTTACATATGAATCAGTGTAAAGAACAATTCAGAAATCAATTATGGGTTCTCCAACTGTCAGATTTCGTTCTACTGTCCATGGCAAGTTAAAGAGCTTGGCCATTATGAACTTGAAAATTTTGTTGACATTTATATTGTGTGTTGCACTTGAGAAGAAAAGGGTTGCCTTCATTGCCTTTGCATATGCCCTTGCCTGGGGGTGCCGTATAAGCAAGTTAAATTTTGAAAAGCCATGGAATATGATAAAAACTATGAAACTTTATTTAAAGTAAAAACTGTGAATTTATACCCAGAAAAGAAAAACAAAGTTATGAACTGTGAATATAACTGATCTGACTTTAATCAACATGTAGGGCCCAAAGTTAATGCTAGACGCGGAAACACAATTTCATATATGTCAAATGCTGAGGTTCAAGAAAAGACTCCAATTTATTATAAGAATTATTCTTTTTTCCCTTGTCAATCAAGGATTTAAACATGCATCAACAGGGGAAAACGACCAAGACTATGATTAAGAGAAAGTTACTAAACCTATTTTTAATATATGATTTTTGATGTCCCTAAACCATCTTCTCACTAGAACATTTTTTTATTTATCTTAAATTATTTGTTATTTTAAAATATCAAAAAACACTATTATTTTTTCAGCAATATCCTTATTTATTAAAAATATTTTTACTAACAAATAAAATAACCTTAAAATTAATTATCACTTAAGGATTGTAATAACTTCAACACTCTTAACAAGGATATTTTAGTAAATATCCTTGATAATACTAAGTGATAACTGGTATGAAATAGAGAGCATATTTTATTAAAATCAAATGATGTTACTGAATTTAAAGAATTAATAACATTAAATACTATCACTTTCAATAAGCATTTATTATTTATTAATCATTTACCTGTGTTACAATTGTCCATTGCACATCTGGAGGAAGTCTAACGAAATCATCAAACTTGGTTCCTATTAGAATGGGAATTGCAGTCTGCAAGTGAATAACATGTCATCAGAAATTTCACCAAAAATAGGTCAAATTTGGGATATTATCAGCTTTAAACATGATATATAGTTATATTAAAAAGCCATTTTGATATCTTAAACAAATAGCATACGCCACTTATCAAAATCAGTCCCTTTCTCTGTCTAATGTTAAGGAAAAAAATTAATGCCACTTAGCATTCATAATATTAGTAGTTATTAAATGCTCATCAATATAATAATGCAGTTACTCTTTCCATTTGTACTACTACGAAACTTCTCTCTTTTTTCAAGAGAGTTTCCATGTGAAAAGCCTTTGGAACTACACTTAAGCGGCATTCACTTTATGAAATAAAATCAACTCAACTAACACGAAAAGTATATAAACCATGTAACAAATTTATGGTACCTGATTCCACTTTCTTGCTTCACTATACCATCCAACAACACTGCAAAGTACCAAAAACGCAAATAATCAATGCTACTATCACACTTACGAAAAGCTTCCACCGAACTCAGCACACAGATAATGTCTCTCAGGCTACCTATTTAGTGTACAACGACTGGTGAGATCAAACATAATCAAAATAGCAACCGCATCTTTACAAGCCATGGGAATTTGATCCAGGGAACTTTTATCACCTTCACACGCCACATAAAAGTTAATATTACTCCACCATCAATAATCAATTAGGAACTCAAAACAACAAACCCAGAAAAGAAAAGGGAACAACCAAAAACAATGAAAATAAAAAAGCAAATGTAGAACACACAGAAACGAAAGGAAAGTTTAAACAAAGCACCTGCAACATCCCATATCCTAAACGAAATTCTAGCTCCTTGAACAGACAACGTCTTGTCCATTAAATTTAGTCCTTCCATTTGCAAGCTCCTCTTCTCCTGTTCATTCCCCACATACTTGATCTGAGAATAACAACCCTAAAGTTAGTTAACACTAATAGTTGAATAAAATTCATTTTAAATCATTAAAATAATTAACATACGCAACTAAATTGATTTTAATTATATATACTTTTATTCAAAAGTACGAGAATTGAATTGATATAAATCAAACACCTGCATGAACTCTTCAAAACAAATACTGATACTACTCCACATGACCCGTTTAAAAAAAATTGGTAAAGTTAGAAAGTTGCTCACCACAAAAGTAGTTTTTCCAATATGGCAATCACCCAACAAACTGATCTTGAGGTTCACCAAATCGGAGTCAGAGTCATAGCCGCTATTGGTGGCTGTGTAGTGTTCGTGTAGGAACCCGTCGTCAACGGTGGCCGGCGGCGAAGAAGAATCCCGGAGGGGCAATTTCCGGTACCGAACCGGCTTCCCCACAGAGCAAACAACGAGTCTATTCCATATAAACCGGAAAAAGTGGCCAACGAAGGATACCCTTTGGAGCACACCCCACCGGACGTCGACCTGAACGATTTTCCGGCAGAGCTGCGACATCTTCCTAGTGGTTTCGTGAATGATCTTGGCCATGGAGAAGTGGGTTGAGTTCTGATTTTCCGATGCTCATTGGCAACATAGGTAGCTGCTAATTGCTATCTTGTTCTTGGTGTTGTTGATGGTGTTGTTGTGGTGCGTTTGGTTCCTCGGTCCCACTGTTTAATATAGGGGACAGTTGACCGGTATTTTTCAATTCGCTTTCCCAAACGCTCCGAATTGCTGCTTTCTCGGTTACTGCGTAGGGATGGGTACTTTGGCAAATTCCCTTTGAGGGTTAGTTTGGGAAATTATTAAGTGGATTGGAGTGGGTCGTGTGAGTAAAACACGTAACGACTCATAATATTTAGGAGAGAAAAAATATGTGTGTCTTTGTCGATATGCATTCGACAGCTTCTTACGATGTGTGGTGTTTTAGGATAGAAAAAATATATGTTAAAATTTATTATTTGATTTTAAAATTTCTAGAAGCAAAAAAAAAAAAAAAAAATATAATTGATGATGTGATGTGAAAAATATATATATATAACAAGGTGGGTATACAAATTATTTAGAATAGTATAAGAAAATCATTTGAGTTGGAGGAGTTATCTGGTGTGGAGAGGGCACTTTATGTGATCTAGTGTCCTAATTTATTCTTTAATCCCACTGCTTTAAACAGTATTCATGACTTGAAAAAGTAGCAAATAATTCTTTTTTGAGATATATATGAATTATAATTAGTGTTGGTTATTATTATCATTCCATTGTTAGTTTGAATTGAAGCGTTACCTGAATGATTACATGCATTAAGTGATATATGTTTTTCTTTAATATATTCCCTCAACTCTAAGTATAAAATAATTTTTTGCTAACAAAATGATAATCTTTTAATAATGGCTTATTCAATAAAGATTAAATTAAAAACATATACACTGTTATTTAATAATAGTAGTAAACATTGGTCATTAAATATACTTAAATACTTAACATGTTAAACACGTCTAATATATTTGAAGCTATAGGTGATAAAAACGCGCTTTTGAATTTATTTTGGTGAAGTCAATTACAATGATCATGGTAAAATTAAATAAAAAAAAAGTGTTTAGATTTGATTGTAGTTGATTTCTGAAAGTGACGAATAGACCAGTGGAAAAGTTGAGTTAGATTGTAGTACTTAACTAATTTGCACATTAGGAATTTTACTATTATCATTTTATCAATTGTTGGTATGATTAATGACAATCTACAGAATGGTGCTCTGATTGGTGGATCTGAATCAAGTCATCACAGATTATTTGATTAAGTTAAAGGCTGCTCCAAGCCTGCATGTTTCTAGCTTAGTGATTAAAATTTAAATTAATACACATTGAAAAAATAAAATAAAAATTACGAACTACACATCACATGTGTCCAAGTCCCACCACGGTTTTTCCCTTCAAAGATTTATGTCTTTTGGTTATATTAAGGAAATAAATATGATCAATAAAATAGAATAAGATGATAAGAAAGTAGAAAAGCATTAAAATGTCAATCTAGTTCAACGAGAGGAAAATTAAAATGTTTTTGAATTTTATTTAATTTACGTGTATTTCTTTGATTTGTGCTACTAGATGGCAAACCTTGGTACGAGATGAGTTTGTGGAAATCAATTTTACTTTTTCCTTAAGATTTTCATTTGGGATAGAGAATGCCCCAGCAGATCTAAAACCCATGTATTAATTTATTGTGGAATCTTGCTAATTCCAAATATTGCCCTAAATGAACCTATCTGATTATAAATAATAACACTTTAATTAGGAGGGTTACCTTTTTAAAGGTGGTCCATATGCATAAAAGTATAGAGCAAGGTATCTATAGTTTTATAGATTAATCAAACCCACCAACCTATCTAGCTGTAACATTTTTTTTATATACATTTTTAATGTGAATTTATTCTGTTAGTTACATAGATCAATAAGTTTGGATAATGAAAAGAAATGAAGGGTTTTCACCAAACTTATAGTAGTAGTAACCATTATTATTGATCAACTAAATTATATATTCCACTAAGCTTCATGTAACTACAAGTACTGTGAATGATAATTATTAATTAAGATATGGTTTGAACTTATGATGGAGTATCTAGAATGAGGATTATTTAAAGATTGAGTTAGACATGTTGATGCCAAGAACACGAACACACGTGTTCACAAACAGAGAGAAAGTGAAAAGCACACGGCTTGGAATGATGCTAATAACAAGACGTGTAATTGATGCAATTGAGTGATGGGGTCCTTTGCAAATTGATTTTTGTGTTAATTGTTCGTGGAAGTTTGGTAAAGTTTCAAAGTGGGTTTTGTAAAGTTGTGAATTTGTCTTCCTAAAATTCTACAATGCGTGTATTGTACGTGAAATACTTTGGGTGGGGTTTCATACCATCTTTATACAAATTGGCAATCTTATTCACTTAATTTGTTGAAAAGGGTCTCAAAAAAAGCACTTAATAAAATGATTTTTTGTTCCAAAGTACAAGTACTTGAATAATCAAATGCAGAAACAAGACTAATATGAAAGATATATTTGGTTGTTGATGAAAGTTTAAATAAGACTAATATGAAAAGTGAAGAAATAATATGTATAATTAATGTGTGAGAGTAACTTCGTGGGAAGCAAATTTTTCAGATATCCGAAAATAGTAATTTTTTATTAAAAAACAGATTCATTATATTAAAATTATAAAATATGTTTTTTTTTTACAACATATTAGTATTATCAGTTAAACAAAATGGTCAACGTTGAGTATATATAGTGGATTGGGCCTTAGAAGCCCACTGATCCAAATAAAAAGAATATGATTCTTGTGGCAGGCCCAGTTTGATTAATGGGACCTTAGACGATGATGTTTGAAGAGGATCATTTGCGATAGTAACCAGAAGTATAGAAAGTTCACTATGGGAAGAGTTAGACAAGTGAGAAGGCAAAGACATGGTAGAGGTTCTTCTGGGAGCATCACCTCCCCGACTTTACTCTTCTTCTTATCCTTCTATTCCTCGGTAAAAAATCCAACACTTTTTTTTTTTGTTTTTCTTTCTTTACCTTTTTCATTTTTAGCATAATTAATGTTGTAATTTTGTTACTGAGCCTTTGTTTTTTATGCCCCTATATTTCTTTTCCGATTCTGGATTACGCCTTTATATATTTTTTAAATTTCCCCTTAATTTGAAGTATTTTAACAATGAGTCTTTTTTTTTTCCCATGTTTGTTGCAGATTCTCTCTCTTTCTTGTTTTGTTTTCTCCTCCAATTTTTAGTTTGTGTAATGTAGCTTTATGTTCATATGCTCAATATTCCTGAATGAATTTTCATTTTTATAATCCCAGAATTTTGTCATGTGATAACGAACTTTTAGTGAGTTAGATGATAGATTGCTCTTTTCTCATTGTTGTCTTCCTCTTCCATTGAGATTCAAAGATCAATTTTTATCTCTTCATTAGTAGATGACTAGATGCTGTAAATGTAAAACTTTTGCTAAAACAAGATACTCAATCTGGGATTTCTTGTGAAATTTTTTCTTCTTTTTTCTCATTGTTCAGATAGGATGAAATTTTGTTTCCAGGCAATGCAGGACAGTGTCAGGTAGAACATTGGTGAAGTGCTCGTTGGAACTCCCAAGTAAGGTTCTGACAAAGCATGTCTTATCTGGGCTGGCTGCTTCCTTGATACTTATTTCACCAGCAAATCAGGTTTGTATTGTATGCCAAAGCCCAAGAATGTTACCATTTACATTTCAGATATGCATGCAATTTCATGATGGGATATCGTCAATACCCATCTTGACTTACTTAATGTTCTCAGAATATTTTTTCCCCCGAATAAATGGTGGTTCTTAATCCAATTTTTATGACTCCATAATTACATGGACATTGGCCAAAGAAAAGTAACTGCTATTAATTATTGTAATTTGCATTATCAGGTGCCATTACATTTTCATGTGGCTCTCTTTACTCACGTAGGTTTTTGTTTTTGTTTTGTTTTGTTTTTGTTTTTGTATTCACTCTCTAATTGTTCCCACATTGAAGTTCTTACGTAGGCTTGATCTAAATGGAAATGCAGCAAATAGAGAATATTATTGATTAATATAGAAATCTAGTAAATAAATATATGTCTATTCTTATGATGAGTGAGCTGTTTTAACTTTTTGCTCTCTTATTTCATTAACAGTCTATTGCAGCAGATCTATCTCGTGCACAAAATATATGCCAGGTTGCTGTTGCAAGTAATAATGCAGTTACTTCACCATTTGAGAATGAATCTAATGAAAAAGGTGCAAATCTAATGATGATGAGGGGTATGACAGCCAAGGATTTTGACCCTGTTAGATATTCAGGAAGATGGTTTGAAGTTGCTTCACTTAAACGTGGATTTGCTGGACAAGGCCAAGAAGACTGTCATTGCACTCAGGTAAATGCTAAAATAAATATAGCAGTGAATATACAGGACATATATATATATATATATATATATATATATATATATATATATATATATATATATATTAAAAGAGTGGTTTATATTTAGGTTCTTCCATCTTATTTCCCTAATCAATTTCATATTATTCATAACATATTACTGAATTTCAGATTTATAGACAAAATCCTGAGGTTTTTCATTGTTCATTAGGCATGTGTGGAAAATTCTGTCAATAACAGTCCACTACATCTTGGAGACAAGCCTTGTCATTGACTTTATTTGGCACCAAAAAGCTTCCTGATATTAATTTGGGTAAACTAATGATATTTCAGGGCGTATATACATTTGATAAGGAAACCCCATCTATCCAAGTTGATACTTTTTGTGTTCATGGAGGGCCTAATGGATATATAACCGGAATTAGGGGAAGGGTTCAATGTCTTTCAGAAGAAGATTTAGAGAAAAATGTGACGCAGCAAGAGAAGCAGGAAATGATCAAAGAAAAATGCTATCTCCGCTTTCCTACATTGCCATTCATTCCCAAGGAACCTTATGATGTGATTGCTACTGATTATGACAATTTTTCTCTTGTTTCAGGAGCTAAGGACAGAAGTTTTGTTCAGGTATTTGCTGACACAAGAAATATAGCGTTACTCAAGTGCTCTTGATTATGTGTTAAGCAAGCATTCTTACTTTGTAGTTATTTTTAACTTTATATTAAAGGCTTTTTCTGAAATTTCAATGATGACATGTATGTCATCTAAATCTAATGTTAGTTTATTATGCTAAGATAAATAAAAAGAAACAATACTACATCATGCAGTTCTTTAATTAATAGCTATTAATTAGCATGGGAGTATATCATTCTGTTTTTGCTTTTAGTGTTGAATTATGTCTTGATAATTTGGGAGCTAGAAAAGTGTTCTTGAACTAGGGAAGCTTGCAGGAATCAGGTTAACATATATTTCCCAATGATCAATATTGCAGATATACTCAAGGACACCTAACCCTGGACCTGAATTTATTGAGAAGTACAAATCTTACCTAGCAAACTTTGGATATGATCCAAGTAAAATCAAAGATACACCCCAGGATTGTGAAGTAATGTCCAATAGTCAACTGGCAGCTATGATGTCCATGTCTGGAATGCAGCAGGCACTAACAAACCAGTTTCCTGATCTGGGACTGAAGTCCCCTATTGAACTCAATCCCTTCACAAGTGTATTTGACACTTTGAAGAAGCTTCTTGAGCTTTATTTTAAGTAGTAACTAATTACCGTAGTTCAATTACGTTTGCTTCTTCTTGTGTTTTAAGACAAGACAATTTGCTATTTGTACATTCTTCTTGTACGTGACAAATATTTAGCTATCCTTGATAGCAGCCTATGTGTACCATGTAAAGTATAATCTACCTGTGTCTGGTGAAATCCTTTGTATTTGACTAACAATAAGCGATCTTGAGTGTATCCTTTATAATTGATTCATTTCAATATCCCATTTTTAGTCTGATTATTGTCAATTCTTCCGTGGAAAATAAAGCTTCCCGTGTATGATTGTAAGTTATTTAATTAATATTTTTAAATCTGAATTATCAAATATTACTATTATCAATACCCAACTTCAAATGTTCAGTCTTAAATTGGAGTAATCTAGTTTACAATAGATGTCTTTGCGTTGTTTTAATGTCATAGTCATTAGTGATATATATGCTAATAAATGATAAGGACCATTGGTATTTAATAAAAAAACGCAAAATCAGTAACGTCAACATTTTTGTTTCACTAAAATAATACATTTGCATAAGAAATCTGACAATTGTTAAAAGATGGAATATTCTGTAAAGCTATATTTTTATAGCCTTTATTCTAGGAATAATGAGAACACAAATCGCAATCAGGTCACTTAAGAAAATAGTAGCCCTTGCTATTGCTTAAAGAGGGAAAAGAAGAAATTGTAAACATTTTTTTTAACACATCCTTTCTAATGCATTTAGTTATTGGTTAAAATTAATTAAAAGTTACAAAAAATTAAGTAAATTTTACTCTCTCATATTCTTAATTTAATAATTTCCTTTTATATTTTTGTAATTTTTAATAAAATTTATCAATAATTAAGAATATGTTAAAAAGTACGTTTTTAAACCTTTCCTTCGATCTAATAGACATGACAAACTCTTCGTTTTTGTTCAAATAATGACAATTGATTAAAAAAAAAAAAACACAAAAAATGACAAAATCTCTTATGGATGACTGTTTTTTATTTACATTTTTGTATATAGGCATCTTCAAAAGTATTTGAGCATAATGGCACATAGGAATAGCTTCTTAAAACTTTGCCTTCAACTCAAGTATGATTGTCCAAAGGCCCCAAAACAAAAATAAAAATCGGTACTGAATTTCTGAACAGTTTACACGATCAAATGAAAAACATTTAAGTTGCGAAGACCGAGATGAAATAGGCCGGTTTCATTGTTACAACTTTCAAATATTGCTAATGCCACATAATCACCTATTAGTTATCTCTTTAATGAAATATGCAAAAAAAAAGCAGAACAGAATCGAAAAAGTTGATCATACTTTTAAAAATACAACGATAAATGATTGAATTTTCTTTTTTTTTAATAAGAAACAGTTGAGTTGTCTTTATGACTACTTTGCACAGCCGTGGCTAAAAGCTAATAAAGGCATTCACAAATTTAATCATCAATAAGTTATTTGAGCAGCTTATCCACGTCTATTCCCATGCATGCCTAAAGATGAAGCTCCTCTTAGGGACTAAAAGGAGTTTAAAATGAATGGTGTGCCATATATTTTTAAAATGCACAATATGGATAAAATAGTAAGGACCTGTTCCTATTGATGAATGAGAAAGGGCACTCCTGAATTTGGTTATTAAGTGTTTTTCTAGCTTGTGAAATGGAATCTATGGCCATTAAGTTCAAGTACTAGTGAAATGAACTACCCGTGAGTAACACAACAGCAAAGGCCCTGAAGAGGGTCCACCAACAGTGGCTCTTTCTAGGGTGTAATGGCACAAGTTCCCCAAACTTTGCTCGATCACTTTTGGGTAGTAAGGTAGGGTAATAATAAATATACTTCTCTTATTTAAACAATTACAAATTGACATACTGACACCTGATGACACTGTATATAATTATTTCTGTCTCTTACTTTTTTTGAATCTCTTTTTATATACACATCATAAAATACACCTAAAAAGCAGTGTGTTCAAGATACATTATTGAATGTATACAGATAACAGTGGAATGAAGGGAAGAAAAGGGTTCCATAATGCAGAAAATAATTTAAATATACTAAAGCATGATTCGGATAGCATAATAATACAGTTGCAAAACAACAAATTTTGAGTGAAGAAAAAATATGAATCCTGCATCTTGGTTTTGCCAATAGCAAGGTTTTTGGCTTATTTCAAAATAATAGTTAACTCATTGGTATATATGGATTTTGTAAATAATGTTTTACCTTTGTCACACCCCTGCAAAGCTTTACATAAAACCAAATCATAAAATAAATAGAGCCAACTGAAGCAAAATCATCCATAACTCCCGAAACCTCAAAGGCATTCGAATAAGTTGTTGCTTTCCTAATTTAGTTAGTCGACTATTCCTTGCCCACTAATACACCAAGTAAAAACGCCAATTTACTTAAAATGACAATGGAAGAGATCGTCCTTCATTTACCTTTCACATGAATCCCATCAGATCCAATCCACACTGACAAGAGTTCCAAACCATGACCTAGCATGTACCTAGGAGCATGATGAAACTTAAAGTAGTTAAAAGTGTGGAACATTAGTTAGGAACTCGAGTGTTTTAACTGCTAGCACATGAATGCAGTGACCATGTCATCAACTAATCTCTCTCTCAACCACACAGACTTATGCCATGCATTTCAGATATAGAATGAAACCACATCTCTTGAAACAAAAGAAAATGCCCCAAAGTCTCTGCAATTTCCCCACTAGACCAAACCCACAAACAACCATTCTTAAATCAAAAGACTTTGCTTTCTCCAGAACACCAATCAAACAAAGCATGCATAAATCCACTACCCTTCACGACGACACAAAAGACATGGCTGAATTTCCACCAGTAGAAATAGGCACTCGAGGCACGGTTGCCTCCCTCATTATGCAAGAAATTGAGTACTTCAATAGGATTGATTCGAATTCACAAGACAGTTCACAGAGGAACAAGTTCGAAATTACAGAAGTGGGTTCTTCCATTAGTACAAGTTCCAGAACTACATTTGTATCTACAGTAGAAGAAAGTACAAAGAAAAAGCGAGGAAGTAGCAAGCTCCTACCAAGCATGTGTTCTATGGTGGATGTATCAGACAATGGTAGGCCAAATGGGACCTCAGCATTCGGTTACAGGAACCTGAAGTCAGACACTAAAAATTTTCAGGTTTAGATAATGCTCTCAGACAGCTTTGAAAAACCAAGCTTCTTAAGACGACTTGTTAAGGGTGTAGCCCAAGCCTTTTCTGCATTACCACATTTTATGTCCACAACTTCAACAATGTTAGGTAACTTTTTATCATTTTTCTCCCTGACTGGAACTCTGTCCACCGAAAAGCTATCAGAACCTAGCATGGGTATTCTATGTGTATTTCTGCCACTAGTTTTTGTTTTCTGGGATAGGCCAGGACTTCTACGGTTTGTACTTTTACTGCTTCCACTGCTACTGGCTTCAACTGATGATTTTCTTGGTTGTAGTCTTTTTGGAGTTGTATTACCACATGGAATTGAAACAGGAAGTGCTTGAGGTTTACTTCTTGAAGATACCTGCTTGTGTGGTGCAGAAGAGATGTGATCCAATTCCCTTGTCATTAAGGAACTGATTGTTCCTGTGGTCCCTAGCTTAATGGATCCTCCTCCACCCTTAATACCTTCCAGACTCTGAGCCATGTTCCTATTACTTCCAATTACAGATATTCCAGTCTTTGAGATGGATGCTCCAGCAAAATTATTCAATGGTCTGTTACACTTAACAAATTAGTGTCATCCAGTGATTTGAGTTTAAGATGTAAAGTCATCAGTTTCTTATAATTATTTGGTTGTTTTATCTTCCTTGTACTAGGATTGAAATAAAGAAATAAATGTTATATTATGCAAGGGAAAGTGAGGTGAGCAAGAGGGGTGGGGAGGGGAGTTAGTACTTACTAGATTCACCAACAAAAACATAGTTCCAGCTTCAAATCAACAACAGAAAAATAGCAATTGTGAAATAATTCATAAACAGTAATCCCCACTTAGTTTCTAGAAATTTTATGCTACAAAACAAGGAAACCCGTTTTCCAGGAGGAAAAACCAAAACTAGGTGTAGAGAGAAAAATAATGATTTAAGTTGGTGAAGTAATGAAATGCAGGTCACCAAGTGGAAATATCATATAGCGCATCATCATTTCAAAAAACATTGTTCATACAAGGTACTTCCTCTCTCTGTGTAGGCCATGAGACAACAACCACACATAACTTCAGGACGAAGATGCCAACTCAACTATAATCATTTGTTATGGCACTGTCCATGGAAAGAAGGGGAGAAAAAAAGAAATCACCCTCAAAGCAAAAAATCACTACCAATTCACAATGGTTAGAATGAAGCGGAATCAAATCTAAAACACTATCCACATAGAAGGGTGAAATGAATCCAGCTTAACCAAAAGACAAGCAAAACCAAACACAAGAATCATCAAATTTGACAATTTAAAGAAGCACATACAAAATCACAAACAGAAAACCAATGGTTTCGCTTGAGCATAGAAGCGAAAGGAAAAGGCTTTAACTTTCAGTTCAATCAATTTGCCTCACTTCATAGAATGATAATCTAATTCTAACAACCCATTACTACACTAAACTGCAGAAGAAAGAAACACATTTTAGATCCACAACTGCTAACATCAAATAGAGGGGAAACAAAGTTTGGTATCGTACCCACAACAAGATCATGGCTCCGCACGTTTGGAAATTGCAGATTTGAAACATGCCCAACAGAGGCTGGGAACTATTTTCCAATCTATGATGCTAAATTTACTGAAAACTAAACTTGGGTTTGAATTTAAGGCAACGAGTTTTAGCAAAAGCTGTTCTAGAAAATCTTATGTAATCTAACCAACTTTTAGGAACACTTTCTGTGTGTCTTATTTTGGAGCGTGCGCATCCAATGCTGTTGATTTGACTCCCAAACATCAACGTGGTAGAGTGGAAAAGTTAATTTTCCCACCAAATATTCACAACTCATTATGAAGAAATCAATTTATAATCATGAACATAAAATATTGGGAGGAAATTGGAAATGGAATGCCACTCACTATTACTATCTTTCATTATCGATTTAATTATTGAATTGACAAATAGCTAAAATAATTTGTTATAATAAGTTAATGAAAATCAATAAAATGTAGATAAATGCAATCATGACGTCATATTGTAATTGCAATTGTAATAAGCTCGAATTCCCAAAATAAGAGGGCAAAAGTCAGAAAATGAGGCTCATCAGCACAGTTGGATCACATGGCTACGAACAGGCCAAGGCGACAGGATCGAACTTAAACCCCTTCATCCCTGCCATTCTCAAGTTCATGCACCCCTCTATGCTACCAAGAAATAGTAAATAAGATAATGTGATTCACATAATACTTCAATTTTACTATTATGCTTCTAATAGTATTAAAACAAAATAAGCATTTCAACACTACACACTTTTTCTTTTCATGATCAGAGTATAAAACTATTATTATTGAATAAGAATTTTTAACATGCCACACTATGACTCTTGAGAATAATGTTTAATTTACTGCAACTACATAATAAATCACTTTTATTTACATGCAACATTATTGGATGTTAATAATGTGAAAATTTTTAGGTGCATCAAGTTTCATACTTATGCTTCTAATTATTGCAAGAGAGTGACATTACACGACTACCTAACACTTCCCATACGCCAGCCCTACAAGTTTCACGGCTCCGTAATTCGCACGTTTGGAAATAGCGGTTTCGGAAAACGGACCTAAAACAATATCTAATGCTGAAATTAACTCAAAATAAAACTTTGAACTAATGTTAATGTTTTTGATTCAATAAAAACTGATTATTAAAGTTTTTATTCAATTTCAATAAAAGTTGGCTAAATTATAATAAATTCATAAAAATATCATATCAAATGAACTAAATTTGAAATTGAACAAGATTTAAATAATCTATATTTTATGCATGTATTGCAATGTAAATTTTCCTTTTGAAGTAATTAATTACAATGTTATATATATGAAATGATAAAACAAAAGCAACAAAAGTGTAGTAAAAATTATTTTTCATTATAAAGAATCATTTAACGTTTAACATGTCACAAATATATTTTATCTTTGAACTCACTCACCAGCTTTTATGTACTCAATATCACCAAAGAAATAATTATAGGAATAGAAAGGTAGAAGCTGTTGAAATGGCAGGCTTGGCTTTTCCCCAATTTTGCTATATAGGTAAATCACAATGACCTTACAAACTTGAATATATTACTTGTTATGTTGGCCTCCTAAAATTCCTTTGCCAAACTCACTGAATATGATTGGACAAAAGAACTACGAGAGAAAATGGAGATGAATCAGAGAGCATTTGAGTAGTAAGTAAAAGTTTGGATAGAAAACAAAATTTTAAATAGCATACAACATTCTACATGAGAAGCAGAACTTTCCATTTATTGAATTCGTAAGTAGTATCCCTTGGAACATTTCAAACACACCATCATAACAACATTACATGTAAACTATAACATCTACATAAAAAAGTTAGAAACATCGCTTATTCCAAGGTTATTTAATTTGTCCTGTATAAGAACAATTTCTCTCTGTGCAGCTGCAACTTTATCCTCAAGCACACTGAGTTCCACACGCAACTTGGTTGCTTGTGCTGACCAGTTGTTGACTTGCTCTTGGAGGTCTCCAATTCTATACGCCTCTTTCAAAAGAATTGTTGAAGACAAGGCTCTTTCAACTGCTGGACTTAACCATTCTAAATCCAGCTTCATAAACTTCAAATCTTCCCAATACTTTTGTAATTCATCCACACATTGCACCATGTCCTTAATGGTAACATTCTTCATCAGAAACAGAACCATTCCTAAGCAATTAAAAGCACATTGCCAAAATATCAAAGAGTGCCCTTCGTGAAGTTTCATTAAGTGGGGTGTCCTTGCACATGCCTCCTCTAGGAGAGGCAAGAAGGATTCATCCACCGAGCACAAGCCACCAAAATCCACCATATTTCCTGAAGGTTTTGGAATGGTAATTGGTTCTCCAGGATTCAAGGTTCCCTCAGCAACTGGGAAATGATCCTCTACAACAACAGTATGAGATTCTGTCTGTGTCATATGTAGACTAGTCCTGTCTTGAAATTGAACATCACTTGGCGAAAAATCATTTCCATCTGCATCAGCATCACTTTCAAAGTCCTCGTGAAGTTTATTGTTATTAACCAACTCTTTTACACAATCTGCATATTTTGCCATTGTAACTGGATTCTCCGCATATCCAATGTGCTGCCCGAAATCACGAAGCAGATCATGCACCCTCACACAGTCTCGTGTATCAGAAGGCATAAGCAAACAACAGTCTATGAGTTTATTGACAGACACCTGAACCATGCTTTTCACACGGTCATTGTTGTCTTGGCTACCACATAGGTCCATTCGTATTGCAATATTGACAAGATCTCGCATGTGAATTTGATAATCTTCAGGAAACAGACAACACACCAAAAACAGCAACTTGGCTTGATTGCTTTTTAAATTAGAATAGCTTAATTTGAGAGTTGAATAAATATCATCTTTTATATACTCTTCCTGGGGACTGTTAGATGCTTTCATACTTTGTAACACCGCCTTCCATTCATCAATGTCCTTACCTCTTAAAGCCTTAGCAACAACATTAATTGCAAGGGGCAACCCCTTACATTCCTTCACAATTTCCTTTCCCAAATGAAACAGATGGGTTGAGGCATTGTTTATACCTGCAAGCATCTTGAACGACTTCCAAGCTTCATCTTCACTAAAAGCATTCAGTTGGAAGATGTTTTGACATCCCATGGACAAACATAAATCATGTGCACGAGAAGTGAAGATGAATTTAACATTATAAGGGATACCTATTTCCTCCAGGTTCATTTGCTTCCAAATATCATCCACAACTACAAGTACACGTTCGCTGTATTTTATTCTCTGCCGTATTCGCTCTGCTCTTGATGCTTCATCTTCTTCGACCAGTTTCAAACCTAACATGTCTGCAGTTTGACCCTGCAAACGTCTGATATCTGGGCTGATAGATACATAGAGAAATACAACCACATCAAAGAGCTTCATTTGCATTGCTGTCTTAGCTACTTGTTTGGCCAAGGCTGTCTTACCACATCCACCAATTCCCGTAAGTCCAATTTTGTGGTCATTATCTTCTTGTAGGAGATTCAGAATATCATCAAATATGTCCTTTAAAGATTGAGACCACAAGAAATCAGAGGAACTCTCTGTGCTGACTCTCACAATCACACTCTGAGTTGTAGTCGATGTTTGACCAACACTTTTAGAACTTTTGTACCGAAAAAACCTCATCAGCTTCGGTCCCCCAAAGTGTCCCATGATGCTATTACTACCACAACTACACCACAAAACAAGAGTTGTAACTAGTTAATTTATAGAATACAGTATAATGTTTTTGTTCCAAAGCTAAGCAGTAGATATGTTACCTTCCTCCGGCGAATTTTCTTTGGGCTTCAGTTCTGCCTCTGGATCATCACCACCACCTACTCAATTTTCTTCAAAACAATTCTTAGTGAAGGAATAGAGTCGTTGACTCCAAAAAACAATAGTCTTTATTTATTTATTTAGTTAAATATACATGTGGTTTAGTTTCGGAGTTCTTTATTATACTTTGTTAACATTTTCAACATGTCCTAGATACTGCCACCACGATAGGTTCACACACGATCCAACTAATCTTCTCTGTACAAAATTAGTTTTTTTTAACCTTACAAAATAGGTTACCCAAATGTGTCCAACTAATTTATTTATTTTTATCATTTTAATCAACTAATCTATTTTATAAAAAATAACTTACCCAGCTGTCGTAGGGCTATTGCCACGATAGGTTCCCACTTACTTATTGGATTAAAACAACTTTTTTATATATTATAAATTTATATTTTATTTTAAAAACTTATTTTAAATGATAAAATTAATAATTTTTATATTCAATAAAAGAATATTTTGTTAATATAAATTTTATAAAAAATAACAACTAATACGTCTAAAAATATTTTTTAAGAATTTTTTTTAAATAAAACTTAAAAAATATTTTTGTATTTCTAATAAAAATAAAGGTAATAATATTATATCAATCTTAATTTATATAATAATTTTGAAGTTTAAATTTAAGTCAATTATCTGTTATAAATTTTTTATTAAATTTAAAAGTTTATTTTAATTTATTAATATTTTTTAAAGTTCAGATTAAATGTCAAAATTTTTAAATTTATTTTAATTTTATACGATGACATGTTACTATTTTGTATTGTTGAACTTTTATTCCTATGGCAGCCCTGGATACAGCCAAGCATCTTCAGTCAACGTCAATGGGTGGAAACATCTTTGGTTGTTCAGTGTTCACACTTTACACACTGGACAGCACTTATTTATTTGATCCTTACAACTCATCAATTCTCACTGAGTTTTCTGTCATAAGCGTAGCTTACGCTTTCTTCTACTCTAACCATTGTTAAGGTGGAGAAATTGCCCTCACCACTTCGGTCAGTGACTTCACCACTCCATCTTATTTCATAATACAGTGTCTCATTATTCTTTCCTTTTATATAAATTCAGAGAAAAAGCAGTAATTTCTTTTATTTAATTATTTTTTACTTTTAGTTTCTTCCTGTTTAATTTTCGTTTGTTTCTTGTCAATTCTATTTTATGGGCATGATGCTATCTTTAGATTTTGCAGTTGCAGAACTCAACTCAGATTTTTGGTTATCACCCTATTTTACCTTCTATTTACATGACTAGACAAATTACTAAACCAAGAAAGTAACATGTCCAACTGATTTCATATCCAAAAACATCATGAAAATGCCTCAATTCTAACAACTACATATGCTACAAATATTTCATTTCATTTCATTTCATGACATATATAGCATTCCATCTTAACAAATTCAAACAAGAGAACAAACTAAAATTCCATTCTATCACTAGATGGGAGGAAGAAACGGTGATGACGTTGCAATTGAGATTGAAAGGATGTTGGAAAAGGCAGAACCGCTTTTTACAAATGAAAATTGCGTCTACCGTGTGCCCAATGAAATCCGCAAATTAAAGAAAGATGCATACACTCCAAAGGTTATTTCAATTGGCCCTTTTCACTATGGTGACAAAAGGCTGCAAAATACGACAAGTCTTAAACAGATATATTGCCAAAAATTCATCAAAAGAGCAGGGACAACCTTGGACAATTTGGTCAGCTGCGTGCGTGACTTAGAGCCAAAAATTCGTCGGTGTTATTCAGAGAAAATTCAGCTTAGCTCCGAGGGATTTGTGAAATTGATATTAGTGGATTGCTGCTTCATATTTGAGTTTTTCATGAGGTACACTACTCATGAATGGACACACGATGATCACGCTATGCCATTAAAACCTTGGTTGACAAGTAATATAAGATTGGACTTATTATTACTCGAAAATCAACTTCCTTTCTTCGTTCTGGAAAAGATCTACAATGAGGCTTTCACCTCTAGGCTTAACCATACTCACCCTTCATTTTTGGAGCTCACTTTTGAATTTTTTGATGATTATAACACACTGAAATTGAAACCCAATTTTACCATAGAACACTTCACTGATCTGATCAGAACATTTCACTTGCAACCGCGCGATAGACGACCTTCAAGACGAGGTGAAACAGTTATGCAACTTGACAGTGCAATAGAGTTAAGTGAAGCAGGTGTAAAGTTGATAGTGAATAAGAAAAGCAATTGCTTGCTAGACTTGGAATTTTCAGAGAACTGTCTTGAAATTCCGGAGTTTAAAGTGGAGGATTGGACTGAAATATTGTTTAGGAATATGGTGGCTTTGGAGCAATGTCACTATCCTGATGAATCCTACATCACTGATTATGTTGTTGTCTTAGATTTCCTAATTAACACAGGAAAGGATGTGGATTTGTTGGTTCAGAAAGGAATAATTAGTAATTGGATAGGTGATAGCAATGCTGTGGCTAAACTGTATAATGGCCTATGGAAAAATATCATCCAAGTGAATTTTAATTCACATTATCTTGGCATTTGTCAAGAGTTGAATGCGTACTGCAAACATCCTTGGCACAGAAGAAAGGCAACATTGAGACGTGATTATTGCAAGACTCCATGGCAAACGGTTGCTTCTGCTGCTGCAATTATACTTCTTGTTCTTACCATTATTCAAACTGTCTGTTCAATTCTCCAAGTTGTGCAACAATAGGTTAGTGCTTAGTTTAAGGTGCTTCTAGTAGTGCTTCTTGTTCTTACCATTTTATGTTTGCATGTTTCCAATTTTAAGTATCTGAATGGTTCGTGCACTCCTTTCTCACTTTGTATTAATAAGGTTATATTTGTTTGTAACTAATGGTGAAGATGAGTCTAACATTGAAAGGATCCTATAACTTTCAGAAGCAATTGTTCTCAAATACCATACGCAGAAATTATTTCTAATCAGCACTACAGTGCCAAACTCCTCCACTGTGTCACAAAATCTCAATCTCAAGATGCAAGACCGAGTGTTTCGTGGTTTAAAAATGCTGAATACTGTTTCAATCATCATTTGTCCAGACTATTCATAGTCATTCCTTAGCTTGGACAGGGCATTTAGTCCATGTTCCTATTATGGGATCTCGGGGAGAACATGTTGGATGAAATAATTTTTTCGGAACACTTGAACATGGGGGAATGGATTCATGATTAGTTGAATGTCATTGTTCTCGTAGCAATAATTGACATGTACTGCAAGTGTGGATCTAATGAAAATTCTATATCAAATATTGTTTGAGTCATCACCCACAAAAAGATTATCATGTTGAAATTCCATCATAATATGACGAGCAAAGGAGAGACAGAAAGAGAGGAAAATTTGAAGAGAAAAATTGAGAGTACGTTTGTTTTCCATTTTGAAAACAGTTTTTAGTTTTTAATAATAAAATTTTATTTTTAAAAACTAAAAACTGTTTTCAAAATGGAAAACAAACATTTGAGTTGCTAATTTTTTTCATATGGGGAACATCCACTTACCATGTTCTCTTTCAGTATCAGAAACTGTGAACTAATGATGAATAATGGCAAAAACGTTGGTGAATAATGGCTCCGTAATTCGCACGATTGGAAATAGCGGTTTCGAAACAGATCTAAAACAATATCTAATGCTGAAATTAATTGAAAATGAAACTTTGATTTGGACTGGAAATTTGGAATTGAAGACAATGTGTCATATGCTCTTACCAACAATTTTTGACGCATTTTCCATGCTTATTATGGAGTGCGATTCATTGGTATTGATTTGATTCACATCATTGAGGCAGGTGTGTAAAAGCGACAAATATTCGTAATCCACTATGAATTGCGAGTGGAAATTGGAAGGTTTTACGAATGAGAAATTTTTTTTTCTGAATTCAAGAATTACCGTGGAATTGTCCTGTTTATAATCTTGAAGTTAAGAGAATTTTTGTTCGTAGGAATGGAGAGGAGAGTAGACTAAAAAGACTACCAAAATCAATTCGAAGATAAAAATAAAAATGTAATAGTTTAAGATAAAAATTGAAACATGAGAAAAAAGTTAAGACTGAAGCACGAAAAATAAAGTACTTCTCATCCCTTGTAGATGCAATCTCCAAGTGTTTCTAACGAGTATTAATGTTTTTTTATTCAATTTTGGTTATATGTTTAGGTAGATCACAATGATCTTACAAACTTAGTAATAGATATTACTAGTTATATCGATCTTCTAAAATTCCTTTCTGTCTGATGGCAAAACTATCATGCCAAACTTGCTGAATATGATTTGGCAAAATATGGACCAACTAAAGAATTGGGATAAAAAATGGACATGGAGAAGAAAGCATTTGACAACAAATGTAACTTTTGAATAATAAGTAAAAATTGGATAGAAAAAAAAATTGTTAAACTATGTGACATCCCATGTATCAATGGGGGCAATTCCTGGTTGGATATGTGATATCTCGAGCCTTAATAAAGGCAAAGAGTGATCGCTAGTATAATGAGACATAGATAAAAAGTAGCTCTTAAGATACTTCCAATAGAAAGTACATGTGAATAAATCAAACATATACCGAAATGAGAGAAGAATATAAAGATTGTATAGGTATGAAACTATTTAGTTTAGAATAACATAAAAAAAAATTGATTAGTATTACTTATACTAACAAAATATATTTACTTTTCAGTAGTCTATTACTTAAAAAACTCTAAGATTAAACATGCTTAACTTGGAGTAATTATAGATTAAGTTAATGGGCATTACAAACTAGAAGCAAACAAAAGTTTAAATAGCATAGGACAAACTATGCAAGCAGAATTTTCCTTTTTTTTTTTAATTTCATAAGTAGTGTCCCATAGAACATTTCAAACACACGTTAGACGATCACACCACCATTACATGTAAGTTATATCATATACATAAAATGGTTAGAAACATCGCTGATTCCAAGGGTTTTTAACTTGTCCTGTATAAGAGCAATTTCTCTATGTGCAGCTGCAATTTTATCCTCTAAGACACTGAGTTCCTCACTCATCTTAGTTGCTTGTGCTGACCAGTTGTTGACTTGCTCTTGAAGGTCTCCAATTTTATATGCCTCTTGCAAAAGAATTTTTGACGACAAGGCTCTTTCAACTGCTGGATATAACCATTCTAAATCCAACTTCATGAGCTTCAAATCCTCCCAGTACATATGTAACTCATGCACACAACGGACCATATCTTTAACTGTAACATTCTTCATTAGAAACAAAACCATACCTAAGCAATTAAAAGCACATTGACGAAACATCAAAGAGTGTCCCTCGTGAATTTTCATCAAGTAGGGTGTCCTTGCACATGCCTTCTTTAGGAGAGGCAAGAAGGATTCATCCACCAAACACAAGCCACCAAAATCCACCATCTTCCCTGAAGGTTTTGGAATGGTTACTGGTTCTCCAGACTTCAAGGTTTCCTCAACAACTGGGAAATGATCCTCTATAACAATAGTATGAGATTCAGTCTCTGTATCCTGTAAAGTACTCCTGTCTTGAACTTGATCATCACTTGAAGAAAGAGGAGCGTCTGCATCTTCATCTTCTACATTTTCAAAGTCATCGTGATGTTTATTATTCTTAACCAACTCTTTTACGCAATCTGCATATTTTTCCATTGTATCTGGATTCTCCGCATATCCAATGTGCTGCCCAATATCACGAAGCAGATCATGCACCATCACACAGTCCCGTGTATCAGAAGGCATAAGCAAACAAGAGTCTATGAGTTGGTTGATAGACACCTGAACCATGCTTTTCACACGGTCATTGTTGTCTTGGCTACCACATAGGTCCATTCTTATTGCAATATTGACGATATCTTGTACGTGAATTTGATAATGTTCAGGAAACAGACAACACACCAAAAACAGCAACTTGGCTTGATTGCTTTTTAAATTAGAATAGCTTAATTTGATATTTTCATAAATATCATCTTTTATATACTCTTTCTGGGGACTGTCAGATGCTTTCATACTTTGTAACACTGCCTTCCATTCAGCAGTGTCCTTTCCTCTTAAACCCGTAGCAACAACTTTAATTGCAAGGGGCAACCCCTTACATTCCCTCACAATTTCCGGAAATTAAATAAAGATGCATACACTCCAAAGGTTGTTTCAATTGGCCCTTTTCACTATGGTGACCAAAGGTTGCAAAATATGGAAAGCCTCAAACAAATATATTGCCAAAAATTCATTAAACGGACACAGACAACCTTGGAAAATTTGGTCAAGTGTGTGCAAGACTTAGAGCCAACGGTTCGTCGTTGTTATGCTGACAACATTAAACTTACCTCCGAGGAATTTGTGAAGTTGATAATAGTGGATTGCGGCTTCATAATTGAGCTTTTCATTAGGTACTCTACTCATGATTGGACTCACGATGATCACCCAATGCCGTTAAAACCTTGGTTGACAACTGATATAACCTTGGATTTACTATTACTCGAGAATCAACTTCCTTTTTTTGTTCTTGAAAAGCTCTACAACCTAGATTTCACCTCTAATCTCCACCCTTCATTTTCAAAGCTTACTTTTCAATTTTTTGAACAGTGTAACACACAGCGTTTCGAACCCACTTTTGCCATAGAACATTTCACTGATTTGGTCAGAACATTTCACTTGCAACCACTTAATAGACGACCTACAAGAGGAAAACCATTATTGCGCCTTGACAGTGCAACAGAGTTAACTGAAGCAGGAGTGAAGTTCAGGGTAAATAAGAAAAGCAATTGCTTGCTAGACTTGGAATTTTCAGGGCAGTCTCGAAATTCCAGAATTTAAAGTGGAGGACTGGACTGAAACTTTGTCTAGGAATATCGTGGCTTTGGAGCAATGTCACTACCCTGATGAATCCTACTTCACTGACTATGTTGTTGTCTTAGATTTCCTTATCAACACAGGAAAGGATGTTGATGTGTTGGTTCAGAATGAAATAATTAGTAATTGGATAGGTGATAGCAATGCTGTGGCTAAACTGTATAATGGTCTATGGAAAAATATCACTCAAGTAAATTTCAATTCACATTATTTTCGTATTTGCGAATGTTTGACTGCGTACTGCAAACATCCTTGGAACAGAAGAAAGGCAACATTGAGACGTGATTATTGCAAGACTCCATGGCAGACGGTTGGTTCGGTTGCTGCAATTATTGTGCTTGTTCTTACCATTATTCAAACTGTCTGTTCAATTCTCCAAGTTGTGCAACAATAGGTTAGTGCTTTGTTTAAGGTGCTTCTAATAATGCAGAAATTGCTTCTGATTACTATTAAAACAATATTTACGTCCTTGCCTACTCTATTCTGTAAACCGATTAGTGTGTTATGTACTCTAAGTAGGTAAGATTTTATGTTTACATGTTTTCAATTTTAAGTGTTTAAATGGTTCGTTTCCAGTACACTTCTTTCTCACTTTGTATTATTAATTAAGACTACATCTATTTGTAACGAATGGTGAAGATGAGTCTAACATTCAATGGATCCCAACAACTTTTAGATGCAATTGTTCCCAAACATTAATTGCAGTAAATTATTACATCAAGACGCAAGAAGTTGTTGAAACAGTGAATTTACAACAATGAGCTTGTTAAATGGTTGTGCTCACTTAAGAACACGTTAATAAGGGGAATGGGTTCATGATTATATTAAAAGGAATCATGGTTGAATGTCATATTGTCTGAGTCATGATCCACATCAACAAAATTGTCATGCAAACTCCATCATGTTAGGACTGACAACCAACTGGACCATGTTGATCACCCATTTGTGTTGTGGCTACCGGCAAAATCACTGTCCTAATAAAGTCATTCACCAAACAATCATCAAATCTTTTTCATTCATTTATTAACATTACCCCGCCTGTCTGTGGTTTATCACCTATAAAGATCGATCCAATCCAACATGGAAGAATTCAAGGATCGAAGTCTCTTTTGCGTCAACGGGTGGACGGATCTTTGCGTGTTCTCAGAGTGGAGAAGAATTTTTTATTCCACAAACCATCTCGGTCAGTTTCTTCATCAATTCTTTTTTCTTCACAATATCACTGTTTTCCTTTTTATATAAACATCAAAGACCTATGTTTTCTTATTTTGAAGTAGAGCAGAATTACTTTTTATTTATATTTAGAAAAAAAATGGCAATTTCTTTCATTTAACGATACTTGTTCAGTATTCTGTATAAGTTTTTGTTTTTGCATTTGTCAATTCTATTTCACAGCCGTGATGCTATCTTCAGATACTAAAATGAAGTAGAATAGAAGAAATGAAATGAAGTAAAAGATATATTATTATGAAAAAAAAATTGAGAAGGAATAAAGATTGACATTTTTATTTAAATTGATTTAATAGCATTCCATTTCATTCAAACTCTGATAGATGGAAGGAAGGAACCGTGATGAAGTTGCAATTAAGATTGAAAATATGTTGGAAAAGGCAGAACCGCTCTTGAACAGTGAAAATTGCATCCACAGGGTGCACACTGAACTCCGCAATTTAAATAAAGAAGCATACACTCCGCAGGTTGTTTCAATTGGCCCTTTTCACAAGGGTTGTGAAAGGCTGCAAAATATGGAAAGCCTCAAACAGATGTATTGCCAAAAATTCATTCAACGAGCAGAGACAGTGACAGGGACAACCTTGGACAATTTGGTCAAGTGTGTGCAAGACTCTGAGTCAGATGTTCGTCGTTGTTATTCCGACAACATGAACCTTACTCCGGAGGAATTTGTGGAGTTGATATTAGTGGATTGTGGTTTCATAATTGAGCTTTTCATTAGGAACTATGATGATTGGCCTAATAATGATGGGAGCCACGAGGATCACGCCGTGTCATTTAAACCTTGGTTGACAACTGCTATAGAGTTGGATTTAATATTACTCGAGAATCAACTTCCTTTTTCTGTTCTTGAAAAGCTCTACAACCAAGCTTTCAACTCTGATTTTGACCCTTCATTTTCGAAGCTCACTTTTAAATATTTTGGTGAGTATAACACACTGAAGTTGAAACCCACATTTACCCCAAAACACTTCACTGATCTGCTCAGAACATTTCACTTGCAACCAGATGGTAGCCGACCTCAAAGAGAAGGCAGTGTTATGCAAATTAAAAGTGCAACAGAGTTAACTGAAGCAGGAGTGAAGTTCAGGGTAAATGAAAAGAGCAATTGCTTCCTAGATTTGAAATTTTCAGAGAACTGTCTTGAAATTCCGAAGTTTAGAGTGGAGGATTCGACTGAAATTTTATTTAGGAATATGGTGGCTTTGGAGCAATGAAACTACCCTGATGAATCCTACATCACCGACTATGTTGTTGTCTTGGATTACCTAATCAACACAGAAAAAGATGTGAATGTGTTGGTTCAAAATGAAATAATTAGTAATTGGATAGGTGATGGCAATGCTGTGGCTAACCTGTACAATGGCCTATGGAAAAATATCACTCAAGAAAAATTCAATTCAGATTATTTTAAAATTTGCAAAGGGTTGAATGAGTACTGCAAACATCCTTTGAACAGAGGAATGGCAACATTGAGACGTGATTATTGCAAGACTCAATGGCAAATGGTTGCCTCTATTGCTGCATTTGTACTTCTTGTTCTTACCATTATTCAAACTGTCTGTTCAATCCTCCAAGTTGTGCAACAATAGGTTAATGCTTAGTTTAGGTTGCTTCTAATAATATTTACATCATTGCTTAATGTAACAGAAGAGTGTTTTATGTACCCTAAGTAGGTAGGATTTTATGTTTGCATGTTTCCAATTTCAAGTGTCTAAATGGTTCAATTTCCTTGTCTTATTATGGAGTGCGCATCCATTGGTGTTGATTTTATTTACATCATTGTGGCAGGAGTGTGAAAGCTATTTTTTCCAACAAATATTTGTAATTCAGTCTGAATTGGAAGGTTTTATGAATGATAATTTTTTTTTCTGAATTCAAGAATTATTTAGAAATTGTCCTGTTTATAATCTTAACGTTAAGCGAATTTAATTCATAGGAATGGAGATGGGACCAGGCTAAAAAGATCATCAAAATAAGTTTGAAGATTCAAGACAAAATATTGAAAGATTAGAGAAAAATTAAGACACGTATACAAAAATGTAAAAAAGTATTTCTTATCTCTTATAAGTACAATATCCAAGTGTTTCTAACTAGTATTATCTTTTTTTATTCAATTAAAGTTGATTAAATTTTTTTATTCAATTTCAAGAAAAGTTGGCTAAATTAATTTATTATAGTAAGTTCATAAAACATCTTATCAAAAGAAATAAATTTAAAATTAAAACAGCACTTAAATAAATTATATTCTATGCATGTATTCCAAAATATATATTAACTACCAATTTTTTGGATGAAATGATAAAACAAAAATAAAGAGTAGGAAATTTTATTTTTCATTATAAAGAATCATTTAACATGTCACAAAGATACTTTATCTTTCAACTTACACTTACCGCTTTTAACTAACCCAATATTACCAAAGAAATAATTACGGGAATAGAAAAAGTAAGAGCGGTTAAAAGGGGAGGTTTGACACTTGTTTATATATTTAGGTAAATAACAATGATCTTACAAACTTACTAGTAGATATTACTATTTATATTGGCCTTCTAAATCCTAAACCCTAAAACCTTAAACTTACTGAATATGATTTGACAAAAAATGGACCAACTAAAGGAAGAACTTGGAGAGAATGGAGATGGAGCGTAAAGCATTTAATGACAACAAATGTAAAATTGGATAGTAAGTAAAAGTTTGGATAGAAAACAATCACAACATCAAGACACAAGAAGGGGTTGAAACAAAGTGAATTTACAACAGTGAGCTTGTTAAATGTTTGTGCTCACTTAGAACAAGTCAGCATGGGGAATGGGTTCATGATTATATAAAATGGAATCATTAGTTGAATGTCATTGTTTGAGTCATCACCCACAATAATATTATGATGTCGAAACTCCGTCATTGGCCATGTAAGAGATTGAATCATCAAAGAAATTAAGAAGTGCAAAGGAGAGAGAGAAAGAGAGGGAAAGATTGGTGTAAAATTAACTTGCAATCATAAAAAATATTAGAAGTAATTGATCAGATACGTATTGAACACTGTACTTAAAGATGATGTGTCATCTCTCGCAGACCCTTCTAGGATAAACTTGGGTTCATGAACTCGAAAAATAGAATTAAAATACTGAGTAGTGGATTTAAAATGGCTATTGATTTCAACAAATCAACGAAGATTATTTGAAAAGGAAAAGGGAAAGACAGTAAAATGTGATTATAGCTGTGGAAAGACTTTTTAGTTGCTCCTAGACTAATGATACAATGCCAATGCCATGATTTACATTTGGACTTTCTTTAATGTTCTACACGATATTATGCGATTCTTCTTACATTCAAAAATTTGCATCATATTTTAACAAATTCTAATGATTAGAAGATGAAAGAAGGGGTTGAAACAAACTGAATTTACTACGGTGAGTTTGTTAAATGTTTGAAGCAAAATCTAAAGAACTTGCATCATACACGATATCCCATTGAGAATCCATCAACAAATGTGACTTGACCATTATCATCAAAGGTAAAAGCGGCGGTGATTTCGACCGTGGTCTGCAAAGCGGGTACAGGCCAGTACACATGAATAACTATATTGTTCTGAGCCCATGCCATTGAAATTTCATAAGATGTAGTTCGGTATATCGCCACAACTGCAGTCTCAGGCCCAAGCTCAGCCTGAGGCTGATCTGGGTTTGGTGGAGTAGGGAGCATCATCCATGGAAGATGCTGATCTGGATTCCCTGGGATAAGCCAAAATGTAACTGCATCATCCCTGGGATTCGGAGCTCCATCAAATCCATTCCTGTTTTCTGCCCCACCATTCCTCGCCACTGGTTGTCTTGGAAGTGGAAGATTAGGAGGAATTGCACCCTGTTGCGGGACTAAATAATTTGAACAATATCTAAGCACAGGACCACCAAATCCCTCCCACTCCTGTCAAAAATACATCAACCAAATGCATCGTTAATGACATTCACAACTATATATAAAGAATTGAAAAAAAAAAAAAAAAAACTGAAAGACTCTGATTAATTTTGCATGATTGTTACCCATGTTGGTCTCGAAGGATAAGTAATATTTTCAATATGCATTGCTGGCATCCTAAGAGAATAATTAACAAGAAGAATTAAAAATGGAAAAAAAATATTACAACAGAATCTTGAAGAAATAATAATAATAGTAATACTAATAAAAACATAGAATACCTAGCAGGTGCAGCAACTGAGTATTGAGCGGAATGATCAGATATAGGTGAAAGATTATCTTCGAAATTTGAAGCAACTGATGATGACGACTCATCTACAAAGCCAATTTGATTATAACAGAAAAAAAGGTGCCGTATCATCAAGAAGCATTCATATTTCTACAAACTTATTCACACAATTGTAAGTGCTATTAATATTAATATATGCAAATAGATATATATACTTACCATTAATATTCTCGTAGGTTGGTATATTCTGCATAACATTCTCTCTACGTTTGCTTCCACTAATAGACCCAGCTTCCATCTGAATTTATAAGCAAATAATATTATATCATCGAAGCATCGTGTTCATGTATGGCAAGAACAAAAACGAAACAACTCTTATCAAGTACAAAAACCAAAACAACTTTGATCAAGGAATACCTCTTTCCTTTTTACGCCTCGGCTAGTGGCTTGTTCTCGGAGAGAATCTGCAATGAAAAACAATGCAAACTTGAAAATTATAACACTAGAATTTTGGTTTTTGTACTCGATTAACAAAACTGTCTTTTTTCATTATTATTTTGCATGGAGTCCAATTGCAAACACAACCAACAAACAAATTGTGATATACATATCTAATGCGAAAATAATAAAGAGAAAGAATAAGGAATAAAACCTAGATGAAGATGCGAACAGTGTTCTACTTTGCATCCTTGCATTTGATCCGGTGCTTCTTCCTCCTCCGATTCATCGCCATTCTTTCTCTCCATTCAAAAAATGCTACACACTTAACCAAATTCTATGCTTTCGTATTTTCCAGTTTCACCACCTGTTTGGTTTTATGATAAAAAAATAAAAGAAAAAAAACGTGGAGAGATGTGAGAAAAATAATGGAAGAAAGAATAGCAACAATACATTTATAATAAGTCAAAAAAATTTAAACTAATTGTGTAACTGAAAAATTCAGTTTAATAGATTAGTATATAGTCAATAAGTCGTTTCGATATTTTAGGAATAATTTAGTTTGTTATCACTTTTATTCCGTTACGTTGTGACAAAATGTATACAAAATAAATTAACAATTTGTACTTGACAAATTACATAAACACTAAATGATTACACTCAATGCATGCTTTTGATAATAATAATAAATTACGTGGGTTTAGACGTAACAGAAAGATTTTTTTAGAATATTGCATGATTTTAATTGATTAATTTTAAATATTTTCTGTTTCAGGGTTAAAGGCGATTCAGTTTTGGAGGAAAATATTATTACAGTCTAATAAAAATAAGAAAGATTATAATATATCTCTCCATAATTTGATGATTTTTTAACGAAAAAAAAGTGACTTAATTGTTAATGCATGAGTAAATTTTTTTAATTATATATATATTGATTATAATATTTATAATTAAAATTTTTAAAATTTATTGTTAAAGTAATTTTGTGATAATATTTAAATTTTTCATCTATCATACTTAATAATTAAGTTATTATTATATATGTGATGATATTACATAATTATTAAAATAAAATATTTATTACTATAAAAATTAACATCACTAATATATATATATATATATAAGTGTTAATAAAAAAATAATCTATTACTAATATACATAATATTTGATATGATTATTAATTACTATTATTTTAAAAGTAATAACTAATTTATTCATCATTATTTGAAATTATTTTAAATACTATTTTTTTATAACAAAAAAGTTTTTAAAAATATTTAATCAATAATTAATTTAAATTAATAATTCATATATTATTATTCAAATTTATTATTACCAATAATATCAATTATTATTTCTTAAAATTAATGTTGTTATTATAATAATTGTATTTTTAAATAAAATAAATATAAATATAAATTATTCATTATATGTTCAATAACAAACTTAAATATAATAAATATCTAATAAAAGTTTATACATAAAAATTATAAATTAAATTAAAATACATCCTTAACATATTAAAATTTTAAAATAAAATAAAAAAACCTAATATTGAATTGAATAACTAAAAGTAGAGTAAAAAAATGTTCTCTTGAATTTTGATCTTACAAATAAGAAAAAATAATAATAAATTAATATTAATAAATATAAATCAATCAATTAATAAATTTTTAAAAATATAATCATATAATAATTGAGTGATGATGACTAAAATAATTAATGAAATTACATTAAGTAATTGTATCACGTGAATTACTAAATAATTTATTGAATGATAATTTTTTCAATTAGAATTTATTCATGTTTTAGGTCATTTTAACCTCTCATTATTATTTATCTTTATTTTTATTTTTTTTTATCTTAGATAGGTCAATGACATATGAAGTGGTTGGTTAAATTTTCAATAGAATTGGTCAATCTAAACCGTTAAATATAAAATGAAAGGTTGTTATTTTTTGTGGAGAAAGAAATTGGCTGAATTTTTGGATAAAGATTTAGTAGTTTTATATTGAATTATTTGCTTCATGTACAAATTACATATTATGTGCCACTGAAAGTTGCTGTGTTCATGTCAATTTTCTTGCTCTCCGTTTGTTCTTCGCATCGATATTGATATTGTCTTGGGTTAGAACAGAAAGGTAACACTATCGTCGATATTGATTTTGGCAGAATTTCTTGGATTTTGTTGCGTGCTATGAATCGTTATGGTCAAGTTTACATGCTTCGTTTCTTATGATTACACTATTCCATAAATTGTAGTTCATCTTCTCGAGCGCATGATCTACAAGCTGTGAATGAAGATTAACATCGAAGACGAAAATGATGAATGTCTTGCTATATCAAGGAGTAAATGTGGATAATTTCATATTATAATAATTTATATACAATATTGATAGGGTTTGCATCAACCAAATTAGACCATATCGGTGCATGATGCAAGGCATGAAAACTAGATATACATTTAAAATAATAATAAAAAATAAAGCAAAACCTGCCAAGTAAAGCAGTCAAAAGCCGAGGCCAGTCGCTTTGACCTATGTTTCTTCCTTCAAAGTTAAACGTGCTATGCTTTGGTTTACCAAAGCATCACACTGGAACTACTCTTAGGACGAGAAAAACCTCTATAGAAATCAGGCACATAACAAAATTTTAAGGCATTAGTTTGCCTTGAAAATAGAAGCACCAAAGTAGAAACATCTTTGGATTGCAATCACCAATGGAACCATGCAGCCAAAGCTACCTGAATGAGGAAACATCTCCAAATAGTGTAAGTCAAGGTTTTTCATGCTGCATAATGGAGTACCTATTTCGCAGAGTACCAGTTTTGAGCACACTTGGCATCAACAGAGAGGTCAACTTTAAGAATATTCTTGCCATTGAAGGGTTTGGACATGCACTCAACAACTATGGACTTTGCAAACTCAGCCGACTCGGTTGGTCCTTCCAATATGACTTCATCATGAACCTGCTTTGTCAGTGTCCAAAAATATTAGCAAGAGAGTAGCAAACGAAGTTTGCAAATACATATCCAAAATACATTCGATTTGAAATAACTTACGTATCATAATATATTGATAAAATTAAGGATTGGTAGTTATTGCACAGTTTTGTTACTAACATCATATAACTGCTTAAGATTTACAAAACATGAGTAAGGTATTCATTGCATAGTAAATGTATATTTTTTGCGTGTCGGCCTAGCTCCCATTTACCCTCCCTACGCCTGGCCAAAGAATGGATAGAATAGATCATTGAAATCAAGGCTCAACTAGAATAGTGATAAGTGAAATCAAATGTTAGCAAAAAATATCAAAAAAGGAAAAAGTTAGGGTATAAAATTACCTGTAGAAGCAATTTCCAGCCAAGCTCCTTCAACTGTTTATTATTGGAAATTTGCAACATGGCACACATGGCAACATCGGCAGCACTACCCTGTTAACATTCTACAAATCAGAAACCCATGAAAGAAGGTCTGCATGAATGGCAGGGTCACACACTAACAGCACCTCAACTTAACTAAAAGCACTAGGTTATTATGAGAATAAGAGTGAATCTTAAAAATTGGATCATGCAAGAATGATTGGGTTAAATTATAAAATCATGCATTAATTTTAAGAAATCATGAGATCAAGTGAGGTTCACATGGTTAAGATTGGCTCCTACCGCTGCATGTAATTTAAGAAAGGAGATTCCTAATACAGTAAAGACAACTAACGAGACTAATACAAGAGCGCACTATTGTAAGGTTGGTACAATCAAATCTTATAATATATTCTTATTCATAGCTCTAGTTGAACAGTCATTTTAATATAACCTTTGGATTGTGATGCTTTTCCAAGTGGACTCTTAAAACATGATCTCATTATTCACTATCGTTCTTAAAAGGGAAAAGTTATAAACTTAATTTAGAGGATAAAAAATTTAGTACATTTTAAATTTACTGTACCTTCAAACTTGAGAAAATAGCAAAACTGTTGATGAGGGATGGGGCAACATTGTTGTATTAGTTTATTAGAAACTAGAAAGAATTAAGGACCTGCACTGGAGTATTAATAGCTGCGCGCTCAATGTGACCTTTCTGATAGGTGTTAGCTTGAGCCATCAAAGGGAACCGCCGGGCTCGCCCTAGCAATGTGTAAACACAATGTAAAGCATGAGCTTCCTTTTTACGCTCCTCTTGCCATTGTAAAACTTCTTTTCTATCATTGTACCAAAGGTCAACTGTTTTCTTAGCTTCTTTCACAGAAACCTGAGAGTGGACAATCAAATAATAAATCATGGGTACTTATCAAATAAATCCCTCAAGGAAGTAATAGAGTTCAGGGTACCTTCCAATCCTTAGAAAGCCCCACAGGAGTCTTCCCATATGCAATTGAGAAGTTAAGCATTTTAGCTTTTCTTCTTTCAGAGCCAAAGGCATCCTAAAATGGAGAAGAAAAATAAAATAGAAACATGACCAATTGATGGAACAGATGGTTATAATGGTAAACTGCTAAAGCGGGCTCTTTCATATCTTGTGGGCTCAGTATCACATAATGTTAATGTGGTAAAATAAGCTTACCAAAGTCTGGTATCTTCTGATTCACTTCTACTAATGCACATAAGCATTATTAAATACTTAATATATTCACAAACTTAACGAATCTTCATACATAGTTAGAAGCTCATCGCAAATAAACTACAATACCTCTACAGGTGCGACATGTGTTGCTTTCCCTCTAAAGAGAGTATTATAATGTCCAGTAGCTTCCCTTTACTTCTATTGGAAAGTTAATAAGCTCTGGATTTTTTCTCTCATTTTTAATAAAGTATCTATATATATTGAATTTTCAGTTGATGGAACTGCTCTCAACCAGAACAAATATTAGTCCTCCCTAATGCACAGCCTGCACTCTGGTCTGGTGCTTACTATATCTGACACTATCAGTTGCATTACAATAAATGCCAAATTAAAGACAAAGCCAATACTTGCATGTGTCAACGAATGGTTACTTGCTTCCATCAGCAGACAGTTTACCTTCAATAGAGGAACTGGGGGTTTATCTTCACCAGGTCGGGGATGCCACTCAAGAAGCACTTCCTTTTTCTCAACTGCTTGACGAATATATGGGTACATATTCATTGCAGTCCTTGAATGGAAATCTCCACCAGCTTCAAAAGCTTCCAACATGCTTTTACAGTTGGCAAGATGTGCCAGAATCCTAAGTTCAAGCTGTAACAATACATAACGCATTTAGAAGAATGAAATTTCTTAGAAATAGTTCAGTTAGATAGACAACATGAACTGCTAACCTGTCCATAATCAGCAACTATAAGAGAATTCCCAGGTGAAGCGATGAATGCTTGACGGATTTTGTATCGGTCTTTTTCCAAAGCAGGTTGATTCTGATTCATGAATTGTATGAATTAGATTAAGCCTTTATCCTTTTGAAAGTCAAAGATTAATCTAGTACACATAACACCCATATGTGAATGTCAGAATAGAAACTGGAAATCAGGGAGATGCCCAGTGCATCCAAATGTAGGATCCAAATAATTGTGATTAGTAACATATCAAGACCCAGTAGACATCAAATCATTATTTATGTGTATTGCGAGATTGTGATCAGTACAAAAACAAAGTTTAACCAAATTTTTTTCACTAAAAGAATATATTAACAGAAAAAAATGAGACTGCACATTTGGGCAGAGGTGTCAAGAACCGACTCTTAAGCTTGAGATGTTTGATGGACAATCCAACAGGTGCTTGGATTTGAAGAGGGTTTTATATCTTTAACATGATCCGTAGTGCTAACTGGCTTCCCTAACACAAAAGCACTTTGAATTTGAAGCATAGACAATCCATTGACATATTTGGCCATTTCACCTTCTGCCAAATTTTTTTTAGGTCCAATGTTATGCCTATTGCAAATTTTAGTTGTGGAGAACAGCAGCATAGAGGATTGAGTGGAGACCCAAAATGGTTTATAAATCTAATAGAAAGAGATCCTACTAAAAGGAAAAATAAAAGTTTAGGTCAAAATTAAAAATGATAAAGCTGCCTACTTAGAATTTTGCAAAATGAAAAATGTATGACACCAATTGGTAAACATTCAAGCATAAAGATGAAGGTCAATACTCAATGGTCAATACTTGAAAAATTTCTAGTTCAAAACAACCACCATTTAAATGAAAAATCCAAATAAAAATCCTTAAAGAGAACTCGAAAAAATCTTGCAAAATAGAATAACCTGCAGATTTGGCCTTCTTGCTGACAAGCGTCCTGTCTCAGTGTTGATATTTAAGGAACAATGAACACGGTTATCTTTTCCTGATATATTATGTCCCTGACATAGAGAAACAATGAAGCTAACATAGAGTAGATATAAAGAACTTCAGGGTTAAAATACAGGCTTATACTTATTAGTTATTACTCATTGGGAGTTCAAAATTTCTAATCTTTAAGTGTTGGCACATGAAGCACACAAAAATCTAGATCAGTCAGATAAGGAAATAGTAATTTCCCTAGCCAAGCAGTGGGAGAACATAACATTGACTATCTGCTATGAGAATTTTAAAAGTTTAAGGTCCTAAGGTACCCTTATGAGTTTTGTCCCAAGTGAGCTTGTCAAGCATCTCTCTGGCTGTTGATTTTATAATAATTGTCTAAAAATATACTAAAAATACATAGATGCCAATGAAATGCTTGAAAACTCACCCTGTGTACCAAACCTAGAAATAAACAAGAGGTAATTCCCTGAGTTTGGCGATTAATGACAACAAATTTGACAAACACATTCATGGTCTCAAGTTCTCAAAGATACTTGAGATATGCTGTTTGGAAGGTATCATATAATCACATATTATACATTTATTAAAATTTCATTTCATTACTTTTAGAGAATATAGAAGAATAGAAAAATAAAGATAAAAAATGGAGAAACGAAAATAAATTTTAACAGCACCCTGTAGAGGAAGATATAGACAGAAACTTGAAGTATAGTCTCAGAATGGTTTTGTAAGTATTCTATTTCTTAAAAATATTTTCAATATGTAAGGATGATAAATTACATCAATATAACATTTAAGACTGAGTGTTCTCTTTAATTTAAAAAAAAATAGAAAACATCATTAATTCATATAGACAAGATATACTATGTGGAAGTTTGGTGCACTATTTCAAAACAAAAGCTGACACCAGAAAAAATTTAAAGCAAGCTCAACAAAGTTAATAGTAAAAACCTTAATGTGTTGTAGATGCATGTGATTACTGCTTAAATAATTGATCAACTCTATTTATTTTCACTACAAAGGCTTGGCCTGATTCAGGTTCTATTAATGCCAAATTGCCCATCATACTGAAAAAAGATTGACAAATATTGTAATTAGAAAATACCTGAAGGGGAAGGATGAAGTTAGAAATCAAAGAGTTGATTGAACAGACTTCACATAAAGCAGCAATTGCATGACAAGCTTCTCTCCCTTCTTCCTCTGTTGGAAAAGCTGCAAAGGCTGTTCCATATGCAGATTTATCAACTTTTACTGCTGTAATATGACTTTTAGAAGGATTTTCATCTTCATCATCAAGATCCACGTCACAAGCCTCATCAAAAAAGTCATATTCAGCAGAATTATTTCCAGCCAGGGCCTTTAAAGCATCACCACTAACTGATGGCCAACCAGTTGCAGTGTACATCTCAGTCTTCAGGTTATAACCTAGGCTCGTCAACTTTATATCACAAAATTTTTTGGGAGCCTTCTTGCCTTCTTCAATCACTTTATCAACATTGGGAATTTTAAATATTCTCTCAGTTGGAAGTCCCAGATTAGAGTTCTTTCTGTAATGAAGAATGTGACAGGTGAAAATGAAAGCTTTATTTCAATCTATGTCCTTCAGCTACTTTGCCATAAACAACAAGATTCATAAAAATATTACAGTAGGTCTTACCATCCCTGAATACATTAAACATATCATTATCATAATTCATAAATATTTCAGGCTTCAACAAACAAATCATTCATTTATTAAGATTGAAACAAACTGCACATATAAGATTTTAGTGATGTGCACCTGTTCACAGTGCCACCAAAAAGAAGCTGGCGCAGCTGTAAATCACTTCCTACATTCATATACTTGGCATCAGGACAATACCTACTTGCCCATTTCCGGAATCTATTAGCAGCTACCTCTTGCTCCGCCATAGCTACCTTTTCTATGTCCTGAAGATATGCCCGATCAACTAGCATTCCCTCAGATTCCATCATGACTAGAAGCTCACCAAATGGCCGCCAATACTCATTGTAGAAATCATACATGTTTTTCCCAGAAACCGGTACACCATCAAATTTCCAGGGCATGTCTGAAAGATGGCTCTTAAGGCTCTCATACAGCTTCAAAGTGCTTCTAGCATCTAATGCAGAATAACATATCCAAGGTATGCGCTCATCTCTCTGTAGCTCTTCAACAGGAGCAATGATAACCGTTTTACCCTCAGATCCATCTTTTTTCACTTTTTTCTTGCTAAATATAGTTTTCATGGACAGCTTACCAATCAAATCCTTTTCATGGTTCAGCTGAGCCCTAGACATGACCCTTCTGTCACCTGTAAGTCCTTCAAGAGAATAACCCCCATCCAAATGTCTTGATGAATCCCATAACCGAGCCATGTGCATTGTATCAGCATGAAATCCAGAAACTTTGAATCCATAATTCTCGATGACATGACAATCAAAGCTATAATTATGCCAGACCTACAGAATGCAGCAGTAACTCAGTCATTTCAAATATTATTCGTAATCCAGATTCCCATGTCATGTGTATAAAAATTTGCAATCAATTATTAGCATGGCATTACAACACTGACATTTACAACATTTAGATTAACCAAGAAGAATTTCAGATCAGCAAGTAGCTGGTTGTCATATATCATAACTAGTATTATATCATTCATACAGCAGCATGCATAGAATTAAGATTTCAGAGGTGCTGCACATTGTGTTGTGTAATTGGACAAAGAACATGTAAGGAAGGGAAGAAGAAAGAAAATTGCACCTTCTCAATGGAAGAGTCACTAAAAAATTCAGCAAATTTTTCTAAAATCTCTTTGCCTCCACCATCAACAACATCTACCCAGATACAGGACTTTCCACCTCCAAAATCAGCTTCTGAACCACAATAAATGCTGAAGCATATTATCTCCCCATGATCTACAGGAGTTTCTTGTTTGACATCTATCTTAGCTACCTTTGAAGACAATAAAAGCAACAGATAATATGTGTTCACCATGTATAAAATCAGTTGAATTCATGTCCAAAGTACACATACAGACACATGTGTGCAAGACCAAGCAAGGAGATCATCTAGCTATATAAATTCCGGTGATAAGGGAATAACCATAATACAACTAAATACAGTCAAAAGAATTATACCTCAGTATCACATGCAAAAATATGATGCCGGTACTTAGTTGTGAGCAACTTAGAAACTTCCTCTGCGAGAGGAATATTATCAACAACGAGAATATCTTCATAGATACTACAAAGCCTATGCCGAAGTTTTGATTGGTCGGTAGCAGCTGCCTGTTTGCCAAATGTTGCATTGGTTGAATCCTTTGCAGTTGCATCCAAACCATGATCACCATTAACTCTAGTGATTTTCTCTTTACTAATCCCCAATGGAGATTCATTAAACTGGGGGGCCACCCTTTCAGAATCGGTAAACACCTTCGAATTGTTTAATACAGAATAGTTAACAGAGGATGAGACATGTTCGCCATGATCCAGCAGTACAAGATTACTATCCACTTTCTTAGAAACAGCCTGGTTCTGACCAATGGAAGCAATTCTATAAGATGCATAAGAACTTCCATTTTTCCTCTCAAACTTATCTGGACCATTTATTTCCTTTTTATTTTCAGTTATCTTCTCCGTGGCTATAGTCCAGCCTCTATAATCACCCCCAGACAATTTTCTTTCAGCAGCAGTTGTGGAAAATCCATGATTACAAGGAGCCACACCCACTGCACTAATTTGTTTTTCACATGAATGCAAAGAATTCAGCTCTTCTTCCTCCACCGTTTCCTCCAACATGCCAGTTGATGCATTTGAGGTTTTCATAAATGAAATGCAAACTGGACTTTTAAATGGAAAGCTACGCTTATACCTTGCACCTTTGTATCTATTTAACCTACCAGATGTCCTCTTTAGACTGCATGAAAAATCTGCTCTAGATTGTACAGAATTACTACGCACAGTGCTATTTGGGAGGCCACTATTAGCTATCTGGATTGACTGTACTTTTCTTCTGCAGTTCACATCGTGCAATAAAAAATAAGGCGCCAATCAATGAAATGTAATAGCATTTAATGTAGCCATACACTAGCTAAGAAAAAGCTTCATCAGTAGGTGTGTGCGCTAAAATAATACATCTTATTATCTCAGTTTCCACATTTACAAAAGTTAGTCCCAGGATATCATCCCATAACAACCTATTTCAGGGTTTTTTATATCTACAAACTGTCACAACAATTACAATTAAATTTAAATAGTCATACTTAATGCCAGTTTCAACCTTTAAAACCAGTGAGCAAACAAGAAGCCACAAGGACACAAGGAAGTCAAAGAAAAAATAAAATAAAATCCAGCATGTTTTATTAAGTAATATAAAAACATAATTTCTGAAAATAAAATTTCAAAATACCCAGAAGGAAAATATGCAAATTTTAAAGTTATCAAAGAAAATAAAGACATGGGCATGGTAACAGGCAACAAAAGATGCAAACTTTGAAATAATAAAAAAAAAAGAAACAGAGAAAAGAGAAGGGATAAACCGTTGGGGAGCTAAAAGGGTCGATGAAGATAGTGTGGAAGAAAAGGGGCGTGAGAGATAGCGGCATGAGGGGCAGTATGGTCTTAGAGCAGAGACCTCCATTGGCATTGCCATTGCCATTGAGGCAACACCGTTCTCCCCGCTTTAACAGATTAGGAGCCAGCTCTTTATATATATATAAAGAGGCAAAATATTTGAAAATTCTGGGCCATTAATAAATAAATGAAATGCATTGTTATAATATTCAGTTGCCACGTAACCTAATGGAAGCCAATAAGGTACAAGCCCAGAAGGTACTGTCGAACAATCCTAACAGTAACAACATAAAACTTTATATATTTGTTATTATTCAATAAAATTTACGTAATTGTATAAAATATTTATATATTTTATTCCACAAAAAAGAAAAATGCTTTTTTTAAAATAAAAAAGAGTTATTTTTAAATTTCAAAAAGAGTTACTTTTTCCTATTTAATTTATCAATATTATAGAAAAAATAGCAAACTGATACATCACTGAAAATTACATAATTTTTTTACAATATAGATACAAATTATAGATTATATTAGCATTGGTTTTATTCTATTTTGGTGAAAAAAAATTATTTACTCAAAAACATATTTTATTTTGCTTACCAAACGTACATGGCTATGTTTTGATCATTATTATTGGTTCTAAAAATGCGCCCCCCCCCCCCCACCAGTTTTTATGATCAACACATCATGAGACATAAATATTTGTGGAGTCAAATGTTGTGCTGATTAGTGTTTAGCCTGGCTGAAAATGGACCAAAATTTGTTTTAGATAATTCAATATTATATAAATCTGAACAAACGTATAAATAATAAAATTCACGTTATTATTATCATTCAAGCCTGTCATGAACCCGAGTCTATTGTAAACAATACTGATTAGAGAATCTCAATAAGTAGGCAATTCTGAATCTAGTAGCAATCTTGTCAATCACTCTATCATCAACATCTAAAACTACCAATAAAAAAATCTTGAACATGGAAAAATATAAATGTTTTGATTTTCATAATGATACCAAGTGCCAGCATGATGAAATTTTATAAAACGCTTCGCAAACTTCATTAGCAGTATAGCCTTTTCATTTATTATCCTTTTGTATAATCCTCTACTCTTTCAGATTCGTTTTCTCAACTGCATTCCCCATCCTCAAAATATGTCTCTCTTATACGTTGTTGTTTACCCACTTGGACATGCTTCTTCGTTAGAACTTCAAGGGCTGTAACCACGTCACTAATCAAAGGTCGAGTATCAGCTTCCTCTTGAAGACACATTGCTGCAACTGCTAGTGCTTGGTATAGACCCTTTGTTGGGTAGTTCCCTTTTAGCAATGGATCAGCCATTGATATAAATTTTCTTCTGTCTTTGAATAGTGGTTGTGCCTAAAAAGAAGAAACATTATGAATGTTATTGGCATTTGGCTGAAGATTTGTGCATATATATTAATATTGGTCTGAACATAATTTTATTTAAGTAGTTTTCATATTGATTAGATTATAAATCCTGAAATTTTATGCCAGAAAAATGCCATGATTTAAGGCACATAGTAAAAAGTTCATGACATACCCAAGTAGATATGCTATGAATGATTTTAGGCACATAATATAAGTTTCATGACATACCCAAGTGACTAAGTTTTGTTCTTCAGATGGTCTTGATTGATCAATTACTCTTCTTCCTGTGATCATCTCTAGAAACACAACACCAAAGCTGTATACATCTGATTTTGTAGTCAATTGACCTGTTGAGGCATACTCAGGTGCACAGTAGCCATATGTTCCCATCACCCTTGTGGATACATGTGTTTTATCACCAGTTGGACCAAGCTTTGCAAGTCCAAAATCAGAGAGCTTTGGGTTGAAGTTTTCATCTAATAGTATGTTTGATGCTTTGAAATCACGATATATCACTGGGGGATTTGCTACTTCATGTAAATATTCAAGTCCTTTTGCTGCACCTGCTGCAATGTTCATTCTAGTACGCCAGTCCAAAGGCTTTCTGTTCGGAGGTAGTTCTGACAATCATTTTTCTTTTGTTGTTGGTCAGATAACATTTAAAATGCTTATTCCCAAAAAACAAATCACTAAGGGTAATGTTTAAAAAGGGAAATGTCCATGATGCTAGTCTTGCAATTTTATTTAGTTTCTCACACAAATGGAAAGTTAAAACATAGTCTACTTAAAGCCATTAATATGCAAGAAGTTTGCTTTATATTGTAAACAATCACCATGATGATCCAATGTGCTCAAAAGGCTACATTGCTGCTACACTTAGTTTAATCGTTGCACTTATTCAAGTTTGATACCCAAATTGGATGTTACTCTAATTTGTAGACATGATGAATTGTGTTAGAAGACATTGTGTAAGAAGCATTTACATACCAAGAAGGTGATCTTCTAAAGAGCCGTTCACCATGTACTCATATACCAAAATCCTTTGATCACCATCAGCACAATATCCTACCAAATTGACAAGGTTAGGGTGGTGCAAAAGACTCAAAATCAAAACCTCTACAAGAAATTCTCTGTTTCCTTGGAATCCATTCCTGTTAAGTTGCTTCACAGCAACAACCTGCATATGTAAGTAACACAGCATTTACATGGTTAACACTTACCAACAACTTGATTGAACTTCTTCCTTAGCATAATATTCAAATAGATTTAGTTGAAATAATACCTGATTTATGCTTTTAATGCGTCCTTTGTATACCCTCCCAAAGCCACCTTCACCGATCATATTATCAGGATGAAAGTTACGAGTTGCAACGCATAGTTCATGATAAGAAAAAATCTGAGAGGTAATATTTCCTTTTCCAATTTTGGCTATTTCTTCTTCTATGTACTTCCGCTTGCTGCTATCTAAAGATGAAATTTGTTCAGGTTTTAAGCATTGGTATTTAATTATGTATCATATCATCGAAAAACGTTTGTTTCATAAGGCTCAAATTCCCTATATAGGCTCACTATAAAACCACTACTTTGCACTCTTACTATCGATTAAGATAACTATTGAGGTAGAAAGTAAGAGTATAAGGTTAATTATAACAAGATGAAGGCGTAAAAGTTAAAGATCAAAGATGCAGCTCCCCACACAGGATGTCCAAAGATGAATGTGGACTTGGTGGCTCAACACTCAACGATTGCTTCTAAACATGTTATCAAGAAGCTAAGAACAACTAAGTAATAAACTAAGAACAGAACCAAAAGAGATGTACAGGACTTGTACTTCAGCATTTCATAAAGTTGTGGCTTCATAATAGTTGTTGTAACACTTACAAAATTGATGAACCCTATTGTAATTGTACAAGCACTTCATAGATTTCCATTTTATGATTTCATGTTGAGATAATTGCGGAGGAAGCAACATTGAACTCTAGACATGAGACATTAAAATGAAAAACTTGGTCGAAAAATCGATGCAATAATGAGAAACCAGCAACTCGGAACCCCACAAACAGAAGTAGCAGACATAATTTTTACAATGAAAAGATTAGCACTGAAGCTAGGAAAAATACCAGTTTTGAAACACATGTTGGCAAATGATGGTAGAGCTTTTGTGTGACTATAGTCCTTACTGCTCCTCTTGGATGAGTTCTTGTTGGTCTTCTCTTGTGACGTACAACATGAAAAGAAGCTCATTTTCCACTCTAAATATTTGATCTGACCAAACCCACATTTAAAAAATTGCCAAGTTCCTGCATCTGCTTTTCAAATCTATCTCTAAGCATGCAGATGCTACCCTATGATCCAATGCAGGCCACATTAGACACTTTGAAGTAGCTTAAAAAAAAATATTGATTTTGTTTTTATTCAAACATTGACCCTGCAGAAACCAAGATGATCCTGAATTCTGGCCTCAGAAACATTTTGCATGGTTACTTACGCTTCATTTGTATTAAGGCTACAGTTATAAAAAGAAAAAATGACTTTGTTAAATATGCTAATCCAAAAATGACCGATAAAGTGTCACTCATCTTTAATATCATTTATCTAAGTTCCTCAATATAGGATTTCATAAAGTGGTTTTCTTAGGTTGCACTTTATTATGCCAACCAATATGGAGGATCATTCCTTTATGAACCTCATCAAGAATAAATAATGACAGCTATTTTATGTGGACTGCTTACATCTACTTTGCATCCTTCCCATCTACCTCTTTTATAATCTTTTCAATCAAGCGTCTACCTAATTTTGCCTATGATATATATAATACTTCTTTAAATTTTTGAATGACAGTAAAGTCACTTAAATGATAAAACGCTTATATCATTTTCATATTTGTATTCCTACATCATCCAAAATATAACGATTTTTTTTTATTTAAAAGAAAAAATACTACTAACATGACCAGAATATGTTATCACATTAATCATCTAAAGGTTTTGATCACAAGATTGATGATTTAAAAAAAATCCATATTTCTTTTATGAAAAACTAAAGTGGATATAAAAACAAACACAATTTTGCTTTAAAAATATAGATTCATTTTGTAGTTGTACGACTGTTTTCCAACAGAGTTGCAATGAGTAATTTGAATTAATGAAGCCAAAAGCAATAATAATTAGCTAGATCCAATTAAAGAGAAACTACAAGGTCTAAAATTGACAACAATCAAACGATAGGTTCAGCAGTTTGTTCTTAGATAAGTGAAAGTATGCACTAATTTTAAGTTTATAGGTATCTAGATCACCTACTGAAACAGAAACAGTAAATGCCCCTAAAGATACAAGAGGGCATTACCATAGGAAAGAAATTGAATTAATTGAAGAAAAGCATTGTGATTAAATTTGTTGCCATTCATTAGCATGGCATATATTGTAGGAAACTTTCACCTGCCTCAAACCGTATTGGATGTTTTTCTGTATAATTATGAATGAATTCAATGGTATCGGCTAAGAGTAAGTGCGTGGGGACCATATATAAAATTGGGAAAGTGATAAGTATACAATCAGCCATCATAACTATGCAAATTAAAACCAAACACAAAGGGAAAAAGTGTCCAAAATTTGCTTGAATTCATAACCTTAATCTATATGAACGTTAATTTCTGTCCTAAAATATCATACTATAGAGTTCAAATATCAGACAATTGGATCGACATCTACTGTCACACATTCCTGTCCCAACTTTGTCCCAAGTATATTTGTTCCTAATTCTAGTGTATCTAAAATAGGAGAAATAATAATAATAATAAAAAAAAAAACCAATGTGATAATAAAACAAGCTTTGCACAAATTTATATTTTTTATCATTTTAATTATACTACACAAAGCACAAGAAAATTGTGAAAGTCTTAGCTGATTAACATGTCTGTTAAAATTATATATGATATCAATTTTTCTTAATCGTTGTTAACATTGTCCTCATGTTTGGAGATTGGTTTGGGACGTCTAGTTTTGGTCATTTTAATCAGCATGATGTTATGTAATGTTATAACATTTATATTTTCACTAATTAAGTAAAACCAATTAGACTTTTACATAAATTGATAACTTGTACCCAACAAAACTTCTCTTGTTAGGTTTGGTCGCACTTTTAATTTGTTTATCCTAAGTAAGTTCATCTATTTTCAAAATTATATAAATTTAGTCTGGAGGATTATTATTTTTACTTAAATTATTTAACAAAATTTAATCAAATTTTTGGGAAGTTTGTAATAGAATTAGAATATTAAAAATTTGAAGGTCTTAGAAGTTTATTAATTTAATGTCTTGAAAATCTTGAAAATCAAATATGATTTAGTTGAATATAATGTCTAATTATATACACTCTTTATTACTTTAGAGTCAACTCAATCTTGACCCAATCATGACGGATAGTGGTTGAGTCCAATCAATTGACCAAATTAAAATATCTACTTGTTTTCGGCTAACTGAAACTTGTCTCAATAATCAATATAATCCACAAACAGCCATAACAATGTTAGTCAAAATGAGCTTGTTTTATAAAAGATATAAAACAAATATTAATGGGGGTAAATATCAATTTTGATCTCGAGAAAGTTAAATAGACATAATTTTGTGTTTGATAGATAATTGACATCATTTTAATCTTTAAACAAGAAAAAAATGAGTAAATTTCAGATAATTGTATAATACCTACTCCTTTGATAATCATCACTCTCAATTTGTTTTCCTATTTTACAGTTTTTAAAACAATTAAATTAGAAAATAACTATATATATATATATATATATATATATATATATATATATAATCATAATTTAAAGGAAAGATGAACACATTACATAAGACTGAAAAAAAATTTCAAAACCAGAGGACATTAAAATCATTCTTTCAGGTACAAAGGTGAGATTGATGGGCTCATATTTACTTTCCCTGAAAACATCAAAATTTTGGTTTGGTCTAAGTTATAAGATATGTCCAAATTATAGTTTCAAAGTTAAAAATAAATAAATCAAGCATGTCATAAGGTTGTGACTTTTATGAAAAAAAAAATGTAAATAAACAAGAAAAATATTTTAGCATTTTTAATAAGATTAAAAATGTATTTAAAAGAACTCAAAGTAAATTATGTCATAAATTACTTCTTTTGAACATGACCTTAATGTCATTTTCTATTTAGGGATTCAATTGGTGTAATATTTATTATTGAAAAACTAATTTGATGTCAATTTTTAGACAATTTACTTTTACTTATCTTTCATAGACTAACTCACTTACATTTCAAAAATTAAATCGATATCAACAAAACTTTCAAAGATTAAAACAGTTATTTAGACATTACTATTTACAATATCAATGTTGGGTTACCCTTTCGTGCTTATTATTATTGAGATTTTATTTTGGAAAGAAAAATAAAGTGATAATAAAAAGGAAAAGATAAAAGGTGTTGGGTTTTGTGCCAAAGCAGATGATTAAAGAGGATGAATGATTCATTGTACGAACCCGAATTATCAGGACCCTTTATTTTGCTTTTCTCTCTTTGTAGAGAAATAGATGAATTAATCACGACATAGGTATCCAATTCACTAAACCGTGTGGGTCCCAATACTTTTATTTTATTTTAGAATTAGATTCTTTGGTTTGATCAAGCAAGAGAATATAATTTTAAAAATTTGTTAAAATTAATTAATGATTTTTGTACAACAAAATTTTTATATAAGAAAAAAAAACTTTAAAGTAATATTATTCCCATACTATTATGTTATCTAAATAATGATTTAATTATCTATCTTTATTATAAATATTATCTAAATAAAAATTTAATTATCATTAAATAATATTATTAATTATAGTACACTAAAGTTCTGTCTTAAAGCATAGCTTGCGTTGGGACAGTGGGGTGTAAAAATATCATTGCTAACATTCTCTCTCATTCTCCATCTCCTAGGGCACTTGTAGTTAAGCAGTCACACTTGCTCTCTTTTGTTGTGGTTCATCGATCATGGAGAACAGAGAAGATGATGCCACTTCCACTGAAACGGATTTTCGGTACGATGTTTATCTCAGTTTCAAAGGAGAGACCCGCCAAGGTTTCACCGGTAATCTCTACAATGCTTTGCGGCAAAAGAGATTCAGGACCTTCATGTATGATGAAGGAACACAGAATGGCGAGCAAATTTCACCCTCTCATTCCAAAGCAATTGAACAATCGAGGATCATAATCGTTGTTTTCTCTGAAAAATATGCATATTCCAGGTCATGTCTTGAAGAACTTGTGAAGATTGTTGAGTGCATGAAGACCAACAACAAACTCGTTTGGCCCATCTTTTACAAAGTAGCACCAGATGATGTAAGGAAACAAAAACAATATTATGAAAAAGCCATGAATATACATGAAAAAAAGTTTGGAAAGGGTTCTGAGAAGGTCCAAAAATGGAGGTCAGCTTTGACTGAAGCTGCCAACGTGAGTGAAATAAAGCCTTTCGGTGCTGCTGGGTACGTAAGTTTTTTTATGCGTTAAATTTCATATAAATTATAATTTAATAAAATATAAATTTAAACTATATTGTTATCATAATTTAAAAAATTAAAATGTTAAAAAAATCATTAAATTATGAAATGAAACAAATTATACGTTATAAAATTAAAAATAATAACATCAATCATTTTCATATATTTCAAAGTTGTGTATTGCTTTTGCATATTTAGCAGACGTTGAAAAATGCATTCTTTTTTAAGACATATTTGCCAGTTAGATTTTGGAAAGCAAGAAATGGGAGAATAGTTTTTTAATTAACATCTCTAATTTTATAATTTTTTTGAAATAATAGATCATTATAAATTTATTTACAAAAAAAATCAATATAAATTGTTAATATCTTATGAATATATTTTTAATTGAGGGGGTATTTAAAAATAGTATGTTAAATTGCTTGTTACTAGCAACTTTTTATTTGTTGATTTCAATTTCTGTATGTAGATGTCATAGATGAAAAATAATCGAATCACCTGGCCCAATTTCAAGAGTGAATTGTTCTTTTCTCTGATTTTGTACTATAATTATTAATTGTGATAACATAGTAATTTTGAACAATTAATATTGTTTAATAATTTGATAAACTATTATACTTAACAAATTAATCTAAGTCTAATAGGATGCGGTGCATTAGTGTTAAAAATTAAACTATTGGTTTATGCCTAGCTCATTCTTAAATATTCATTAGGTGTTGAACGGAGAAGTTTAGTTATTAAAGGGTGTATTTGTTTTGTAATCAAAATAAATTATTTTCACTGTAGATTTAAATGAAAATCTTATGATTAAAATTAATTTAAATATACATTTCAATTACTGTTAATACTTAGCAATTAATTCCTAAACACCTATTACCTTTCAGAATGACTTTGATAATCATTAATGTTATCATAGAAACAAGATATTGTGTGTGTGTGTGTTTTTGTTCTCATTTTGTGTTCTTTTTATTTTATTTTATTGTATTGTGTTACAATATTTTCAATAAGCAAATTAATTAGTCAAACATAATTTTTTTATCTTTATGAAACAATTTTGTGTGATTAAGAATAAGTGGTGTCAAATAAACTTCACTTCATGAATTAAAAGTTAATTACCTTATGTTGTAATATTAAATTTACAGGTATGAATATCAGTATATCGAAAGGATTGTGGAAATCGTAGCCGAATCGTTGCCTCGCTACAATATCTTTCTGAGCTTTAGAGGAAAAGATACTCGTTACTCTTTTACAGGTTTTCTCTATGATGCTTTGCGTCGAGAGGGATTTAAGACCTTCATGGATGAGGTGGAATTAGAAGGTGGAGACCAAATTCCATCATCTCTTATTAGAGAAATTGAAAGATCAAGGCTATCAATTGTTGTTCTATCCAAACACTTTGCATATTCTTCATGGTGTCTCGATGAACTCTTCAAAATTCTTGAGTGTATGAAAATAAAGAATCATTTAGTTTGGCCAATCTTTTACAAGGTAGACCCATCAGACGTAAGGTATCAGAAAAATAGTTATGATGAAGCCATGACTACACTTGAAGAAAAACATGGAAAGAACTCTGATAAGGTATTGAAATGGAGGTCAGCTTTATTTGAAGTAGCCAATTTGAAAGGATGGCATCTCGAAACTGGCCAGTACGTATTGTGTTTTTTTATTTAACTTACATTTAATAAATTATAATTTATTAGATCAAATATAAATTTTTTTAAATTTACACTCGCAGTATAAATAGTAATATATGATGCGATACAGTAATATGATATTCATTATTTAAAATAAAATATAAATTAAATAATATAAAAATATTACTCAATTGAATTTTAGTCCTTGAAAAAATTATTTTTTACTTTTTATAAATGTTAAAAAAAATTAGAATAGTATCTTTTATTAGCTATTGATAAAATGCATGCATTTAATATATCATGTTACCTACCATTTTATCACATTCATAAACCTAATTTTATAACATTTACTACCTCTACCTCATTTTGAAGATCTACGAAACATTGAACAAGTCTTCTAATCATCATTTTATTATGACTTAATGATTGTAGTGCTGTTAAAAGTTTTAGTTTCATACGTGTGTGTAAATTATTAATGAAAAATAATTTTGACTAGTAGAAAGAAAACAATAACTATACATACATAAATTGAAAGGAATCTTACTTATTTATTTTGTAGGTACGAATATGAATGCATCGAAAAGATTGTGAAAAAGGCTATTGATAATGACAATCAGTTGTGTATATCAAGTCCTTGCTCAAGTACGGAGTAGAAGAAAGACTTCAATTCATCTTGTAATGTTGAAAACACAATATAATGACACTGCACTAATTAATCTTATCTGTTTAAAATACAAATTAATGGCTATAATTTTACTCTAAAGATGTTGAAAAAAAATGGGATTTGAAGGTTTATTTTGAATTTTATAAGTAAATAGTAGGAAGTTGTTTTGCATGTATGTTAAGTGGATTTGGATTTCCTTCTAATTTCTTGGATACTAGACTCTAGTAATATATTTTTTATCATTGGATTGTTTTAGTTGTTCAGATTTTGTCAGGCCACTTAACTTGGTTTATTTAACTCACATTTCAGCACACTCACACACATCTCTTTAAGCACTCTTTCACCATCACCAATCACCTATATCAACATGCAGCAAGTTCACTTATGACCATCTAATCACACATTGGCTTAGTTTGTTTAGATAAACTAAGAACTTACAAGAGAAACAATTGAAATAAAAAATAAATTTTTTTTCATAAGTTAGAAATAATTTATACATTTTTATATTTTTTAAGAAGTTTTTTTATTTGACTTTTCTAAGATTTGAATGAATAGCTTATTTTTAACTAATAAAAAAGACGTTTAACAGCCTAGCCTTCACCAACGATAAGCATCATCACATCCAAAACTATCAAGGTCCTCCGCGACACCATATTATGTAAATAATTTAGTTTTTAGAAGATAAATTAATATTATTTTACTAAAAATCAATTATATCTAAAAAATGATATAAGATTTTATTATATTATTTAACAAACTCTTATCGTATAAGGTTTTATGGCATAAATATGATTATATGAAATTAATTGAAATAAACTAAAAGAACTTATTTTAGTAAGTTATATTAAAAATTTATTAAAATAAACTCAAACATATTTAAAGCAATCATAAATTGTTTTCATAAAATCTTAAAAACTCTTCTGAAGTTTTTCTAAACGGATTAATTTTATTAATTGTTAAAAATATCAAATAAAATTAATTGAAAAAAAATATATAATGAGAACATATATGCTCTTCACTTAAATGTGGTGTAAATAAAACTCTGAAACATGATAAAATAAAAAGAATTCGGAAGCTTTCTCTTTTGTATCAGAGCCTGGTTTCGATCCAGGGACCTGTGGGTTATGGGCCCACCACGCTTCCGCTGCGCCACTCTGATTGTTGAGAGCACATATATAATTACTTATTTTAAAACATAACACTATGCTTCGAAAGGTGGCAATATGATTAGAATACAAAGTCATATAATGAATCAACTACACCGCAACAATAGGGTCATGACACACTAGTTGCATAAGAAACTAAAGTTTAGTGAGAGAAGGCATTGGATTTTGAATGTGTGATTCAATGTATATTTTGTAGGACAACGTAGAGAAATCACGATGGCTCACGTGCCCTAAAATAATTGCTACTTTTGGAGGTTCCCATGTTTTATTTTTAATTGGATAACGTGGTTCATGCTCATAAGCAATTAATGCAAACCAGAAAGGTTCGTGTCCTCCTAGATAAACTTTCCATGACATTGCTTACCTAAACCAAACATGCAGAGAAAAATAATAGGTTTCTTGCACGGATTATCAACGGTGGAAGTGCAAGTGGAAGTTCTATTCAAATATTCACTACACAAATCAAGAAAAACAATATAATTATTTTGAGCATTCTCTCTTTATAAGCGTTTATGACAGACTAACACCAACAAACTGTTATAGATAATAATAACCTTTAAATCTCTATCTAATAAGTTAGGACAGCAAGTTTCAAGAACGTTGCTATCGCTATCTTAATGAAGAAAGTGATTAGTATATACATAGTTACAAATAGAATATTCCAAGAAAATTTTGGTTAATGTTGTTTCGGTTGAAATTAAAGAAGTCTCGTTATGATTATCATAAAAATTGGAATTTTATATGAAACATGTAAAGTTGAGACATTTAACGTATAAGGTAATGTAAAATAGGATTTATATATCATTAGATATGCCTTCTTATCAAATTTTTTGTTTTATTTTTTCTTTTTATCCTCTCACATTAAATCATCCACCTAGTTTATAATTTTTCTTATGAATTATAAATTTGTTAGTTCAATACATATAGTGTGCTTAATCTTTCATTTAAACTTCAAAATGTCATGACTTGTACAAAAATTATAAAAAGATACCTTTTTATTCAAATCATAATTTAGACCTTCTTAAATATAAAATTAAATACACCCATAAATTGATTTGATCAACTCATGCAATGCCTTCGTGTATATAGGTAGAGCATCTACTCCAAAATACTTTTTATCCCTAAAACCTACCGTATTAGGTGCAAAACTTGCCTGCACACTTTAAAAAGTTCAACCAAGACATCGAATATAACGTTTGGCCTTGTATACGAATTTTATATCGTTTGTTGATTGTCTTTATATGATATATATTTAAATAGGTGAATTTTATTTACATATAATGTGGTTAGTTTATAAGATATCGAGCCTTTTAGTTGAGCAACTCTTATTGCGTAAATAGCATCGTTATTACAATTTTTTTTTTAACTATAAGTATATTTTACAATAAATAATTCGTTTGAATCAAGGATAATCATATATAAGATTAGTTTTTTTTAACAATGTTACGATGAGAAAATCTTTTTTTTTAATTATTTTTCAAAGAATTAATATTTTTTAATTGTTTTAAATAAGTTCTATCAAGCACATACTAAATGAAAGATAATTAAGAAAAAAATGTACACTTTCCTTGCCTTGTTTTCTATGTTAAAGAATACGTTGTTATTTTTAATTATACTATTAGACTATTTGAGTTTTAAGTTGACTTTGGATGGACAACTAATTGTAAAGCCAAAAAACAATGTTTAGATGGTTCTCTACTCTTGTTTCTATTCGATATATCGTACTGATATTATAAAAAACTATTTTTTATCTTTGAAATTTATGAAACATATACAACAAAAATTTCATTATTTAAATTATTCCCTCCACGAAATTTTGAAACAAGAAAAAGAATGCGAACAAAGTAATATTTATGTTAACAAAAGAATACATCAATTAAAAATAAAACGAACATCACCTCGGAATAGTTTTACATTTTCTAGTCTTGTTCTTACCTCTATTATCATATTTCCCCTTTTTTTGAATAATAAAAAAAAGACAAGATGCATAATCAAATAATATTTATTTAATATAAAAAATAACCCTTTCGTATTAACTTTTACATGAAATTTTATATTTTCTTTTTATAAATATTTATACATTTTTAATTGAATCTCACCTATTTACAATTTTTGTTTTTGCAAAAAAAGATAAATAATACGGAATTTGTAATGATTGGGACCAAACAATTGGTTTTGAGTAGCTAATATGGTTTGACTCTCCATTGAGAAGAGTTTGATCTCGCTGCTTCTCTCTTCCCATGGCTTCTTCTTCTTCTTCTTTGCTCTGCAAAATAGCGTGGTTGAGCACCCTTCTAACTAGCCTTCAAGTTTTGGCTTTGAAAACGCCGTTTCATCCCCAAGACGTGCTTCCTCTGCTGCCGAGGCAGGTTTCATGGCCAATCCTCAACTCTCTCCATAGCGCAGTGGATATTCTCCCTGTCTTCGTTGGTGCTGCTTCTTCCCCAGATGACAATCTCCAGTGGAAAGGTGCTTGCTTCTATCAGAACAAAGCTTGGATGGTCTTTCATAACAAGACTGGTTCTGAATTTGGTGGTGGCACCCTTCATTTAAAGGTCAGATTTTCATCTTCCTTTTTGGTTTTTCTCTGTCAATTTCGAGTTTTGCAAATCTGGGTCACTTTTTTTTGTAAAAAGAAAATCAAATTTTATGATGAGTCTTGTTCGTTGTAATGAACTTTCATTTGCTAGTTATATTCTATCTGGGCTAAGTAAACTTGATTTGCTGAAACTGAGTCTGAATGATAGTTCAAGACCTAATGGAGAGAGTGTTTTCTTAACATTAGAATGCATAGATTATATCATGTGATTGGGTTGTAGTTTGGTGGATTTTGGTTGGTTGCATTGTCATTTGAAAGGTTCAGAAATCTGACTTCGATGGTCACCTAGATTGTATTACATTAGAGGAGATTAAGTTAAGTAGATTAATGTCACTCAGTATTTTGTGCAAGTATATTTGGATTTGGGATTCAGCAGAAACTGATTGATTAATTTCTTTGTGCTGATTCTAGGTTAGCAATGCTCACAGTTGGACATGCATGGATCTTTATATTTTTGCGACCCCGTATCGTGTGACGTGGGATTATTATTTCCTGGCTCGGGAGCATACACTTGAGATTAAAGAGTGGGCAGGGAGAGCTGAGTATGAGTATGTAAGTGATTATCTTTCTTCTGTCCACCATCACTAAGTACAGTGTTGAAACATGCAGTTTTGTTATAGAGATTCTTACTTTCTTTGCAATCAGGTAAAAAACCATGGCTTATCAATTTTCCTCTTGAAAGCTGGGATGTTGGGGACCCTCCAAGCGCTTTGGGAGGTTTTCCCTTTGTTTACAAATACTGGGTGGGGTGAGAACTCCAATATTAACTTTTTGAAGAAACATATGGAAGCTTCTTTTGTAGCACGCCCTCCGCCTTATGTTACAAATATCAGTGTTGATGACATTCAATCTGGAGATTTCCTTGCTATTTCGAAAATTCGAGGACGATGGGGAGCTTTTGAGACTCTAGAGAAGTGGGTCAGTGGATCCTATGCTGGTCATACTGCTGTTTGCCTTAGGGACCCAGATGGAAAGCTTTGGGTTGGGGAGTCAGGAAACGAAGATGAAAATGTAAGAGATTTAAATTGCATTATATTTCATATTTATTTCTTGATAATTTCATAATATTTAATAATTTTATCCTTAAAAATATGGCATCTCTGCAATCCTGTGTGAGTTTAAGTTTTTTGATATAATTTTCAAAGAATTTTTGTAAATTCCTTAAGTTAACCATGTTGTCATCAGAGTAGAAAGATTATGATTTCAGTTTCAGTTTGAAATTGTGATTGAAAAATAGTGCAACATATTTATCATGTTAACATATATAGATTTTCTTTTATGACAAATAATTCACCCTGGTAATTTGATTGTTTGAGCAATTGATGGTAAAAGTATAATGGTTCACATCTCCACAGCTGCATTTGGAGTCAAGTTGCAGGCATTTTATTTCCTTCCTCACTTTTTTGTTTGCAGGGAGAAGTTATAATTGCTTTGGTACCATGGGAAGAGTGGTGGGACTTTGAACTGAATAAAGATGATTCCAATCCCCATATTGCACTGCTCCCATTGCACCCTAGCATGCGTGCCAAGTTTAATGAGACTGCTGCATGGGAGTTTGCAGTGAGCATGGTGGGAAAACCATATGGTTACCATAACATGATCTTCAGTTGGATAGACACTATAAATGGGAATTATCCACCCCCCTTGGATGCTAATGTGGTATTAATTTAGTTAGATGTTCTGCTTTAACTTTCAATTCATTTGCAATATCAATAGATTCAACTATCTTGAATTTTGCACTCTTAATTCCAAGCTTGAGCATTTCTAAGTTCTAACCTATGTTTCTTTTTCAAACAGAATAAAACAAACCACATTCTTGATCTTGCAGAAATTCAATGAGTTTTCTTTGCAAGTTGTTTGAATTGTATATAATTTTGTTCAAATCACATTATCGTCATCTCATTTAGTTTTACTTATAATTGCCTATCTGCCACCCGAGAAGACTATTGCTATTGAAGAAAAAGTTCGTACTTTTTATAAAAAAATAAAATAAAAGAAGTGATGAATAAGTTCACAAAATGTGGCATCAACTATTGTTTGTGTGTTGTTTCTGTCTTCTCATTTTTTCTTTTGTATGTTTTAGCCTCATGCAACATAGCTTAATGTTTTTATGAATTAATCTTTTGAGCATTTACTTTGTTGCTCTGCAGGTTGCTTGTGTTATGACAATTTGGAGTCAAGTCCAACCTGAATATGCTGCAAGTATGTGGAATGAAGCCTTGAACAAACGACTTGGAACTAAAGTATGATGCAATCTTGTTTCTTGCTGCAACACATATGCATGCGCTCACATTCACTTGAAAAGGGAGAAACAAAAATTTAAATTCTTGATCAGAAGCTGTATAATGATTATAAATAATAATTTTATTTCTTATCTGTAAATGTGTGTGTGTGTGTGTGTGTGTGTGTGTGTTTATTCAAGGTATTTTGTAGTCCTTAATATATGACCTGTGACAAACGCAGCATCTCTCTCCCTTCTAACTGCTTTGTGATATTATGCAATTTCTTAGCTGAAAATAAGTGAACCATGTGGCCATTTTGTGTTTCTACAGGGACTTGACCTTTCTGAAATTTTAGTTGAAGTTGAAAAGCGTGGATCGTCTTTTGATGAACTGCTGACAATTCCAGAACACGATGACTGGGTCTACAGTGATGGAAAATCAGCTTCTTGCATTGCTTATATTCTTGAGATGTACAAGAAAGCAGGACTGTTTGATCCAATTGCTAGTTCTGTTCAAGTGACAGAGTTTACGGTGAGTTTGCTGGGAAGTTTGTTTCTGTCGTTTGGATGGCAATATTACTGTAAATTTTGAATTTTATCCTGCAGAAAATTTATGGGAATAATTGAGCATATATAATATGTTATCATGATTGTATAGTTTTTTTTTTTTTTGTATGCGTGCACTCTAAGCTCATAACTGAGCTGTAGCACAAAATGGTTTTGCAAATTCTGTGTTTCATTTGTTGTGTGAGCTCTGGGGCACTTTAGCTAAAGGATGACTGTAAGTCTGTAAGACATGGGCTTATGTTTTGAATCTTTATGGAGGGGAGACAAAAATGGGAGGAGAGGGATTTTGTACCTTATTTGCCCTCCCATCAAAATTTTTGAATCAAACAAGGGACTTCTATGACAATCCTTCCCTGCCCCTTTCATCCTCCAATCAAACAATATGTAAATAAATTTACAAAGTGAAATTAGGTTGTTGAGCAGGGTTGGTGTTAGTTCACAATGTATATGGTTTTTGTGATTTTAGAAGTTAAAGAACTTTACTGTTGGTAGTTTCTTAACTAGGCGCATATGGGCTTATTTTTATGCAATAAATGCAGATAAAAGATGCTTACATTCTCAATATTTTTGAGAACGATTCTAGTCGCTTGCCAAAATGGTGCAATGATGGAGACACAGTGAAGCTTCCCTATTGTCAGATTAAAGGCAAGTATCGAATGGAGTTACCTGGATACAACACCATGCAACCATACCCTCATATGAATGAAAGGTGCCCATCTCTTCCTCCAAATTACTTCAGACCCAAGAATTGCTAGCAGTCTTCAATTCTTTCCCTCCAATCCTAGGGCTGATTGCTTCACAAGATTTTCTCATAATCCAGATTTGGATTGCTTAGGAGATGCCAAATTAATTATTGATGTTTGTATCCATTTGATTTACATAAAAATGTTCTAATTATTCGGGGTTGTATATATATTCTTACAACTTATTTTAGAACATTCATGTAATTTGGGTTGTCTATATAGCTAGATTAAACACGATGTAAATATATGGGACTTTAATATATGTTCATCTTGCAAAACTAATTTGAGCAGGTATCATATGTAAAATATTTTCTAAGTCATTCGTCTGCATTTTTTTTTTCTAAATTGACTACGCTTACATTGAATAGAAAAGTTGAAAATTGCTGTACTAAGTTTTGAAAGTAGCAATTTGTTTACTTCAATTCTGCTGTCCCATTAACATGACATAGGCATTGCCACATTTACTTTCAGCGCAATATCAGTATCAGTGTTCAGATCCTGTATAACCATATGACTAGAACATGACACAGCTATGACTATTGTTTAAGAGTGTAGTTGATACATCGTAGTTATGATCAATTTTTATCCAAAAAATCTTTACAGTGCTTCCCTCCCCACGCACACGTGCATTTTACTTTTACGGGACATTTGTCTAATCATACGTCAATGCGTAAATTTAGAAAGAAAAACAAAATTCTAATGTGTTGTTACGCTATGGTTGAAACTTTGAGCAGAGATTTTTTTACTTAGTGTATTTGGATATACAATTTATTTATGTGTTTATTTAATTCTTTTAAAATGATAACTTATAACTTAAATTAAATGATGAAATTTATTGTGATAACTTGAACATATCTTATTTGGATAAGTTCTAGTAATAAATTTATGAAAATAAATTATAAAGAATTTAAGGAAATCGTAGGTGAAAAAATATTTAATCGGAATACTAGTTACATGGTTTTTAATACACAATTTTTAAACCCATTATGTTCAATACAAGTTTCACTTTAGTTGGGGGCAATCCTTGCATTAAGTATGCACTTGCACTTACGGTATGGATTTTTATCGGTAAATAGTTACGTTATTTAGCTCAGATGTTCTCTAGTCTTTACCTCCTTAATTCTGGCTATTAAGTTTGGAATCCTTATGCAAACGAGTCTCTTTCCATCATTATTTTAGGGAAGCTAATAGGTGCATGGATCTTCTGGTGGTGTTGCTTTGATCAGTTTGTAGCTGGTTACTTGTTGGTTAGGCTTTGGCTCCGTAGTTTATCAACAATAAACATAATATTATACCAATCTAGGATTGTAATTACAATTATTTCCAAGTTTGAACAGACAAAATAAAAGCTAATATAATCATAAGCTGATCTATGGTATTAATTTAATACATTTTATTAAGAAAGCTTCCTTGGCCAAATTTGAAGTAGTAGCCCTTGAGTTGGTACTGGCATTGGATCCCTCTTAAAGAAATTATCAGAACATAGCTTCCAATTGAACCGGGTAAGAATGTAATGAATTGCAACGAGAGTTTCAACCCTGGCAAACTCATACCCTGGACATATTCTGGCTCCCCCTCCAAATGGAATGAAGCAGTAGGGTGGTGTAGATGCTTGGTTTTCAAATCTACTTGGATCAAACTTTGATGGCTCTGAGAAAATGTTGTTGTCCATGTGGGTCAATGCTGTGACCCAGAAAATCTATAAATGTGTAGAAAGGTTTTAATCAGTAACATAAACAAAGAAATCTAGTTCACCAATGACACAAACTAGAGTTTTACTTACCTGCCACCCTTTGGGTATGAAGTATCCTTCATATTCAATATCTGTGGCAGCCTTTCTGAAGCCACCAAATATGGGAGGAAAGATTCTAAGAGTTTCCATTGCTACTCTCCAAGTGCACTTCATCTTTGAAAGGTCTTCCCATGTCAGTGGCTCTCCTGAAGGCTTGCTTTTTGCTATCTCTTCCTGTTCTGGAATCACAACCAATTATGTTGTAAGTTTTGTTAATATCAGTTCTTAGAACAGTTTAAGCATCTGAAAGTAGTAAATTTTTATTAAAAAAAATTATTCATTGCATTAAGTTTATAAAAGAATAATAAATACTTCTTTTTTTAATAAAATTTTATTATATATTATATGTAGATTTCTTTGCCTTAAAAACATGACATATAACATGTATGGTTTTTTTCCCATTTTAATTTATTTGAATAAAGAACTGTCAAATTAGGAGTGATAACTGTCAAAAGAGTAGGCCATCTAGGAGTACCAAAACTTTGCTCTTCTTGCAATCACGCTAATACACATACTTGTCGATGCATACCTTGGAGAACTGCTGCACAGATAGAAGGCTCATTGGATAAGAGTCTGATGATGAAAGTGATTAGAACAGATGAAGTGTCATATCCAGCAACCATGACAAGCATAACGTTGTGAATGATTTCCTTCTCCGTTATAACTTGTTTGTCATCTTCATCAACCATGCTTAGCATGCAGCTGATCAAGTCTTGGTGGGAAGAGGCTACATTTTTCTCAAGTTCCATCTTCTTCATGTGCACAATCTTCTTCAACATTTTCTGGATCCTTGCACTTTCTCTGAGGCTGCGATTGTAGCGTGTGAAGGGCACGTTAACTGGCACTGACCACATTCCTTCTATCATCGCTTGAAAGGAAGGCAGTAATTGATCTCTTTGTTCTCCACTCTCAAGACCAAACAGAAGAGAGCAAATTATGTTGAATGTGAGCGTCTTCATAAGGGGCAATACCTGTAAGAAAAACAAAGATAAACAGTCACACAATATTTTCTTTTTCCAACTTTGATTTGCTTTTGCTTGCTGCTGGATATTTTATTAGTATTTCAAAAAATTTAACAGTAACATTACTCACCTTAACTAGGCATGGAGTAATGATCTATAATATAACATCATAAGGCAAATAAATCTTTTAAGGATGATATCATCAGTAATATTTTTTCTTAAATTTTTTTCCTGTAATTCTTATCCCAGTTACAAGTTAAAGGTTACAACCCTCAACCTAGAATATGTACTTTGAATAAATAGTTTAATTAAACATTTTTTCAATAATTTTTTATTACATAAAGATTTAAGCCATAAATTTAACCATAAAATTTATATATATAAAGCTTAACAGAGTTATATAAGTTATTCTTTAAAAGCTCAAATAAACTCTTTCAAACTTGTCCTTACATTGTTTAATCTAAATCTAATAGATATTGGGATGTAACTTGTAACATTACCTTGACCTGCTGTTTCCCCTGCCAATGCATGTCAAGGTGCCTCCTAACTTCTTCATCCATTTTGTCCACATATCGCTTCAAGGATTCTGGCTTCAAGAATGAGACAAGTGCACCCCTGACTCGGCTGTGATCTTCACCATTCAGTTCCAGCAAGCTGCGGTCGCCCAGTATCATTTTGATGGACTCTGTTTGCTGGTTAACAATGGTGTTACTACCACTTGAGAATATAAACTTATTTGCAGCCTGTCCATAGATTAAAACTGTTGGCTTTCCAAAGAGGCTTAGCTTTGAAATAGGACCATACTTGTTGATTCTTTCTTCAACCCATTTTTCTGCAGTGTTGGCACGCATAGCTCTAAGAAGGCCAAGACTTTGACCAATAATAGGTATTCCAAGTGAACCTGGAGGGACCCTTTTGGATGCTTTTCTTCTTCCTCTAAGCAGAAGGAGGATTGGCATGAGCAAGAGGAAACTAACTAGGAGAAGACTCATGTTTCAGCACTTTCTCTTCAGATTCTCAACATAGTAGTTTCTATAGAAAGGCTTGTCCACATATAAAAAGTTACGACTTTTGATAGTAGCCGGCCTTTTTCTATATTTTATTCGTCTCTAAAGTAAGAGACAACAAAGTGAGGTTTTTTTTTTTTTTTTTTTTGAAAAAATTGCGATGTAAAAAAGAAAACCACAAAGTGTTCTCAAATTTCAAAAGCTTAAGATTATCTTTTGATAATGATTAATAAAATTTACATATAATAAAGTTTAAACACAGAATCTCGTGTTTAATAGATCGAACTCAACACTAGTAATCAGTGACATGTGGGGAAAGGAGGGAGATCCAGAAGGCAGAAGTTGTAGGTCTGATTAGTTGTAATGAAAAACATAATGTGTAAAAAATGGTCATCAAAATAATATATCAAATTGCTGCAGTCACCATAGGAAGGTGTGTAAGAATCATGCAAAAGAGGACATAAGGATTGCATTCCAAGTTTATTGACTTGATTCCTCTTTGTCCCATAGCTGGTAAGGAAGGCCTTCTCTTTCCTTCATTATTTTATTTTTTGGTGTTTGCTAATTAATGCTTTTAAAATTGAATCGGTTATTAAGTGTGTTGTTTTATTATTTCTTTGTTCAATTATTGTGATAAGACTAATAATAATTAAATATATAATTTATTTATATTATATAGTATATTAGATAATAATATACAGTAAGATCTAAAAAGTACAATAAATATTTAAATAATAGTATCTTATATGTAGATATTGTATATGAATATTTATTTATTTAAAAATATTTTAGAATAAAAGTATATTTGAGGCATAAAAATTATTAAAATGAATTTTATATCTCTCAATAAAAAAGTTGTATACACGTAACTAAAAATTTTACTCCAATAAATATGTTTAACAGACTCACTTATCCATCAATTATATCAGACTTTATTAGTTTTATAGTAGCTATTTTATTATTGGCTTTGTTCTCTTTGTTATATTTGATTCTAAATTAGGGTATCGTGTCTTATTGGGGTGATAAATAAAATTTCTGACACTATCCTTCGAAATAAAATATAAAAAATGTTTTAAAAAACAAAACAATGTTATTTTCATTTCGTATTCTTATAATATATATTTTTCTCTCTTTTCATCACATCATTTATCTTATCTTATATATTTTTTTATTAGAAAAATTATTGTGAAAATGTAAAGTGAGAACAATAATACTGAAAATTTCTTTAGACGAACGTATAAGATGGAAACAAACAAAAACGGCAGGCTTGGCTACCTGAAAGTATGGAAAAACCCATTTGAGCCCTCTCAAGTGTGACTCTGCATTTTCTAAATCATTGGTCTTTATCTAATATTAGTTTTGAAAACCAAGTTTATATAAATAATCTTGCATTCTCCTATTATAATAGTTTTATTTGGGGGAAAACAAACAAAAACTTGTTCAAAGGAACAAAAGAAAATCACAAGGTCTATTCTTTTACTTATGAGACCAATGCATGTTGATTGGGTATTTTATACATAAAATGTGATTATATATATATATATATATATATATATATATATATATATATATATAAATCATTTAATAAAGATTATAATTCGTGCTTATAAAAAATTATTTCAGTTTAATTTAAAATTTTGAGTTTAAGTTTAAATAAACTGAACTTTGTTGTTAATAATAATTTTAGCAATTCTACTTGTCTCGAATAATAGTGAAAGATACTCGTAAGTTCCTTTTATAACAGTAAAATGACATGTTTAAAAGATCAACTGGAAATAAATTTATAACAACTTACCTGTTATGTGGACAAAATTGCCAACATACGCTAGTGATTTAATTTTGAAAAAGTCCTTTATGATTATTGTAGTTGAATTCTTTATTTTATGATGTGTAGATAGACGTAGATGAAAACATAAGCTAGTGATTTAATTTTTCAACAGTGAATCAAGTAACCTAGAGTAGTACCTGGTAAAGAATATAATTAATATCTCTGCATAATTTTCTTATATGTTTTATTGGCATATTAATTATTAAACTCAAATAGTTTAAATTTCACATTAATGATTCTGTATCATTTTATGTAAACAATTTACGTATCGTCAGAACTAGTTTGTTTGGAGTAAAATAACCAGGTGAGGGGAATTGTCACTGAAAATGCTCTGATACGAAGTGATATCAGTCGTTCATAAATATATAAAACAAAGCGTTTTCATTTGTTACGCAACTGACCCGAAAAGGCAACAGAAGTCAATTGCTTTATTTACTTGTTAATATTAAATAGTCTGAAGATACCGGGAATTGGGATGAAGTCACAAGGCAAAATAAAGAAAAATGATGCCTGAAACATTTGTATTGATTATTTATTTTCTAATCCCTTTGAGGGCTTTACAAGTTAATTATATTTTAAAGAATTTTTTCATTACTAGTTAGATAAGCACACCGAGTATTGGCTAAAGCAATGCGTCAGATAATAATAGTTTCATTCCTGAGAAGCCCACGCAGAACCTAATCAAAATGTTGACCGTGTAATTCATTTCAGATTTCCGGCAGAATAATACCAAGAAAATGAAAATTTGCAGATCAGTCAACTAGAAAAGTCTTAACACATTTCAATTGGAATTTCAATCGAGTTTGTCAAGCATGCAACAAAGAAGCGCGAGGTTTGCATTTAGGGCAACCCTAATGGTAAGGTGTGCTAAGAGAAAAAGGAAACAAGGAAGAAAAGAAGCTGCTTAGAGAGTGATGGAGGACTGGCGGAATACTCCTACATGTATAAAGACGATGACAACAACAACAATCTTTTGTTTCGTACTCTAAACTGACTAAGTATAAAAGAACAATGCATATCTCAACCATCCAAAGTATGCAGGTCAACTTACATATATGTGTTATAGTAAGAAAACTGAAGACATTTGCGTATCATTTTATCATCACTCAGCCTTGGTAGGGAGATGGTTGCCACCAGTTGCTAGTTTGTAGAGATAAAACGCAGTCATGAGAGCACTGCAAGAAAAAGGAAGACAAATGTCTTAACTCCAGATACAAACAACATACCTTGCTCTGCTATGGAGATACACATCTATAAGCAGTGTTTTGGTTAACAAACACCCAAACTTGCATAAACATCTACAAAAGCTTATATTAAGAGTACACACCTTTAAGATAAACAAACAAGAAAAATCGATTTATTAGTTATTACATTACAATAATGCTCGGTGACTGATGTGAAGCAATTAGAGAATACATAATTAAGTAATGGCTGCCAATGCTTGACTCCAGACATTAAATTTAGAAAATAATATACAAGTCTTCAAATCAGTAATGGAGAGTTAAAACAAGTTTTAGAAGAGCTTGCACAAAATAAGTTCAGGTTAGTAGCACACAAAAATATTTCTTTAATTTTCAAAAGTAAATGCATCTATTTTCATGGATGCATTTACTTTTCACGAGGGATATGTTCGTGGATTTATAATCTACAACCTAACAACCAATCCAACAATCAAATCTCAAAATTTAGTTCTTGCAACTCTCTGAGAATAAAACTACGTTCAGAATATGAGCTTGGGTACTTCTAATCAATCCTTTGATTACCTGATTCCAGCAATAAGACCAGCAGGCATAACCTTGGAAGTTTCCATGTAACGTTGTCCCATGGTCCAAGTTAGTATGACTGCACAGACTGTTTTGCAGGATACAAATTAGTAAAAGGCAGAGAAAACTACTCCGACAAATATGGACCATAATTAATTCAGTGAACATAGCTTGTCAGATGATTCCCATTATAAGCACAGAAATACCCTTTGATCCTATATATTGGTCATAAGTCATAAATTACTAAAATATCTTGTCAGGTTAAAAAAGGCATATTGTTCTTGCTTAATTTTACAATTCACAGAGATTGATAATGCAATCTGATACATCTCTACCCCCGCTAAAGTTTCTGTACATGCTTTTTGTTACGAAGTAGGAGCATCGCTGATCATTCCTAGCATAGAGCATGCTTTCATTTGAAAGAGAATATACTGTGTAAGTAAAACCGAAAAATAAGTCAAGTAGAGAAGGTGTTTTTGCACCTATAAGTCAACTAAGTTTATCAGATTGATCTGCTATACATAAGGCTGGGCTTGTATTGGAGGGTATTTACACAAAGCTCAAGATACAGGATAAACCATGTTCCATCGCTTCAACTATACTCATAACAAAACTGTAGGGTGCAAGCTGCAAGCCTGATAAACAATGAAAACTTGAAAACCATGATGAACATCCACAGACACCCTCTTTCACAACACTTCGACAATAAGTCAATGACACATCTATGTATCGCTTTCCCTCCTTCTTTCCCTTTCAACATCTTTCACCCAACCTAACAAATCCCCATATTATCCTCTTCGTCTTAATCACTATAAAACAGAAAGTAGTAAATGAAAAAGCAGCAACACTTGATATCTTGGAAACACAAAAAGCACTTCACGCATTCTAGTTCAACCAATTCAGAGGATTAACATAAAATCATTCCATCCGAGAGAGAGAGAGAGAGAGAGAGAGAGAGAGAGAATTCAAATCTAACATTTTAGACCATCTCAAATGAGTCCAACAAATCCACATTTTTCCTCACATCCAAATCATCAAATTACGATTTATAGCATAAAACTTTTTTCCAAATCCAGAATCGAGAACCAAAACATGAACCGAGTCAACAATCGCACGCGACAAAGCCAAACATTTCCGAAACTAAAAAAGAAAAAAATGAAAGGAAAGATACCGGTCTCGAGAATCAAAGCAAGGTAAGAGTTTTTTTGCTTGCCAAAGGCATTGAGACTGAGATAACCAGCAACGATGAGAATCAAACCAGAGCCAGCGCCTCCGGCCAGAGAAGCTATGCTCCCTTTCTTGATGTAGCCGAAGAGTCCTCCACCTATTAACAGCAACCCATACGGAATCGTGAAGCAGAAATCGTGCATTTTCTCTGATTTTCCGGGAAATTCAGACGTTTTGAATCGGAATATCGAAAGTGAGGGCCACCGGAGCGTGGAATGCACAAGTCAATAACATCAGCTATTTACCTTGTATTCCGTATTTGCCCCTACATTATTCAAGAGAATTTCGAGTTTGCCCTTCTTGGTCCCCGGTCAACGGTCAATTCACTTTCTCTTTTTTATTTTATGGTGGGATTTAATAGAGTTGGTAAAGCGGATTACATGATGCATTTTATTCTCTCTTTAGGAAACAAAATAATTATCTATAGTACAATATAAGATTGATTAACTATAAAATATTATAATTTTTTAAAATTATTAAATATAAATTTAACAGCAAAAATTTCTGCTGCAAAGGCTGAACTGTTAAAGAAGATCCGAGTCCATAATTCAGATATTGAACTTTAACAAGTTAAACTAAAAGATTCAAACATAATTTAAGTTTATAACAAATAGTATTTAAAATAGATAAAATTCAAAATTTATATTTTATTGTGTAAATTCAGATCGGTCCGTTGAATAGTAAATTCTAAATTATCAGCCTAAATAAATAAATTTCACTTTCTTTTATTATTTATTATTATTATTGTTGTTGTTTACTCGTATGTTGAAAAAATGAAGGTAAGAAGCTATGGGTTAAAGGCAGTTCAACTTTGTTTTTCTTTTTATTGGTCGACACCTAATCAGATTCAAAGATTGTCATTTTCCCTTTTGAATTGGTTAAACTTTAAAGTTGTTTCGGCCCACCAGATTAGTTGGATAGTAAATTGTATTACATGAACATTAAGCTAATCAAAATTCAAAGATTGCGAGATAAATAAATAAATAATAAGTGGACTCAATTTTTTCAGATTCAGATATGTCACATTCCTACAGCTGATACAGGCTTTAGATTTTCCTACTCTACTATTTATTATCATCATTAAGATTTTAAAAACTATTCTTAGTAATAGTAAATTATAACAAAATTGAAAATCATAAGATAATTCATAAAATTTATATACATTGATTGATAGTGGGAATAAGGCCAAGGCCAGTGAATCTCACTACAATGAATATCAAAATTGATAAACATTATTGTTGGCTGGATATTGTCTTCCAATTCCAAGTTCACCCAATTGGAAAGAGTAGAACACACAGACTGTCCCCATATGGCAAATGTCAAGCAGTGTGACGTGCAAGACAATGATTCGTTCATGTGTGAAACAAGGTCTTACCAAATATTTATAAATATAAATAAACTAAAATACTATTATCCTACCTTTTAAAATAACAAATCATTGAAAAAGATAAAAAATTAAAAATTTTATCAGCATTTTAAAACATATAATTGTCAAATTTTAAGTTATGGTCTTGCTAGTAATTAATTATATTTTTAAGTATATTTTCAATTATTTTCAACATTAAATTTAACACACAATTAAACAAAATCATATTAGAATAAGTAGACATCAAGCTCTAAATTACATATCTTCAATTATTTTAATAGCCAAGTTGCTGCTTTCAATAATAATGATAAAAGTCAAAGAGCAGGACATGAATCTTATGAAGACAGCCAGCCAGTAGTGCTTCCAAAACTGAGAAATTGAAACTCAAAAGCTTGATCAACTTCACTGAAGCATTACACAGTGAAACACTGATTTTCTCAATATTTGTATGTATATGGAAGTGTTCCTCAATTTGGTAATTGGTTCCTCATTACTTCACCCGTGCAATATTCAGGTTCAACGTCATTTTCTCCACTGTTTTCCTACTATTATAAATTTATTGTGATTTGTGCTATTCCTATATATAATTTCAGGATCCAAATGAGGAAAGTGAAGATCAGGCCACTCATGAAATATCCACATAATCGGTATGTGCTAGCAAAATTGAAGATGTTCATTCTGAATGTGACCCCAATTGGGACAAGGTCAACCTTTTACTCGGCAAGCCATTGTTGGAGCAACAATAATTAGGTTCTTCATCTCTTTCTAGAATGACTAACTACATTTAATGAAATTTATATATATATAAATGCAAACCATATGTGAACAACTTGGAAGTTTGGGTATGCTATTAAAATATCTACAACTCATTAAGAATAAGTTTGCTGTATGCAACACAAAATCAATCACACACTATCGTTGACTTTGATTTCCAGAAAGAGTAGACGGGTTCTCACACACCACCATCATTTCGTTTGTGCCTGCAACTGCAACATCTTTGAGTGAGTTCAAAATTTCATTCACCTCTCTTCTTTCCCTGTCTTTAATTAACATAGAAAAAGCTCGATCTAAAGAAGGAGATTAATAAATCATCTGTCCTTTTGCTTGCTATAACAATTATGCTAATGCTTTCTTTCCGTTTTCATAAATATGGAGGAACATATATAGCACCACACACTATAGCCCATTTTATAAAACTATCTATCTATCTATATGTATCCCTCTTTGGTTATAAATCATGTTAGGTAGTATATACTTTTTGTATTTCTGACTTAGATTTAGATCAAACATTGCAATATGACTGAAAGTATATTTGCATTCGATTTCTATGAAAAATCAATCGTTAATTATTTGTGGTATTAATTCCTTAGCTTGATTTTGATTTGTTACATTAAAAATACGCCCAAAATTGATGATTGTGGCAGGTTGCTTTTGTGTCAATGGATCTTAATTCGATGAAGTCAGTGATCCGTAATTCAATAATATGTGCTGACAAAAACATTGTTAATGAATTCAAGAGCCAAATGAATGATCTGATTTCAAACCGAAATTTTGGGATGAGGGAAGCTGAAGAAGCTAGAATGAAAGGTGGGACACTAAATAGTAATGCTCTGTCTTGGTTACAAGCGGTGGAGAAACTCATCGAAGAGGGAAAAGAGATGCAAAGCAAAAGGAGGGGATGTTTTGTTGGGAAGAATTTATATCGGCGATACGAAGAAATGGTAAAGAGAATGGGAGACCTGAATAACACGACAATTTCCTTCATATTCACCCCAATTCCGGAGATGCAGTACTTCTCTACTACAAATTTGAAGTATTATGAGTCTACAAAAGTGGCCTCACATCAACTTGTGAGGGCACTACGAAATGGTAGTAACTATATAATTGGATTGTATGGAAAGCGAGGATCGGGTAAAACAAAGTTAGTGAAAGCAGAAGGTGAAAAAGCAACCTACTTAAAACTTGTTGATGAAGTTGCTTTTGCCACTGTGTCCCAAAATCCAAGCATAAGAAGGATCCAAGACGAAATTGCTGACTGCATTAGTCTGAAATTGGAGGAAAATAGTGATGCAGGAAGAGCAAGAACAATATGTAAGAGACTTCAAAGTGGGGAAAAAATTCTTGTGATCTTGGATGATGTTAGAGAAAAGCTTGAGCTAGAGGATATAGGTATTCCTCACGTTGGTAATCGAGGCAAATGCAAGATCCTTTTGACCTCACGAAAGCAACAAGTATTAATCTTGATGGAGTGTCAAAGGGAGATTCCTTTGGATCCATTGTCTCAAGAAGAAGCTTGGGAGTTGTTCAAGAAACATTCTGGCATAGATGAAGAAAATGAAGATGAAACCTCATCCGAATCTAATCTACTAAAATTGGCACGTGAAGTTGCTGCTGAATGTGAAGGGTTGCCTGGTAAAATTAAAGAAGTTGGATCTTCCTTGAAAAGAAAACCCATTGAGGAGTGGGAAGCATCTTTAGACAGTATGAGATATTCAAGTGCACAATACCAGATTTTTTTGAGTTTTAGAGGAGAAGATACTCGGTATTCTTTTGCAGGTTTTCTCTATCATACTTTGTGTCGAGAGGGATTCAAGACCTTCATGGATGAAGGGGGTTTGGAGAGTGGAGACCATATTTCAGAATCTCTTATTAAAGCAATTGAAACATCAAGGCTTTCCATTATTGTTTTGTCTGAAAACTATGCAGAATCTTCTTGGTGTCTTGATGAACTTGTTGCTATTCTCGAGTGTAAGAAGACCAAGAATCAACTTGTTTGGCCAATTTTTTACAAAGTGGAACCATCAGATGTGAGGTTTCAGAAAAATAGTTATGGCAAAGCCATGGATGCACATGCAATTACGTATGAAAACAACTCTGAGAGGGTGCAGAAATGGAAGTCAGCTTTGTTTGAAGTTGCTGGCTTCTCTGGATATCATTACAAAACGGGGTACGTAGTATAATTCCAGATAGATTAGTTCTATTAAGGTTAATAAATTACAGTTTATATATTCCTTTTGGTGAATTATATTCTAACTAATAAAAGCTTTATACTTTTGCAGGTATGAGTATGAATTTATCAACATGATCGTGGATAAGGTTAATAACATTAAAAACCGATTGTATATACAAAGTATGGATATGGACTAGAAGGAAGGCTTCAATTTCTTTTACATAGTGTTGCAAGTGACAAAATCCATCATCTCAATAGGTGTTTTTGTAAGCAGTGTAATTAGCTTAAAAATGAATTACTGCTGTAATATGCATGTTCATGAAAGAAAATTGTCTTGGATGTGTGCCTTGTTCAATTAGCGCGGGATAACAGTGTCTTGGAGATGCTAATTGTTGCTATTATTATAAATTAGTAAATAAACTTTCATGCATAATTTTTTTTTCTAACAATCTATCACCAGAGAAGTATATAAAAAAAAATTAGTTTTAATCTCTCTTTTATAAACTGAGATTATATTTCCGCTCTAATATTTATATATTTTTAATGATGTAACCTAAAACAGTTTATTTTTATTATGATTATCGCATTCAAGTTTGTCTTTTATTTCCCACAAATTATATTTACTTGGGGTTTATGTCAACATCATCCCGTTGTTTACAAAGGATGATCTTCTTAAACAAGTTTTATGAACCAAAAGCGCTTATCAATCACTCTTATCTTTCACTCTTTGGTCGCCAGTCATCGCAGAAAGATTAGAGGATCCCCACTGCCTTCTTCGAGTGAGTAAAATTTTCATCCACTTTTTCTTCTTTCCATATCTTTTTTTACTTCAAATATATTCCCTTTATCAACGGTTCTCAGTTCCTGGAATTCTAGTCTTCCAACAAATATTTATACGCGATCTATTAACACGTTTTTTGACATATTTTCTTCTAATAAATTTTCTATTTTTAGATTTATTAAAAATTATAAAATCGTGAGTGAAGTTTATATATAACTAGAGAAATTTTACTATTCTCAACAAATTTAATCAATAATAATAAATATACTAAAAAAATTTTGGTAAATAATATAAAATAATGACGATAATCAATCTCTTAAAAGCATTTGCTAAAAAATTAATAAATAATATTTTTTTATTGCATTCCTTTAATTAATATAGAATTCATTTTTGGCAGGGTGCCGTTGTGTTAATGGAGATGTTTGGGGCAACCACTGTTGATGACTTTGTGCATACAATGATGAGTTTAGTGAACTGTATGGTACAAATGGGCGACATCATTGAAATTTTCGAGAGTGAAAAGGAGAGGCTGATTTTAGCTAGAGAAATTGTGCAGAAAAAAATGGAAGCAAATAATAAGAGAAAGGATAAAGTGAATGATGGTGTCCACAAGTGGTTAAATGACGTGGATAAGCTCATGGAAGAGGAGAAGAAGATGGAAAAAGAAATAGAGGCTCACAGTAAAAATTGTTTTCTACGTGTAGCTTACAGTGAAGAGAATTATCGACTGTACGATGAAATGCAGAAGAGAATGAAGGTGTTGAATGCCAAATATGTATTTCAGCCATTTTCCATCCCTATTCCAAGTATAGAGGATTTCTCTTTTGAAAACCTTGTGGGTTTCAAGTCCACAGAAGATGTTTCAGACGAAGTTTTGGAGGCACTACATGATGATGGTTGTTATATGATTGGATTGCATGGGATGCGAGGCTCCGGTAAAACAAAATTGGCAATAGCAGTGGGTGAGAAAGCCAAAAGATTTTTTAATATTTTTGATGTGATTGCATTTGCCACTGTGTCCCAAGATCCAAATGTGAGAAGGATTCAGGACGAAATTGTTCAGTGGTTGGATAAAAAATTGGGTCATAGAGATAGTGATGGTGTTAGAGCTAGAAGCTTATCTTTGATATTACAATGTGGGAAACGAATTCTTGTGATCTTGGATGATGTGAGGGAGAAGCTTGAATTAGACGGTATTGGTATTCCCTATAACAATAATCAATGCAAGGTCCTTGTAACCACACGTAGTCTGAAAGTATGTACCTTAATGCACTGTCAAAGGGAGATTCCCATGGGTCCCTTGTCTGAAGAAGAAGCTTGGAAGTTGTTAAAAAGATATTCAGGCTTATGTGAAGAGAATTATGAGTCCTCATCTCAACTATTAGAAGTGGCACGACAAGTTGCCATAGAATGTAGAGGATTACCTCGTACAATTGAAGATGTTGGATCTTCCTTGAAAACAAAACCCATTGAGGAGTGGCAAGAATCATTAGATAGTTTGAGACATTCAAGTGCCCGGTACCAAATTTTTCTGAGTTTTAGAGGTGTTGATACTCGATACTCTTTCACAGGTTTTCTCCATCAAGCTTTGTGCCGAGAGGGATTCAAGACCTTCATGGATGATGAGGGAGTGAACCGTGGGGACCAGATTTCTCAATCCCTCATTCAAGCAATTGAAGAATCAAGGCTTTCCATTATTGTTTTCTCTGAAAACTATGCATATTCTTCTTGGTGTCTTGATGAACTTGTGACTATCCTTGAGTGTAAGAAGATAAAGAACCAACTCGTTTGGCCAATATTTTACAGAGTTGAACCATCAGACATAAGGCATATGAGAAACAGTTATGGAGAAGCCATGAATAAACATGCAAATAACTTAAGAGACGACTCTAAGAGGGTGGAGAAATGGAAGTCAGCATTATATGAAGTCGCTGGCTTGTCTGGAGATCATTACAAAACTGGGTATGTAGCCTAATTTCGATCACTTTCCACAGTTTATGTCTAATTTTAAGCTGATAGTAGTATGATTAGTGTATATATAATAGAAAATTATTTGGGATCTAATTATCATTTTAAATGAAACTTTGTTCCTAAGGAATAATATCAAACATACGCTGTTGTGAACAATCTAATTCAGTGAAGATTAATTAGTCAAGCTTGATTTTGTATATTATTTTGGTGAATGTGTATAAATGAATTGAAATCTTGTAATTTTATAGGTACGAACATGAATTTATCCAAAAGATTGTGGATAAGGCCAATGATATTAAAAATCGTTTGTATATACGAAGTAAGGATATGGATTAGAGGGATCGCTTCAATTGCAAGTGCAGAACTGTTCATCTCAACAGGTAGTTTTATAAGCATTTTATTTTCATAAAAGGAAATTGCAGCTGTAATTACATATTACCGCAAGTTTGATTCGGCAAGTTTCTAAAGCAACTATGAATTGAGTTAAAAACTCGCGTCTTTAGTATGTTACCGTCAATTTCTAATAAGAAAATATGATAATTTCTAATATCAACGTGACTTCTTCTTAGAAATCAGCTATGTTTGAACAAATAAATTCAAACTCATAATAAAGATAAGAATGCTATATTCTAAGGAATAGTTTTTTAAAAATTAAAATAATATACTCTATGATGAGATATTTTTAAAGTGAAGGAAGTAATAATGTATTTATTTTAGTTTAATTTAAATTTTATTATGATCTTAGGAGTAGTTTTGGTAATACTTTTTAGTTAGCTAAAAATTTGTTTCACTAATTTAAAAGTTTATTTATGTAAAATTGTTGGAAAATTAATTTTTTTCTTTTAATAATTTATAATATTTTTAGAAACACTACTTCAATTAACATTTTGATTGTTTTTTAGTTGAAATTATTTTTTATTTATATTCTTGACATTTTTTATAATCTTTCATTTGTTTATTTATTTGTTTTCACAAATGTCAAAATAATAGTATAAATTTATTTGCATCACTTTATTTAATAAAAATATTTTTAAATAAAAATAGATGAAAAAATTGTTATTACATTTTTAAAAATAAAATGTAGTACAATTTTATACTACATTTTATTTTTAAAAACTATTTTTAAAAATGAAATCAAACATGCTCTTACATCCTAATATTTTTACTTCTTAAGAATATTGAATTCATACTAAAATTGTAGTCGATCAAAATACACTAATAATGAGCACTCTGTGATGGAAGTATTGTCCTGCTGCAACTTGCAAGTAAGAGAATGGCCCTTGAACTCGAACTTATCTCATTTTTGTTTAAAGAATTAACCCGAGTTTGAGGTTCATTTGGAAGGGCCCGAAAGATTTCCTCAACCTCAGGAAACTCCAGAATTTAACGGATCATGGAAGGTGCACTACTTTCTATCTTTCATAAAATCAATTTTTCGGGCAAAAATTGAAGAAAGTGAAGATCAGGCCATTTATGATGTATCCATATACAATCCTCTTGAATCAGTATATGTTAGCAAAAATGAAGATGCTGATCATATTTCTCAATATGACCCCAAGGACAAGGTAAATCTTACACAAGGCTAGTCATTGTCTGAAACGAAAATATGGACTTTAGGACTTAACAAGAAGAGTTAGATTCTTAATCTCTCATCACTAGAATAATATATTATTTTGTGAAATTTATAAAACAAAAAGGCAAATCATGTGATCAACTTGGATGGCTGGTTTAGCTGTAAATTAAATAATGCCTTCGCTATTCTCTCCATTTTATTATACTCTAGGGGCTAAAGTCATCATCTTATTATTTTCAAAGGGTGTTTCCCATCAAATATCACCGAAGGAACAAGGATGCTTCTAATAAATAAAATATGCCCTCTGTATTTTTTTTTGTTGCATTATTAGTCATACTTTTATAAATCAATTAGGTTAATTACTGTCTAATCCATATCCAGTTAATATTAATAATATTCTTTTAGTAAGAAGCGTGATTTATGCAACTAAGTAAAACTAATAACAATTTTTTACTGTGTAGTTGCCGGTCATGCCTTAAAGGAATAGAGGGATCACCCCCGTCGACATTTCGTTTGAGCCTACACGTTGGGGTGAGTTGTAAATTCCATCCAACTTCTCTTCTTTACCCATCTTTTTTTTCTCTCCAATTTTTCTCTTCCTTTTGTTGACGGTCTTGTAAACTCTTATCTCCTAGCAAATATTTATATGTTTTACAAAGCAACTTTGATTTTTGAACACCTAAACGTTATCATCAACACCGATTTAACATTTGACTTTTGCTTTTTATTACGTTACATTATTTGTCTATGTCACTTGTGTCTTTTTTATTCTTTCCAAATTTGAGATATAGACATTTCAATGAATATTTTTTAGCAACTACTTTCCTTCACAAAACGTCTAAGTAAGAAGAATGACATATAATGACGATAGTGTAATTAAGAATGTAAATAATATTGAAAACCAAATTAAACATAGGTGATAAAAAGAGGTAAACGTACAACTCATTTATCCCTTTGGCTTTGTGTTATTTTTCTTGGTTGCCGTTGCGTAAATGGAAGCCTTCTTTTCATCGATGAATCTTAGTCGCAGTAGCAATGACGATTTTGCAAGTGAAATGGAGGAGCTGACTTCAGCTGAACAAAATGTGGTGAAAATGGTTCAAAATAAAGACGAAGCAGAAGTGAATGATGCGGTTTGGAAGTGGCTACAAGATGTGGATGAACTCAAACAACGATACATGCAAATGAACGAACCTGCTAACATTAAGTTCTTTCTCCTACGTGTATGGAATGATATGGAGAAATTATTCTTCCAATCCCAAATGTTAACAAAAATAACGGCACTGAATAATAAAATTAAATTTTTGCCACTTTTCGTTCCAATCCTCCCAGTTCCAGTTCTAGACCCCTTCTCTTGTGGAAATTTTGAGTATTTTGAGTCTACAAAAGGGGCTTCAGATCAACTTTTTGAGGCACTAGGAGAAGATAGTAGCCATATAATTGGTTTGTATGGGTTACGTGGTTGTGGGAAAACAAAATTGGTGAAAGCAGCAGGTGAGAAAATCAACACTTCAAAGATTTTTGATGTAATTGTATTTGCCACTGTGTCCCAAAACCCAAACATCAGAAAGATTCAAGACGAAATTGCTGATTGTTTGGGTCTGAAATTGGAGGAAAATAGTGAAGCTGGAAGAGCAAGAAGAATACTTTCGAAATTGCTGAGTAGGGAAAAAATTCTAGTGATATTGGACGATATTCGGGAAAAGCTTGAGCTAGAGAATATAGGTATTCCCTTTAAAGGTGATCACAAGGGGCTTAAGGTGCTTTTGACCACACGTAGCCAACAAGTATGTTCTTTGATGGAATGTCAGAGGGAGATTCATCTGCGTCCCTTGTCTCAAGATGAAGCTTGGAAGTTGTTCAAGAAACATTCTGGCATAGATGAAGAAAATGATGAATCCTCATCCAATCTATTAGAAGTGGCACGTCAAGTTGCTGTTGAATGTGAAGGGTTACCTGGTAAAATCAAAGATGTTGGATCTTCTTTGAGAAGAAAACCCATTGAGGAGTGGGAAGCATCATTAGACAGTATGAGACATTCAAGTGCACGTTACCAGGTTTTTCTGAGTTTTAGAGGAGAAGATACTCGTTATTCTTTTACAGGTTTTCTCCATCATGGTTTGTGTCGGGAGGGATTCAAGATCTTCATGGATGATGGAGGACTTGAGCGTGGAGACCAGATTTCAGAATCTCTTATAAGAGCAATTGAAGCATCAAGGCTTGCCATTATTGTTTTATCTGAAAACTATGCATTCTCTTCCTGGTGTCTTGACGAACTTGTCACTATTCTTGAGTGTAAGAAGACCAAGAATCAATTAGTTTGGCCAATTTTTTACAAAGTGGATCCATCAGACGTAAGGTATCAGAAAAATAGTTACGGTAAAGCCATGAATGCACATGCAAAGAAGTTTGGTGATGACTCTGAGAGGGTGCAGAAATGGAGGTTAGCTTTGTCTGAAGTAGCTGGCCTGTCAGGAGATCATTACACAACTGGGTACGTACTTTGATTTTATCACTTCAATTTAAGTTCCAGAATTCTATTTTGTATCTATCTGTTAGCACTAGCTCATACATGGAAGCTTGATTATTGATTAATTGATATATATACCTCGTTTTTTAAGATACACAAAATACTAAATGAGAAAAGATCTTCTAATTACCATTTTAAATGAAAGTTTGCCTGTAACTGTTAGAATCAAGTGGACATAGTGATATAAGTAAGTAAGAAATTTATATAGAGATTGACTCGTGTATTTATTGCCTTGAACTTTTTGAGATTGCATTGTGGTTTTCACTCAATGTAAAGCTCTTTATCTAAACTCTTCAACTCAATAGTAGTATCAGAGGTGAGTCGATCTAGGTGACTGACCTGACAGTGTGAACCCATAGTTAGTGTGAAAATGAACTAAGAAATATAGTTTGTACTATAATCTAATTTTGTGTAAATTAATTATTCAAGTTTTATTTATATATTCTTTTGGTGATATAGATTTTTACTAATGAAAAGAAAATGTAAATTGTGTGTATCAATGTATTGAACGGTTTTCTTTTATGAAGTCAAATTGAAATGTTTATACTTTTTGCAGGTACGAACATGAATTTATCCAAATGATCGTGGATAAGGTCAATAATATTAAAAGCCGTTTGTATATACAAAGTATGGATACAAATTAGAACAAAGACGAGACTTCAATTTCTTTTACATTAAGCATCGGAGATGACTGATCATATCAAAATGTGGTTTGGTAAGTAATAATTGACTCAAATGAATTAATGTTGGAATGTGAATGTTCACTACTCACTAGAAGAAAATTATCTTAGAAGCGTGCCATGTTCAGTTATTAGCTCGGGAAGATAGAATTTTCGGATAGTTTTATGTAGATAAATGGTATATTATAAAAAAAATAGGTAAATTTAAAAATATGTTCAGTTATGATTTAATATTATTAGGAATGTTTTTTAAAGTATAAATAATCGTAGAAAATGTAAAAATGGGAATGGAAGTTAAATATATGATATTTTTAATCACCCCTCACCTTCAAAATTAATGAAAGCCAAGTAAAATATGAAAGTAATTTATTCCTCGAAATCAAGTATATTTGAAAATCTTTTAAAAGAAATAACTTATAATAAACATGATGATACAATATATATAATAAAAATGTTTATAAATAAGAATAAAATTAAGACAACTATTATTCTAACTTTTAAGATAGTAAATAATATATAAAAATTTATAATTGTTTAAAATTATGTAATTACTAAATTTTAAAATCTTATCATGAAATTTTATGCTCAATGCTCAAAATTAATGGGTGATGAAAAACATTATTTTCAGCGATCTTGTTTGATTCTAGCTAATTGTCTATTCTCAAGTGTATAAGTAAAAATATAAAACATGCAAAATACGTAACTAGATGGTTTCGTTAATAGATTTTACATTTTTATTTAAGCTAAAATATAAAATTTTACCTAACTGTACTGTCTAATTATCACAAAAATAGAATTAGATCCGCCAAAATTTCATATATCCAACTTGAAATCTTTAAAATTAACCACTTAATAAGATAAGTTCGAATATTTTTATATTATATATTACCATGATATATTATTATTATTATTACGAGATGAAAATTCCACATCATCAACCATTTTATAATTCCATAAAATCATTGGACTATTGTATAATTTCTAGATTATCCTTAACAGCTTCCACTAAACGACGTCGTACCCTCATTTCCTTCTTCAATCCATTCTAGGGTTTTTTTTTTTATACCCATGGCTTTTCTTGGGACCCGGATCCGAAGCACCACCTGGTTCAACACAAACACAAGCTCCTTCACCGTGGAGCCCTGAAGATTTCCATGTCGGTAATGCAGGGGAAATTTAAGAGACCCATTTGCCCATCTTGTTCCAAACCCACTCGAACGTGTCTATGCTCCCGAATTCTAACATCGGGTATCCAAAATTCTGTGAACGTAACCATTTTACAGCACGCGCTAGAGCACAAGCACCCGCTTAATTCTACTAGAATCGCTACACTCGGCCTTAAGAATGTCAATGTTGCAACCGTTTCTGACGTTAATTTTGATGCCCGGTTCCTGATTCGGTTGTTGGATCCGAATTCCCAATACCTGCAAAATGGCTTGTTATCTCATCAGTCTTGGGAAATTGAAGAGACCCAGAAGTTGTTTTCTGAGAAAGGTTCTAACTTGATTGATTGTGCTGGAAAATGTGGTTTGGAAAATGATATTGGAGATGTTCTGAATGAGATTCATGCTGAAGTTGTGAATCACGTGAGTAACAATGATGGTGCTGTGGTGAATGATGAAGTTGAGAAAATTCCAATTCGTCCCAGTTGTAATCTAACAAGAGGTGTCCATGAAGAGAGTGGAGAGCCTGCTATTACTGTTTCCATTGGCAAATATGGTGCCATTAGCTCTCTGTCTCATATTTGGATGCCACAATGTCAATCCCCCAAGTTAAGCTTTGACAAGATTTTGGCTTATCCTGAAGCTTGTGAAGCACTATCAAAAGGGTTTTTGGTGAAGAAGCTCCAAAGGAAGCAATTGAATGAGGACAAAGACTTGGAAGAATATGAAGAATTCGAGCTTGAGGTTCGTCCTGGATCAGTACTACTATTTCCCTCTGATAAGGCTATTAAAATTAGTGAACTAGATGCTATTGGTTTTGAGGTGAAGAATTTGATAGTTTTGGATGGGACATGGGCTAAGGCAAAAAGAATTTATAGTGAAAATCCTTGGTTGAACATTTTGCCGCATGTGAAGTTGGAAGTGAATGAGAAGAGCTTATATAGTGAAGTGAGGCATCAGCCTAAGGCTGGTTATTTGTCCACAATTGAGAGCATTGTGTTTGCCTTGAAGGCAGTTGGGGAGAATCATGAGGGTTTGGATGGCCTCTTGGATACTTTTGAGTCCATGGTTGGAGATCAGAGACGATGTAAAGAGGAGAGACTGAACAAACTCTTTTCCAGTTGAGGTCCTTCTTTTGATTGACCTATATGTTTACACTCGATAAATGGAAGACATTATGCACACTGCTAAAGTCTCTTCTCGGGAAACTAGGGAAGATCCTGTTTTGCAAGAGCTTTTGGACAATATCTTGGCTGCTCATGCTTCCTGGTCTCAACATCAGGCCAAAAGACATTGCAAGCATCAAGTTGAAGCTTTGATGGTTACAGAAACCTCAGAAGAAAGAGACAGTGCCAAAGCTATCCAACCACTTAATGATGATGTAACTTGAAGTTAATTGTTAACAAAGCACAGGGAGAAACAACATCTAAAAGGGAGGAGGAAGAGTAAAGATTCTTTCAGGGCTGAATTCATCAGATACTGATATCTGTTTTTAACACTCAGCTTGTCTACACATCTTTAAAAAATTGCTATGATGGCATAAATGTAATTGGATTCTATTAACTTGATTTCATGTGTTGATGCATGCTGGATGAGAGCAGTTTAGTACTTCGAGACAGAATAGGCCAACCCAGAAGTTTTCACTTAATGCTTAATTATCCACTTCGCTGTTTTTACAGTTCGATTCATAGATTGCTGGTTTACATTCTATCATAGACAAATACGTCATATTTTATAATTATTCATTGGTTACGAGGCAACCAATCGTTTGTTTTCCTATATAGAACCAATCTTACCAAGTTCAGACTATATAAGCAATGTGATCAAATGCAAAGAGACAACTAGCATTGCACGCCATATACAGGCTATTCCAAGTCCTTGGAGTATTTAAAATTTTAAATACAAGTACAACCAGAAACTATGTACTAAAATGCCTCATTTTAGTCACTCTGCTGACAGAAGCCCAGCACAACTAAGCTACTAGTTGTGGCATAGACTAATCTGAGGAATCTTCTCATTGTCTATGTATATACCAAACTCTTGCTAATCCACATAGTTAAGGAATGACACTAGCAGATGGGGGTCTTTTAGGGTGTCATAAGCATACTCCTGAGCTCGTGTCTCTTCTGATTGACACATCCCGAGCTGACCAAAGAGGTTATCCAGATATCGTCAGCTTTTACTGACTCATCATCATCATTCCTGTGCCAACTCCAGAAGGCATGAGTGGTGTTTACAATCTTTAGCTCACCATGACCAAAACTGGCTTCACGGAATTCTGACCACTTTGGTTGTGGGTTTATGTACCTGTCAACAAACAATGGTGTTAAGGAATAAGGATACGTCTGTCAACAACGAAAATAACAAATTTCGCATGCATGCTGATAAACCTCAATATACTTTTTCCATATAAATCCAGTGATTATATTTCTATGAAATGTTTCTGGCTACGAAACGTACCTATGAGCTAAGCCTTCTCTATTTCCTCCATCACCAATAGTTATATGGATCGCACCACAGGGATCCAATCTTTCATTATACACACGTTTCTGACAATCAGAGTACCATTTAAGACTGTTTCCATTCAATTATGCTCACAAAGAAAATAAATGCTAAACCATAAAGGCATACCGAACGTTCATAAGCATGAACATGACCAGCGATAACTAAATCAACATTTGCAGCATAAAGCAATGGCTCCATGGCTTCCATCATATCATCCCCGGCACCTTGATGAGCCCTGTTACTATTATACCAAGGCACATGAAATAACACAAGCAGCCAAGGGGTCCTTTTCCTGTCCACCTTTGACAGATCAGCCTGCAGATGAGTAAAAATTAGCGAAAATTTAAAAAAAAAATGAAAATTTCTTTTCAAAATGATAGTGTAGCATAAAAAATACAATTAAGAATAAGAATAACGAGTGCCAAAATAATGGAAGAAGATTATTTCTCTTCTAAATTTATCTACTCCAACCACTTATAGCTGGCCATGAATCTCACTACATTTATCCGAGTATAGTAACTCTTGATCAGTACGGGCAATAAACTAACCTTCAACCATCTGTATTGTTCCGAGTACCTATCATAATCGGCGTAGGAGCCAAGCATGATAATGTGAACACCTGCAACTTCAAAAGAATAATAGAGATTTGAAGTAGATCCACTTTCCTGAAATGGCATTTTCCATCGGGAATTATAGGATAGAAACCCATCCTCTAACAATGGTATGTACTCCTTTTCATGATTTCCCTCTGTTACCATCCATGGCCTTGTACTAGCAAGGGGTTCTACTAGTTGACCAAAATTGTCCCACAGATGTTGCATACAATCAGCATATGAAAGGTCACCTGGAAGCAGGTATAAATCATATTTGCACTGATCAATATGAGCTAATGTCGATTTAGTCCAACCAGTTTGACCCAGATCTCCAGCCACTGCAAAAGTAATCGGAAATTGAGCTGGTGGAGTTTTTAGCTGAAACTCAGGACCTTTTCCACCACATCGGTAAAAGTACACTGAATTATCTTCCAAAGGCCCAATTACAGCATGGTGTATCTTTCCTGAGCTATATAACATATAATTATAAGAGGTGTACTCTCCTTCAACAACTGAGTCATATTTCCCTGGTAATTTTCCATATTCTACATATGAAGGCGAATGTTTATCATCGGTTATCCAGGTAACTCTCATGTGCTTCTCCCCTGCCAAGGAAATGTGTACCTGAAATAGACATTTTTACCATCTAAGAATCTGAATTATAAAGGCACAATAAATTAACATGCATAACAAGTTTATATGATTCTTCAATAAATGTACCATGGTTAACAATTCACAGAATATTTGTCCTAGAATTGGAAAATAATTTACGTAAAGGAAGCCAATAATCATTGTATGCAGTTATCGTAACAAAATCACAATAAAAAAATAAAATAAATCCCAACTAAACACCATAATCCTAAAAAATACGAAAGAAATGGTGATCATATAGAAAACAGCACAAAACAAAGGGTTTGAATTGATATATATGAATAGGATGGAATGAAACAGAGATTGACCTGCTGAGGATAAGAGCGAGCCTTGGAAAATGAATCCCATGGGATGGATAAGGATTTTCGAGGCAGAGGGCGAACGTATTCAGCCGTAGCAGTTGCAGAAACGAGCGTTAGAATGAGAAGCAATTTGAGTTCCATGTGATACGATGAAGATGGCGTCAAAGTCATTCTGCAACAGTAATCGCATAACCAGCACGACAACAGAGTACTTCCATTTCAATCTTTCTTGCTATCATCACCCTTCACCAAGTCCAACCGCCCCACTGACATCACCAAATTTGTCGTTACTTTCGTTAAACGACATTTTCACATATAAAACCAAACCAAATCAATGCATTATTTCTGCCGAAACTTAGCATCAGTTCGGTCGAAAAACTATGTATATTTAATTGGTTTCAGTATAGTTTTGGATTTTATATAAAAACAAATTTCATACGATTAATATAATTATTTGTGTTTGATCCGCACGTATAACATGGTTTTATTTTATTTTTATCGTATATAATAATAAAAAGAAGTCTTTACATAAAAATTTATTAAAAAATTTCTCGTGTCAACAATGGTTATAATATTACTATAATAATTTTTAAATGACTAATGGATTCTCAGTAAGTTTTCGTTCGGTATGAGTATTTATCAGTTGAGTGACGTGAATCAATAAAACAAGTTTGAGAAAAAAATAACAACAAAATCAAAGCAATTTCACAAAACAAGAATCATATAAGTTAGTTAATAAGCATATGTGAGTGATGCAGATAACGTATATTTGTAGCTATTTTATATTTACAACCAAAAGGAAACTCTCCTTATATTATGACTGAGATTTGAGTATTATTTGCCTTCATAATAATCAAAAGGAAGTTTTGCCCTTTTGATATATTCATATTTCTCATGGTGACTTAAACTGTAATTATATATCTGCATTTTTATTAGATTGATTTTTAATATACACCCATTCCTTTGATAATTCAAGATAATCTCGAATCATACATTGAAAATAAATTTTTTTGTGAAGTTGCAAATATTTAGAAAAAAAATTATCTATTTAACCTCCATTTGGAAAATTTATCTCAAATATTTGAATGTTTTTTTTTCTAAAGCATCATGTATTCTATAAATATATATATATATATATATATATATATATATATATATATATATATAACGATACAGTTTAAGTAATTCATAATTTTATGTTTTGAATGTACAATTCATTATCCACACTATTAATTAACTGTATCGCATAATATGTAGCAATTCATGGGTAAGTTAGATAAAATATTAAATAATGTATAGATGTATTAATAAAGAAACCAATATGAAAAATATGTTTTCTTCTGGAGACCATAATTAAAAGAACTTCAATGTCAACGTTGAATATATATTGAACTAAACAGTTAATAACAAAAAATAAATATTAAATTATTTTAAAATTTAATTTTAATGACGTCATTTGACTATATATTATTATACAATGAAAAATTAAATTGAAAATATAATTTTTTTATATTAATAACGTATCATTGTTATATATATATATATATACTCATTTGTTAATTATTCTTTGTAATATTTATATACTTTATTTTTATTACTTTTAAAAAATTAAATATTGAAAGTACATGACCTTACAAATACAAAACAAAAATCATAAAACAAAACTTAACTGTTTTTTATTTGATTATTTATTAAATGAGATACTTATTGCATTGATATTAGCCAGTATTATGAATCTTCACCTATCAGAGCAAAAACGACGTCGTTGAGGAGGGAAAGTTGGCGGTTAGAAACACAAAAACCCTAAACCCTGCGTGCAGCTCAGTGCAAAAGCCGTAAAATTCAATATAACACTTGGTTATCTCCCTGTCTCCAGTTCCTTACTACTTAGGAGAGAAGAACCAGAAGAAACACAAACAGAACCAAAACCGTTTACCCTTCGTTTTGGTGCCAAACCCTAACAATGGCAACCTCCATAGCTTCGCAACTAGAAGCCATCAGATCCTTCGCAAAAACCGACTCTGAGCCTCTGAAGAGGCCATTCACTCGCCCTTCTATCTTGTTCGATCCCAAAGAAGCTGCCGACATCGATATTGAAACTATTTTCACCATCGCACTTCAAGGTCAATCTTCTCAACTTGCTTCTGATTTTTCTCTCTTCACAAGTAAAGCTAGTGCAACTAAGCAATCCAATTAACGAAATTAAGTTTTACAATAGATGTTAACGGAGCATATGAAGTGTGTTGCTACTTTATATTCTGTTTTGGATTTATTTTTTTGCTTATGCGGTGCGCTGTTTCAGGTTTAGAGGTTCTTATAGACACGGATGAGCGGTTCAGGAACTATAAGAACGATTTGTTTAGCCACAGGAGTAAAGAGTTGGATAGAGAGTTGATGGGCATAGAACAGAACAGTCAACTTAATGTCTCCATTGCTTCATACTTAAGATTACTTTCTGGATACTTTCTTCTTCCTTCTGCTCTTAAAACGCTTGAATACTTGATACGTAGACACAAGTGAGCAGTCTATTTGATAATCTGGTTTTGTTTGATCATTGGGTTATGCAATTGTCTTTTTCGTGTTTGTGTTCATAATCACATTTTGCCTCTGCCGTATTTACCTTTTTCTGATTTTTGGTGTGGTTTGTTTTGAGCTTCAGGGTTCATGTATACAACAATGAGGAATTGATTCTGTGTGCTTTGCCGTACCATGACACACATGCATTTGTTCGAATAGTTCAGATACTTGATACAAGGTTAGAAATATATGGTTATTTGTTTTCTGGTTTGGTTGTGTTGTAGATTACTGCTTGGGTTGGCTTCTGATGTTTCTCTTTATTTCTGTAAAGGAATGCTAAATGGGGGTTTCTCGATGGTGTGAAAGTCTCTGGTGCACCGCCACCTAGAATGGTCATAGTGCAGCAGTGCATACGTGATAAGGGCATATTAGAGGTTCTATGCAACTATGTGAGTATTCTGTGTTTAGTTGTGCATTTGAAAGCTTTCTAGCAGAATAAAATAATTAGATAACTAAGTATTTGGTTACAGGCATCTCCATCGAAAAAGTTTCAACCTTCAAGGCATGTAATTGGCTTTTGTACTGCAGTTTTTGTTGAAGTTTTGGGTACTGTTTTGACCGTTAATGATGATCTTGTAAAGAGAATACTTCCATTTGTGGTCTCTGGTCTTCAGCCTGGCATTAAAGGGGTTTCGGATCACAAGGTTAGACTTCATGGAAAGTATTTTTATACTTAAAAATTAAAAACCAATAATAGCTGGGCATCATACTGTAAAATTTTGTTATGACCTTTTGGTTAGTAGGCAGTGCAATTGCTTTCAAATGGTAGATTGTGTGAAACGAATTTGTGTTTTTGCTCTTCTCTATCCATTAATCCAATATTATTCTTCACAAATAGAAATAGTAATGCATCATTTTTTTGCGGAACAAGTTGGCCTAAACCTTTTTGTTATTGAATGTTATTTCCTGTTAATGTTTCTAAATATAATTTTATGGTTAGTATGTGACGCAGATTGAGGTCTAACTAGTTTTAGTTGCTCTTTGTTTTTCATTCAAAACAGAAATAAGAGAAAATCACCAATTTAAAAGAGCTCTCTATTCTCTCCATGTTTGTAACTGTGATTCTTAAAAGTAACGTCCACTGTGCACCAAACAAAGACCATATTTCTAGAACACTCAAGTCAAAGGAAATATATCTTAGGACAACTATAAAAAAATGTGATTATATGCTTGTGTTTTAGGACTTCATTTATATCTGTTGAAATTATGGGGTTTTTGGTATAAAGGGAGGAAACGGAGAGAATAGAGACTTTGAATGATATTCTATTGACTATTGAGCATTATGATGAATTCAAATGTGATGAGGTTTTCATGAAACTTAAATCATTAACCATTATTTATACTAATTATAATCCTAATTACATGAGGGAACAAATCATGAGATAAGGAAATATGGAACCGGGTCCCTAGAGATATTGAGGATATATGGAAACTAATCCTAAATATGATATATGATATTTTCATATATTCTGACAATGTCTATATATTGCTGTGAATACTTGTGCATTTCAGCTACGTTTCTTGGTATCTTCTATAGTTTTTTTTTTTTTGTCAAATTGTCCTTATTTGCAGGCCGGTTCTTTGATGATTATTGGTTTGCTTGGAAACAAAGCTGCATTAGCTCCTAAACTTTTGAATAGTTTGATACGTTCAGTTGCTGATGTTGCTCGTGGGGAGGCTAAAGAGTTGACTGATCTCCATTGGCTTCGGCTGTCCCTTATTACCTTAATCAATCTTGTTCAGGTACTAATGTAATACTGTGTGCATTAGTGTTGAGTTACATTTGTTTGAGTTTAAATGGAGGTATTGACGATTGATCCAGTTTTCTTTTTGTTGTACTCTATCTATTTTCAAGTCTGGCTATATTTTTATTTCACTTTGTTCTGTTGGAAATTTCTCAGTCACAAAATGTTGAAATACTCCCAACTAAGGTGTTGGAGATTTTAAAGGAAATAAGGTAGTTTGCCTCAAACTGCTCAACTTATCCTGATCATTTTGCTTTAGCTGTTGTTGTTTGTGTATTTATATTTATGATTTATCAAATCCCTTTTCATATAGGGACTTGGCAGGAATTTTATTAGCATTGTCTAAGGAGTTCAATATTGTAAAGTTTATCGATGTGCTTTTGGAATCCCTGATTGACTGCAGGTGTGAGTTCTCTATGATTTCTTTCTGGAGAACTATGCTTTATGTCATGTTATTTAGAAGCTTGTGTTTTGTGCTGATAACAACTCATTTGCAGTTCTTCTGATGAATACTGTCAGCGAACTTTGCTATCCTTGATAGAAAAAGTCCCCATAAAGCGTTCTGTTTATCATGTGGTCACCAAGATCCTTTTAGCTTGTGTGAAATCATCGCATAAAGTTTGTGACTCGACTTCTTCCATGTCAGGTGTGTTTTCTGATTCTGAATCATAGAAAGCTTGTCACTTAAATCTTTATTGCGTAACCTTGTAGCGCACATTGTATATCTTGATGTATTTCACAAGGTTAAGCTAATAATAGTTCATACTGAGAATGAACATAACAATTCCTAAAGAAAATAATAATTAATGAAAATCCCATTCAGTGGTTGGGGAATTGCATCTAAAAGTTTCAGTGAAGAAATTGTTTCAAGTATCTGTGTGACAATTTTCTTCTGAAAGAAATGACCACCCTGTTTTGCTCACGTTTGAATGTGGAACTATTTTAAAGCAGTTGAATATGTGATTTAAATTTTAAAACAAAATCAGAGTATTGCCAACAAACTCACTAATGCACTGGTTATCCACAAGGTTGCATGTCTCAGTAAATGGTTCAAGGAATATTTATTGACTTGCATTTGTGTGCATTATAACTTTAATAGTCAGTGTACATATTGTTTTACATGTATCAGCTTGGAAATTCAAATTTCTTGTTATGAGGATTCATTAATATATGTAGTAGGTTGTTGTACTCAGGTTGTACCCTGAATAATTGTCTGTTTTTCTTAGGACTGCTCTTGTCTACTCTTTTAGTTCCATTTGAATTTATCATTTTTTATAAAATATAGAAATAGTTAGTTATCATTTGATGCATAGCTTATTATTCTAACAATATTGGTTTTGACAAATGTCAATTAGTTGGTTGGGCAAAAAAGGTCTTGATTGTTGTCAATACAAAGTACCCTTCTGAACTACGTGGAGCAGTTCATCATTTCCTTCAGGTAATGATGAATTTTCTGCCTTTTTGTGCATGTATTGTTAGATATTTTTTAATGGCTTGAAGTTTGAACTTATTCAACAGGATAACAAAACATCTTCTAAGAAAGATGATTCATTATATAAGATTTTATGTAAGATGTTGGATGGGAATTCAGATTCATCACTTGAGATCTCAGATTCAAAAGTTTGGTTTGGCTTGTATCATCCAAAGGTATCACCTATTGGCTTCCTCTCAAATATTAGGTGTATTGAAATCTAAAAGTGTGTGTTCTCTTGTTCAATAGTCATCAATTTTCATTTAGTACATAAGTGCTTCACAATTCTTTTTTGATGGGTATAGGCTGATGTTCGACGTTCTACGCTGCTTGATATAAATTCTTCTGGCATCCTGAAAACCAAGGTGGTTGGTTCAGAGGTATACATGGTCTGCTAATCTTACCCTGTCCTCCCAAAACCAGAATTTTCTATTAAATTTTGTTTTTCAGTTTATGACACTTGTTGAAGAACATGCTTGATGTTTCTTTCTTCTTTTGGTTGGAAAAAGTTGAAAATTTTTGCTCTATGTGGTGTGTGTGTGTATACACACACATATACCCACCATTGAATTAAAAGTACCTATCATATATAGATCAAATCTGCAAAATTATAGATTAATCCAAAAATTATGTGATATTGAAATTTATCAAAATTCGCATAATATATACTTTTAAAATATAGGAAAATAAAAACTATTTGATTATCTTATATTTGTTCAATTTTTACAAGATTCCATGCAAATAATTCAGGTATATATATAATTATAATCCAATTCTATGATCAATAAAAATTACATTTTATATAAAGTTATTTATGGTGTAAGAGTAAGTGTACTTTACCACAATGTAAATTTCTCTTTCCTACTCGTGTTACTTTTGATGATGATGCATATTACTTCTTTTTTATTCTATTTTTCTGAAAAGGTTACTTATGAAAAATTTGCTGTCAAATTAGTTTTACTTAAAAATGTCTTTTATATGTTTGATTTTCATTTTGATGTTTTGAACTGCGTTATGTTGTGATCTAATATATGCTTTATAAATATGAAGTTATGAGGTTGCTGATTTTACACATAATTGGGGAGGATTTAATTAATTTTCCGTAGATTGAAAGAGGTGTACAAGGTGATTGAAGTATATATCCCTGAAAAGATGCCTGAAACCTGGTAAAAAATGCAGAGAAAAAAAGGCAGGGTGATGAGCCTTGACTGAAAAAATCAGATCTGTTTTGCAAAACTGTTGAAGGAAACCCCTCTGTAACCTGAGCCTTGACCCACAATGAAGCCAAGGGTGTATGTCTGTCAAACCCACAAACACTAAATGCTAGTAAAAAGTGCACAGGACCATTGGAGCCAATCCAAAGCTCCTGGAGCAATAACTAGTTCATTAATAAATACTTCGTATGCTATAATTGATTATATATATATGTCATAAATTGATTTACGTTGGGATTAATGCTATTTTAATATGAAATTAGTGCTGCTAATGCTAATCCAAAGATCCTGGAGATAGCAATATATTGTTCATTAATAATTTCTTTGTATTCTAAAATCAATTATATTAGGTGTAAATGGAGTTAACATTGGGATTTATCTATTTTGATATGAAATTATGAGTTGATTTCTAGGTGATTCACACTTAGGGAAATATTTATAATGTGATCTAAGTATTAGCTTGGATGTGTTAATACTGTTTTTTCATATTCAAAATCTTCATCTTTTAATTAACACCAAAATGTTGTCTTATTGATCAGGGTCTGTTAGACATCCATGAGGCCATATTGAGACAGCTTGATGATAGAGATCTGACAGTTGTTCAAGCAGCTTTACAAGTTGATGGCCTGTCAAATGTAATAGATTCTTCCAAGCTTCTTGATGCACTGCAGAGTGTGCTAAGAAGATGCACTGACGAACTGCTGTCAGGTGTGGTATATTTGTCCTTTGGGTTGTGATTGCTGATTGGTGACTAGGGTGGTAAAATGCTTAAACCTGTCTTAGATTGTACAGTCAAGTATAAAGATAACTTGATTTGGGGTAATGCCTTCGTTAAAATGACTATTAGGAAATTTAGTGACAGGGATCAGCTCTAACACATCAAAAAAGTATGCTGAGGAAGTTGTAAAGTGATACTGTAGTTGCTGGAGTATATTTGTCCTCACAAAAGTGCAGCCTAGTAGTTGTTTTCTGTCGAGTAAGCTTATTCTAGTTTTGTTATGCCTTTGGATAAGGCTTAATCTGCCTTCCTAGAGATGTTTGTATTTATATATTCTTTGAACAAATGGTTTTTGCTTGGTTCCTTTTAGTGATGATTCAATTCACGGATGATGATGCATCTAACACTAGTTGGGGGTATGGTGGGTTAAATATTTTAATACAATGAAAATAAAATTGTATTCTTTGGCCATTGCATGATGATTTATCATATATGCTCTTCATTCTAATCTTGCAGGTTCAGCTGATAATATTAGTCTAATCGGTGAAGTTGCTGTTGCTTGTCTGAAGACTGCCATCTCATACTTCAATGATCGTACTGATTACTTGAAGAGCATTGCTGCGATGATTTTTCCATTTCTCTTTATTCTACCACAGGTTGCAGCCGACTTAAAATTTAATAATTGTTTTCTGGATAGAACAATATTTTTGACCTAGTTTATTCATACTTTATAGTGTTTACAATTTCCTTTGTCTGGGTGATTATTACATAACTTCTTATCTACCCATGCGCAGACACAGAGCTTGAATTTAAAGGCTTTGGAACTGGTCAGCAAAATAAACTGGCCACTTTATCAGAATATCACTGCATCTTCCTCTGGAGAAGCGGTAAGTATTTACAAGGGAATTGGTTTACTATATACTTTTTTGTTTAGCGTATACTTAAAATATGAAGAAAATTTGTTCAGAAAGGTAAGTTTGTCAAACACAAGATCTTATATGAGATTGCTGATGGTGAACTAAAGTTGTGGAATCAATCATGAGGTCCTGCCTCCTTAGGAAATCCAAAACTTTGAAAAATGAAGTTTAAATTTTTTTTTCTCACGTTGTGTTCAGTGGAATTGTGGGAATAGTAGGACTGCAAAAAAGTTGATTTGAATCGGTTAAACTTGTCACATCAGGTTGAATTGTGTTAAACTTGGTCTTATTGGGTCAGGCATTGAAATTTCACATGTTGGACCCATCAAAACCCGACCCAAACATTTTTTTCAAGTATTTTTTATTCTTTAAATTTTGTTTTAATTTTTTATGAATATGATTTGAAAACTAAATAATATATAAATGTATATGATCTGAAACTTTACTATTTTAGTATTTTAAAAATACATTTTCTAAAATACAATAATAAATGTGTAACACAATGACTTGGCCCGATCAAACCTGAATTTCATTGGGTTAGATCCGATTGGATTAGTAGGAAAATTTGCCATAACTAACCCAACCCAACCTGTTTTTATTTCTAGCACATGAACAACACTATATGTTACTAGTAATTGGAGTGGGGGTTTTCTTAGACATTTTGTTTTCATCAGATTTCTATTTTTAAATAGTTAATCTGAGCCACTCCTAAAAATGTAGTGTCAAATGAAATCATCAACCACCTTCCACTTTACTACTAACTCATAAAATTATAATCGCAGACATCGATACCTGGGAGTTTATCTTCAATTAACTTGAAGACTATCAATAACATGGCTAACAATTTCATGGTCCACCCTGAAGATCATATTGCTTGGTTTGTTGAAAGCTGCTGCAATTTGGAGTTGTCAAAGACACTCTTCTTTTTTGTTCTTCTGCAGTCTCTTATGATAAACCCAAAAGGTTTTTTCTTTCTCCTTTCTCTTTGAATTCCATTTTTTTTTTCAGAAATGGTTCATAACTACTAAATATCTTAAGTTGGTTTGAGTATCTCATATCCTTCACCTAGTTGTACTTTCCTCTTCTGTCTATTATATTTCTTCGTCAAAAAAAATCAAGAGAGGATTAAGGAATGCTGACTTTTTTTCCTTTGATCAAAGGTGGTGATATTTCTGCATTATTTGAAAGTGTATTTCCTATTCTAAAGGCTGAGTGGGAAACTTTAGTGACTGCTGGTGATGTTTTATTGAATGAGGTAGATACCATTTAATAGTGTATGGGTGCTTTTATTTCTCTTCATTTTTGTGATGATAAACTAATTTTTACTTCCTTTTTGATTGTTGGGAATCGGGATTGTTTCACAGTTAAATTCTGAAGTGTTAGACTGGGATTGTAGTGCATTCTTTGATCATCTTTTGTATGCCAATCTCAGACCTCTAAATGCAAAGGTTATGATTTGCATATTTTGGAGGCTACTAACAGCACTAATATCCGCAGTGCCTTCTAACATTCTGCTGGTTAGTAATTCCTTTAGTATTTAATCCTTTAATCAATTTTGTCATATGAGCCTGTTTTCCTTTTTGGAATTTGTTATTGTTGTTAGACCCCCACTGTTCAACATTTGATTGGATTAATGAACCCTTTACGAAATGCAGCATGATGATGATAAGTGGGTCAGCAAGATAAGGGATCTGTTTGTATTTTTTGCCTCCTCACAAGTCAAGCACGCATTCCGTGAACACCTCCATTACTTAGCAGCACAGTGCAGAGTCTCGCCTCCCCGCCTATTATCTAAGTTTTTCACAGAGGAAGGTGGTCTATGCTTGTTCCTTGTTTGATTTTCTCTTTATGTTAATTAGACAATGCTGTCTTGCTTCTACTGTGAAATTACTGCTTGCATGATAGAATAAAACTGTTTATCTTGTAAATATCAGTTATTTATTTATTTTTTGTTTAAGTAGAAGGTCTAAACTTTTTCTTTTCTTTCTATTTCCTCTCTGTCACTTTTCTTTTTACTCTCTTTTCTGTGATTATATATAATTCTGATAAATTTTCCCCCTGTAAGGGGGCCTATTCATCTTGGTCCATCCATGTTGTTAGGTGTTAAAAGAGGTAGCTGTTTTGGGTTTGGTTCGCTGTATATAATGTGTTTGAAATTTATTTGCTCAGAACTGAACTGACACTTTGTTAGTTTAAGACAGTTGGGTCCACTAATTATATTGTAACAGATTTAGAAGAGACATTTCCTCTAAATATAGTTTGATATCAGATCTAGAATATTCTCTTCTGTCAAATCTTGTAAACTATCGCTTTCCCTAATTTCGCTTTGGTTCTTAAAATCTAACATAGTATCAAGAGCTGAATTTCAGTCTGTACCCATGCTTTCCCTCTCAAAGTCGAGCTCAGAAATTTCCCTTAACTAGGAGCCACCTCCACCATAAACCCCTTTGATCCTTGCCTCTGCTCTTTATACTTCCTTGCACATGATTTTTGTGCTCAGATGACAAGAACTTAATCCTTTTGAAACATTAGGTCTAGGCTGTCATTGAAGGCCACAGGCTTTGACACTTATTGTTTGTGGTAATTCCATTTCGTTTTTCTCTCAGAAGCAGATTGAAATCTCATTCAAGTCAATGCAGCTTATCTTTCATTCAAAAGAAATGGTCTTTATATTTGCATGTGGGACTCCATAGTAATAATATTTTTTGCCTTACTACATACAAACTCAATCCGAGTTAATGTTTCATCCATCTGTGCAAATGCAATTTATTTATGGTTTGATGTTTTTGTTTTTGGAAGTTAATTCAAATTGTGGTTATTTGAATTTATGTTTCCAGATTTAGGTGGTATTACTTGGTTAGCATTTTATGGTTCCAAACAAGTGCAAGGGTTGATTTTGGTTGTATTTTTTTGTTCTGTAGGTGTTCCTGCTGCAGTTCAGGTTGAAAGTCTTCAGTGTTATGCATTTCTTTGTAGCCTGTCACAAGATAGATGGCAAATTGAACTTTTAGCTGAATTTCCTTCTGTTCTTGTTCCATTGGCTAGTGATAATCAGGTATGAGTCGTATGACTCTTTCTTACCTTTATCTTCTTTCCTCACCTCTTGTGTATAATGTTAAGATGTCTCACATTGGCTAAGACTAGAGCCATAATACTCTTTATAAGTGCTTGTGTAGTCTTCCTTCTATGAGCTAGATTTTGGGAGTGAGTTAGGCTCAAGTTTCTTAATATAGTATTAGAACATATCTAGTTTAAATATTGGGTTGCCCACAAATGTTCAATTCTATTGGGCTATCTGTGTAGATGTCCAGTTCTGTAAATTTCATGCACTAAATGTCCACTCGTGAGCGTGAGTGTGTGTGTGTGTGTGTTTAGATGTTTTACATTAGGTAGGAATAGAGCTATAATACTTCTTATAAGGGCTTGTGTAGTCCTCTTATGAGCTAACTTTTGGGAGTGAATCAGGCTTAAGTTTTTTAACATATATTTTTTAATTGCACATTGCAAATTTATAATTATCCATAAATGGTCTTCTTTTGCATATATCCAATGTTACTTTTAATCATGTTTTTCTATTTTCTTGATTTTTGAGGAGATGCCATTGGCTCAAATGATTTCTTTGCATCTTTTGAAATTTTTGCCAGACCATTAGAGTTGCTGCCATGAACTGTATTGATCCATTACGTGCATTGTGGAGTCATATTGAACGTTCTGGCGAAAAAAATGGTAATTTTTGGGTATAATAATTTGAGTTATCCCTTAATATGTGATTCATTTTACCTTGGTACTTTACATGATTCTAACCTGGTAAGAACAGGGAGCAATGCAACATGGATCCATTTCGTGGGTGAGCTTTTATGGTTGATGGACCAGCAAAAAACACTCATTTTGTCAGACAAGAAATTTCTTCCTTCACTGTTTGCTTCTACTTTGAGCTCATCCTGTCAAAACATCTTAGTGCCTCAAAATATAGAAAATAGGTATTTATAATGTTACTATGACAATCTCATTTCAGTAGCATGATTTTTATTATCATAGAACTATTTTGATATATTCATTACCTTAGCTGCTACTTATCAAATGTATCAACTTGCTTGTCTTTTTCTGTCATTGGAATTAGCTAGAACTTCTTAATACAGATAGCGGCATTTGGACTGATTTTTTCTACACTTTTTTCAAATCTAAATGGTATAATATTTGATAATATAATTTCATTGTTATGGGAAATAGCTGTTCTCTTGGTCATCATCATGGAAGAAGGTCAAAGGCAGAGGGTGTCCCCCTTGTATCCAAACATGTGGAGATGCATGTCACATAGAGAAGGGGAAAATAAATTGAGGGTGGGAGGAGAAAGTAGGATACATTTATGGAGAAGACATGGAGGTAGAACAAGGGCCTTCATTCATGTTATATGCGGCTGTGTTTATTTATATAGACTGTTAGGCACACAGACATCAACATCTGAGAATTAAAATATACTCAACCAATGCATAATATTTAGGATAGAAAACCTTGATTGGATGGTTGACCATCTTTTGATTGTTAATACAATATATGAGAATCGTAACTACAAAGAGTACTACATTCGTAATCATGAAATATCAATTGTTTGTTAAACCCTGGGAATTTGCATGAAAGTTGAATACTCTATTTGAGACTCCAAGAGGTGGTTGCACGGGAGCTATTTTGAGCTAGCATGTTGTTCTGTTTCATTTATTATGGTTGTTCTTGGATGATTGTTTATCTTCCTTTCCTGTACTTGTTTACTTCCTCTTGATGAATTCTTCTATTAAAAAAGATTATGATAAATTCCAAGATGGGAAATATGAATCCATAGTCTATATCATGTTCTGCACCACTACGGTGGTGGGTCTGTGAAGGAGAAGGGAAGGATTAGTTCAATGGGAATGAAGGGATTTCTCTTACCCATCCCTTTCTCGTAACCACTCCACTTCTTCCTCTCCACAGCCCCACCCCTTCCTTCACCTCCTTCCCTTCTCCCACCCCACCCCCACAACTCCAACCTCTTTCCTTCCTTCTCCCCACACCCCCACCTCCATGCATTTCTCTTCCTCCTCCTCCCTTTCTCCTTCCCCTTCTCTCATCCTACATCCACAACTCCGACCCATCTTCATCCCTTTCTCTTCCCCCACCCCACACCCAAAACTATAACCCTTTCTCTTCCTCCTCTCCATATCCCCGCCCCTTTCCCCACCCTACAGCCCCACACTTTTATTTCTATCACCCTTTCCCCTAAACTGCAATTCCTCTCCCTTCCCACACCTCCATCTCTATCCATTTCTCTATACCATAACCCCTCTCCCACACTTTCATCTCCACCCCTTCCCTGTCCCTAAACCGTTATCCCACCTCGCAACCCTTTTCTTTCCGAGCTATCTCACCCCCACCCTCACACAATATTTATTATCAAGATGGAGATGAGGATTTGAAGTGGTTAAATACTGTTGTCATGGAGAATGCCAAGAAGCAAGTGCGGAAGTTGGAGAATGGAAACTAAACCCTAAATCTTAAATAATAAAAAATAAATGCCATGTAGACAGTAACTGAGCCTCGAGATAGCTACGTGAGTGCTGAAGTGACTTTTTGTCAACTATTTCAGCACTAACATAGAAAGGAGTAATTGTAGAGACTAAATCATAATTTTTCAACTTTATAAGAATTATATCCTAACACAAAATTTTATTGAGACTTGTCACAAAATGACCAACATTTATAGAGACCAAAAACAGAATTAAGTCTTTGTTTTATTAAGAGCTTTCTTTATCTTTATTCATGAAGCATGTTCATTTATTGAAATTTGCAAGATTCTTTATTCTACTTTCTTTCCAACATATCGTTTCAGGTTTGACCAGCCCACAAAAATAAAAATTCTTGGCTTTATTTTGGGTTCTGCTCTTAAATTATCTAACTTCGGGAAGGTTAGATGTCTTTACACTCTTCTATGTTGCTCTTTATTTTTTACTTGTGTAAATAGCAGTACAGATCTAGGTTTCATACTTTCATATGTTCAATTACAGATTTAACAGTGTTATTTGTGTTTTTTAAAATCAAAGTTATGACTTTCATAAGGAAGTAACTTATTTTGTTGATGTTCCTGTGCAGCTAATGATTTTATCCTTGCTCAAAGGAATTGGGAATTCCCTTTTGCGTGTTCCAGAAGTTGGGCCAGTGTTGTCTTCTTTTATGGAGCAATACTATGATGAACTAAATAAGTCTTGTCCAAAATTGTCAAACATTGAAACTAAGATAATGTGCCTGTTACTGGAGGTATGTGCATTGTATTGTGTTTTAGCTGATGGAACATTTATTCCAAGGTTTGGTGTGAACTGATTCCTCTTTATGTGTAGAGCTGTGTTATGTCATCTCCCTCTGGTGGAAATGATCTTCAACATCTTTTACTGAAAGTTTTGCAGGTGAGATACTAAGATGGATGTTTTTTGTATGTCATGTCTTGTTATTTTAAATTTGCTGACTTCATTCTCTGGACTTTTCAGTTGGATGCTATGAGTTCAGATGACCCTGCCTATGTAGAGCCTTGTATCACAGTATTGAACAAAGTTAACAATCAATTCTATATGGGGTTGAAGAATGAAGTAAAGGTCTTATTAGCAGTATATTTATTTATTTCCAGATTATTTTATTGTCATTTTTGATAATTGATTAGTAGATATTCTCTTGGCTTGACACCTTAAAAAGTGTTGATAATTTGCTGCATGGGGTAAATGAAAAAATTACCACCAATGTAGCTGCTACTATGACTAAACTATTACCTTTTCCTTTTGTCTATCAGGAACATTTATTTTGTGAGCTTGTATTTTTGTGCCGTAATGCTAACGGTGATGTACAGTGTGCAACTAAAGAGGCCTTAATGCGCATAGATGTGAGTTACTTGCTACTTTGGTCAAATGCTATTATTCATGTGTTGACTCGGTTAATGCTCTTTTGTTTATGCATCTTCCTGGTGTGTTGATTTCCTTAGCAGATACTTGCAAAGAGCTTAATCTTTTGATATTGTTCAATCTGGATGATATCTGGATTTCATTATACCAGTGTTTTTTTGTTCTTGATTTAGACATTCAAATGTTGGTTGTGTAGAGCAGTTTACGAGGACCCTTTTTTTCTGCAAATGGTTGTAAATGAAATATTTTATTCCTGGGTAGAATTTTAAGAACTCTAGTTGCATTGGGGTGTTGTATAGTATTTCTTTTTTAGATAAAAATTAAATGTATTAGAAAGAGTAGAAGCAATGTTGAACATTGAGTGAAAGCACAACATAAAGAAAGGTGATAAATTATATAAAACAGAGACAACAAAGTACCACTGTTGACTAATGTAGAAATTGCAGAGCCTACGTAAAATCCTCTGTCCATGCTTGTTTGAGCTGACAATTTCCTTCAAATATACTAGTATACTACTGAACACTACATTTATTCAATATTACCATAAGCATAATGCTATTCCAAGGTAGGCTGAGGAGCACACAATTCCTTCAACAAATTGCCTTAAGGGCTTCAAAGATCACATTTATTTGTGTCATTTTGACAATTCCTTTAAAACTAACCAGAGTAACTGTTCCATAACTTCCATTGTAGAACACATCTAGAGGACACCAAGCAGACATTTCCATCAGAAAATAACTGTCTTAGAGTCAGGAACATTGCAATGTGAGGCTTAAGAACTTAACTGCAGATGATTATTATTAATCCTGTTACAATTTTAAGCTGTTAGGTGAAGACACAAGGATGTGTATTGACATCTCTGACATGCTCCCCTCCCTTATACTAGAGTCTTTTGGGCTTGAGGTGTAGACAGTGCATCACAAGGCACAAGCTCACCTATCTTGTGCTGAAATTCAAATTTTACTGGAAACCCAGAAGCTTAAGCATGAATGGGTTCTTATTGACATATCTAACAAATCCTATTGAGTACTGCTATAAAGAAAAATGACTTGACTTCAGTGAATTTGCTCTTTCAAATTGGTTTTGTAAAAGAAATCTCTGACGGTAAGGAGAACAAGAAAATGAAACAAGTATTTTTATAAAATTTAAAAACATGCCAGAATGCATGGGGTGACATGTAAGAGATTGAGAATAATAAAGCTTCTAGAATTGCTAGATCTTGTATCTAGCCTTGCTGTTCTCGGAATCATATATGCTATATTTGTTTACATGTTGGAGAATCATATTTGTTTGTATGCATATGGTTGAATGTGTATAAATGCTTTTATCATAGTCATCTTTTGAATATAATAAATTAAATTATGACACATCCTTTTGTTACCAATACTAATAGTTTTAAAAAAGAAATAATATGATAAATGTTTCTTAAAAATCCTTGAAGAGTAAATATGGTGGTGACATATATAAATTCCATTTTTGTTACTTACCATAGCCTTTTGGGTCAACTGGTTATTTTGCATTATGGATTTTATTTTCTGTTTATTTTTGTGTTGTATTTTGTTTTCCATGTAGTGGGATGATTCATCCAAGTTTTTATCTCGTATTAGGAAAACAACGAGATGAAATTGAGAATAATTGGTGCATATTATGGAATTGCAGATTAGTTTCTCAGCTGTTGGCCACATGCTTGATCTCATACTTGCACAGAGAAGTCATATAATTAGTTCTGTAGATAAAAAGATGACAAAGAAACAAAAATTGACAGTACATCAAGAAGCAGAATTTCCCACTAATGACATATGCAGAAAAGATAATCCAATATACATCCTCAGTTCCCTTCTTGATGTTTTCCTATTGAAGAAAGATGTAACAAACAGGTGATTTGATTTCTTCTGAATCTGAATAATTTCATCGTGTGTACTGGCTTCTGCCGAGAAAGAAGATAACTACATCATTACCAAGCAAAGAAGTGGTTAGAGCATTTAATTGTGCTAAACTTTTGGTTTGATTCTTGCAGGCACTTGCTCTTAGATCCCTTATTTAAGCTTCTTAGCAAGGTATTTTCAGAAGAATGGGTGAATGGTACCTTTTCCCTGGAGAGAGAGTTCAGCCAAATTTCATCAAGTCCTTCTGAAGCCAACAATCCCATAGTATATCATATACAACAGACTCTATTGATAATCTTGGAGGATATGATTATGTCCATTAAAAAGATGGCTGCACTAAATGTATGATCCCTATTCATGAAGTTGGAATAGTTATTATGATATAAAAAATATTAGTTTGACTACCTCTTCACCATTTTTGCTATTTTCTAATATTAAGTTTTGCCATTGTTGACCAGGAAAAAATGACCAAAGAAATTAACGTTAAGCTATTGATTGAGTGTGCCCGGACTTCCAATGTTGTAGCTACCCGCAACCATGTATTTTCAGTGCTTTCTGCTGTTACTAGAGTCTTTCCAGGAGAAGTTTTGGAGCATATACTTGATATTCTTGCAGTTATTGGAGAAGCAGCTGTCTCACAGGTTCGTTTGTTTTTTCTGCACTGAACTTCGGACATTCTGTGGGTAGAACGGCTTATTATATCCTTTTTTCTATTGAGGAAGGATGTTCTGTGGGTAGAATAACTTATTCCTATTTTTTCTTTTCTTTTTCGTTCCCCTTGCTTCTTTTCTTCAATCATTTTCTTTTCAGTCACCACTTGAGATTTGATTCAAAAACTGAGTGACGGAAGTGCGTAACCCTTGCAGCTTCTGAAACTTTTAGTTATAGTGTTTAAGGCTATAATTATTCATAATCCAATTTTTAGGGACTAATAATTCAGTGTTATCACCATTTGTGTTTTATTTATGTGCCTGTAGATTGACAGTCATTCAAAGCATGTTTTTGAGGATCTTATATCTGCAATTGTTCCCTGTTGGCTATCTAAGACTGATGATGTGGAGAAATTACTGAAGGTTGGTTATTCGTGGAAACGGTTTTGAACCAAAATTCTGTGTTTCTTCTGCATGATTAAAAGTAATTATTTGCAGATCAACCTTCTAATATAGTTTCTCTTCCTTCAGATTTTCATGGATATATTGCCTGAAATTGTTGAGCACCGAAGGCTGTCAATTGTTTTATATCTATTAAGGTATTTTGGTTCAACATCGTTATCCTATCACTGTGACTTTAGCCATTGGTTTGTGATCTGCTGCTTATAATGATGGCTATTTTGCAGAACTCTGGGTGAGGATAGAAGCCTGGCCTCATTGCTTATCCTACTTTTCCGTTCATTGGCTTCAAAGAAAGCCTCCTGTTTCCTTAGTATTGAGACTCCAGATGCTTTAACACTTTATACCAATGAGTGGGAATACAAATTTGCACAGCAAATTTGTGAACAGTATACAAGTATGATTTGGCTTCCTTCTTTAGTTATGGTGCTTGAACAGAAGAGCAATAGTAAAGTTGACCAAGCATTGTTTCTGGAATTGTTTATTGCAATGCAATTTGCTTTGCAAAAATTCCAAGATCCAGAATTTGTGTTCAAGTTGGAATCTGGAGAAGATACAGCTTCCATTCAGGTATAAATCCACATCAGATACATGATGCAAGAGACGTTTATGCCTTCTAATGTGTTTATCAATTCTATTAGCCAAGGTATAGATGTAACTAATGAGTTTAACCATTGTCATCGGTTTTTCTTGACCAATGCCCAATATCAAGTAACAGACACAGCCCTGAACTCAGGATGAATTGTGGTTGATACTCCCTGTTTTACACTTTTTACTCCATATATATCCCCGTGATTATGCTATTTCACAATAGCATGTACTCCTCTTGTTAACAGATCTCCTCTTTTTTGTAACACTAACTTTATTTATTTATTTATTAATTGAAGTTAGTTTGTGTAGGGTAAAAAAGGAAGGGGGGGGGTGGAATTCGACCTAATTTCAGGGGGTGTCAATGTAATTTACTCTATAAATTAATATAGTGATATACATAGTGAACTTGTTAATTTTCCATTAAATAGAAATATTAAAGCTGGTGTCAAGGGCTGATATGAAAGCTGAAGCAGACTACTTTATTATGAATTGAAATAATCATTTGTAGAATGTAGATTATATATATATATATTTGTTGTTTTTGTGCTGAGATGCTGTTTTTGGTTTCTCAATGTGCTAGCATTTGAGTTGGATGGCTATATTTGGGCAAAATGCTCTAATCTTTGTGTAGCCTATAAACACTTGTTTTTCTAGCCGAACATATTCAGAATCAAAATAAATGTGATGGCTTAAATTTTGCAGAGGGCACTGGGAGAGCTTATGGAGCAGCTTGTTTTCCTCTTGCAACTTGTAGATGCAAGAAAAAAGCAGCTAAATTTCCCTGTCATTATGAGGAAAGAGTTGAAGGAAACTATGCGTGCAGTTGTAAGGAATCTGGCAACAGTCATGTTACCTTCTGTATACTTTAAGAGCATAACTAAATTGCTCCACCATGCTGATAAAAGTGTTGGAAAAAAGGTATGGTTTTAAATTAAATTATCAAATATAAGACAATTATATTAGGAACTTGCATTATTTTGATGCAAGGTTAGACCATATATTTGTTGGGGTCTCAGTATTTTCAAGATGTTCCTTTATGTTGGTGATTAGCCGCAGCAGACATTTTTTGTTTTCATGACGTCTTATTCACATATATTATGAATGCGATTGATTCTGTATCCACTGTATTCTATCTGTTAGTTAGTCATGACCACACATCATGGTTAAAATTTTTAATAGCTTTTCTCATGTGTGCCCATATACTCATGATATATAATTCAAATTAGAATGTTTTATAGAAAAGAACATAGTTATATTGCAAACACAAAAGTCATTCAATGCTTGCACTTTTAAGCAATATACAACATTTAATAGTGTATTTAATACTTTCACACTATGTCTGTGAGCACATGATAAAAAACCCTAATGTTTCTTTGTGGAAGCAAGATATCAGGAACTATTTTTTGATGTTTCCTTTTTTGTTCTGCAGGCTCTCGGGCTGTTATGCGAGGCTGTGAGAAATCATAAAAATGTCAGTGTAAAGCTTAAAGATAGCAAAGGTTCAAGGTCAACTCCAAGTTTTCTATTGCTCCATATGAATGAAAGTGCTCAAAAATCACTCCATAAAATGTGTACTGAAATTATTCGAGTATTTGATGATGCATCAAATACCTCCTTGAAAGTGGCAGCAGTTTCAGCAGTAGAAGTTCTGGCTGAAAGGTTCCCTTCAAACAATTCCATCTTTAGTGCATGCCTTGGATCTGTTACAAGATATATTACATCTGATAACTTGGCAGTGGCTTCTAGCTGCCTTAGAACAACTGCTGCCTTGATCAATGTTCTTGGTCCAAAAGCACTGGCAGAACTTCCTAAGATTATGGACAATGTGATGAAGTCATCTCGTCAAATATTGTCTAATCTGGACATGAAACTCAAAACTGATGATGTTTTAACAGCCTCAAATGAATCCCTTTTTTTTTCTGTTCTTGTCACTTTGGAGGCAGTTGTGTACAAGCTTGGTGGATTTTTAAATCCATATCTCAAAAATATCATGGAGCTTCTGGTGCTTTATCCTGAATATGTTTCAGGAATGGATGCAAAGTTGGAATCTAGAGCTCATGGAGTACGGAAGCTTATTGCTGAAAAAATTCCTGTAAGGCTTCTTATAATGTAGTATTTTGTTACTGTGGCATGAAATGAATACCCTTCTTTTCCTTACCAAACATTTTTTTTACAGGTCCGACTTTCCTTGCCACCTTTGTTAAAATTATACCCAGCTGCTATTGAGGCTGGGGATAAAAGCTTAACAATTGTATTTGATATGTTGGCCACCATAATTGGTACAATGGACAGGTCATCTATTGTGGCATTCCATGGAAAAATTTTTGACCTTTGTATGGTTGCTCTTGATCTGCGCAATCAAAGTCCTCCTTCAATTCAAAACATTGATGCAGTAGAAAAAGATGTGATGAACGCAATGGTTGCTCTGACCCTAAAACTTACTGAGAGTTTGTTCAAGCCTCTTTTCATAAAAACTATTGAGTGGGCAGAATCTGAAGTGGATGAAACTGCATCTGCCGGAAGCTTTGATAGGGCCATATCTTTCTATGTCCTGGTAAATAAGCTTGCAGAGAACCATCGGTAAGTCAATGTTTAGAAAGTTTTCTTTAAAATAAGCATGTTTTATGACTTTTGTCCAGCAGATATGGGTTTATCTCTAGAACATTTTAGGTTTATTGTATTTCATTCTCAGAAGAATTTATCTTCATTCTTGTTTAAATTGTTGGTGTGTATAAGTTGTGTATTGAAACCCCAGTAGATATATGTCAACTACTCGTGACTATTGAGATGGTAGTATCCAATTTGGTCATGGCATTAAATTGAAAACTAGTTTTCAATGCAATTTTCTTGATTATTTGTTAGGTATGCTCCAATAAATATTACTGTAATCAGTTATTATGATGTTGCCTTGTTTTGTTTTCCCTAAATAATGATAAAATCCATTTAAGATGCTGCTATGTTCTTTTTTGTAGGTCATTGTTTGTACCTTATTTCAAACACTTGCTTGGTAGTTGTGTTCATCATCTTAGTGATGGTGGAGATGTGAAAGTGTCTAGTTTGAGTCGGAAGAAAAAGAAGGCCAGGACACTGGATGATGGCAATATCCAAGAAATGGGCAGTGTGTCTTTCAAAGGCTGGCATCTCAGGGCACTAGTCTTGTCATCCTTGCACAAGTGTTTCCTCTATGACACTGGGACTTTGAAGTTTCTTGATTCACCTAATTTCCAGGTTAGTGAATTATTTACATTACACCGTTAATTTTTTATTTTCCATGATTTTGAGTAGTTATGAAAAAATTCTCAAGGATGTGTTGGATTTTAATATTTTTCCATCAAATGGTTGATTGGCCTATTTTGCATTTACTCTTTTCCAAAATGTTGTTGATTGATGTGGAAATTTTCCATTCCACTTGAAACTTTTTGCATGTTTTCTCCATTCCCTTTTCTCTCATTTCATTAAGGAGTAAATTATTCCTTAAACTTTTCGACCACCTTCAGTAATATTCTTGCTTGTTGTATTCCTTCACTGACTGTAATATTATGCCTATTGCAGATGTTGTTGAGACCTATTGTTTCACAACTTGTTGTAGATCCACCAGCTTTACTGGATGACAGCATGGATATGCCAAGTGTGAAGGAAGTTGATGACCTACTGGTTGTATGCATCGGTCAAATGGCAGTGACTGCTGGATCTGACCTTTTGTGGAAATCTTTGAACCATGAGGTGAAGTTTATGGCTCTTATTCTTTTGTACTCCTTCATTGGTATAGTAAGTATTTTGATATTGAGATACTGGTAGCATACTGGCTTCAGTATCTTGTTTTTCAATGATTTGAAAAATGCATATGATCAGGTGTCTTCAGGAATCAGTGTTATTTGCTGTTATAGACTCCAGCTTTTCTGCTTTGGCAATCAGATTTAATTAATGTTTAATCATGAATAGACTGCAGCTTTTATGCTATTTTGATCAGAATAAAGCAAATGTCTATCGAAGCTCTGTATTCCTATGCTTCTCTTGATCAAAAAGCCAATAATCTTCAATGATCTGAACATGCTCGTGTTCCCTCACATCCTCATCGCATTCCCTTTGTTCCTTTTAGTCATGGATACCTTATGTTTAGAATTTTAGAGCAATAGGTTATTATACTAGTTTTGGTATTCTGTAATATGTAGAGCGCTAGAGTGCTATATACTTGCACGCTGCACGTACCGCTGCTTAATCTCATTTATGTCACTGATAGCTGTTGTATATTTCTAAACAACTGAATATTTTTCTGGCTTTATTTGGTTCTTTTGCAGGTGTTAATGCAGACACGGAGTGAAAAGATGCGAGCTAGAATATTGGGCCTAAGAATTGTTAAATATTTTGTGGAGAACTTGAAAGAAGAATATCTAGTATTCCTGCCTGAAACTATCCCATTCCTTGGTGAACTGCTTGAGGATGTGGAGCTTTCAGTTAAATCTCTTGCTCAGGAAATTCTGCAGGAAATGGAGTCTCTGAGTGGGGAAAACCTTCGGCAATACCTATGATGTTGGTTATTAGGACGGCAGTATTTATAACCATGTGATATCAGCAAAGAGCTAGGAATGTGTAATCAATATGTTTTCTAAGGTCCGTTCTTGGAATTGATAAATACGATCCATAGGCCAGTGTAAATTATGGTTAATTAAGGAAAAATAGCATTTATTTATTCTGATAAAGGTTAAAGTGTAACCTTTTTTTGCTAATATTAAAGTGTAACTTTTAACCAGTAATTCTTTTCTCACAAACATTGAAAGCATAGATGCTTTTAAAAAGTTGTATTTATTTATAACAGAGAGATGTTAAATTGATTTATTTTGAAACTATATATATATATATATATATCTTGCTCATATCAAAGCTATATTACTTCGTTATTTTTGAAATCTTTGATGTAGGCGTTTTCGGAATCGTCAGGAAGAGAAGGATTACGTTCCTCTGCAGTTATTTTTCAAACTGCATGAATCTTGTCCTCTAAAATATTGAATTTGTTCAATATAATGAAAATATAACTAGTATTGTGCTGTCAGTGAGAACCGTCGGTTCAAAACTGGACAGGCTGCAGTTCCTTTTTCAACTTCAGAGGATCCCCACCTAGAACTATCACTAGTTAATTATTAGTCACAAAAATTCATTATAACAAATGACTATTGTTGCTATTAGTATAACTATTACAATATTATCATTGTTACTGTCATCATTAAAATATTTATTTATAATACTCATCATTACATTGTCACTTTCATAACTCGACACAAACTATTATTATTATCATTACTGTTAAATCATTCTCACTATTTTTAACATAGTTAATCTACACTTACTATTACACGTCCTCCTTTCCTGTTTTATTATTATTGTTACTCAATCATCAAACAAACTTAATTTGAGAAGAAATGATTAATGTATATTTAATTTAAGATTTAGTGTTTGAAATTTAAAAACTACAAATTTGAAATTTTAGTCAAAATTTTAAACTATTCACATGATCCTCATAAATTTTTAACAAATAAATCCTCAACATCACAAAAAGATATCTGCCTTGAGACTATTAATGTACAAGTGCATCCGTATTTGCAACAAGAAGGTATTTTGGTTGGTGACTTCATGTTTTTGAATAAAAATCCTAAAAAATAGGGGGTGGCGTTGCTATTACTTGACTGTCTGGGAACATACTATAATAACATGAATTCCTAATTGTTAGTACTCCTGCTAGAAACAAACATTCCTGTAGAAGTCCTTTCATATAATTAAGGAATTATGACAAGATGGAAGGTTTGAACAACTTCAAACATTCGTGGACAGCAGGCATGAAATGACAATTTCAAAGCAGCTAGTTCTTCTTTGACATACTAAAGCCATAGGAAAATCTCCAAAAACCTTTATTCATAGGAAATACCATTTTCATTCTTCTCCCAGAAGATAACTGAGTAAATTTCCTGCAAGTCACAAAATGAAAATAATTAAATAAACTTAAGAGTAAACAAAATCATTAGAAAATAAAATACTAAGCTTTTGCATCATAATCAATTAATCTACACACCCATATTCCACCACCTTGGTGTCTTTCTCTTGTCTATGTTAGACTTGAGCATTCTCACACGCTTCTTCGGTAGTTTATGACTTGTTATTGATGGTTTTCTCTTCAATGGGTTGGGACGTGTGAATTGAATATCTTGCATGTTAGTTTCTTGTTTATACACGTGAACACCACAATAACTCACGATCAAACCTGCAGGTGAATCACATTTAAACTCCACATGATTCCAATCAGATGCATGCAACATGTCACGAATTGGCCACTCTTCAGCACCAACCCCAGATCGTACATCACATAGGAACACATGGTCTCCTTCAAGTCCATACCCAGACCAACTTAATTTAACCACTTCTCGTCCATTAATGTACAAGTGAATACGAATGCTATGATTAACTAGAATTCGGGGTGGTAGTGGCATGTCTTTGAAGAGAAAAGCTAAAGCAACGATGGGAAATTGTCCACGAGCCCAAAAGGACACAATTCCACCTTCATATTGATGATCAAACCAATTTGGAAACTGGCTTTCTGGCATCAAAACATGTAATTTATAGACTTCCTTCAATGCCTGTGACAATAAAACATAAATGACAACTAGTAACTTCGCCTAATTGGAGTCAATAATAATGTTTTATTTTTCTAATTAAGCTTCTTTTTTCTAAGTACAACAATAAGTTTGGCATAAAACTGGAACAACTGAATTAAAACTTGGGTTGCTTAAAAATTTTCATGTTACGTAGGATAAAGATTGTGTCCATTAAAACTAGAAAGTGGAAGGTGTATGTTCTTGAGAATATTTTTTTTACCGTGTGAAATGGATAAACTTGGAACATGATGTGGCTTGTGGTTCAATAAAAATATTTCTTAGAAATTTTAAAAGTAAACCATAGAGATGTTCAAGTATACCTATGAATTTTTCCAGTATCATGTATAATGTGACAGAAAAATGAGTCTAACCTGAGACCATAACATTCTTGATGTTTCTGAAGTTAAGGATGAACAACCTCTAGCCAATACTATCTGAATACTTGATGGCAACTCTGGAATTTCCTTAAGTCTCTCGTTACCAATTACATCAAGAACTGTCAAGTTAGAAGATTCTTTAATGGATGTAGGGAGAGACTTAAAATTGTTCCATGGCAATATTAGCTCTTCCAAGTTTGGAAAACAACTAAGAATAAATTGGAGATCTTCATCTGTTAAACCACAATTTATACATGACAATCGTCGTAAAGGAGAGTGGCTAATGGTTGTTATTACATGGCTATTTCGGAAGCTTCTAAATGATTTTCGAACTTGAAAATTGCCCTGAAACTTCAACTCAACAATCCTTGGCAACATAAATAAGGTACTTGGTAGATTTCTCACTCTTCTACATGCTGACATACTTACAGTTTTGAGTCCCATAAGATTATACACAGAACTTGGCAACTCCCTAATTTTAGTATCATTTAAACAAATGTCTAAGGGCTTATCCATCACTTTCTCTATTTCAGGGAATGATTGCAAATTGTTACAAAATTCAAAGTTGAGAAGTTGGAGAGATGGCAACCAGATTCTTGATGAGAATTTTCTTAGCTTGCCACATTCTCTTGCATCTAAACTTTCAAGCTTCTCAAGAAATCCAACAGATTCATCAATCGAAATCAGTTTTCTACATGCAATAAGTTTTATGTGCTTTAAAGATGGAACTCCAGACACATCAGGTAGATGAGTTATGAATCGACAATAAGAGAAATTCAGTTCAGTCAAATGCTTGAGTTTCTGCCAACCAAAAACAAATTAAAATGATTAGCAATTACATATACGAAGGACAAAAATTAATTAGGCGCAATGTGATAAGTAATTTTAGTGTTATTCTCCAATTAAAATTGAAGTTTCAATGATTCATGCAGGTCAATATATATTATTGAGGTAAAAATTCAATACCAATCAGCAAACAGTGCTAAAGGCACCTATAGAAGTGCACTTGAGTTTTATCCATATATAAAGTAATAATAATTTTTTTTACATCTTGAATGAGAATAAGGGTTAAAAAATATGACCTTACCGGGAATTTATTTTCCTTTTCTAGTTTGAAATGACTATGTGGTAAACTTAAGACAACAACATTCCTTGGATAAAATCCTGGTGGGAGTGATTCTGATGGGTAACCCTTCCATTCAAGCAACCTTAGACTACTTGGCAGATATTTAGGTGCTGATAAAAAGTGTGCATTCCTCACAACCAGAATTCGAAGATTACTCATCTTTTCGAAGGCAATGCCACCCCACTCTACTTCAACTTCTTCTTCCTTCGGTGGATCTAACAGTATTCCTTCAATAGTACTGCTTCCCTGTCAGAGTAAAATAAAGTACCTCTGTTACTCAGATACTCTTTTGAGTGGACACATAACGCAGGGTTTGGACAATTCTAACATTTGAGAGGGAGAAATCAAGAGTAAGGTTCTTACTGAATTTTCTGTTAAAACATTGAGAACATCTTCATGAAAGTATAACCTGCTACGTTCACCAGGTCTTCTTGGCGATTCCTGTCTAACTACTTCTTTGCCCATGTCTTGTATTAGATCATGCATCCTTAAGTGACCATATTGATCAACAGTAAGAAGAGATTTGTCAACAAGTATTCCAATATTGTATGTTGGGTAAAAGTCACATTTGTCTAAAATTCTTTCAACATATTCTCTTCTCTCCCCTTTAAAGAAGCAAGCAATATCAAGGAAGACATACTGTGCATTCTCTGATAGGCAATCATAGCTTACCTTGAGTATGTCTTGTATCTTTCTATCCGGAATCCTCTCGTATTGTTCCAATGCACATTCACATTCCCTTATGGATTTGCCAACCAAATTGGAGCCAATTACTTTTAATGCCAATGGAAGGCCTCTGGCATAACGAACTGCACGGTTAGACACATCTTCATAGCTGGTTGCCGGTTGACTCATTTTGAAGGCCTTCCAGCAAAAAAGTTGAAGAGCTTCATGATCATTCAACTCTTTCATTTCATATCTCTTTTCAACCTCATGAATAGTTAACACATGCTTATCCCTTGTTGTTATAATGATTCTGCTACCTGAACCAAACCAATTACAATTTCCTGCTAGTTTTTCTAACTGGTCCACACTATCTACATCATCAAGCACCAGAAGAATTCTCCTATGCCGAAGCCTGTCTTTCAATCTAGCGGCACCTTCATCTACACTGCTTAACTTGATAATTTTCCCTTCAAGCAGCTTAGATAGCATTGTCTCTTGAAGATGTACAAGCCCCATTTGCTTTGATGTTTCTCTAACACTTTCAAGAAAAATTGCACATTCAAATTGATAAAAAATCATGTTATATAGAGCTTTGGCAAGTGTTGTCTTCCCTATTCCACCTGTTCCATGAATTCCCACCATGCAAACCTTGTCACGAGATTCAATATGTAAAAGTGACCTCACTTCCTGTATGCAAGACTGGTGTCCAACTATGTGCTCACCAACATCTAATTGTTCATGATGTAATTCAGCAATGGCCATTTCAACAAACTTTTGGATAAATTCATATTCATACCTACAAAAGAACAATGTCATTTCACAAAATAAAATAACTATCAAAATAAATAAAAATGATCACACAAAATACATAGCTTCATTTGAACTCCAAAACAGAACCTTTACAACACAAAAAATATATCCCAGTTTACAACACCATTCCTTGTTATGTTAACTTATATTTGAAACAATGATTGTGAGAATGAATTTCATTTTTAAAATTTCAAAGACACGAGTGAAATATATTATGTAATTAATAGTCGGATTTAGTGCTAGTAGGAGAGCAATGACAACTCAAGAGAAGAGACTTAGTCAGTCAATGCCAACTTTTAATACGAAGGGACCTTTAATAATTCATTCAATAAACAAAAAACGCAAAATTACAGCGGGGAAGAGTAAGACAAGGCAATAACTAAAAAAGATAAGAGCTAAATACATTTAAAGAAAATGTTTTTATAAGGAAAATAAATGAGTATGTTGTAAATTTGAATAATAAAAGGGAGTGCAGCCGACAACAAACGGGAAAAAATAAATAATGTTTTGTGGGTGCATGAAATGGATTTGTTTGATCCTTTTACTTTTGAAAAGTATTTTTAATACCCATGTATATGAAAAAATAAATAAATAAAATTATAATTAATTTAAATTATTTTGTCGTTCAAATTATTAAATCCTTGAATTAAAAAATTAAGAACTACAAAAATCTATTAGATAAGCATTAAATATTGATATTAAAAAATCATATTCTTAAAATAAGAAAATAGTTTTTTTAGAAAGAAATTGGGCATGTCAAGCAAGCATGAAAATGGTTAGTGCTAGCTAATAATGGAAGTTGATAAATTAAAAGTAGTTGAAAATAGTGCATACCCAGTTTCGAAATGCCATCCTTTTAAGTTGGCAACTTGAGACAAAGCTGATCGCCATTTCTGCATCCTTTCAGACTCTTTTCCAAACCTACGTTCATGTTTAGTCATAGCTTCAGCATAACTATTTCTCTGATATCTAATATCCGATGGTTCCACTTTGTAAAAGATTGGCCAAACCAATTGGTTCTTCATCTTCATACACCCAACAATCTCAACTAGTTCATCAAGGCACCAAGAGGAAGATGCATAGTTTTCAGAGAAAACAACAACTGAAATCCTTGATTCCTGAATAGCTCGAACAAGAGAGAGTGCAATTTGGTCCCCACCCTTCAATCCATCATCATCCATGAATATGTTGATTCCCTTCCTTCGGAAAGCATCATAGAGATGACCCGTGAAAGTGTGACGGGTGTCTTCTCCTCTAAAACTAAGAAAAACATCGTAGTTACAAAAAGATTCTTGATCTGCCATGATACAACAAGTGATCAGAGAACCAAATGTTACTCTTAGGAGTCTTATGATAAGTGGTCTTGTACTGTTTTTCATTGATGCCGTGTGGCTCCATTTATGCGACCTTTCAAAACGGTTAGCTACCTATCATCGTTGCATTGCATTAATGCGAAGGGCCATGCCACCAACGTGCTTTTATTTTCCTTCTCATAAATTCAGCATCGCTTTTCTCCCCCAAATAAAATAATAATCAATAATTTTGATTAGTTAAAGTTATGTTCAACAATTCTATGAGCAGTTGAACGTGACGTAAGATAGAATTAATAAGATAAATTTGTATAAAAAATAAACACAATTTAAAATTAAATACAAAAAATTGGATAGAAAATAAAATATCTTTTTGTTTTCTGCATTGTAATTTGTAAATAAACCAAAAGTCACATTTAATCTTTTCATCAACGAAAATTTAATTTTTCTACGTTTATTTTTATAATATAGTCATTAAATATAGTAATCATTTATTTACCACGTAATTAAAAACTTGTTCTCAATTAAATAATGTAATGACAACTATAGATATTCTATTTTGAGGGTATAATTTTTTATTTTTAACATTTTTTAATTAGATTTGTTATGTAAAAGAATGAACTTAAATAGCTTTATTTATTTTTTAAATATTAAATAAGGGTGAATGGGAAAAGTAGAATGAAAATTGTTGCATATTCCTGGTGAAATATATAAAAAAATGAAAAGAAATAAACCATTTAATAAAGGACGCGATAGAAAGAGAATACATGTGTGTGTATACGTATTGATTACACAAGTGCATCACTGAAAATACAATTAGAATAAAATAAAATTAAAAAAAAAAAAAAAAAGTCTGGCCACTAGTCTCATTCCCTTAAAAACATGGTGAACATTCAACACTTACTTTTTTTCCCTTTTGTTATCAACAATGACTTGCAACCCGAACCAAACAATTACACTTTTCACCCGATTTTTCTAACTCTTCACCATTATCATTTACAATTAGAGGTTATTTCAAATCATGTAAGGGAAGTAAGAAAAGATGGAAGGTTGAAGCAATTTCAATAGACATGCATTCTTAGACACGGCATGACAATTTCAAACCGAAGGCCATTTTGGTTTGGACACGCTTAAGCCATACGAGAGAAACCTCCAAAAACATTTACTCATTGGAAAGACCATTTTCATTCTTCTGCCGGAAGATAAAGTTTGAAACTGAGTTGCTTTCCTGCAAGTCATTAAGAAAAAGAAAATTAAATGAAGTTAAGAGGAAAATTTTATTAGAAAATAATTTTTTAAAAAAAGCAACTTTTGCATTATAACCCATCAATGGGTATGCCCATATTTATCCACCACCTTCGTGACTTTTGGTTGCCCTTTCTTCTTCCACTCTTAAACTTGAGCATTAATCTTGCACGCTTCTTTGGCATATTATGACTCAGTGATGGTTTTCGCTTCAATGGATTGTGACACATGAATTGAATATCCTCCATATTTGTTTCTTGCTTATAAAGATGAGCTCCACAGTAACTTACGGTCATGGTCGAATATCCGTGTAAATCACATTTAAACTCCACGTGATTCCACTCGGATAAAAGCAATGTCAAGGATTGGCCACTCTTCAACATCAACCATAGATCGCACATCACATAGTAAAACATGATCTCCCTCAATTACAGACCAATAACCAACATTATGACAAAAGTTATCCACCTTGTGGCCATTAATGTACAACTGAATAACGATGATATAATCAGTTTGCATCACTATCTCTGTTGGCTTTTCTTTGAAGACAAACGCTAAAGCAATAATCGGAAACTTTCTACGAGCTTGAAAGGACACAATCCCTCCATTACAACGATGGTCAAACCACCTTGGAATGCCCCTTTGAGGCATAACAACATGTAATCTATAGACTTCTTTCAATGCCTGTGACCAAAAAAAAGGATCATAGCGTAAAATTTGTTTTACATAAAGGGAGAAAAATTAGTAAAATGAAACTAGGTTTGTTTAAAATTTTTCATTTCAAATGGGTAAACATTGTTCTAAGAAAAACAAATAATAATTCACAATATATCTATAATATGAGGACGGTGTAGTTAGGAATATTTGTAATATTGTATGATATAAATATAACTGAAAATTAACGTGCCTTGGTATCCAACTCTTCTAAAAAATTTTGAAAATATTAACAAAAAACCTTGATGTGAAAGAGAAAGGAATCTGACCTGTGACCATAACAATTTTGATGTTTCTGAAGTCAAGGATGGACAACCTCTAGCTAATACTCTCTGAATACTTAGTGGCAACTCTAGAATTTCCTAAAGATCCATACTATAACTTACATCAAAAACCTTCAAGTTAGCAAATTCTTTGATACAGGTCGAGGGGAACACAAAATCATTCTCTGGCACTTCTAGCTCTTCCAAGTATGGAAAACAGGCAAGAATAAGGTGGAGATCTTCATCTGTTAAGCCACAATTTATCAAAGACAATCGTCGTAAAGGAGAGTGCCCAATTGTTGCAAAGACTTCACTATATTGAAACCTTCTAAATGATTCTCGAACTTCATGGTTACCCTTAAAATCTAATAATTGGATCTTGGGCAACATGAATAAGGTCCATGGTAGATCTATTACTCCTGTGATTGATGACATACTTATAGATTCAAGTCCCGTAAAATTATCTACGGAATGTGGTAGCTCCTTAATTTGAGTATCCATCAAGCCAATATATGACAACTTATCCATCACTCCCTCTATATCGGGGAAGAATTCAATACTTTCGCAATAATCAAAGTTAAGTCGTCGAAGAGATGGCAACCAGATTTTAGGTAAGAAATTTCTGAGATTCTTGCATGCTATTAAATTAATGATTTCAAGCTTTTTCAGAAACCCAACGGAGTGATGAACATCAATTAGATTCTCACAAGCAAACAGGTTTAGTTCTTTCAAATTTGGAATTCCAGACACATCAGGAACACAAGTTATGGATTGACAACTTGACAAATTTAGGTCAGTCAAATGCTCGAGTTTCTGCCAAAATAAATCACGATAAAATGATTAGAAATTATGCCTAAAGTGAAAGTAATTAAAATGATTTTTTTCTTCATCTGAATTAAGTAAGAATTATAAAAAGGAAAAAAATTAATAAAGTAATATTAATTACCAGGAATGGCTTTTCCTTTTCTAGCCTAAAATGACTTTCTGGCAAACTTATCACAGCAACATTCTGGGGATTAAAACCTGGTGGTAGAGATTCAGATGGATACCCTTTCCATTCAAGCAATCGTAGACTATTCGGAAGATAACTAGGTGCTGATGAAAAGCGTGCATTTCGAAGAATGAGAACTCGAAGCTTATTCATCTTTTCAAAGGCAATACCACTCCAATCTACATTTACTTCTTCTTCATTAGGGGGATCTAAAATTATTCCTTCAATATTATTGCTTCCCTGTCAAGAGGTAAAATAATGTTAATTAGTAACTCGTAAATATTTTGAGTGGATACATATACTGCATGTTTTAATTAGGAATGGAATAGTCTTACTGAATTTTCTATTAGAACACTAAGAACATCTTCTTGGAAGCATAATCTGCTGCGTTTACCCGGTTTTCTTGGTGATTCAAGCCTAACAACTTCTTTGCCCATGTCTTGTATTAGATCATGCATCCTTAAGTGACCATATTTATCAACAGTAAGAAGAGATTTGTCAACAAGGACACCAATATTGTATGTAGGGTAAAAAAGACATTTGTCTAAAATCCTTTCAACATATTCCCATCTCTCCCCTTTAAAGAAGCAAGCAATGTCTAGGAATATATCCTTTGCAAAATCATGTAAGCAATCATAGCTTACCCTTAATATGTCTTGTATCTTTCTATCTTGAATCCTCTCATATTGTTCCAATGCACATTCACATTCCCTTATGGATTTGCCAACCAAATTGGAGCCCATAACTTTTAATGCCAATGGAAGGCCTTTGGCATAACGAACTGCACGGTTAGACACATCTTCATAGCTGGTTGCCGGTTGACTCATTTTGAAGGCCTTCCAGCAAAAAAGTAGAAGAGCTTCATGATCATCCAACTCTTTCATTTCATATCTCTTTTCAACATCATGAATAGTTAGCACATGCTTATCCCTTGTTGTTATAATGATTCTGCTACCTGAACCAAACCAATTACAGTTTCCTGCTAGTTTTTCTAACTGGTCCACACTATCTACATCATCAAGCACCACAAGAATTCTCATATGCCGCAGTTTGACTTTTAATCTAGCGGCACCTTCATAAACACTGGCTAACTTGATAATTTCCCCTTCAAGCAGCTTTGATAGCATTGTCTCTTGAAGATTTTGGAGGCCCATGTTCTTTGATGATTCTCTAACACCTTCAAGAAAAATTGCACATTCATATTGTTTAAAAATCAAGTTATATAGAGCTTTGGCAAGTGTTGTCTTCCCTATTCCACCTGCTCCATGAATTCCCACCATGAAAACGTTGTTACGAGTTTCAATGTCTAAAAGTGACTTCACTTCTTGTATGCGAGACTGGTGTCCAATTATGTGTTCATCAACATCTAATTGTTCACGACGTAATTTAGCAATAGCCATTTCAACAAACTTTTGGATAAATTCATATTCGTACCTACAAAAGACATATATTAACATTTTTAGTGTTAGTAACGAGCAATGACAACTTATTAAGTGAATTAGTTCCAAATTTTAATCTAAAGTAAATATCACAAATAAATACAACATCTAAAAATTATTTTAAAAACAATTATTGTAATAAAATATAATAAAACTTGATCATGTGAATTATTAATGATTAAATCAAGGGAAATAAAAACAAAACAATCAGTAAAATTAAAGATTTAAAAAATATAAAAAGTGCAGCTCACCAACAAAGGGGGAAGAGGAAGATGTGGGGAGATTTATTAAACATTAATCACAAATAGGTAAAATATTGTGATAATCCGTGTTCTAAAGGAATAGTCTCCAACTACTAATTGTAAGTACTTTTGGTACACACAAATAACTTATTTTTTGAAAAGCATATTTGAAACGTTACTATTCAAGATATTTTGGAGGAAATCGTAAAAAGAAAAGGAAGAAAATGGGCATTTGAAAGCATGATTGGCCTAATTAATGGCAGGCGCTAATTATGAAACTTGATCAACAAAAAGTAATTGAAAAAATAGTGTATACCCAGTTTCGAAATGCCACCCTTTCAAGTTGGCAACTTGAGACAAAGCTGATCGCCATTTTTGCACCTTTTTAGACTCTTTTCCGAACCTATTTTCATGTTCAGTGATGGCTTCAGCATAACTATTTCTTTGATGCCTTATATCAGATGGTGCCACTTTGTAAAAGATTGGCCAAATCAAATGGTTCTTCATCTCCATACACTCAACTATCTGGACAAGTTCATCAAGACACCAAGAGGAAGATGCATAGTTTTCAGAGAAAACAACAACTGAAATCCTTGATTCCTGGATAGCTCCAACAAGAGAGAGTGAAATTTGATGTCCACCCTTCAGTCCATCATCATCCATGAAGGTGTTGATCCCTTTTCGTTGCAAAGCATCGTAGAGATGACCCGTGAAAGTGTGACGAGTATCTTCTCCTCTAAAACTTACAAAAACATCGTAGCGCCAACAAGATTCATGATTCGCCATCATCAACCACACACTCACAAATGGGTACACAAGCAGGACAGTGCCTTCATCTTCTATGCCGTGTGTCTTTTTCAAAGGGATGAGCTGTCTCTCGCTTTTCTTTTCTTTTTTTATCGTAAAGAAATAATAATAATAATAATAAATAAATAAGTGGAGTAAATCTAACGTTGAATTTTAAAATTTTATAATTTTAAAATAGTCTTACTGTAATTTTTTATTTTATTTTAATCAGTGTAGTTAAAACTATCACTAACAAAACCCTTATTTTAAAAGAAATGACGCACACCCATCTTTATCTATTACCTATTTGATTTAAAGTTGTTAATACTTTAATCGGAGTCAACATAGAAAACAAAATCCACAATGTATCAAAGTCAACTACAAATATGTATCGTGGTGAAAATGTTACTGAATAAAAAAATTATAAATAATATCAAAAGCCAAAAATCATAGGATATATATTACTTTTTAGTCAGAGTAAACCAAGTCTTGTGTGATAAAGATTAAGAAGTATTTCGTATATTATATGGAAACCTTATAGTGATTTTTTTTTGTTGACCAAAAACTATATATAGTTAATTTTTTTACTTTAAATAAAAATTCAAAATATAAATATAAAAAGGTTGAACAAATTAAAATAAATTTATACAACTATTTTAAATAAATGCATTAAATTTAGAGAGAAAAAATAATTTAAAAATTAATTTAAGGGTATAAGTGATTGGCACATAAAGAAAAAAATTAAAAATAATTAATAACGTGAAAATTTTTAAAAAATTAAAAATGAATGTCAAATAATAATAAATTTGTGTATGAAAAAACAGTAATAAAAGGATTTGGATCACATTTTTAAATAATCACATTTATAATGAGATTTCTTAATGCATTTTAAGAGGAAAGAAATGGTTCACTTTTTAGTGTCAAAATTAGAGTAACTTGAATTTTATTTTTACTTTTATTATTAATTTTAAATGGAAAGAAAAAAATTGTTCTTATCTACTCACAGAAGTAAAATTTTAGCTAACAAATAATAGTTAAAAATTTATGTATAAATTGTCTTATTTGATAACGATACATTGCATGGTTGATTAAGTACTTCCATTAATTTAAATTAAATTAATTTTTTTAAGTGTAAAAAAATGACAAATAACAAAATATAGGACACATAAATGTTATTTATAAATTAATATTTATTTACCATATAGCATAAATAGATATTTCCATATTAATTAACATTATATTTATGCTCAATGCAAGAAACAAAATGTTTTCTGAATGAGTTTTTAGTTCAAAATGAGTCCCCAGGTACATTTATTCTTGCAATTTCCATGTGTGCTGGACACAGCATATTTTCAAGCTTGCCATTGAAAGTTATCTTGCAAACTTCATAAGCATTTAATCAAGCATTTGTCAATAAAAATGCCTCAGCAAACTTCATAAGCTTCTGCATCATAATCAATTATTCAGTAAGCCCATCTTCCAATTTGCCTCTTCTGTTGTAGTTCTTCTCCTCCATTTGACTTGAGCTTTCTTACACGCTTCAATGGATATAGGGACATGTGAATTTCATATTATCCATGTTTCTTTCTTGCTTATACAAACTCAGACACTCATGGGTGAATTACATTAAACTCCTCATAATTCCACTGGGACACAAACAGTGATAGAACAACTTAGTGTTGAACATTTCAATGATCCAAACCGATTTTGAAACCACCTGTTGAAGGGAGTTGGCTTGGATTCGACAGACACTTTACTGTAGGAGAAACTCAGATGTTCCACAATCTGTTCAATAAGTTCATTTTCATGCCTAAAAAAGCACATGAACTTTCAGTTTCATCACAATTTATTTCATCAAAATATAACTGCACTAAAAGAGGAAACACAACTTTAACAACACAATACTAACGTTTAACATATTAATTAATAATCACATTCTTAAAAAGTTTAATTAGTAGACGTTAATTAAGTAACTTCATCAGCTAAAGATAATTGAAGCATTAGTACGTACTCTAATTCTTTTAAGATGATTTCAGACTCTGATCTTCTGTAATATCCTCCCAAGCACGGGACTTCGGATAAAGCTAACCTCCATTTTTGCACCTTATCAGAATCCTTCCCGAACATTTTTTCATGTGCAGAAATGGCATCACCATAACTGTTTCTTTGGTATCTTACATCAGACGGTTCCACCTTGTAAAATATGGGCCAAACCACAATATTCTTCTTCATCTTCATACACTCATGGATCTTCACAAGCTCATCAAGACACCACGAGGAATATGCATAGTTTTCAGAGAACACAAAACAGAATGCCTTGAAATTTCAATTTTTGTGAGAGTCTGAGAAATTTGGTTCCCATCCACCAATGCCTCATCATCCATGAAGATTTTGAATCCCTTCTGGCGCAGAACATTATAGAGATATCCTGAAAAGGTATGACGAGTATCTTCCCCAGTATAGCTCAGAAAAACATCATAGCGAGGCAAGGACCCAACTGTTGATTCCACAATCCTTTCGATCAATTCATATTCGTACCTATCAAAAGCATAACCTTTTAATTCATCAGAGACAAACTTTGCTTTCCGTTTACTCACTACAAATCAGAATTATTCAAGCATGACAAATCTATCTGCACAAAAACCCACCTTGAGTCTCCTTTAGGTAACCTTCTGCTTTTAAAAGAGAAAAAAAATAAAGAAATAATATAAATATTTATTTAACAAATTAAAATTAACATACATAGTTTAAGTTTTAAAAAGTTAATTGAGAAGACTTGAAAAAACTAAAAGAGCATGAGTTAATACTAACTTATAAGAAAATTTTTATTTTTAAAAGTACCTGTTAAGAATTCATATACTTGAGTTTGAATGAATTTGATTTTGTAAAATTAGTTGCTAAACTATAAATTTAAAGTGATGTTATTTATCATCAGTACCTTTTCTATTAAAAATAAGTTTACAGGGAAATTTAGTATAAATTTTTAATTGTTTTTTTTTTACAATTTATTATATTAATTTAAATATGAATTTAATGAAGAAAACAATTTTGGTTAAAACTAACCAAATATGCCCTTAATTGTAGAACTAGATGAGACAAAAGTAAATGAAATGCATACAGTGCGCAGCGTACCCGGTTTGGAAAGGAAACCCAGTCAAGTTGGAGACTTCAAACAAAGCTGAACTCCAATTTTTCACCTCTTGAGAGTCATTTCCGAAGAAACTTTTGTGTGAATCCATGGCATCACCATAATCCCCTTTCTGTTTCCTTACATCGGACGGTTCCACTTTGTAGAAGATGGGCCAAACCCGTTGATTCTTCATCTTCATACACTCGATGATTTTAGCTAGGTCTTCAAGACACCGCGTGGAAGATGCGTAGTTTTTTGAAAGAACAACGATTGTAATCCTTGCATCTTCAATTGCTTTACGAATATGGCGTGGAAGTTGAAAGCCTCCATTCCATGGGTAATTACGGTCATCATTGATGAAAAAAGTCTTGATTTTCTTCTGGCGCAAAGCATTATAGAGATTACCAGTGAAGTTGTAGCCCATATCTTCACCTCTAAAACTCAGAAAAACATCATGCCGGATTGCTCGCAGGGCCACGAATCCCACAATCCTTTGCATGAAATCATGTTCGTCCCTGCAATATCCCACGTCAATTAAAAATACAGTCAAAATACTCTTTACAAAGCTTCAGGTTCCGACCTTGCAACAATTAATACAATACGTACGCAGTTCCAGATTGGTAGACCCATCCAGCAATGCTGGCCACATGCCTCAGAGCTGTAATCCATTTCTGCATCATCGAAGAGTCACTTCCGAACCTATTTGCATGTCTATCCATGGCTTGGCCGTAACAGCCTCTCAATTTTCTAACGTCATGTGGGTTTACCTCGTAAAAGATGGGATAAATAACATGATCGTCTTTCTTTATACCCTCCTCGATGATTTTGACAAGTTGGTTAAGACAGTCTGGGGAAAAAGCGTAGTTGTCGGAGAGAACGACAATATAAATCCTTGATTCTTGAATTGCTTCGAGTACGGAGGGTTTTTTGTCGCCGTCTTGCAGGTTATCGTCATCCATGAAGGTCGCGATTTCATTCTCTTTCAAAGCGCCATAGAGCTGACGTGTGAATTTGGAGCTGTTACCATTCCTACTACTACTGATGAAAACATCGAAGGAGGAGGAGTTTCTCCTCTGTTCGTGAGTGCCATCTTCCCCTTCATTCGACATCATCATCGACAAGTGCAATGGATGGATATGCATGTGCTTAACAATGGCAATAGATTGAGAAAATGTCAACGATATGGGACCCACACGGTTTGCTTCCTTATTGGATTCTATAACAGTACCCATTATTTTTATCACTCGCCTATTTCACGGTCATGTGATGTTATGACAATTTGTTTTCGACCCAGAAATTTTTAATTAAAAGATCTGGCCACTCATCTGAATCTTATTTAACTTTCTTGCGTGAGAATTGATAAGCTGGAATTGATGTAACTTTTGTTATGCTACTCTTAAATGCCTATATCGGGACTCTGCTCAAAGGTTTCTGCCCCAAGTCTTTGATAGCTAGAAGAAAGTTTCCAAGGAATTCAAACATAAGAGTTGGAGGGAATGATAATTACAGAAGGAAAATTTTCAGCTCAAAAGAATTCTTGTTTGGTGTTCAACATGTTGGAGTTTAGGAGTTTACCATCCCTTTGGCAAAATCTATCTTTTCAGCTGGTGGCATGGCATTGGCACCTTTGGAACAGCCCAACTTGATCATTCAAAAACTAAGATAGAATTGCCCCTTAAAGATGTACCTACTACCAACCCCCTTCTAGAACAGTGTTACATCAAATTGATTAACAATCAAGTTTTGCTGATTCCATTAGTTCCATGATCAATTCTTACCCATGGAAATCGTGTTACCATATGCATTATCTAAAAGCAACTTCACTTGTTAACCAATTCATGGTAAGGGAATTACTTTCTCTAGATGCCATTGAACAATGTAGCTTTTCAGTGCATGTTAAAGAATAAACATTTGCAAACTAATGAAATCCGAGTTAAAACAGGGAGTAAAGGCAAAATAAAGTAGAATGAAGAACTTGAGTTAATATTGAAGTAAAATTGTGTACAAATCCAATTGAAAAATGGAATTAAAAGTGAATTGAGGGACATCGTGTTCCTTCTTATACAGCAGAGTATGTGACGAGTTCGAGATTTCAAGCCTCTAGCGCACACTGATGCCCCATATTCATCTATCTAGACACTGCTGTTATATAGTACATTTGACAGAGTCCAGACTCAGATTCCATGAGAGAAACTTGATTACTTTAGTGTAAGCAAAAATCCAAGTTTTCCTTGTAGTTGACACGAGATCACGAACTACGTATGTACATGGCATTAATGGCCACTTTCACAATTTTTTCGATAATTTCATATTCGTACCTACAAAAGTACAAGACCATTTGATTCATTCACAATTAATTTTCATTTTCTTTCTATCACACAGAATTTATTTGGTCAAAATAATAAAATTAATCTTCATAAAAATAGACTGCCACACAAAAAACAGAACTCCACTTGAAATGGAAACAAAACCTTAACAACCACACACAATACATCATGTCACCAACAATATTCCTTGTTAATGAAGCCGCATTTGAAAATTATCAAAATTAAATAGTATAGAAAAGGTCACATTAAGTAATTAACGGCATTTAGTACAAGTAAAACAGACACAAATTACGGAATTTAGGGAAAAGTAATATATGTACCCTGTTTTCAAGTGAGATCCTTTCATGTTGGCTACTTCAAACAAAGCTGACCTCCATTTCTGCACTTTTTCAGAATCCTTTCCAAAGTTATTTTCTTGTTCAGCCATGGCTTCGGCATAGCTATTTCTTTGATGTCTTAAATCGGATGGTTCCACTTTGTAAAAGATGGGCCACACCAGTTGGTTTTTCTTCTTCTTGCACTCAAGGATAGTGACAAGTTCATCAAGACACGACGAAGAATATGCAAAATTTTCTGACAAAACAACAACCAAAAGCCATGATCTTTCAATTGATTCAATAAGAGATTGTGAAATTTGGTCTAAATCCTCCGATGCCTCATCGTGCATGTTGATTTTGAATCTCTCCAGTAGCAAAGCATTGTGGAGAAAATCTATAAAAGGGTAGCGGGTATCTTTCTCCCTGAAGCTAAGAAAAACATCACAACGGGGTACATTTTTGGTAACCCATTCCACAATCATTTCAATGCGTTCATATTCGTATTGTTTCCTGCAAAAGTACAAACACCCTTTTAATTCATTCATGCGTTTCCTTCTACAAATCAAAATTACTGGCTCTTTCAAATCAATTTATACAAAGAATGTGGCACAAAATATGAACTTTTCACAGGTATGGATAACATTCCGTGTAAACAAGTGGTACTAATAGCCACTCAATTACGCATGGAACTTGATTGGCTAAAATAATAACGAAGGTAAAATAATTTATAGCGCTTAAAAAATAATAAAAATGAAGGTAAAACTGTAAAAGTATCCTACATACTCATTTTTGAACTGCCACTGTCCATATATGGGGTTAGGTTGGGCTAAACGAGACAAAGTTGACCTCCAAGTATTGAGCTTCGGAAGATCATGAGCAAACCTTTCTCTAAAATTAGACACAGCTTCTTTGAACCTACTTGTCTCACTCTCACAACTTACATCAGAGGGATCCACGTCATAAAAGATTGGCAAAACTAGTTGGTTCTTCTGCTTCCTGCACTCAAGGATCTTGACAATTTCATCAAGACAGTAGGTGGAAGAAGCGAAGTCTTTGGAGAGAATAACAATGGAAATCATGGAATGTTGGAGCGCTTCATGGATGAAGGAGATATGATCGCCAGTTTTGAGACGCTCATGATCCATGAAAGTGTTGAATCTCTTGTGGGTCAAAGCATTATAGAGATTTCCAGCGAAGGTGTGGCGGGTGTCTTCCCCTCTAAAACAAAGGAAAACATCGTAGAGCCATTTGGGTTTGTGTTCAGTGTTACCTTCATTCGCCATCTGTGATAGCTCTCAAGCAAAGATCTAAAACTCCCCAAGAATGTGATGTGTATGGTGTGAGAGTATCAGGTGGCAACAAGGAGGTTGACCTACGAGGTTTTGCTTTCCTTGTCGATGTCACAGCAACGTCGTTTTTATAAAACCATACGAAAAACGAAAGTAAATCCCCAGTTAATCTCTAAATTTTTATTATTTTTTTTTTAATTCCGTCTTTAATTTAATAATATTTCATTTAATTTTAATTTATATTTTTTCTCCCCGTGAATTTGTGGTCTTTGGTAGGTGTTACTTTCATGACTGTGTATTCGAGGCAGGTCAACGCTTGAAATTCAAAGTTTTATTTGGGGGAAAATAATAATGCTCAAGTTGGATTTATTCTTTTAATTAAATAAGTAAAATTTAAAATTTGAGTTTGAATTCTTTAAAAGTATGAACTTAATAAATTTATTTATATAATTCATTTATAATTTGATTATTTATTTCTTTTATTAAATCATTTCTTAAAATATTTTAAGTTTGTTAATGTGATATGAAGTATAAATTTGTATTAAAAGATGAAAACAAAGTAAGAAGAATATATAAACGTAAAAGTTCAAGTTAACCAGTGTTTCTTCCATTTAACTCCTTTAATATTACCTTCTTTTCTTTGTTTTAATCTTCCGTTTCTTCTGCATCACATTTTTTTCTAAAGCTTCACCACATCTCATTATTTTTTGGAATTTTGGGAGGTGTTCTAGGCATTATTTTTCTCTTTACCCTTAAGTTAGAATTATAGGTTTTCAAAGTTTAACACCACAGTTTTTCAGAGATTTTTATGTTACAAACTCTTTCTAAATTTGTTATATTTATATTTTATATAAACTATAACTATAAAGCTTGAGTAACAATTTCAAAGCAGAAGCTAGTTCCGTACGAGTTAATTTGTACATACTAATTTAAACCAAAGGAGAAAAATCTCCAGAAACATTTACTCATCGGAAATACCATTTTCATTCTTCTGCCGGAACGCGAAGTTTGGAACTGAGTTGATTTCCTGCAAATCAAAAAATATAATATTTAAAATAAAGTTAAGAGAAAAACCATTATGAATAAAATAATAAACTATAATTCTACGTTGTAATCAATATTTCATTCCACCACCTTATTGCCTTTGCATGGTTCTTTCTTCTGCTACTTTTAGGCATGAGCTTTCGTAGACGCTTCTTGGGTGGATTATGACTTGCCGATAGTGATCGCTTCAATGGATTGGGACACGTGAAATGGATATTATCCACATTGGTTTCTTGCTTATACACGTGAGCTCCACAGTAACTCACGTTCCAATCTTCGTATGGTAAATGGCATTTCAACTCCACGTAATTCCACTCGGACACAAGCAACGTGTCAAGGATTGGCCACTCTTCAACATCAATCTGAGATCGTACATCACATAATATCATGTGGTCACTTTCAATCGTTGACCAGTAATCTGTTTTGTCACAAAAGTTATCAACCTCGACGCCATTAATGTACAAGCGTACAGCAATTTGGTAACTACTTGCTCTTATGTATTCGGTTGGTGATGGCGGCACCTTGTCCAAGAGAAATGCTAAAGCAACAACGGGAAACTTTTCACGAACCCAAAAAGACACAATCCCTCCTTTGCAACGATGGTCAAACCAATTTGGAATCTGGGTTTTGGGCATAACCACATGTAATTTATAAACTTCATTAAATGCCTGTGAAATGAAAAAGAAAGGTACAGCTAATTAATCATCACTTGATCAAGATCATGATGTTGCATTAATGGGGGGGGGAAATGTACTTTTGACATAAAACTGGAACAACTAAAATGAGACTTGAATTGTGTATAAAATATTCCATCTTATGTGGGAGAAAGATTGTGTTAAAGGAAATCCACTACTAATGATTAATGTTTGAAACAAAAACAAATATAATAACTAGTAGGAATCAGTTGCCAAGAATATTTGTATTTGTATCTAAAAAAGATAAATCTGAGTTGTTCGTGTACGCGTTTGTGTATTTCTAGCATCATATAAATGGGAAAGAGATAGTCTAACCTGAGACCATAACATTCTTGACGTTTCTGAGGTTAAGAATACACAACCTCTAGCTAACACTCTCTGAATAGATGGCGGTAGCTCTGGAATTTCCTCAAGATCCATGCTATGAGTTACATCAAGAACTGTCAAGTTAGAACATTCTTTAATGCAGGTTGGAAGAGACAAAAAATAATTCCATGGCACTAATAGCTCTTCCAAGTTTGGAAAACAATTTAGAATAAAATGGAGATCTTCATCGGTTAAATCACAATTTCTACAAGACAATCGTCTCAAAGTAGAATAAAGTGGTTGGTTCAAATTGCCATTCGTTGCTAATACAAGGCTATTTTGGAACCTTCTGAAAGATTCTCGAACTTTGTCACTGTCTCTTAAATATAACTCTGTAATCTTTGGCAACATAAATAAGCCACTTGGAAGATTTCTTAAACGACTGCAATATGGCATATGTACAGTTTCAAGTCCTGTAAAATTCTCTACTGAATGTGGCAACTCCTCAATTTGAGTGTGACCCAAATCTATGAATGATAGCTTATCCATCACTCCCTCTATGTTAGGGAAGAATTCAATACTTCTGCAATAATCAAAGCAAAGATATCGGAGATATGGCAACCACATTCTTTGTGGGAATTTTCTGAGCTTTCAACAGCTTCTTGCATTTATAACTTCCAAGATTCTTAGAAATCCTACAGATTGATGCATCGCAACTAGATTCTTACAACACACAAGATAAAGGTATTTTAAATTTTCAAGTGCTGACACATCAGGCACATGGGTTATGAATTCACAAGACGAGAAATTTAAACTAGTCAAATGCTTGAGCCTCTGCCAAACAAAAACATAAACAAAATTGATTAGCTATGTCTTGAAATATAGGCATTTGTTTCAGTTTTTTTAAATAATTTTAAAAATGTATCGTATAAAAGCAATTTATTTTAAAATTTTTTAAATAATTTTAAAAAATGTTAAAATTATATTCCTTTTAATTTAAATTTTTCTGTAATCTTAACTAAACAATTAAAAGAATTTAAAAATATTTCTAAAAAATAATTTTTCTTTTAAAGTAATCTTAAATAAACAGAAACTATACAAGAGGAAACAGAGGGGGGGAAAAAACTACATCTTACCAGGAATGGCTCTCTCTTATCTAGTTTGAGTTGACTATATGGTAAACCTAAGACAACAGCATTCCTAGGATAAAATCCTGGTGGCAGAGATGCTGATGGGTACCCATTCCATTCAAGCAACCTTAGACTATTCGGCAGATAATTAGGTGCTGATGAAAAGCGTGCATTCCGCAGAATGAGAATTCGAAGATTATTCATATTCTCGAAGGCAGTACCACCCCACTCGATTTCTATTTCTTTTTTCTCAAGAGGGTCCAAAATAATTCCTTCAATATTACTGCTTCCCTGTTAAAATTTGTAAAGTAATGTTAGTTACACAAAAAATATTTTTTTGGGGTGCATATATATATACATATAGCAATTCACAAAGAGAATATAATGTTTGAGGGACGAGATATCTCAAGTTAATTTATTCTTACTGAATTTTCTGTTAAAACCCTGAGAACATCTTCTTGATTATATAACCTGCTGCGTACACCGGGTGTGTTTAGTGCTTCTTGCCTAACCACTTCTTTGCCCATGTCTTGTATTAGATCATGCATCGTTAAGCAATTATGCTCTTCAACAGTTAGAAGAGATTTGTCAATGAGTATTCCAATATTGTATGTAGGGTAAAAGTCACATCTATCCAAAATCTTTTCAATATGGTCTCGTCTATTCCCTTTAAAAAAGCAAGCAATGTCTAGGAATATATGCTGTGCATTCTCCGGCAGGGAATCATAGCTTACCCTAAGTATGTCATGTATCTTTCTTTCTGGAATCCTCTCATACTGTTCCAATGCACATTCACATTCCTTCACAGATTTGCTTACCAAGTTGGATCCTATTACTTCTAAAGCCAATGGAAGACCCTTGGCATATTGAACTGCACGGTTAGACACGTCTTCATAGTTGGTTGCAGGTTGACTCATTTTGAAGGCTTTCAAGCAAAAAAGTTGAAGAGCTTCATGTTTACTTAGCACGTTCATTTCATATCTCTTTTCCACCTCATGAACATTGAGCACGTGCTTATCTCTTGTTGTTATAATGATCCTACTACCTTGACCATACCAACTACACTTTCCTGCTAGTTTTTCTAATTGTACCGCATTGTCAACATCATCGAGCACTAGAAGAACTCTCCTATGAGAAAGCCTCTCTTTTAATCTAGCGGCACCTTCATCAACACTTCCCAAGTTGATACTCATCCCTTCAAGAAGCTTAGATAGAATTGTCTCTTGGAGATTCACGAGACCAATTTTATTTGATCTTTCTCTCACACCTTCAAGAAAAACTGCACATTTAAATTTATCAGCAATTAAGTTATAGAGGGCTTTGGCAAGTGTTGTTTTGCCTATTCCTCCAGTTCCGTGAATTCCCACCATGCAAACCTTTTCGCTAGACTCAATATCTAAAAGTGACATCACTTCTTCTATGCGGCTATGGTGTCCAATTACGTGTTGGCCAACATCTAACTGTTGACGATGTAATTTAACGACGGCCATTTCAACGATCTTTTGGATAAATTGATATTCGTATCTACAAAAGAATAGTGCTTTTAAATGTATGAAGACTTCAATCATATATAGACGATTTTCGTTTTCTTTCTTCTAATCAGAATTTTTATATATAACAAAATGAAATTATTTATAAATACAACATTCATAAATTAGGAAACTTAATTTAAAAAGAGAAAAATTAAGCATCTCAAGCAAGTTTGACTGACCTTGTAATTGGCAATAAAGGTGCAACTTTATCGACTCAATTAAAAATAAAGTACGTAGCAGCTTTCAAGATGCCATTAATTAATGAAACAAGTTACAAATATAATACCCTTAAAATAGGAAACTTAATTGAAAAAGAACAATAATTGAGCCTCTCAAACATGTTTTGATTGGCCTCGTGGTTGACACTAATTGTGCAACCTGATCAACTACATTAAAGATATTATACGTACCCACTTTCAAAATGCCATCCTTTTAAGTTGGCTACTTGAGACAAAGCTGACCTCCATTTCTGCACAAGTTCAGATTTCTTTCCAAACCTATTTTCATGTTCATCCATGGCTTTGCCATAACTATTTCTCTGATGCCTTACATCAGATGGTTCCACCTTATAAAAGACTGGCCAAACCAGTTGATTCTTCGTCTCTCTACATTCCACTATCTTGACGAGTTCATTGAGACACCACTTTGAAAATGCATAGTTTGCAGATAAAACAACAACTGAAATCCGTGATTCTTCAATTGCTTGATTGAGAGACTCTGAAATTTGATCCCCACCCTCTAATCCATTTTCGTCTATGAAGGTGTTGATTCCCTTCCTTCGCAAAGCATCATAGAGATGACCCGTAAAGGTGTGGCGGGTGTCTTGCCCTGTAAAACTGAGAAAAACATCGTGACAACAATTGAATTCATGAGTTGCCATGATGAACAAAACAAGCGCAAGTGCATTCAGCAAGGTAGGGTAGATATTGGTATATAGATTTATAATAGCACCTTGTAACTAAATGACAATATAGAGAACGTAATAGCCTAATAGGAAAAGAAAATGGCATCATTATTGTCATGCAATGGGCTTAAGGGACCACAAGGTTTTGTTAGTGATGACAATTAGTTTTAAAACGTGTATTTATAAAAATTACGCATAACACAAAAGAAAATTACTTGTTAAATGAGGCAAAATTCCAGGCCTAGATATTTATCAATAAAAATTCATAGAAATGAGATCCGACAATCCGGTGTTTTGGTGGCTTTTTACCAAAAGGATTTTTTTATTATTATTATTCAATTTAGGTTGGTTTAAGTGAATTTTTGCAGAAATATTTGTAAGAAATAAAATAAAAATTATATCATAAGTTAAAATCAATTTACATGTATCTCATGCTCTAAAAAATTTAATTAAAAAAATTTAAATGATAAAAAAGTAAAAGTTAGTTTTAACTGATCATCAATAAATATATTTTTTTTAATATTTTTATAAAAAAATTTGTAAAAATTTACTCAAATTAAACTTTAATATTTTAACTTATCATCAAATTATTTTTTTTGCGTTCTCACAAAAAAAATATTTTTATTTGATATATTTTTAACAAAGACATTTTAAATGCCTAATTGTTTTTAATTAGTAAATAAAATTTTTTTTAGGGAATTTACATATATGCTTTGGTCAATCACATGTTTAAATTAATTTATCATAGAACCTCCTCAACAATATTGCTACTATGTAAGTTTTTAATACATTAATGATTTTCTATAACAATTTCAATATTATTTATCATTTTTTTATCAAACAATAAACATCCCTTACCAACTTTATATTTAACTCATGGGTGGCAATGTCCCCTTCATTCTCCATCAATATGATATCATAACATAATAATTAAAAAAGATGTCGATGGCAGGATTTTGTGATCAGATGAAGCCTTTACTGTCTATCCATTGGACCTTAAATTAATGTATTAATATCAAATTATAAATCCATGGGACCAACTGTTCCTTTCTCTAGGTCAAAAAATCGTTTTTAAAAAACCAAGTTGATTTTAAAAAATTGTTAATGGTCTTTCTTATCGATCTTCTCTTTATTTTATTTTATTTCTAAGAAACAAACTTCCCTCCTCGATTACATTTCACCACAAAAAAAAAAAAAAAAAAGAATTATGAACTGTTTTATCATTAGAATTTATTACTATATACTTCATCTAACAATAAATAAATTATCAATATAAATATTATTAATTTATGCTAATTATATGATACTTATACTAAATAATAATGTTACTATATAAGAAATCAATATACCGTCATTACATTTTATTGTTTATACTCACACTACTTATATTAATCACTTTATTTTTGTTAAAACTAATTTATATTAGCATAAATAATTAAAGTACAGATAGTTAAATAAAATTAAATAAACGTCAATAAAAATAATAACAAATATCAAAATTTATATAAAAATAAGTTACAAAATTAGTAATACAAAACTGCACATTAAAAGTTAATAAAAAATTATAGATTAAAAAAACCACAGCAACGATGACGAAAATTTGGGGAGGTCTAATTAGAATTCATCAAAGTTCTTATCAGAGTAAGAATGGCTCCGTTGAGTCGAACTTACATCAGAAAATGACGCTGTTGAGTCTGATAAAAATGTATCTCCACCAATAAAATTTGCTAATGTAAAATAAATCTTCATACATTCTTCTTTCGGAAGATGAAGTTCAAAACCGATTTCCTGCAAAACAATTAAATAAAATTATTAATTAAGTAAGAAAATTAATTATAAATAAAATAATCAGCTATTTTACTGTAATCAATTAATGTGTAAGCCCATATTAATTCCACCACCTTCTTGCTTTTTTTGTTGTCTTTTCTTCCTCCACCTTTTGACTTGAGCTTTCTTGCACGCTTTTTTGGTAGATGATTGAAGGTGTTTCTGCTTCAATGGATTGGGTGGGACATGTGAATTTAATATCATCCACGTTAGTTTCATGCTTATACACATAAACTCCACAATAACTCACAGGTAAATTACACTTAAACTCCACATAATTCCACTCAGACACAAGCAATGAGTCTAGGGTTGGCCACATTTCAGCATCGATCTTAGATCGTACATCACACACTACCACTTGATCTCCTTCCTCATCTCCAGATCTATATTTGACTGTGTAATCAAACCTTGCTATCTTAACTTTGAGGCCATTGATGTTCAATTCAAGATGGAAGGGATCAGCCATTACATCGCTTAAAAATAGCTTATCTTTTGGTATATCTTTATAGAGAAATGCTAAAGCAACCACAGGAAACTTTCCACGAGTCCAAAAAGACACAGTCCCTCCTTCACAACGATGATCAAACCATTCTGGAATGAGGGTTTCGGGCATAGAGATGTAAAGAAAATTCACTTCTTTTAATGCCTGCCACATTAACAAAAATTGACAACATAACTACAATAAGCAACGATATGTATAATCTGTCAAGTCCAATCGTGGAATGAATGAGCTTAAAATATTTCATCATTGTTTCACGTATGTGTGAATAATTAATATATATGATAACACAACTTAATTACAGTTCTTCAGGTATTTTTAGTTTTTCAATCTAAATTAAAATTTTACTTTGATACTCTAAGATGATACATTAAATACTCACCTTCAATTGAAGTAAAGTTTTTTATTTTGATTGAAAGATTTTTTAACGGGTATCTAAAAACACATATTAAGAAATAAAAATAATACATTTTTATTATAAATTATTGCATTCAATGTTGTTAATGTGATAAAATTTGTTAGATATCTTGTTATTTTGAATAAAAGTTAACTACGCATAAATTCTTATTACGTGCCCTTAGACACGCTTTATAAAACGGGTGCTAAAAAAATATCATCAAAATATCTAAAGAATTGTATGTATTAATTAATAGCAGCAGCATATAAATATGAAAGAGAAATTAATCTAACCTTGGACCATAACATTCGTGATGTTTCTGAAGTTAAGGATGGACAACGTCTAGCAAATATTCTATAAATGCTTGGTGGTAGCTCTGGAATTTCTTGAAGCTTCGGGCTAAAACTCACATCAAGAAAGTTTAAGTTAACACACTCCTTAATGCGGGTGGGCACAAACACAAACTTGTTGCATGGCACCATTAGCATTTCTAAGTTGGGAAAAAAGGTAAGAAGAAAGTGGAGATCTTCATCAGTTAGACCACAATTTATACAAGTCAATCGTCGCAAAGGAGAGTACTGGCCATTGATTACATGGCTGTTTTGGAATTTTCTAAATGATTCTCTTACTTTATGACAACGGACTATATAGAACTCTTCAATCTTTGGTAACATGAATAAGCTGTTTGGTAGTTCTCCTAGTCTTCCGCAGGATGTTAATGTTAGTTTTTTAAGTCCCGTAAGATTATTTACAGAATGTGGAAGCTCCTTAATTTGAGTATCTTGCAAATCAAGCTTCAACAACTTATCCATCACTCCGTTGATATCAGGGAAGTTTTCAATACTTCTGGAATAATTGAAGTTCAAACGTTGGAGAGATGGCAACCATATTGTTGGTGGCAAATTTTTTAGGCTGTTGCAATAGCTTGCTTCTAAATCTTCAAGCTTTTTAAGAAACCCAACAGAGTGATGAATTGCAATTAGATTTTCACAGCCAGAAACATTTAAACTTGTTAAATTTGGAACTCCAGACATATCAGGTACATGAGTTATGAATCGACAAAACGAGAAATCTATGTCAGTCAAATGCACAAGTCCCTGTCAAACAAAACAAATTAAAATGATCAGCATATTAATTAAAATAATTTTTGACATTATGATTAAGTAAAAAGAAATAAAAATAAGAGGAAAAAAAAAGAAACCTTACCGGGAATGGCTTGTCCTTTTCAAGCCTGAAATCACTATGAGATAAACCTAAGACAACAGCATTATTCCAAGGATAAAAATTTTGTGGGAGAGATTCTGATGGATATCCTTTCCATTCAAGCAACCTTAGACTATCTGGCAAATAACTAGGTGGTGATGAAAAGCATGCATTCCGAACAATGAGTATTCGAAGATTATTCATCTTCTCAAAGGCAAAACCACTCCAATCTACTTTTACTTCTTCTTTCTTAGGTGGATCAAGAATTATTCCTTCAATGTTACTGCTTCCCTGCCAAGAATAGTAAAGTAATTACATTAGTAACTCACAAAATTTTTTTTTAAGTAGATTCATGTTTCATGGTTTGCTTAGACTCATATTGTAAGTTCTTACTGAATTCTCTTTTAGAACACGAATAACATCTTCTTGAAAACATAATCTGCTACGTTCACCGGGTTTTCTGGGTGCTTCTTGTCTAACAACTTCTTTGCCCATGTCTTGTACTAGATCATGCATCCTTAAGTGACCATATTGATCAACAGTAAGAAGAGATTTGTCAACAAGTATTCCAATATTGTATGTTGGGTAAAAGTCACATTTTTCCAAAATCCTTTCAACATATTCCATGCTCTCCCCTTTAAAAAAGCAAGCAATGTCTAGGAAGACATATTGTGCAATCTCTGATAAGTAATCATAGCTTACCTTGAGTATGTCTTGAATCTTTCTTTCTGGAATCCTCTCATATTGTTTCAATGCATATTCACATTCCTGCACAGATTTTCTAACCAAATTTGATCCTATTACTTTTAATGCCAATGGAAGGCCTTTGGCATAACCCACTGCACGGTTAGACACATCTTCATAGTTGATTGGAGGTTGACTCATTTTAAAGGCTTTCCAACTAAAAAGTTGAAGTGCTTCATCATCATTCAACTCTTTCATTTCATATCTCTTCTCAACATCATGAACAGCCAGCACATGCTTATCCCTTGTTGTTATAATGATCCTACTACCTGAACCAAACCAATTGCTCTTTCCAGCTAGTTTCTCTAACTGCTCCACACTATCAATATCATCAAGCACCAGAAGAATTCTCCTATTTCGAAGCCTCTCTTTTAATCTAGCAGCACCTTCATCCACACTACCGAACCTAATAGTTTTCCCTTCAAGCAACTTAGATAGAATTGCCTCTTGCAAATGTACAAGACCCATGTTGCTTGAAGTTTCTCTAACGCCTTCTAGAAATATTGCACATTCAAATTGATTGAAAGTCAAGTTGTATAGAGCTTTGGCTAATGTTGTCTTGCCAATTCCACCAGTTCCATGAATTCCCACCATATAAACAGTGTTACTAGATTCAATATCCAAAAGTGACTTCACTTCTTGTATGCGAGATTGGTGTCCAATTACGTGTTCACCAATATCTAATTGTTCAGGATGTAATTCAATAATGGCCATTTCAACAATCCTTTGAATAAATTCATATTCATACCTACAAAAGAAAAAAAAAATGCTGCGTAATTTAGAGAGAAATTCCATTCAGGCCTGCGATTTAGAGTTGTTAATATGATAATAATCATATTAACATTTAGTGTTGTTAAGAAGCCACGCAACTCAAGAGAACTAATTGAGATTTATTAAATTAAAATATTTAAGAGCTTTAACCTATTTGATAAATTTAAAAATAAATAAATTATTAAAAATAAAATTCTAAAATTAGGAACCTAAGATTTTTTTTCTTTAAAAAAATTAAAATTTCAAGCAAACTGCAAACATAACCACTCTTATAGTTATCACAGATTATTTTGTCTAATTGTCAACTAAAATTCTCGTTCTAAATATGTAAGACAGATATATTTATCAAATTTTAAACTTAAGATTACAAATTAAATTAGAACAATTTCATGTCAATAAATCTAGCTAATCTATATATAAATAATATTTATATTTAAACAATAGAGTACATTTACTCTTAAATTTAAAATTTTTTACTTAAAAGTAAAAATATTGTCATTTGTCCCGACTATTAAGTTACTACTTTATACAGAAATTGTTTTTATCCTCAATTAAATCACTTTCCTGGAATGAAATATTCAGGATTAAAAATACTGATAAAATTTATAAAATATGTGTGGTCATTATTCAACTCTTCTAGACATAATATGTTTATTTTTAACAAAATTTTATTCTCATATGTGAAAGGTATTTCTGTTTTCTTTTATTTAAAAATGTGATTTTTTTTATTCCCTCTTCACTGTACGAAGAATGCTTAAAATATTTCTTTTATATATACCAAACTCAACCTAAATTCAGACAATCAACAAATTACCCCCTGAATTTTGTTTCTGCAAACGAGATTCCTAAAGTACCCAAAGAAGCACTGAAGTAATCGAAATTAAAGCACTTACCCTGTCTGGAAATGCCATCCTTTTAAATTGGCAGCTTCAGACAATGCTGATCTCCATTTCTGCACCTTCTCAGACTCATTTCGAAGCCTCTTTTGATGTTCAGCCATGGCTTCACCGTATCTGTTTCTCTGGTGCCTTATATCTGATGGTTCGACTTTGTAAAAGATTGGCCAAACCAACTGGTTCTTCATCTTCATACACTCAATTATCTTGACAAGTTCATCAAGACACCACGAGGAAGATGCATAGTTTTCAGAGAAAACAACAAGTGAAATCCTTGATTCCTCAATTGCTTTGACAAGAGAGAGTGAAATTTGGAAGCCACCTTTTAATCCATCATCATCCATGAAGGTATTGATTCCCTTTAGTTGCAAAGCATTATAGAGATGACCCGTAAATGTGTGGCGCGTGTCTTCTCCACAAAAGCTAAGAAAAACATCGTAGCGCCAATCTGAATCATGAGTCCCCATCATCACTGATGACTTCTATGTTGCTTATGTTATGATTCACAAAGGCACAAATTGTAGCGTATATGTAGTAGTACGATGTTGGATTCTGCGTTTTCTGACATCACTTAAGGATACGACTTTTCACCATTATTTTTTTTTTTTCAAATAATTTTTTTCTTATCAATTATTATTTATTTTTACCTTATTTTTTACTTTCTAAATAATATTTATAGAGAATAAAGGAAAAAAAATCCTTGTAGAAAACATTTTTAAAATTGAATTTAGTGCCGGCCCTGCAGTCATGTTTATCAATTGCGTGCCTATTAAAATTAATTTTCTTAATGCCTAATGGAGAATATTTCTTACGAAACTTCTATGAAAAAGTGTACCATAAATTAGTCAAGTTGGTAACGATGATAAGTAACACACTTGTTATTTAAACAACAATCAAGTTGGTGACGTGTAATGTATTACACGATGCTATTAAATAATTTAAATCTAGATAAAAATTAAATTATTATTTATTATTAAATATTTTTTTGTTAAAATTCTTCTGCGTCTTCTTCTGTTTTTGTAATTTTTTTTGCATGAATCTAAATTATAATAATTAATTTTTGTTATTTTTATTATACATCATACTTTAATATTTTTACACATACAATCATTTCTTATTTCATATTTTTTGTGTAATCGCTTATATATTTTAATATTTTATTTTTTATATTCCTATTTTTTATTATTCTTTAAAATTTAACATTTACTATTAGATAATATAAAACTTTCCTTTTATAAAACTTTACCTGTGATACGATCATAGGTGACTTTTTATTTCTCTGGTTTAATCGCCCAACGTACGTTCTCATGCGCTTAAAAAAACTATAATCCTTTACATTGAACAGACCGTTTGAATCGAAAGGGAAATTAAGACAATTATCCTATAGGCCCAATTCTATTATAGGTGTCATTTGTCTTATAGATTTATTTTATAAATAACTATTCTTAAAATAAAAATATTAATTAATGCAAGATATTTTTTCACAGAGAATTTTTAAAATTCAATGGTAACATGATATATTATTATTTGATCATTTTTATATTTTTAAAATTATTTATCATGCAAAAATTTTCTTTTTTTCAAGCCTTCTTAGTTTTCTCATTCTTTTCTTTTTCTCTTTATTTTTATATTCTTTTAACAGTCTTTTTAACAGTAAAAAACATTATAAGTATTATATATTAAAGTTGAATTTTAAAATTACTTAACTATAAATTTTGAATTAATAATTTTACATTATGATAAAAAAAATTAATAAATTTGTCTAAGACCCTAAACTTTCTAGACACGGTCCAAAATTTGTTGAACGACTCATTCAAGAAAGAAGGATGCATATACCTTAAAAGAATGAAAGGGGGTACTAGTGAAAGAAGAAGAAAAAGTAAATAAAATAACGAATCCGACAAAAAAAAACAAGAATAAAAATAAATGTAAAATTAATAGAAAAATAAAAAAATTAGAAAAAATAGCCAATGCATTAACAAGTAACTTTTTGAATAGATTATTAGAAAAGATGAGACTTTCCAAATCAGGCTATTCAATAAAATACTTAGACTAAAATAACTGTATTTAAGTTTTGTAATTCGAATAGAAGTTTTATAATTAGTGACATAAAATTTTAATTATAATTAAGAATAACATGAATAAAAATATTAACGCGAGTTTCATGCATAAATAAATTAATTATTGTAGTACAATTAATATTTCTTCCTCCAGATTCAATGAACAATATTGCAGCTTTCAAGTGCATGACAAAGAATAAACAATTGATGTGTGAAACAGTTAATAGTGCAATGAAACAAGTGAAAGGAGGTGTAAAGGAAACAAAGCAAAGAAATTATGAATAACCGGAATTAACATTATTGTATTAAAATTACAGCAATATAAGCAATATTGTGTTAAACGTCAAGTGGAAGGACTGTTTGGGAATATAATTCTCATATACTTGTGGTAAGATATGAGGAGAGGGGATGCATTTCGTAATACAAATTGTATTGCGATATTCAATACATATCTAGACTTGTTCTGCTTGAGTTTTAATTAATCTCTGAATAGAATTGTCAACTTTGAAAGGTAATTACTTCCTCGAGAGATTCAATTGAACAATGCAGCTTTCTAAGAACACGATCAAGAATAAACAATGCGTGATGAAACAAGTAAAAGAATAATTAGTAACACGATTTGCGTCCAAACAAACTTCCCAATAATGAACATAGCTTTATAACAATGCTCCATTTCTTAGCATCCACGGCAATTTCATGTACGAGAAAGTAAAGTCTTCCTTCTATAGATGACATTAGAGCAAGGACTTGGTATATGTTGCTAGTGATTTTCAGCATCAATGGCCATTTCCACAATCCTTTCGATAAATTCATAGTGGTACCTACGAAAGTACAAGCAAGCCCTTTTTTAATTCATTCTTTCTTTGCTCTAGGTTTTTTTCTATAAAGGGAAATTTCGCCATCAAAATAGTAAAATTAATCTTCTCATAAATAGATTGACATGCAAACTGCGAAACTTAAAACTTTAACATCACACATTACTCCATGCATCAGACATGAACGGTTTACTATTTAGCATTTCAGATATGGAGAGAGGCATATTAATTAATAATTATATTGATAACAACTAGAATTAAAGGACATTAGCTATGTAACATGATGAGCTAAAAGCAATTAACTACGTACTCATTTTCTTTGCGATGATGTCCTTTCAAGTTAGCTATTTCAGACAAAGCAGATCTCCATTTCTTTACATTCTCAGAGTCCTTTCCGAACTTTTCTTCATGTTTACCCATGGCAGCTCCATAACTTTTCGTTTGATTGCTTACATCCGATTGTTCCACTTTGTAAAATATGGGCCAAACCAATTGATTCTTCGTCTTCATACACTCAATGATCTTGGCGAGTTCATCAAGACACCACGTGGAATATCCATAGTTTTCTGAGAAAACAACTATTGAAAGCTTTGATTTTTCAATTGCTCTGATAAGAGCAAGTGAAATTTGGTTTCCACCCTCCAATCCCTCATCATCCATGAAGATTTTGAATCCCTCTCGGCGAAAAGCATTATATAGAAAACCTGTAAAGGAGTAGCGAGTATCTTCTCCAGTAAAACTGAGAAAAACATCATAACGGGGCAAGGATTGGACAGCTGATTCCACAACCTTTCGGATTAATTCATATTCATACCTATAAAAACACAACTTCTGTCCATTCATCAAGTCTGTTCGTGCACAACCTTATTTTTTCTTTATCAGAATTATAATTATAAGTTCAATACATACAATAAAGTTAATTTATAACCTGAGCTTGAGTAAGCTATCGGCACACACAACAGATTGGGACTACTACACTAGAATTAATTCCAGTTAAACAAAGTCACTTTCCAAATAAAATAAGTAATTAAGAACTTGTCCGAGCTAGTAGACATTAACTATGGAACTGGATCAACTAAAAGTAATTGAAATTCTAAAGCATATTAACATACGGACCCAGTTTTGAAAATCCATCCATTCAATTCGACGACTTCATCCAAAGTTTCACTCCATAGCTGCACCCTCTCGTGGTAATAATCTCCCAATCTTTCTTTCAATACATCCTTGGCATAACCTATCTGGCGCTTTACGTCCCACGGTTCGAGTTTGTAAAAGATTGGAAAGACAAGTTGACCGTAAGTCTTCATACACTCGAGGATCTTGACAAGTTCATCAAGACACCTTGAGGAGAATGCATAGTTTTCGGAGAGAACAACGATTGAAATCCTTGAATTTTCAATTGCTTTAAGAGTAGAGGGTGAAATTGGGTTGCCACTCATGTGTCGGTCAAAACCATCATCTTCGAAAAAGGTATTGATTCTCTTGCGTCGCAAAGCATTGTAGAGGGTACCAGTGAAGGAGTAGCGGGTATCTTGGTCTCTAAAACTAAGGAAAACATCGTAGTTGCTGGTGCTCTGGGCTTCATTCGGCATGGTGAACAATGCAGAATGCGCATCTAACAATACATTGGAAATTGTCAGGGACAATAACAATAGACATGAAAATACCAATGAGGAGTATGGGACCCACGTGGCTTGCCCATTGACTCCTCCTTTGTCTTTTCCTCATCCCAATGGCTATTACCTCCACCTCTTTATTTCTTTTTATAATGTTGAAAATGATGAAATATCTAATAGGATGAGATCAGTATATTTAAATAAGTCAATTATACATTAATAAATAAAACCCCAAGCCAAGGTTATTTTAATTACAACTTGAAAGTGCGTATCTTTTAAACATCTCCAATGAAAATTTAATTGGAATATTATAGGGAGAAAATATATATGTTGGGATATGTATTATATGCAATATATTTTGTGCTAACATGGAATTAATTCTAGATGAGCATTTCTAGAGAGGATTTATAACTTGGAATTGGCAATTTATAGCTTGTTTGATTTCCTTTTTTCTTTAGAGTGCTTTTTTATTTATTTTTAAACGAGCATAAATTTTCAATTATTTTAATTTAATTAATTATACTTTTTACATTAAATTTGTATTTGCATAATTTTCAATGCATTTTCAAACATACACTTAGACGAAAATCTTGTAACTCAATTTGTTCAAAGCAACAAATTATCAATTTTGAGTAACGGAATTTTAAACTTAAAACAAAGGGCTATTGATTCCTGATTTCAATAGGAAGGAAGTCGCTCCCTCTGCTTTCAAGTGAACAACAGCTTTTGAGTGCATGATCAAGAATAACCAATGCGTGAAACAACAGTACAACGAATGATGTTAACGAAACATGTGAAAGAACAGCAAAATCCAAGTGAAAACAGGAGGCAAAATCTAATAGAGAAAGAAGAACTTGTATTTACTAATATTGAAGTAAAATTGCGAAATCAAAGTGAAGGTGACTTAAAGGTCCTCGGGACTAATTCATACACCTTTCCAGAAAATGATAATGTTCTAAGTAAAATTCACGCTCGTCCAAAACAACTTCTCAGTACTAAATGTAAGCATTACAACCGCTATCAATTTGTGATCCACCAGTTGAATTCATCAATTTTGGATTCCTTCTAGTTGACACCCGAGCAAGGACCAGGAACATTGAAGCCATTTTAAATTTTAATGGCCATTTCCACAATTTTGTCAATAAATTCATATTCGTACCTACACAAAGTACAAGGCCTTTTAGTTCATTCAAGTACAACTTTCATTTTCCTTCTAATGCTCTGAATTTATTTCATCAGATAAATCTTCAAAAAATAATTTCGAAATTCATCAAAATATAGAACTAAATTGCAAACAAAGCCTTAACGAGTACACAACATTTCTAGTTGGCAAAGTCGTATTTTAAACAATCTACTACATGAATGGATTTCAAATTAAACGGTTCATAGAATTTAGGAAAAAGTAAGTAAATACTATGTGTTATACCCGGTTTTCAAGTGCCATCCTTTCAAGTTAGCGACTTCAAACAAAGCTGACCTCCATTTATGCACCTCCTCAGAATCCTTACCCAACTCATTTTCATGTTTAGTCATGGCTTCACCATAACTGTTTCTTTGATGTCTTAAATCACTGGGTTCCACTTTGTAAAAGATGGGCCAAACTAGTTGGTTTTTCATCTTCATACATTCAAGGATGGTCACAAGTTCATCGAGACAAGACGAGGAATATGCATATTTTTCGGAAAATACAATGATTGAAAGCCTTGATTTTTCAATTGCTTCAGTAATGGATTGTGATAAATGGTCTCCATCATTCATGAAGGTTTTGAATCCTCCCCGGCGCAAAGCATTATAAAGATATCCTGTAAAGGTGTAGCGTGTATCTTCTCCACTAAAACTCAGAAAAACATCGTAGCGTTGTACGGTTTTGGTGACCCAATCTACGATATTTTCGATGAATTGGAATTCATACTCACACCTGCAAACAAGTAAAAGGCCATTTATGAAAGGATAATTAAAAGATGCTACTTTCCAATATTCAATAAAGATACATAAATTTGTGTACTTTCTGCGCAAACGACGTATCACATACCCGCCTTCTTGGAAATGGAATCCTCTGAGGCTGGCGATTTCAGACAAAGCTAAGGCCCACTTGCTTACTTTGTCAGAGTCCTTTTTGAACCTTTCTTCATGTCGATGAAGGGCATCACGATAATCATTTCGCTGATTTCTTATATCGGAGGGGTCGACTTTGTAAAAGATTGGCAAAACGACTTGGTTCTTAATGTTCTTACACTCGAGAATCTTGACAAGGTCATCAAGGCACCAAGTGGAATGCGCGAAGTGTCGGGAGAGAACAACAATTGAAATCCTCGATGCCTGCAATGCTTGAAGAAGGGTGCTTGAGATTTGGTCGCCACCCTTCAACTCACCATCATCCATGAAGGTTCTGAATCGAGCCTGCCGCAAAGCGTCGTAGAGATTACCTGTGAAGCAGTGGCGCGTGTCTTCCCCTCTAAAACACAGAAAAACATCGTGGCGCCACTTTATTGGTTCGTCGCTGCCAATGCCATTGGATACGCTCCCTTCATTCGCCATCATATCAAATATGAATATCAAACATCGTTTCCTTGGTGGGTTTACTTCATCCTCTCTCTCTCTCTCTCTCTCTCTCTCTCTCTCTAGTTGAAATAAAATACATGAAGATGAAGATGGAATAGAGGTAGTTCTTTTCTTCTTCATTTTTCTAATCAACAATTACACGTACAAGTCAAACTAATTTGCAATTAATTGTTAAATAAATATATTTTTCATTAGAGTCAGTTTGGTAATAAAATTTGAATAATGAACAAAACACATTTTATAATATTAATAACATGGAATTAATAAAATAATATAGTTAACTTATCATCAATGCAAGAGTTAAAAATTGCCAATGTAGAGATTAGTTGAGCATGGTATTGATAAAAAAAAAAAAACATAACATATAATAAATAATCATTTCTTTGAACTTTAAACTGTTAGGAGCGAGGGAGATTTAACGTTGGCTCCAGTTATTTTGACGTCAAAAAAACTTTCCCGAAGTCCTATGATAATAAACATATATTTCAATACAACCTTTTTAATTATTTTTTTTTTCAATGTCAATTTTATCCTGTTTTATTTAAACATTAAATCAAGCATGTTAAGCATTAAAACAACGGAACAACAAATCAACATTCGTAAGAGGGAGCTGATCAAATGGCAAAATATGTCATACAACATTAAATTATTCTATTTATACTAATAATTGAGACTATTGCATTACACCATAGATATTGCCCATTTAATACTAACACGATATTTGATTAAGGATGATATCATCCTGTGCTTTATTCCATAAAGATTTTTGCGCTTGTTAAAAATAAATAGAAGCATGAAATTGATTATTCTATGCCCATGTTTCTTGAAACAGAAATTTGACTGATTAAACTATATAGAGATCAAATGGCCGCAAAATTCATTGTTCACAAAACTTCTCTTTAACAAGTATCAAAAAACTCTTATATTTTTCACCCTTTTTGGCTCTCACAAAATGCCATATAAATAAATTATGCATATCCTATGAGTGCATGGAATTTAACAACTTCAAGGCCAGAGCTTCTTGCTCCTCCAAGCTAACGGAGCCAGCACTTACAGCTGCATTTCCTGTGATTTCATTTCTTTCACCCTCGTCACTGTCACTGCCAAAGTATACTTTACTCTTTTTATGCCGTCTATCAACAGTTTCGTCTCCTGAACCAGAAATATCACCTTGGTCTTCCTCTTCTTCTGCATTCCCATCCTTCCATTTCATCTTCTGCTTGATTCTTTTTTCTCTACGCCGCTGACGCTCTACAAGCTTGTCTTCCTTGTCAGCCTTTATTAAATCATCTCGCATCCTTCTATAGTATTCAGCTTTTTGTTCTGCACGAAGACAAAAAGATGAGATACAAAAATGGAAAATTGAACATAGCCCAAGCTTAAGAAGAACATTCTTTCAATTCTCTGAAGTAGCGCTAAGATAGAATAGTTGAACGGATGACATATAGCTACGATTAGGTTCTTGAATTCAACATCCATTACAGAAAATTTGACAGGGATCAGGGATGCCAAACTATCATTATGCAGCCGTTGTATTGTACTACTTTAGAATGGAGTATGTCACTTGCACGTTGTACTCTCGTTTTATTTTCTTACAAACATGATATGATGCATCGATCCACGCATCAAGATCCTATCTACCTCAATTGATAGCCTTACACATACGAGTAAAGATTTCACCATACAAAATTATTACTACTATTCTAGCTTCAGTTTTCAATTGGAAAGTAAGGACACACCTGGGTCAAGCAGCAACGTTTCCTTGCCACTTTGTGTGTCAGCTAACCTAGCTAACGGAGGAAGTGTGTTGCCTTCATCGTCAAATACAACCCTAGTCCCAAGTGGCCTATGTACATTAATCTTGAGCTTCTTTTTCTTCAACACACGAGTTGCTGGTCTGCATAGGAAAGAACCAAATTGATAAGAACAGGAATGAAAGAAAAAATTCAAGGCCCCACATACCAAGAAATATGATAAATCCAATTTTATTCCCCAAAACTGAATTTGAATTTTGTATTAGCCATCATATGATTTTATATGCAAGGTTAATTTGGTTCAGCAATTTGAAACCAGAAGACTTGTCTACTCCCTTTCCATAATTGTACATAAAGAAACTAAAGCAACATTATCCAAAAGCATATTAAACTTGTTCATCTGCACTACTGAAAATATGTATACGGACACATACATTATTTCTCCAATTTCAGATGACTTCACATTGCCTTCATTTGCAGTATCTGCTAACTGAAGCAGATCATTTTCAGTGTCCTCTTCCTCCAAAGAAACTGTGTCTAGATTCTTTCTGGAAACCTCCAAGACATTTTCCTTGTTTGAATCTTCTGGTTCAACTAAATTTGATTTTGTTGACACAGCTTTAGATTTAATTTTCTGGTTTAGAAAACGGACTTTGGGGGTCATTGGTAAACCTAATGATGCTGAATATTCGTTGATAGGTAGTTTTGTAACATCAAATATCTCTTTATCCTTTTGGATATAGATAGATCTCAAATATGTGATGAATGCCCTCTGAGCCCGATGCTGCAGATCTGGGTACTTGACCAGCAAAGATGCCAACAAACTAGAAACTGGTTGCAGTAGTTCTTTCCTTGGCTGAATAATCAGCAATTACAAAAGCACAGAAAGCAAATATGTCAGACAAAACATTAGATTTAGAGCGAACCAGTTAAGAAATATCATCTTCTAAAACTAACACCTTCATGTTCATATGAAATTGGAACTACATGCGTACTACTGATATGCAGGGCAAATGTACCTTATTAAAATGTACAGGAACCTTTGCTGCTTTTAACTTTTCAAGCATTTGAATTTCAGAAGGCAATAGAAACAAAACAGACTTTCCACCAGACTTATAACGAGCAGTGCGGCCAACTCTATGTATGTACGAAGCTACATTTTCAGGACAATCCACCTGCAGATGCAAAAGAAAAGTGAGACTCCGACCATAAAAACACACCTTTTCCTTCCAAAACCTCACCTTAAAGTCCCAAGACTTCCACCAAGACAGAAAACCACAAGCAGGTGACTCACCTGAACAACCCAATCAACTGCCTTGTTAAAATCTAGGCCTCTTGCCGCCACATCAGTTGAGAAGAGAACTGAGCGCTTCTCACAAAACTCAGAATATATTGCCATTCTTCTTTCCTGTTTCATCCTCCCATGAAGGCACTTCAACGGTATACCAGGGTGCAGTTTCTTAAATGCTTCAAAGACAAATTTTACCTATCAAGCAGGGATGTGAATGTTAAGGAAGATAGTCAGGGTCAAGAGTGGAAATTTGCACAAAAAAAAAAACACAAACATTGAATCAATTCAATCAGGTAATTAGCAGAAATCCTTTTAAATGGAAAGAATTGCAGACAACTCATCCTAAAAATCCTTTAAAAACCTATTACAATAACCATAATCACAGCAACTGAAAACCATAACAGAAGTTCCATGCATGCAGACAACATCCTGTGGATACAGCATACAAATACAACAATTACATTATGAGCCGTTGAATACGAAACTAATGAGACAGCTCTCAAGCTTTAATGATCAAACTAAATTACATTCCCTCAAACAGCACAAAATTCTTGAAAATGATGACTAGCCATATCATCTTGAGCGCAACTTTTCAGGTGGCATGACAGAAAGAGTCATACAAGCCTCCAACACACAATTTTCCAGTTATCTTCAAGAAAAAAAAAATTTCTTCAAACAGGACAGAGAAGGGGAGGTACCTGTTTACAGCTCGAAAGAAAGACAATAGTTTTTGACTGTAGATGTGTCTTTATAAAACTCCACAGCATATCTAACTTTTGATCCAGGGGAACAACCATCACAATTTGCTTCAACAGAGTAGGAGTGGCAGTCACAGACTCCTCATGCACGCTCAGATACTCTGGATCCTTCAAACTTAGTCTCGCAAGATCTTGTATCGATTTTGTTTGAGTTGCAGAGAAAAGCAAGGTTTGTCTACGCTTTGGTAGTTGCGAGATGATTGCATTTAGTTCCCTCTTGAATCCACTGTCAAGAATACGATCAGCCTCATCTAGTACCAAAACCTATAATCCAGAAAGTCCACCCAACCATCAGCCATATTTACCAAAGATCTAATGATACATATCTGTGATCCAGTTTGTCCCACAAATAACACATAATTTGGAAGATGAAATCTATGCTTGGCATATAACAATTTAAAAGGGCTAAAACATAAAAAAATTCAACCACTGTCGCTAAAACACCTAGGTAACATCTAATAAGGAAGCTTAACATACCCCAACCCAACTACTATTAAACGCACACAAGGTAACAGAGCATGACATAACAAAATAACTTAATACCAATTCTCATTTCAGAATAAGATCGAAGAAATTCTATTCCACATAAGAAAAAAAGGTTATATTGACCTGCATCTGTGAACAATCAAAATTGGGAGTTTCATCCATATGTTGAAGCAATCTACCGGGCGTGCAGATCAATATGTTGAGCTCATTGACCCGCTCTTTCTCCATGTCAACATCCTTGCGGCCACCAATGAGAAGGCCAGCACTGAAATTATGGTGCTTCCCAACACACTTCAACACATCAAATAGCTGACCAGCTAATTCTCTTGTTGGGGATATTATGATGCTCCCAACCCCATCTTCAGGTCCCCATCTCTCTCTGTACAACTTCTCCAAAACCTATCATTCACAATCCACCATAATTAAACAATAATAATAAGTATAAGTATGAAAATTCAACATATCATTAAAAAAAGTGAACCACAACCTTAACCCTAACCCTAAATCAATGAAGCACTCACAGGGATAATGAAGGCAAGGGTTTTCCCGGAGCCAGTTTTGGCGGCGCCGAGAATGTCACGGCCACAGAGCGCGTGGGGAAGAGAGGCTCTCTGAATGTCGGTCATGGAAACGAACTTGGCTTCTCGCAAACCGTCCTTGGTTTTCTTAGAGAGTGGAAAGTGGTCGAACCTGGACGCGCCGGCGTAGCGCGAGAAGGTATTGTCGTCGACGCGACCAATTGGAGCATTTTTGGTGAGAGGAGGAAGAGACATTGGGTTGGAACCGGAGTCCGGTTGCTGGAATTGGATCCATGAATTCAACAGCTTTATCTCTTCCTCCTCTGAGACTCGCTGTTGCTTCCTAAAGTCCTTCGATTTCGGTCTTCTCATTCTACAGTGATGAAGAGGAATCTGAAGCTGAAGATGAAGATGAAATTTAACGTCGTCGTTTAGGTTTCGGTTGTGTTGTGGCAGAGTTCAAATGCAGAGTCGGCGGTTTCAAGTTTTGAAGCTTCATTCGTGAACGACGACGACGACATTAGTAATGGGTCAAGGGATTTGTTTGGGCAGGCCCGATTAATTCATTTTACTGGTTGATTTGGGCCTAAAAGTAAGAAAAAATATTAACCAGTGTCACACGATTTAAAAATTAAAAAATAAGAAAGTTTTCATATGAATTGTCATTAAAAAATTTTAATTTTATAAATAATTAATATAAAAATTATATCTAAAATATATTTTAAAGAGTAAATTTATAATACATTAAATATGTATTAATATATTTTTTATATTTCTTAATTTTAAAAATTTATCAAATTAAAATAATTATTTAATAAAAATTTTATCCTATTTGTCCTTTCTTTTAGAAAATTTTCCTTCCCAAACAAGCATTTATTAGTTAAGAATTCATACAAAACATGCGGCAAATCATTATAAAGGATCAAAATTTTAAAAGATAAAAGCTAAAATTAGAATATAACAAAATAAGAAGTAAAAATATATATTTAAGTTTCACTTATGTGTACAAGGTTTATGATACATATTTTATTTCTCTTAAGCGAGAATTTAAATTGGAATACTATAAAAAAAATATCATTGAAAAAGATACTCTATTATATTGTTGATGTTCCTATATAACATGAATAGGATTCTCTCCAATAAAGATGTGTGATATATATTTGATTCCTCTTGAGCAAGAATTCAAATTTGAATATTATAAATAAATAAAAAACCATTGAAAATGCTAAGTCTATTTCTCTAACTTGAAAACGATTGCTTCGGATGAAATAAAAATTTGAATAACACTATCGTCACAATAAATTACAATTATGAAGGCTTTTTTTTTATATATAATCATGATTGTAAAGTAAAGTAGAATGACAAAAGTGGTGTCTTTGTTTATCTTACTTTATCATATTTATTTATTTAACCTTGCTTAACTTATTGGGTAATATTCGATACATTCTACTAAGCTGTGTTAATAAGTGTGTTAGTAAAGAATGATTATTAAAAAAATGTTACTAATATATATTTTACTAATATACAAGATTGATCATCAACTCTCACTCTATTCCTATGAGACTGTGATTATGAATTGTTATGCAACAAGTTAATTAATTTTGCTCTTATGTATTGTTTCATATAAAAACTTATCTTAAATGCAATACGCCATTCATGTGTAGACTTTGACCTTGATTGCAAATGTAACGATATGTTATAAAGTGAGTATTTTACAAAGTACAACAAATACGATTACGAAGCTTCTTTCACTTAATCATAATTGTAAAACATATAGAGTTTGAGATGTACAATCTGCTATATTATACTATTTGTTTATCATCGAAGGTGGTGTCTTTGTTGATCCTATTTATTTATTATTTAACCTTGCTTAACTTATTGAGTGTTTAATCGGATACATTATACTAAAACGTGTTAATAAGTGTGTTAGTTTAATATAATTATAGAAAAGTGTGCATTACTAATAAATTTATTTAATTAATATTTTTAACACATTCATTGACAAGATCGATCATCAACTCTCACTCCATTTTCATGACATTGTGATAATGAATTGTTGTGCGACGAGTTAAATATTGCTCGTATACTTGTTTCACATAATTAAAAACTTATTTTAAATAAACTATACTATTCATGTGTACTTAGCAATGTAGTGATATGCATGGTATGGTAAAATAGATGATTCAAAATTATGTAAAATACCTTGATCACATGAAAAAAAATATATTTAAAAATACTAATAAATATAGTGAATTATATAACTTTTAGTTTAATAAAAAAATGGAAGAAAAATAAAAAAGATAAATAAAATTATTAAAAAAATATTTTAATTTGTCCTGTAATACATATAATCAACTTCATTTAGTTAAATAAAACTTTGTTTTTATTGTAATAATGTTATAAATTGCAGGCAAACATACAAATGATAAGGGTAGGAGAATCCCACACACCTCTAATTGTATGTTTAAAAAGAAAAAAAAAAAAAAAAACTTTAGCACCCTGATGCAAGCAAGAAAATAAATCATTAAAGTAGTATAGACCACAGAAGTAATGACTCAGTAGATCTCAAATAAGATTAAAGAAATCTAAGAAAGATATGTTTCACAAAATAGTTTCACATAGAATCAATTAATATTGTCATCTATAGTCAATAAATTTGTTGAACTAATTGAATGTAATATAATTATTAATTACTTGTGAACAAAATTATGAGCATCACGTTTTGTGTGGTTCAGAATTTCAATAATTCTCAAGATGATATTTTGCCTTAAAGTCTCACTTATGTATCCCCCTCAACCCACCCTATTTTGCCCATTAACCACATTTCCAACTTGCCGAGAACCAAAGGAAATTAAGTTTAGAATACCAGTTCTATTTTGTTGCACGGAGTTTTAATTAGTATCATTGACCCTGGAAACAAAAAGTATGCAAAATATACGATACTGCTTCAAAACCATAAACTTGACAAAAGCAAACATACAACATATATATATATATGATTTAACATCCAACCCAAAGTCTTGAAAGCCTAAATATTTTATGGATGATAGATATTTGCCTACTTAATTTGCCGACATACAGAATAGCAAATGAGTAAATATATAAATCAAGCAGTAACATTTGATGTTTTGAAGATCAATAATCAAGTCATCCACCACAAATCATAGTTCCCAGCTCTTCTACATGGCATGATTGGTTATCTAGTTTGTTCATCCCAAAATCAAATTACATAATATCAAATAAACACGCATGTCACAATACATGGCAACACATGCCGTCAAGGCATGCTGCACAAGTCCTTCACTGTTGTTTTGGCACCCGATCGTTGTTGTTAGTCACATAAGTTCTGAAATTTGGGTGAGGCTTAATCCTCTTAACAACTTCATTGATCAGGTTCTCAAAATCAAAACCCATGGTAGGATGTTGGCCTGATTCATTCACCTTTTGATCCACCGCATTGTCTGAAGATAGGTGACGTAGAACGCTTCCACTTTGCAATGACAACTTACTTGGGCCAGTTGGAGCTTTAGATGAAGATGCTTGGTTTCCCTCTATTGGCATCTTTCTACTCGAACTTGTTCTTTTTCCTCGAGCAACATTGGTCAGGAACAATGTTGGAGATGCTTTAGTCGAAAGTCCAAATGCAGACCCTTGTCTTGTATCTCCAGAAATGCCTTTCTCTCTTGGTAGGGAAATTGGTTTAATGGAAATAGACGCCACTTTAGTTGGCTCAAGCGAATGCGTGGTTTGGTCAGGCATAGAAGAAGGTTTGTTTTTTCCTGCAGAAGTAATCAAAATTCTGGAACTAGATGCTCCTCTCGACATTATGGATGTTGGATCATTCTTTTTCAGAGTTTCATTCGGGTTGAAGACATACCTTTCATTCTTTGTGTTAGGCAAAGGAACAACAATTCTCGGGTTTGATGGAACATTAACAGCAACATTATTGTCAAGTGCAATAGGAATAAGTGGAGGTTTAGACTTGAAAATTTGCCCTCTAAATATAGTACCTGAATTATCGTCTTGAATGTTCACCCAGAATCCACCCTCAAATTCTCCATCAATTTTAGCAGAAACTACTTGGCCAACCCTGACGTCATTTGAAGCTTTTTCTTTATTGCTTTTATGTTTTTTATTTCCAACGATTGCTTCAAATCCCGGCGGCACCAATGCATCGTTTCCTCCAAGTGCATATGGGTTTGTTATTTCAGTAGGTAGGGTGTAGCCACTTCTCTCATCATCTGGCTTTGGATATTTGCGTGGACGACCACGTTTAATAATCTTCGAAGAAACCTCCAAATCTCCATGGTAATTGTTTTGATTTGGTTCGCTCATCTTGGTGGTTTGTTAAGGTCAACGTTTTCCTCTTTCCTGCGTACAATTAAGGGAAAAAAAATTAATTAGTCATCAGCTACTTCATTTAGGTATTAAAGATAGACATGAAAGATATCAAAATTTTCACACAAGAAATTGCCATAGGCATCCAAGATATAAAAGTGGTCATCTCATATCTATGACATAACAATTCATAAGTAGGGAATTCATGAAGCTTAAATGGTCAAAAAGAAAGTTGAAACCAGGAAACAATCTATGACATGACAAATGCTATACAACTAGGACATTTTGTTCATGCATGGCTAACTATTCAGTAAAATCATAACACACAGACATGTTTAACTTTACATAATTACACCGTTAGAGTTTAAAACTACCGGCTTCCAGATTGGAAACCACGTATTCAAAGTTTGCGATACCATAAAACACAGATAACTCCTAGCATAAATGTAGAGAAATGAAGTCAACTCTTGGTGGCACACAACCTACACAGAAAAATGTAAAAGATGTGGCGAAAGAGAAGGAAGGAGGATGAAGGTGTTTTAATTTAACATGAATTTGGATCTTAGCACAAGAGACACTGAACAACGAAGGCAGGAGAATACAGTGAACAAAGAAGGCGTAAGAACACAGTGAACAATCTCAACCTTTTGAGATGCTTCTAAAGGAAAATGAGAGGATGATACATGTCCAAGCATTTGTCCTAGTGACCACTATTTATAATGGATATAACATGTCCATCAATGATTGTCTTGTGAAGACATCGTTATTGCTAAGTGGCCATGGATGTGATTTTCCTGTGAAGGCAACGGTATTGCTAAGTGACCATCCATGCTATGTAAGGGTAAACATGTCGTGTGGAGAAAAGGAAAACGAGGTTTATGACATATGCTAGAAACACACCCAGGGTATAAGGTGTGCGATGCACATGAATTTGATCAACCCGATCCTGAGTGTGCAATTTAATAAATAAATAAATAAATATATATATATATATATATATATATATATATATATATTAAAACAATAAATGAGTTATATATTCTGATTTGAATATAAAAATTACTAAAGTAAAAAGGAGATGTAGAGAAAAAGAAGGTGGTAAAAAAATACGTTTTTTAATGTGAACATGGTCCAACTCATATGAGGTGCAATCAACGA